GGCAGGCTTCCACTTGTACTTGGTGACAGTGTCGGTCTCGGTCTCGGTCTTTGTCTTGATGATAGGAGGCTTCCACTTCGTGATAGTGTCGGTCTTTGTCTTGGTGACGTACTTGGTGACGGGAGGCTTCCACTTGGTGACGGTGTCGGTCTCGGTCTTGGTCACGTACTTTGTCACGGGGGGTTTCCACTTTGTGATATACTCGGTCTTGGTGACGGGGGGCTTCCACTTGTACTTTGTGACGGTCTCGGTCTCGTACTTGGTGACGGGGTACTTCTTGGTGACAGTCTCGGTCTTGGTTACCGGGGGCTTGTAGATGGGCTTGGTGACAGTGTGGGTGACTGTTGCAGTCACGGTCTTGGTCTTGGGGGGAGGTGGGTAGTGGTCGTTGTTGGGGTTGGGGCTGGCGAAGACCAGAGGGATTGAGATGAGAGGGGCGATGAAGGTTGAGAACTTCATGTTGACGGTTGGAGCGAAGGTGTTATGAAGATGTGGTATTGTTCTTGAAAGAGTGGTGAGGAGAGTTGAGCCAGTGGTTGAGCCTGAGTGAGTCTTGGAATGAGGAGATCACAAGCCCTCTTTATACAAGTCATCTACATACAGGCCGTCCACTTCTGTTGTCTAGCCTCCTCTGACAATATTCTCAATTACTACATATTGCGAGATGCACATGCTCAATCGTATCATCAACCAAGTTGGCCTCATCTTCTCACCAACACCCAACCTCAATCCCGCTCGGCCGAATATCGAAAAGCCGCTCTTGTTGAGTTGTTCAATATTCTCACGTCCACCTGCCAATCACAACAATCATCTTCAGCCATAAGCTCGTATCTGCCGGTCAGCTCGTGTTTATGCAGCCATGAACAAGTATTAATGCAGGTCGACAGCCTTTATTGAAGCGGGACGGGAAATATGGTTAAGCCCATCCGTTGTGGCGATTTTGTTATAAGTCAGCTTACCGGTTAACCGTTGGGCATGGAGGGTTACTTCGCATATCAGGCTATCTTATCAGAGCGTCTCATTCGACGGGTCAAGAAACAAGCTCTGTACTATCTTAACAGGTTGAACTATCGCGGGCTTGGACTTGCGTGAACTGCATGCTCGATTGCGTGATCGATAATCTTATCGACATGGGACGCTTTGACTTCGTATTTACAATGGTGAAACTGTAGTCTAAATCGCCATATGCTTAGTTACCAACATTTCTACCGTTTTGCGGGGGATTTACAGGTACCGGGCCTTAACGCGGAGGTGGTGGCTACACGACGTTACACTCTGGGAGCCAAGAATAACAACAGCCATTTACCGGACCAGCTGAATTCACGACCCGTGACCCACACACTCTCCAGGTCTACATCTTGGCACGTTATTTTCCGAGACAAAATCTGTAGAGTTTTCCGCTTTGAGAATATTCCCAGAATCTTATTTTTGATAGCGTTACCCCGAAGGATCCAAGCTCACCTCCATCGCAGCCTTACGTGAGTGAGCGTCAGAAACACGAACAAAAGACCTCTACAGTCTGGACCAGGCCGTGTAACACGTTGACCGGTCCTGTTGGGCTTACTCTGCATCTGCAAGCTTCAGGTAAGGCCCCGCGTTCCAAGAAAACTCCCGCCAATAGACGGTGGCTGCTGACAACCTGTTATATGGGGAGAGAGGGGAGTTGTCAGATTGCGCAATTGCAAGGGTACAGTGATTGGCCGGCCGGGACAAGGTACCTGAGCCTACTGATGACCGATCAGGGCGATCAGGAAAAGTCGATGACGCTAAACCGCAGTAACAACAACGTCTTGTTAGTGTTGGTTGCGGTTATGCATTGGACTATGTCAGAGATGAATCATAGAAGAGGCCGGGTATAAGCCTCCGCCAACGCACGAGAAGAGTGATATCGTGAGAAATGTTTGCTATCCTCGTGATGTGAGGTTACCCTCTGCGTGAGAAATGGCTGGGCTTACTTTAGGCAGCCTCGCTGGCAATAATGGCGTCGGCTGCGTCAATAGCCTTGACGTTGTGTGATGAATGTGATTGAGATGTCAATTGGCTCGCAGTGGACTCCAATTGAAGCATTCATTGGCATAGCCAAGTTTGTCATCAACAGAGGCGTTTTCGGCTGCATAAAATTGAAATGGACTGATGTGTTCACCCAGTGGCTGCCCTGGCAACCTGCAGCCTTCTTTCAAAACTGGGACATTTTATTTTCAGCTGGTGATAAGAACATGGCGTTTTTTCAATCTTGTCTTGCGAGATAACGCTAGTTATTGCATCAATTGAACTTGCTCGCATTGATTCGGCGATGGACAGAAATGGATCCATAGTCAGACGCATATTTGTTGTTCAAGGCAGCCATAGTATGCATAATATTGAATGTGTATCGATAAGATGATATGACGGCAATCTGTGACTAAGAGGTTGGTGGTCTTGATCCCAAGCGACGTAGCATTGCATTTTCCCTATAGGGCTTTGTGCTTCACAGTGGCATGCTTCCTGCAGTGAGATGTAGTACGTCGGGCGTTGGGTTGGCAATTGCACTTAACGTCGCAGAATGGTGTTATAATAAGCTCTGAGATGATTCGGGAGTGGCGGGACTAGCAAAAACGTGTACTGGAAAGAACTGTTGTTTCTTGTAAGCGTCATTGGTGAGATTGTCTGACTGCAGTTCCCCTCATCTGCTTGACACAGTTGACCTCGATATAGGCCGGCAACATGCCAAACGATCTTTGATAGAGAGTTTTGAGTACCTTCAATTCAGGTAGACCTTTTGAGTAAGATAGGTATGGCCTAGCATTGCAGTTAGAATGATCTTCATCTGACAGTCGATGATTTTCAGCAACGGCAGAGAGAAGCATTGATCCTTGCAGCTTGGCGCATCAGATCACAACTCAGGTCATCCCAGCCATTTACGGTGACCAATCAAAGCTGCATTGCCCTTCCGAGATCCCCGTAGACCGCTAGTGCTCATCGAGTCTTGTTGTCTCTTGTTTGCAAAGCTGTCTCCCCTTCTAGTTGTTGAGACTACCGCAAGAACTCAAGGTGAAAAAACTCTCCAAGGGTCATAGCAGGGAACTTGATTCATAGGCCTGCACTCCTCAGCACTAACTACTCCAAGATCAAGTCACATGATAGGCATGCATTTGTACATAGGATAATACGAAGTGCGCAGAAGATGTATTAGTCATCGCAATGGAAATCAATAGGTATTACAAAGGAAATCTAAATTTTCTATCCAGTGGCAACTCTCTTCCGTACTCAACAAGACCTACCTTAGTTCTGACCACGAGTGCTTTTGCAAATCGCTGTATATGCACTTGAATAAACCCCTCCAGTCTTTGATATCCATCACTCGTGCCTCTTGGTCCAATTACTTAGACCCGTCAAATCCCGTTCGTGACCCAGAGACATAAGACAGCTCCGTATACGAGCTCTCGGCATCTAGAAGCTGTTAGTTTCGCATCTCGAGTTGTTCTCTGCTATATCTTACCGAGCTTGGGGGTCTGATCGACAAACCACGGGAAGAAATAACCAGGATGTAGAATGGTCTGTGACAAAGTTGCACTGAGAATCATGCTTCACCCATGTTGTTAGCAATTTGCTTGAGACTCAAATAGAGTTCAAGGCACTACTCACACTGACTCGAAGATGATGAAAGGAATTTCTTCTCTCATCAATTTATTACCCCAACCTCCCCGCATCTCCGCAATGCGATACACGCAGCGGATATAAATCGCCATAAACGCAGTCGTGAGTCCACCCAAAAACAGTCGAAAACGAAGAGTCCGCCAAGCCTGGAGGGAGTTCCCTTCGAGAGGATATGTAGTAAGAGCTCGCATCCTCCTGACGCAGAACAAAGTAGCCAGTATCGCAAAGATCGACAACGTCACCACCTGGAAAGCAATACCCGCCATCATGATATTGTTGCCCATTTTGATCCTGTCTCGGTCCGTTCTAAAGTCAGCAGTCGCAGTGATGCCGCCGCCAAGAGCTTGCAAAACCAACGATACTACATCAGCAGTGATGAAGATGATGGTATACCATTTTGGCTGTAGGACCGACCACTTTGCTCCAAAGAGCGCAACGATATGTTTTAGCATGAGATATACAGCTGCGCTGTTGAATGCAGGACCGATGATAAGACAGCAGATTTGAGCTTGGAAGGGTATCGCGCCGAATGGTTCGAAGTACATTCCCACGCGTCCGATATAGCCCAAGACTTGGGCTAGGCAGCCCAGACTGAGAACAATGGCATAAGCGCGGATGCGGAAGCGAATGCCGAGAATGATGTTGGTGATGAATGCGATGCCGAAGAATACAGCGAGGAAAATGTTGCCGCCGAGATTAGGGCGATAGCCGTAGGTTGTGAGTTCGATAGGGCACTCTTTGGAGACGTGAGTACAAATGAGTGTGTCTGACATGGTGAGTAGTGATGTTGTTGACAAGATATGATAGAGAATGTTGTTGAATTGGATTTGAGCATTTTGTTGATTGAAAAATCATTGCTTGCTTATATATCAACTCATTGTCCCTTTTCTACCGCGCCCTTCTGCGAAAATTGATCACATCTCGGTGTTTGACACGAGATGTCTAACAATAGCCTCCACCTCTGATTGGCCAAAAGACCGAGCGTCAAAGAGAAGGGGAATTTGAGTATGAGCTGAGGATCTGAAACGCGTCACCAAAATTAAGCATACGATAAAAGATTACGTCCCTCGTCAAGTCTAATCTAATCAATTCTTGCTCTAATTGGTTAATCGTCTCAGGCACCGAATCCTTCACCTCGGTCTTTGTCTCAGCCTCCATCACCATCGTAAGCCGGGCTAATTCTAATTGGTTTATCCTCTCTTCTGCCCCAGTTATCGCTCGGTCTTTGACTTTGCGCTAGCATCGTTTTGGAGATCGTGACTCCCTGTCAACCTCGTGGGGACGGGGCTGATTTGCTGATCACTTTTTATAACGCCTTTCGGTCTTTGCATTTTTCTTGTCCTCTCGGTCTTCAGTGAGCCAAGATGGCTGATGCGAGTACTAAGCCAAAGAGAACGAGGACGAATGTTAAACAGTCCAAGTTTGGCTGTTTCACCTGCAAGTATGACACGTGTTTTCTTGGTGGTTACGCAGTGCTGACTCGTGCAGGGCGCGGCGAGTCAAGTGTGATGAAGGCAAGCCGGCTTGTCGGCGGTGCTTGATCTCGAAGCGAGAATGCCTAGGGTATCCCAGAGGTGCATATCCAGACTCGGGTAACGCTGAATCAACTACTTTATCGATTGTGTCCGCCTCTTCTTCGCCCTCAGACTCCTCATCGCCGTCGCCTGCAGCGGTCACATCAACGTTGAGATCGCTCGCTTTCAACCCATACTCCCTCTCGAGTCCCTTTGTCGACCTCGCCTGTACGGTTCTGGTCCAAAGTCCCCGTCGTGCACGAAACAACGTCGAGCAAACGTTCTGGTCTCGCACCGTACCCCAATTGGCCCAGTCCATCCCATCAGTGCGCGCCGCCCTCGAAGCGTTCGGCACGTCCTACAGCGAATATGTCCTCAGAGTCACATCCCCACGGCCAGGTTTAGAAACCACCAAGCGTTACTCAAAGGCTTTGAGAATGGTGCAACAAGACCTTATCACCCTGCCGAATGGTCCAACTCCATGTGTCGTTGCCTGTCTGTTTCTCGCGTTTGTTGAGGCTTTGCAGCAGAGACTTAACAAAGCTCTTGTGCATCTGCAGGGAACTTTCTCCCTTATGATGTCACTGACTGATAAACAACTCCTCGACGAGGTTGATACCGATAGTCTTGTGTTACTCTTAAAGAAGCTTGACCTGCACGTCGCTACATACGCCGTGTCCCATCCCCCAAACCTTCCCATGAAACCGTTCGTCATGGGTGACGTACTACAGTCATATCCACCAGATGGTTCTCTATTCAAGATCTTACACTCGTGCTATCATTTTACGGCTAAAGCCTTCCGATATAAGTACACCAGTCGCCGAACGATACCACCCGAACTGCTCATCGAACAAGGCCGACAGCTCGCCAACTTGAAACAGTGGCTATCGCTCAACGAGATCCCATCTGCTTCAAACAAGGAATCACACGAATCGCTCATCGTTCTCCGATCACAATGTCTTGCCGCTCTTGTCAACACAGCTACTATCATGGAGCCACATGAAACAGCCTACGACTGCTACGGTCCGGAGTTTGAAGAAATCATCACATCGATTGAGGCCTTGTTCTTGAGCAAAAGCCTCCAAGGTGCGCCGAGACAAAAGGCTTCAGACTGTCTGCCATGGTTCGTGCCGGAAATGGGTATAATCCACCCGTTGTATTTCACAGCAAAGAAATACAGAAGTCCTTTCTGGCGACGGAAAGCCTTGAGCCTCATCCTACAAAGCGGAAAAGAAGGTCCATGGTGCGCGGAGACAGAAGGGTCCGTGGTAGCAGCCATAATCGGCGCCGAAGAAGGGACTTTCGATAAGCAGTCACTCCATTTAGGACATACACTGGATCGAAGTCCGGCTTGTATAGCAGAGGAGCAAAGATTCAGCCACGTCTGGGCAAGTGATCCCGAAAGGGAAAATGGAGAGTGCACGCCTTATACGAGGAAGAGATACACGAGAACCATGATGTACAGATGTCGAGACGCAGAAGCGTATATGCTTCATAGAAAGGGACAGATCCCGAGGGGCATTCCTTGGGTGGACCCTGAGGATGAAATTGATGATGAGTGGTGGATAGGACGGGAAGAGGCTTTGGAGATAAGTGTTTCACTTAGCGATGTCATAAGGTGAACAATAATATCATATAGGACAAAGATTTAATCTGACAATCAATGAAATAAAATGTACGTGTATTAATAGAGATTGAGTGTTTAATATAAGAATGGATCGTATAATTATGGTGAATGTTAGGGGGAACATCTGTTTTGATGAGAGTATGAGTGAGCTGGAGTTGAAGAACAATGATCGGGCATTAGGATTTATTGCGACATTGAAGATGGTAGCTGACTACTCCATGCCTACACCTCTACCGTAATCCTTTCCTGAGTACAAGCCCAGCCCCGCACGAACAGTTCCATCTTTCCTATCCTCTACTCCTTAAGACAAGTCTCCTCCTTCTCATTCAAAGTAGTGACAACCGCAGCCTCGCATGCCGCAAAACCAGCAGCCTCAAGGAACGTCGCAACACCAGCAGTCAGAACATCGACAGCGACCGCAGCCGTACCGCAGGCAAAGACCTCAGCTACAGCGGTAGTGACGGCGTTAGTACGGCAGCGGTTACAGGCCTCGCTGCAGTTTCCCTCATCGAGAAGAAGTCGGCCCCGGCCTTGACCGCGCTCGATGGCTGCGGCGGATTCCTCGCGGGCTTGCTGGAGGGCAGCCTCGTTGGCGGCGTTTTGGCGCTTGGTGGGGAGGGTGCCAGCATAGGCGGAGGTGCTGAGGAGGGTGGTGAGGATGATTGAGGCCTTCATTGTGAGATACTAGCGAGATTAGTTATGTGCAAGAGTGGTGTGTGTTGTTTGAAGACATACTTGTATGAGAAGTTTTCAAGACCAGCTTGTTTTGAAGAGAATAGAATGTGAAGCAAGGACGAGGAATTGATGATGAGATGTTGAGAGAGATGCTGGGTTATTGATGGCAATAAAATCATCTTTATACAGGAATCAGTTGGGAGAGCCATGGACAGACAGTCAATGGACAAGTATACTAAGAACTCTATCTCTGCCGCATGAAGACCAAGAAAATGACTATCCCCAAAGCATGCAGCAGTCAGAATGGCGAGTCATGAGAGATTCCATTGTCACGCCTCCTGATTAGATCTTGAACCACCGGATTGTCCTTTACCCGTATCAACACCCCAGAAAATGGTGCGTTTATGGAATTAAAGTTTAACGGGAAATTTGACTATCCACAGTTTCTAACAATATATGGAGCAAATGTAGTAACTCAATCGTGTATGAACTTTTGACAGCGGTGTTATCAACCTGATTGGGCTGATCCAGGTTAAGCTTAGAATTATGCATCGAGGTGAAACGAACGGCACTGCGGTCTCATGGAAACTTTAAATATCAGATTGGGAAATCTGGTTTAGTCATAAGACTGCTTTTCCTTCATGTTTGCCAAGACTGGTTTCGGGGATCTTGGCAATCTACCCCTCAAGTTCGCGATGCATTGTGAGGACATCGTAGGACTTCATTTGTCAATGACATTTGTCTCTCGAGTTCTGAGCACACAATAGACAAGATAATCATTAGATCATGATTATCTATCTGTTCTATTCATGAAGGCGCCAGGATTGATGAATGATTGGGATCCAGAAGTCACCAGACGGAGGCCATATAGCTATTGGACTTCTCGTGTAAATAATCATGTATTTAGATATCTCTAGATAGAGACGCGAGCCTTTCTTCCTCCATTGAATTAAAAGCCTTCGATCTATCATCATGGCCTCAGTTCAGCTAGCAAGCTCTTGGCAGTAAATAGAGTTTTTTCTGGGGCGAACGTGACACTGTCTCGGATATTATACCTTCCGAACCTATAGCATAGACGCAGTTTCAGAACAATTTAGCCTCACTATCGTCTCCGAATTGTATTCTCTTTTAGGAATGTAATAGTATCACGACCGGTCTTTTGCTTGGAATCATGCGACAATAGTGTTGAGAAGACTTGACTCGAACCGCGAAGACACTGGATAGCGGAGAAAATAAACTTCGAATGACTCGCTCGACTGGTTTCAAATATGCAAAAGCTCCCTTCGTGAAGCGAAACCCTACTAACCATGTTCTAAGACTAGGAGATGATAGATATCGTTCTCTAGATCTTGGATTTGAGCTGCCTATAAGACTTGCTTGATCCCTCCAGTATAACATCGGAATATCATCATCAAGCATCTCCTTTCCACGCTCTCATCAGCCCAGCTTTCTATTCTTCAGGTTTAGATAACCTCAAATCCAGGTAAACACCTAATCCTCTAAGCTCCTTCAACCATATCTAACATAGCAATAGTCTATTTCATAAAAGTTAAGCAGGCCTTAACAAAATCATCAAAAATGAAGTTCTTCACCATTGCCCTTCTCTCTTCCATTAGGTATACCCCCCCTCTTTAAACACTATTCTGCAGTACTAACATGCTAAATATAGCACCGTTATGGCTGTTGACTGCTTCTGCGTTAGTAACGACGATGACGCTGCCGCTGGCCGGCTTCCCGTGCGCACATTCAGGCTCAGTGGTCGTTGTGAGGAACTCGGTGGAAAACCTGATATTGAGTCGCGCACTTGCGAACTACTCCCAGATGCTGCTCCTTTCACTGAGGCGGATTGCAATGCCGATTCTGGCGACAGAGTCCTTGTTCCCAACTGCTTTGCTTCTGTGCTCTAAATCTTGGGCGGACTGGGATAGGCGAGATTTATTGGGGGGGCCTTGGAGACCATGGAAATGTTAGACCATGGTGAATGGTGTCAAAATGAATTCAGTCAAGGATATCCCAAGCTTTAGTAAAGATACCCCGAATTTATATACACTACCTAAGTCTGTTTGTCAATCCTAAACCAGTAAAGATGTCCTGAATTTATGTAAATTTACCAAAGTCTTTTTATCATTTAGGATAAAGGCTATGAAATTTATATTCTTCTAGAGCGAGTTCTAAAAATTAATAACTATTTATATAAATAAACGACCACTTCATGCAGTGTACTGAGAATATGTAATGCCTACGACAATCTACTTCCTCCAAAACAATAGTCCCTTGCCCTTCTTGGGGACCCTGATCGACCAATATGCCATCAAAGCTGCAGCAACATCAAATACAATAAAGGCCCACATCACACCAAAGTTTCTCCATCTCTCACTATAGCGAATGCTTAAGGTTCCAAGGTATGTATCAGTCGAAGCAATCGGACAGTAAAGGCAAGTCTGGTTCGACCCCGGATTTGTTAGCGCGCCCCCAACTGCCTGAACGAACTGTCCGACATATTCGCCACAAGTGAGGTTCGCCGGAGTTTGGAACTGCAGAAACTCAATGTCTGAGCAGGTGACTTCTTGCTTGCCAACACCATTAGAGATCATGGCACCGATGAGGTATGTCAAGGGTGAGACGCGGTACATGAATGTCCAGAATCCAGGGAGGCCCGAGTATGGAACGAGAACACTGTGCAATGTTAGAGGACCGAAAGGATCATGGAAGCAGTTAACTTACCCGCAAAACACAAGAGACATCATGAACAGGAACAACCCAAACGTTGCTCCAACCTCAGCAGTCGGTGCCCCGGCAACACACATATGCGAAAACGTCCCCTCATATACCAAAAACGCCCACGTCAAGACAAACATGAATGCCCCTCGTTCATGCTGCGTATCTGTAAGACGGCCATTGTCATACATCCCAACAAGGAAGTAGAACGGGAAGTAGACTGCCAGACACGCCACAGAGTTCCAAGCCATTTCGATGACTGTGTTGGCGAGTATAAGGTTGTACCAAGCATATGTTTTGGAAGACCTTTCGCGTCCTTCGTAGAGCGTGCGTTGGGTGACGAAGCCGGGCATGGTTTGGTAGGAAAGGAATGCGAAGATGACGAGCAGCATGAAGATCGAGAAGAGTTGGTTTTGGAGACCTTGGAGAGATAGTGGGGAGTCCTGGAAGGAGAGGCCGATGAAGAGACTCTGAGATATAAGTTAGTAAATATTTGCCAATGGTTAGTGGCTGACTTACCGTAATGAGGCAAAGGGATAGTTTAGAGTAGATGTAAGTCGGGGTTCGCCAGTATTGCTGAGCAACGCGTTGGGTGCAGGCCAAGAACTGCTGTGAGACCGAGGCAGCGTAGGAGGTAGCCTGTGCTGCTTCGCTAGAGGCCTGCGTCGACCGGGTTAGGCTGTCAAGCTCCTTCTGGACAAGCTGAAATTCAGAACTAGTCTTCCAGGTCTCAACCCAGTCACGATCCGTATGAGCACCCGGTGCAGCGCCGATGACGTGGAGCATCCACTCAGCGGGATTGTCTTCTGGTCGGCAATGAGCAGCACCATGCTTCTCAAAGTATCCCGTCAAGCCAGTGGCATTCTCACCAATGTCGCCAAAGTAAACAGTTCTGCCACCTTTCGCCAAAAGTAACAGTCGATCGAATTGCTGAAAGATGATGCCGGACGGTTGGTGAATGGTACACAGGATAGCTAGCCCGTGGTCTGCGAGCTTCTTGAGAAGGGATACGATTGCCCATGCTGTTTGGCTATCGAGACCGGAGGTAGGTTCGTCGAGAAAGATGAGAGCTTCGGGTTTGGCGACCAGTTCAACGCCGATGGAAAGGCGCTTCCTTTGCTCAACGTTGAGACCTGAATCGTTAGTCGTCTGCGACAGCTAGAGATTGGACGAGTGACATACCTTTACCCTGGATCCCTATGACAGCATCTGCATAAGGACCCATCTCCAACAAGTCAATCACCTCTTCAACGTAGTCAACCTTGTCCTGCTTGGAAATAGCAGTCGGTTGTCTGAGAACAGCACTGAAACGGAGAGCTTCCCTCACAGTAGATGTCTCGAGGTGGATGTCCTGCTGCTGCACGTATCCCGTGGTTCTCTGGAATGATTTGCCGCGCGGTAGTCCATTTACAAGGATGTCGCCCGTGATGACTCCCGTGGTGACGCGATCGGCTAATACGTCGAGAAGTGTGGTCTTGCCGGCCCCAGTGGCGCCCTATGAATGTTAGTCCATTTCTATACTCAGTGCAAACGGGGAGCAAGAAAACATAAGACTATGCGAACAAGGTTTTGAGTCTTCTTGCCTCCCCATACCACCTACCATCAAAGCAGTCAGCTTGCCTGGCTGAACCCAACCATTGACGTCCGAAAGGATTCGTCGTGTCTCGCCCTTGACCTTCACGTCGTAGCAGACATTCCTCCAGCAAAAGGTGGAAGAGGTTAGTGGCTTCTCAGTCGATGGGTGGATCACGCCATCGCTCGTCGCTCGCGGAGGCTGGAAATCTGACTTTATGGCTTCTTCGTCGGTTGTTCTTTTGCGGTGAGAGTCCTGGGCCTTGCGGAATACCAGGACCTCGCCCTTGGAAGCTTCAGATGAGAAGTACTCTGCCGCAAACAGATAGGTGAAGGTAAAGAAGATGATGAAAGCGATGAGGATGCCGTAGTTCCTGGCTTGGTTAGCGATGTCTGAGGGATAGATGTCACGACTTACCTCCAAAGGTGGGAGTAGTGGTACTTGTAGAAAGTCCCAATAAAGAAATCACCGTCGATGAAATCACGGCCTGGGAGGGCACCAGCAACAGAACAGGTCCGCTGACTCGGCTCGATGTTCTCGTACTCCGGGCCAGAAGGTATCATTGTCCGACATCTAAATGACCTACCCGAGAATTCATTCGCGATCAGAGATTCATACGCATAAGCAATTGGGTTGACGTAGTTGATCCATCTCAACCAACCCTTCATGCTTCGAATCGGGAGGACAAACCCAGCGTAGATGACCAAGCCGATGATGAAGATGGCAGCCGGAACGAGGGCTTGATGAACCGTTTTGGACGACTGGGCGATAGTACGAAGGATCATTGACATGGCCATGGTAGTGGTGAAACTGAAGAGAAGGAAAATAAAGAAGGCCGAGGCATCGCGACGGAGGTGCACCATAAAGTAGAGCGGAATGTTGAAAGCGAGAGTTGAGATGATCTTGGAAGGTAAATCGCAGATGATGGAAGAGACAGACTCGGAAAGAGGTCGATACAAGGCATATCTTGCGTGTTTTTCGACAATCGGTCGTTGGACATAGAGGGCCAGGATCTATCCAACAGTCAGTAGGAACAAGCAAGGTGAAGTAGTCAACATACCTCCAACGCACTGCTAAGGCCGTTGAAAAGAATAGCAAAGAAGAGCACAGAGGCTCGTTGGTTCATGGCCTCAGCCGTGCTAGGCAGATTGAAGTAAACACTACCAAGAACAAGCGACATGACAAAGTTGACCACAATGGTAACAATGAAAAAGGTCTTGTCGCCGAGAAGTCTCTTGATACCTCGACCAATACACAAATGGATCTGCATTGGGATCGAGATTGTAAAAGGGCTTTTGTCAGATCTGCAAGAGGTTAATATCTCAGAAACTTGGTGAAAGAGGGTGACGGACGAGAACTTGGCCTTCTGAGCTCTTCTGATACCCTTGAGCGTCTCAACTTGTTTCCCGTCGAAAGGATACCGGATCTCAAACGCAGCGATGTCATTTAGTAGTGAAGCCCTGTGCTGACTCATTCTCCACTCGTTTGCGAACTCATCGGGACTGCGAGGGACTTTGTTCTCAAAGCCAGGTCGCACTATTCGTTCGTCGGGGTTAGTGAGGGATGTTAGGAAGTCGGCGGCTGTCTGGCGGGGAGGACATTCAAAGCCCATGGCGGTGAAGTACTGTGCCGCTTCGTTTGTTGGTCCGAAGAAGATCTGGCGGCCTTCGTAGAGAAGTAAGACCTTGTCAAACTCCTTTGGACGATAGTTAGACTTCTGTTAGGCGTTAGGGTAGAGGGGGGTACTTGCATTGTAAGCTGCCTGGCTGGCCTGGTACATGGCAACAACCGCACTAGCACCACCAAGCTTCGTACCAAGCCTCAGCTTCCGCACAAACTCCAACGACGTGGCACTATCCAGCCCCCTTGTGCTATTATCCCAACACTGAATAGCGCTCTGGTTCAGAACCGCCTCCGCGATACTAACCCTCTTCCTCTCACCACCACTAACGCCCCTAACAAAGTCATCGCCAACCTTGGTATTGAGAGTGTTGGAAATACCAAACATAGCCATTACAGCGTCTCTCATATGTTGGGCGTAGACGTGACGGGATATGTTGGCGATGATATGCTGGGGCGTGCGGGCGAGGGCGGCAAAGAGGAGGGTGTCACCGACGGTCAGCTGGGGGAAGTGGATGTCTGTTTCGGCTTGGTAGATTACTTCTCCTCTGAAGTTTCTGTGCATAAGGTCCCAGGGAATGCCTGGATGGTTAGATGGTGTTGAGGAGAGGGGGAATTGGAGGTACCTTGGTAGTTGAACTCGGATGAGTCGTCGAGATGCAGTCCGTGAGTATGACCAGCGATTGTCTTGAGAAGGGTAGAAACACCACTGTAGCAAAATGAGACGAGAACAAGATGTCAGTGAGTAGAGCCACATACCTCCCAGGACGACCCAGCACAAGAAGCAGCTCTCCACTCTTGACCAAACCATCAAAATCAGAGATGATCTTGACCTTCTGTTTCCTCTTGGCAAACCAATCAAACGCAGCAAGGGGACTTCTCCAAATAACGTTCAAGACATCCTTCTGAAACTCAGTCGGATCGCTGAAGCCATGAACACTAAGATTGCGCCAGGATACACCAGCTGTATACCGTGGATGCTTGCTCGGGTCTTTGGAAAAAGCGTGAAGCAGAGCCTTGACCCAGGCCTCAGGTTGGAAGTCTGGAGACTTGGGATCGAGGTGCTGGTCTTGGGCGAGGAACGGATTGATGTTGGTCGACAGGGCGGAGAATGTATGAGTTAGAGAGAATGTGCGGGCTAGTTGCAAGACGGGCTCGGTGGTTTCTTCGACGTCGACGACTGTATCGGTCTCGGTGTCTTGGGGAGAGGAGTGGGGCGTATGGCTGTGCATTTTGACAGTGTTGATTGAATGATGGACTTAACGAATGAATGTGCTGAAGGTTGTAGTGAAATGTAGAATAAGATGCTGGCATGGTTCATATAAGAAGGATTATAAAGCCAGCTGTGAACGGCGTCATCATGAGCCCACATCTTGATAATTTCCCAGACGCGACTCCATTTATTCCAAGCCATATCTAACGCGTTATATGCGCAGTTCGACATCTCAACGCCGTTCAGAATATCTTTCCCGGTCTCTTATCAAGTCTTCACATGTAAACCCGTCTAAATTCCGGCTCTAACCCAAACCAGCCACTTCCTACTCCACCTCTTTTTCTGTCTAAACTCAACACGGAATGTCGGCGCCGAAACATCAACCTCATCTTCACCCTTAAACTTCCTCAACGCCGTCTCTCTTCTCCGTTATTGCTTCTTCTCACTTCCCATCGCCATCGGACCCTTCCAAAATGCCGCCGGCTCCGCCTCTTTCCGAACGTCGACTCCGAAGCATGATCACCTCCAAAGCTTGTGATTCCTGCAAGACTAGAAAGATCCGCTGTTCCGGTTAGTGAATGGCTTGGTCTTGGTGTAGAATTTGAGGCTGATTGTGCAGGCTACCCTCCGCCATGCCAGAGTTGTACCGTGAGTGGGTTCAAGCCGCAAAGTAGGACTGGGACTGACGTGCATAGATCCGAGGTGTGACTTGTCGATTCGGGACGCGCAAAATACCACTCCGGAAGAACGGTCCGTCTCATCCACCTAAGTTTTTATCATGTCTAACACCTGATAGTCAATCGAAACTTACTACTTACTACCAGCGAAGAGTCGCCAAATATTAAAGTGAATGATGGCAGCCCTGCTGGGCAGAATCTTAAGGTATATGATATATCTCAGTCGATTCTTTCTCTCGGCGTGAGCTGACGTGTCTAGCCTGATACAGATTTGAAGCGAGATGCCGCCTCTCATCCTGTACCAAATGACCTCTTCATAGATCGCATCTTGTTCGGGTCATCATCGACAGACGTCCCAAATGCCGATGAACGATTTTCACTCAAGGTGAGCAACATGCTAACGTTTTGAAGTCGCTGTTCAAGACTGACCTGGTAATAGGGAATCGGTCTCTTGAGTAGGTTTTCGATGTCTTCGGATCATCCGCAGCGTTGACTGGTCATTCACAGGCGGCACTCACAGTGTCACGTTCTTCTCCGACAGCAGACTCGAAATGCTCTCGGCCAAGCTTCAGAATAACAAAGTCAACGACATTATCAGACGAATGTCCTCAGTCATCAACAACAGGGCTAAGATTACCACCAGTACCTCGCCTGAGCATCTCCCCGAGCTAACCCTTCCGTCGATGAATTATTTATCTGCAGCAAAATACATAGCTAGTATGTCAGGTGTACTGAAACGGGATGAGCCGAGTTAGGCTGACTTACAACAGTATACTATGAACAAGTCCATCCTCTCTTCCCTCACCTGGATCGCGACGCTTTCGACTCCACCGCCGCAAGCCCTGACCTCAACACAATCCTCATCAACGACACAGCTTTTTCTGCTCTATATCACGCCGTCCTCGCTCTCGGTAGTCTACATGACGGTGGTGGCAGTTTCGAGCCTGGGAAGGGAAAGGCATGGGAACTGCTCTCCGTTGCATTGGCTAAGGTGCCTGATCTCTTCAAGGCCAAGAACCCACTGGTAGCGTTTCAGGCAATAACGACTGTTGCTGTTTACTGTCTTGGTGTACCGTGTATATCCATCGAGCATAGGATCATGACGGAGATGGCGCGTATGGCTCAAGATCTAGCCCCTTCTCTCTGCAAAGGCCCCAGTGCAAAGGTGTTCTGTAGGGTATTTTGGGTCGTTTACGTGATAGAGAAGATAATGAGCTTCCATTTTGGCCGCCCTTCGGTACGTCGTCCCATCATGTTCCTGATGTCCCAGCTCACTTTTACAGGCCATCGTCGACGCTAACATCATCGTGCCTATGCCTTACATACCCGAGTCTCACCTTGGAGGCCTGAACTGGACGCACACACTCGCTCAACAGAGCCGCCTCCTATCACGAGCGATGAATACTCTCTTCTGCCCTGGGGTATGGCACAGGGGATCGCAGTACTTTCTGACGACTATTGATCAACTTCTCGAGGACCTTGAACAGTGGAGATCATCTATAGCTGAGGAATTTCGCCCAGGATATCTTTCGCAGTCCAATTTGCTCCGGAGACCGGTGCACGGGACAGTTGGGATCTGGATCAACTATCTCTACTACAGTCTCAAACTCATTTTGCTCCGAAGCAGGCTTCGAATCGACAGTTCTCAGGGCAGCGGAATGGGCAAGACAAGTCATAGTGAACAACTCATAGAGGTTTCTCGTTCCGTACTCGAGATTGTTACATATGTTGACGTTGAGCCATCGACACCACTATGGTCAGTCCGAATAATAATCTGAGCCACCCCATATACTGACCAATTTTAGGATCATCGCAGCTATCCCATTGTGCGCTCTGTTTCTTCTTTTTGACCACGTCATCAGCAATCCCAAGTCTCCGGACACAAGAAGCAATCTCGCTCTACTGAACATCGCAGGGGGACATTTTAGTCGGCTTGAGTTTGCGAGCAGAGGAACATTGCCCGGCTCGCTGATCAGCGAGTTCACCTACATCGCGCGCGAGTACATCAATCAGTGCGACAGCCAGGATTCACTCAAGGAACCCCAGAATATTATTTGCTCTGCGGATCATAATACCTCGATGGACGAATCTTGTGCTTCCGAAGTGAACCATAGTCTCGAACAAGAGGTAAGTCAATATCTCCTCACCTTCTTCTAATCTAACGATTGCAGTTCGGGATGGCTCAGGCTACAGTACTAAACTCTACGTCACCGATGGACCCTATATATGCACCGATAGAAAGCCTCTGGGATAGTGGAAACGATCCATTGTATGGTATAGATGTGATGAATCTTTTCAATAGTATTATGTAAGAGTAATCTACGAAGATAGAGCTAGACTGGCGGGGTGTTGGATGATTAGAGATTAGATAACAGATGAGCCTAGGCTGGCACCAGGGAACTTCTTCTTGATTCCATCCTCAAAGTCTGTTCCACCGACAGTCAAGTCCTTGAAGGCCGGGCAAGCGAGGTTCAAGACTGCAGATCCGAGAGCGTCGGTGATGAGTTCAAGGGGAGTTGCGATGATAGAGAACAGAGTTGAGAGAGAGTTTGGCGCAACGGTCTTGACGATCTCAAAGACGAAGCAGAGCAGGTTGTTGCCCTCGAGAAGCTTGGTGAGGTTGAGGACTCCACCGGTGATGTTGCTTACGTCGACGCCTGCGTAGCTGTTGACTTCTCCCATGTTACCTCCGATGCTGTATTTGTTAGCGTATACCTTTGTCTTTGCAGGGGTTGACTAACCTTCCGAGCTCAGGGTACTTGGTAATCAGGTTAAGAAGATCCAAGTTGAGACTGATGAGACCGTAGTCAATTGATCTACGGTACCAGTTCTCAGGGATTCTCTCGTGGCCGCGCTTATACACAAGCTTTCCGTTTTTCTCTGTAACGGCAAAGAAACTCTTCAGTGTTCCAATGTCTATCTATCATCAGCAAACTGACGGTCAGTTCCGAGGCAGCTTACTTACCCATAATGTCCTCAGTGCTTCCAACAGTATGGTTCGACAGCAACCGACAAGCAAAGAAGTATCCCGCATTTCGCGCAATCATTCCCGTAAAAGGCCCATAGTAAAAGTTGGGATTCGTAGCAACAGTCTCATGGAATCGGGTCTTGGCTCTTTTTGCAAAAGCGTCAAAGTCATAAGTACCCTCCTCAGAGGCCGAGTCGTAGAGCGACTGAAACAGCTCCATGTCCATCGTGGACGCATCTCCAGTGACGTACAAGTCATCACGCGTGTTGGACGAATCACCTTCAATGATGTTGTGTGAACCGTTCAGACCTCGTGGTGTTCCCAGCAGCCCAAAGAGGTTACCTAGAATATTCTGCGAGCCACTGGAGGTGGCGCCGATGGAGAAGCCTGGGTTGAGCGATAGAGGGTTTCCGACAAAGACTGTACCCATTGTCGCCAAGATGGTAGCCAGGTCTACTCCCATTCCATACACCTGATTGATGGCAGCCGCTACCTCGACGAGGCTTGTGACGCCCTTGCGGCTGATATATCCATGGTTCGCCAGCGCATTGAGACCAGGACACGGCCCTCGTTGATCGCCCTTCTCAAAGTTCGGTGGGATAAACTCGTGCTCGCCAGTTACCTTGATAGGCTTGCTCGCGAGTCCAAGCGAACGTTTCTCATCATGACTTCGAACTGCGTCGTTCACTTTGCTAGAGAGTCTTTCGGAAACGACCTTTCCGACAGGACCTTCGAGGTATGATGGGAAGCCATACACACCGACGCAGAGGAAAAGTGAAAGAAAGTAATGCCACTGCATGATGAGTAGCTAGTCTAGTAAATGAGCGTACCAAAAAAGAGTGTAAAGAAAAGTATGCAAAAGAAATGCCGAGATGATTGGAAAAACATACGATATGTTTGGCTAGCTATCTCATTCCCTATCTACCCTTATTGCGCAATCATATTCCGCTCCCGTCGATATTAAGATCTGCTTCCCCCCCTCTCCTGACAGGTTGCATAATCCGAGTATCCGCCATAACCAGGGCTATACTTGTAGACAAACCACGGAACCGGGACAGGTATGCCGGTAGGTGGAAAAGCCAGCCACTTTCGGTAAGTGAGTGAAACACATCACTTAGGTCGAATCGGGCAAGCAATACCCGTTGAAGAAGAAAAAGAAAAAATAGGGCATTGGGCGGGCGTTTCACGTTTTCTGCTTTGAGTTCCCCGATGTGACGCTGCGTTTATGAATGGGGATAAGTTTTTGTGAAGTGCCGACTTTGGAGGGAAACTTAAAAATAACGCATGACATTTTCTGTGTGTCATGCACGAGTAGTTCAGTCTGTGCAGTGCAAGTCTGTGCGAAGGAAAAACTTGAGTCAGCATAAATTGTCTGACAGCTGTCGTGAGTCGTGACATGTTCAGCATGCAGGTCAATTCTGACAGGAAGGATCCAAATCGCTGGGTCTCACGCAAGCGACACTTGGCGTTTGTCCCGGCGTAAAGGAACCAGTAGATCCTGCTCACAACTTTTTCACCAGGGGTTCAAATCCTTCTAGACACTCACAAGGATACCCTTACCCCCCACCAAATTATCGCTCTGTTGATCGCCCAGCATCCCCTGCTCAGAAGAGAAGGCAAAAAAGATCGGGCTGACAGTGTAGTATTCCAGAGCAAGTTTTCCCTCGCCAGTGAGTGTTCCCAGTGGATTTGGACTGTTCGCCGGGTTCCTATGTTGAGATTGCCGACTAGCTTGCGAGCTGTTCATGGAGCAGAGTATCATCGCTTAGAGCAACATAGCATTAATCCAGGCAAACAAACATCCATAGCAGAACCGGCTCTTTGGCTCGGTTTGCTGATCACCAGGATATCCTGACCCGAAACAATTCCTCATCATTGTTGTTGTCCTCTCCTGCACGTCGATGTTTTAAGCTGATTTGAAAGGGACAAATCCACCCGGCGTTCCCGACCTGTTTTGTTCTCTCTTCTTCTTCTGTCATTCTTCGCTCCGAGGTGCCCATACCGTTTATGGTCTTCTTGATCCGGGTTGGCAATGAAGCTCCTTGGTTCGCTGGCACTAGTGCTGGCTTTATTTCAGCTTGGTGTATCGGCCGCCGCGGCGCCCGAAGAGCCTCCAACTTGTGGTGTAGGTGAAGCTTTTTACCATCGTCGAGATACAGTTGGGCTAACTCATGTGTAGGCGCTTTGCATTGAAGAGTTGGCGATAAAGTCGTCTTGTGGTCTGAACACGACATGTATCTGTACAAATGCTGAGCTAAATGAGCAGATCACGCTCTGTGTCGCGGCGAATTGCACGGTGAGGGAGAGTTTGTGTGAGTTTGTTCTCATTTATCCCACGCTGTCCTACGGGTTACTGACTGACTGTTTAGTGACTCAGAGCTACTCCAAGCATACTTGCAACGCGCCGTCTCGCGATCGCACAACGCTGGTATGGGTCATCGGTATCGTCTTTCTTATTCTCGGCCTCATAGGCTTTGGCCTGCGTGTCATGGCCAGAGTGTTTGTCGTTAAGCAAACATGGGGAGCCGATGACTGGGTCATGCTTCTTGCAGTGGTAAATATCCACGCCTGCATCTTCAACACCACTTGCTCACCTTTGTACAGGCTATGATGATACCGCTCAATGCTTTGTCTGTACAGAGTCAGTCCACGCTCATCGGTTTCCTTAATTCGCTGCTAACCGATTGATAGTCTCACGGGTCGGACTGGGTAAAGATATATGGAACGTTCAACCCGACGACATCACCGACTTTCTTTACGTGAGTCTCATCATTCTCTGCCACATTCACGTCACTGACACGCCCCAGCTGTTCTACTGGGACGAACTTCTCTATCTTGGAGCCCTGCCCATCACCAAGATTTCCATCCTGCTTTTCTACCTGAAAGTGTTCCCTGGCAAACATATCCGACTGGCATGCTGGATCTTTATCGGCCTCAACGTCGCATACTTCATCACGTTTGAGCTCATTTCCATCTTCCAATGCAGACCAATTGACGGCGCTTGGAAAGCCTGGGACAAGGAGTACAAGGCCAAGTGCAACAACATCAACCTCCAGGGCTGGTTCGCTGCCATTTTGAACATCATTCTCGATGTTGGCACGATGGTTATCCCGCTGAAGGAGCTTTATGGACTGTCGATGTCGCTTAAGAAGAAGATTCAGCTCATGCTCATGTTTAGCGTCGGCATCTTGTAAGATTCCCTCCCCAATACCATTTCTCTCGCTAACATTCCAGCGTCACGATTGTCAGCGCAGTCCGTCTTCAATCTCTCGCAAGCTACGCAACAACCAGCAACGTAACCCGTACATCTCCCCAATCCACCTCCCACTTTCCGCTCTAACACATTTCACAGAGGACTACGTTGAAATTGGATACTGGAGCACAATCGAAGTCCCCGTCGGCATAATCTGCGCCTGCATGCCCGCCATCCGCGCTCTCTTCGGCATCGTCTTCCCCAAGGTCTTCGCCTCCACGAACCGCAGCAAGAACAGCTACGCCAACATCTCAGAGTCAAAGCAGCCAACAGGCGATAGAAAGGGCGGCGCCACGCCGCAGATCACCATCGAGACGGAGATCTCGACAAGGTACTCGCGGCACCACGATGACTCGTCGGTAATTGAACTTACGCAGATGGGAAGGGACCAGCAGCAGCAGGCCCACGAGGAGACTGCGTGGACGGATAGGAGGCCGGCTGTTCCGCGTGAGCCTGTATGAATCGTGTCGATCATTTCGTGTCATGGGACCTGGAAAAGTCTAGTTAGTTTGCGTGCTACCTGACTCAACTGCACTGCTTTGTTTAGAAGAATTGAGAGCATTTCTTTGTCGTTGATTATGTTATGCACTAGTGACTAGATCTAAACCAAAAGGGTTCGTTGGGGCAGAGTTTATTGTTGAGACTTGCGCGTTTATGGCTACGATCGTCCGGGGAAATGTTTCACTAACTGACACCGTCGCACAGACGGGACAAGCATGCCCTGATCCCCGTAGTCTAGCTCAACGGTCAGCCCTGCTGTAATGAACTGGGCGATATTAAATGTTCTAGACTGTGAATATCGTCATTCGCGGGACGGGCAGATCCCCGCAGCCTATGACTCGATAACATGTCACCTGAAGTCTGTTATCTCTGGCGCCCTCTCATTTCGCTGAGCTATACCGCAATGTATCACCCAGTTGAAGACAATGTTTCACTTGACTAGATGACAGGTGGAATCTCCCTCCCCTAGTCGATGCTACACTGACCACGTTGCCCTGTCACTAACCAAATACGACGGCATTTCAAGTTCCCTCTTCCCAAACTCCACCGCGATTACGACTGTAACGCACGAGTACGACCTTGCGCCTTGTCAACTCATTAGTCCAGGGGCTTACGAACCCCAAGGTCTCCGCCTCGAGTTACTTCGTTCCCTCTCGTTTCTTTTTTTTCTCGGGCATCAGAAGGATTCCGTCTAGTCCGTCAATCTGCTTTATCGATGCGCACTGAATCCTTCGCCCGTCCTTGATAAGCGGAAATCGATCAAGACTCCCAAGTTCCGTTTCCATACGACGTTTCCATCCGGGAGTGCAACGCCGAATGCGTGCTTCTGTTCCTGGAATACCTCCTGGCGATCTCTTTTACAGGCGGGGTCTGGTAGTATTTTGGGCGGCAGGGTCCTAATTTCTCCTCTTTATTATCTATCTGGCACGGCACGGCATTTGAGATTCTGGTTTCATGCTCTAGAAAGCCGTCCATTCATTCTATTCACACTTTTTGGGTTTTCTAAGTGCTTGGCGCTGAGTAGCCAATATGCGTTTGTCATTCATTATTACCTGCATTTCTGTTCTGGCTGATTGAGCCTCTGCTTTGTGAGTCCCCCAGTCTCTCGGTTATTGCATCACACTCACACTCACATTGACAGTTCTTCCCCCAAGTCGCATAATCCTTTCATCGGCAAGCGCGATACCGCTATTGAGTATGACTATGTAGTCGTCGGCTCTGGTGCAGGTGGTGGCCCAGTCGCCGCCAACCTGGCCGTCGCTGGCTTCAAAGTCCTTCTCATCGATGCTGGTGGTGACTCTGGCGATGACTGGGTTGAGAAGCTTCCTGCCTTGCATCTCATGTCGACTGAGTTTGAGGACACACGATGGAACTACTTCGTCAATCACTACCCTGATGAAAGGCAACAGAAGAAGGACTCCAAGATGGTCTACCAAAAGACCGACGGAAGCTACTATACTGGACTCACCCCGCCCAAGGATGCAAAGCCTTTGGGTGTTCTTTATCCTCGTGCTGGTACTCTCGGCGGATGCACTCGTCACAATGCCCTCATCACCATCGCTGCTCATGACAGTGACTGGTCTTATATCGCCAGCCTTACTGGTGATGACTCTTGGAACCCTGATAACATGCGCGACTACTTCAAGAAGATCGAGAAGAACATGTATCTCCCCAGCAGTATCATCGGTCACGGCTTCAGTGGCTGGTTGGGAACTTCTCTGACCTCACTGTCCTTGGTAGTTGAGGATCAGAAGCTTCTGTCCTTGATCATCTCTGCTGCTTCAGCCATGGGCAAGGGTCTCCTAGGCTTTGTCTTGAACACTGTCGCTGGCCTTGGCCAAGTTTTGCTTCGTGATCTCAATGCACCAGGCCAAACCAGCAAGACCGGTCTCTACCAGGTTCCGCTAGCGATGACTGATAATGTTCGTGGTGGTCCCCGAGACTTTATCCTCAACACTGCCAAGGCGACCAATAAGGATGGATCTCGCAAGTACCATCTCGACATCAAGCTCAACACTCTTGTAAGTAACCCAACGTGTATACCGCCTCAGTACTCACATATCTATAGGTCACCAAGATCAACTTCGACAAGAGTGGCTCCAAGCCTCGTGCCGTCGGCGTCAACTACATGCAAGGTGCAAGTCTCTACCGCGCCGACCCTCGCTCCGGCTCAGCCAAGTCCACTGGGACGGGTAGCGTCATGGCCAAGCGCGAAGTCATCATCTCTGCTGGTTCTTTCAACACTCCTCAGCTCCTAAAACTCAGTGGTATCGGGCCCAAGAAGGAGCTTGACTCTTTCAAGATTCCTGTCGTGGTCGATCTTCCTGGTGTCGGAACCAACATGCAAGATCGGTATGAGAACACTGTCATTGGTAAGACCGACAGTGACTTTGTCATCACTTCCAAGTGCACATTCCTGGAGACCCAGCCGGACCCTTGCTTGGAGCAGTACAAAAAGGGTCTTGGTCCTATTACCAAGGGTGTATACGGCACCAACGGCATTGCTATCGCTATTGTCCTCAAGTCCTCTGTCGCTGAGGATGAGCCCGATCTCCTCATCTCTGGTGCCCCGGCGAAGTTCAAGGGCTACTTCCCTGGCTATGCCGCGGACTCCCTCGCCGATGCCGAGCACTGGGCTTGGATCATCCTCAAGGCTCACAGCCGCAACAACGCTGGTACTGTCACCCTCAAGTCAACCGACCCTCGCGACATGCCCAGCATCAACTTCAACTACTTCGACACCGGCGTCAACACCAACGGAGAAGGCGACAAGGATCTCCAAGCCACCTACGAAGGCTTCCAGTTCGCCCGCAGGGCATTTGACGACCTCATCCCTCTTGACGGCGACTTCCCTGAAGTATGGCCCGGAAGCCAGACGAACAATGAGAAGAAGGCAAAACAGTTCCTCAAGGATGAGGCATGGGGTCACCATGCTTCGTGCACTGCTGCTATTGGTGCTGATGATGATCCCATGGCTGTTCTAGACTCTGAGTTCAAGGTTCGGGGTACTGAGGGCCTGCGTGTTGTTGATGCTAGTGTTTTCCCCAAGATCCCTGGTTTCTATATCGCACTTCCTTTGTACATTGTTGCTGAGAAGGCTAGCGATGTTATCATCAAGGCGGCGAAGAGTTCTTAGGGCACTTTGTGAAGCTACTTAACCTACACTCATTGGGAGCATTGCCACCTTACAGTAGAGGCACCATTGTACGAACATAGCGATTAGTTCAAACGAGTATTTAATTCTTAAATAATCTGTATATATAATCTCTGAATTGCCTACCGCCTCACATTGTCTGTGTTATGCTACTAAAGCCCATTCAAGCTCGCTACGAATACGTTGCGGTTGGGGCCGAAACTTATGATGGGTTTTTACAAATGTCGTTCAAAAGCTAGATGGTTTTAGGGCAAACCTCGATAAGATCGCCTGGCGTTTTAATACTCTTTATTTTCCTGCATCTTCTTGATAAATATTTTATCACAAGCCTCATTCCAGCTTGTTCGGCAACTTCTCATTCGGGGCATCAAAAAACCTTATGCAAGGCCCCAGATGCCTAACAATAGTGTCCGCATGAGCATTAACTATGATTGCGCGTCGTGTCGGAGGTGGTACTGGTATACCCAAGGCCCAGTAATCCTGCCATTGCTGAGACCTCCTGTGCTTGCGCTCTAGCCTAGCACGATTTCCCATGTCCTCAAATTTCGTTTGCATTCGATAAAGCTCATGAAAGGCCGGGAAGTGGTGGGTATGCTTGGGATACAACCTGTCGTCATCGAACAGGCCCCAGGCGCGTTGCCGATAAGTGGCAAGTTGGACTTCTTTCACCCACTCGTGGCTTCGATTCCCAGGTGTGAATGTTATGCTCGTGTCCCAATTGATGACGTTATACACTCGGCCTGGCTGATCTGTCCGAGGCCCATCGTAGCTTTGAAACTCTGTCTCTGTGAGGCTATTGGGGAGTTCTTCAGTCCATAGACTCCAGTGATACCGGCCGCGAAAAGGTAGTGTTCGTAGCCATGTTTTAAGAATGAGTTCGTGCCATACAGCCTTTCTTAGATATAACAGGATTTGCGTCAAGCAGTCTAGACCAAAGCATGGCAACACAGAGGCCAAAGCCCGCCTATTTGTATCCAAATCTTTCTCGTACTCTCTTGCATTGAAAAAGATATTATCAGGGAACAATAAACCGTACTCGGTGGGCACAGAACTCAGAGGCGGCTCCCCTTTCTGGGATAGCTCAGGTATATCGGGCAACCAGGAATTCGCGGCACGCGCGAACAACGCTCCATACACAGATTTATAGTATTCATGGACGGACAGTAATATCTTCCAATCAGACTCCTGACACATTTTGGCTAGCGGTCTTCCCATCTCTATTGGTTCTCCATGATACCTGTTCCGCGGATGGAAAATCTTGCAAAGCAGCTCATGTCTCATAAAGGCAGATAAGAACCTATGCCGCTCTACACTTGTCAATGTCGTGAACGTCACGGCGTTGGTTTCTAGTCTCTGCCCTTGGTAGTACCTTCCGCTGCCGTCGATCACGTCTGGAATGCCCATGAAAGCTCTCGGGGGATAGACGCTTGTTGCTTTTGAGATATAATCTTCGATGAAGTGAATCATTTGGACAAAAAGGGGCCAGAGTTTTTGAAGTTGCTCGTCGGTCAACTTATCCGGAGCCTTCGCCTTTCGCGAGAGATCCGTGTCTATGTATCTTTTGGCCACGGCGTTGTCTGAAATGTCGATAATTCGCAGAGCATCTTGAATGATATCGCTGGAAGTGGTGGGAGGAGCAATGCTGTTAGTGATGCGTCGGATGATGCTTCTCCTGTAAGTGACGAAATGCCATAGCGTCGAGGGAGAAGCCCGAGTTACCTGCTTGATACTTGTTTTGGTCCGGAGTTGAATAAATATTTCAGTCTGGACAAGCAACGGGAGTTTGGAAAATGGATCCATTGTTGATACGATGAGAGTCAAACGGCATGCTGGGGTAGCGCTGACGATGTAAGAGGAGGAAACGCAAAACGCAATAGATGGAGCGAAGGCTGATATTTATGGTTATCGGATCTGTCAGGGAGATAAGCTTTTGAAGAGGGTTAGTCACACTTTTTGGGTTCATCGTGTCATCATCACATTTGAGTGCAGCCTGAAGTTAATCCTTGTGGCCAAAAATCACACATGTATAGCTGCATAACCGTTTGAATCGCCTGGTTAAACTTTAGGCTGCTAACACTATACTGGAGAATTGAGTTTCTTGATCCCATGACATAATCATCACCCTAAATCTTACATAAACTCTGATAAAATCTTCATAAACTACACTAAAGCCCTATGCTTACTGCATAGCATTGTATGATCAAGACTCTTTGACAGCCTCCAAAGCGGCACGGACAACCTCCTCAAAGTCCTGCTTTGGCAAACCCAACAAGTCATTCATGATCTCACCCTCCTTCTCAAGATGTCCTCCAAACCGCCCCGTGACAAAGCCCGTCTCAATCAAATTATAAACAGCATAAGGATCTCCAGCTGCCACTGCCGCCTGGCCATCTTTAATCAACTTCTCGCTATCGATCTTCTCAACAGTCAGCTTCTCCCCGCTGACACGCTCAATAGTCTCAAGGAGCATATTCTGCGTGATAGCAAAGTCACTCAGCCAAACGATTCTGTTCTTGGTCTCTTCCCACTTCTTAGTCAGAGCGTTGACCATCGCAAGAGCCGTGTTGGCTTCAGTGGTACAGCTGAACCAGCCTTCTCCATCATCCCATATGACAAACCTCTTTTCCTTGATGTGCATTCCCAGAAAATCGTGCACGGCACTCCACTTGAGCCACATGCCGCAGGCGATGGCCATCCACTCTAGACCAGTGGATTCCTGGGAGCGAAGATAATCCTGCACTTGGCCCTTTTCTCGGAATACAGAGTTTAGGGCTCGGGCATCAGGATTGTTGTTGTTAAGACCATACTCAGACGCGACGTAGCGCTTCACTTTCGCAGCGACTGCAGCGTCGACGAAGCGGAGTTGATCAGCGACTGCTAGGGAAGTCATGCAGTTGACAATAGCGTCTTGGCCAGTGAAAGCAGAGACAAGTTCTTCAGTTGGGTATGAATCATCGATTCTGATGACATTGACGTTTGATGGGAGTTTGCCCTTTGAAGATGAGCGCTGGAGGACGGAGACTGTGAAGGAAGGTTCTTTGACCAAGGCATCTAGCATGATAGAGCCGATTGAGCCAGTGGCTCCGACGATGATAATGTTTTTGAATGGCGAGGACATTTTTAGTAGTTAAGAATATGAAACGACTTGGGGTTGATGTTGAGTAGAATGAATCTTGTTTTCCAATCCATATATACAGGCTGCGAATCTATCTGTTTTAATATTCTGTTATTGCTGTTATTGCTTACTGCCTCTCGTGATACCCTCACTGTCCCATTGCATTCTGCACTCTGCTTAGTGATGACCCCCCTGTTTGTATTACCTCACCATTCCTGACCTAATCAAGACACCGGCATCTGCGCCCCGCCGGGCATGACAGCTTACGACGCTAGTCGGGATCCTTAGAAGAACACTCCGTTCACATTCGCACTCCAATTAATGCCGTCTGACATATCTCGGCACCAAACCTTTCGATTTTCTATCGAAAAAATAGGCAATATTTGTGTTGTTTTGCTGCCATCCTCGTCAGATCCTCTTGTAGACACCGAATGCCGCTGCTGTTCTCGGCCATTTAGTTTCTACAGTAAGTAACATGGTTATCAGAGCGATATGATTGGCTAGTACATCTTGCAGACGTCGGAAAGGATTAGTAACCGCTGCCGATGACAGAAATGCCCGACTGGCAGAAGCGATAAGACCATAATGAAATACTGTTGAGATAGTAATCATGTAGAATAGCTCTATAGTATTTAGAGTTGATATACGTAAGTTTCGGGCTGATGAAGCCTTCTGCTATTATAAATCAGAATGATTGTTTTGATCCCGACCTTGGGATGCTAGACTATATCTTTAATGCCATCCTCAATGACAAGGTAAATACCATCTGCCTCTCAGATACTTAATCTGTTGTCGTACTCTACCTTTCGTGTACCAAGCTTCAAAATGGCACCTACGGAACATACCATATACCGTGCAGGCGATGGCAACGGCGGCTTCTCTCCCTCCTCCGTCAAGCTACCCGACCTCGGTCCCCATGACATTCTCGTCCGTTTGACTCACAGTGGTGTATGCCATTCAGACATCGTGCTCTGCCAACTTGGAGCCCCTGTAGCTCTCGGCCACGAGGGAATTGGTATCGTCGAGTCAGTTGGCTCGCTGGTCACACAATTCAAGATCGGTGATCGGGCAGGCGGTGGCTTTCACCGCGATGCCTGCGGTCACTGCAAGTACTGTCTGTCTGGAAGGGATATCTACTGCTACGAGCGTGTTATTTTCGGTGAAGGAGATTTCGATAATGGTACCTTTGGCACCTACTACATCGGTAAGGAGACATATCTCCACAAGATTCCTGATAGTCTTTCTAGTGAGCATGCTGCACCTCTTCAGTGCGCTGGGGCTACTGTGTACGCTGCTCTCAAGGCTACAGTGACAGCCGAGAAGCGCGTCGGCATTCTCGGCATCGGTGGTCTTGGCCATCTGGCCATTCAGTATGCGGATAAGATGGGCGCCGATGTTATTGTTTACAGCACGAGCGCTAGCAAGGAGGCTGAAGCACGACAGCTGGGCGCCAAGGAGTTTCATCTCATTCATAACATGTTTGACACGGCTACGGCGCCTATTGATGTTCTTGTCATTTGTGGAACCAAGTATCCTGACTGGGATAAGTAAGTAGTTTGGTGTTGTGCAGAAAGGCCTGGCTAATAGTGCTTTCGCAGGGTCATGACTAAGGAGTTCCTCGCTAGAGATGGAACCATCGTCCCTCTTGCAGCCCCGGTTCACGGACCTCTCAGCTTGCCGTACGTTCAAACATCCACACAAACTTACCAATACTGACTGTCATATAGTGCGGGGGCAATGTTCTTCCAGGGCTACCATGTCCACTCAAGCCTCGTTGGATCGCGCAGTATCCACGACGAGATGCTTGAGTTCTCTGGGCGCCATGGTGTCAAGCCTATGGTTCAGCTCTTCAAGCATGAAGGTGAATCAACCATCAAGGAGGTCTTTGAGTTGGTTGAGCAGAACAAGATGAGATATAGGGCGGTCCTGGAGATGCCGAACTAGACGCGGCCATAGCCGAAGCGAATTTACCTCAGAAAATTAGCTTTACCTAGCTACATAGAAAGATACTCCACTCTTTGTTCGAAGAAAAGGGTCCCAGCAGTTGAGAATCTGTATTGTGCCCGGGTACGTACCTAATCTTGCTCAGTATTCGGGCTCCATTGTTCTGTGGCCCCACCGCTAAGGCACGCTAAAATCGACCGGTCAGATCATTGAGCAGCGCTCCAATAGGGACTCAGGCCTGTTATCTTAGGGCTGAGAGATCCCGACCAAGCTAGAATAACCCGACGTTTTCGGTACGAGAAACCCGACATCTACAAACATTACCAAGCTTGATGTAACGATAAAAGCCTGCCAGAACAGCTTAAACTTCACTCGAATTAGGCCCCATCTACATAGGTAACCTAGACTAAAGGCTTTATGGCCATGGCCTGATGCTTACTGGAGTTTGTTCGTTGGACTGTAATGTGGTGTAACAACGCCCGCAGTGCTATAGTGGAGCGAAAGCGAGATGCCGGCGTCTTGAACACGAGAAGCCACATTTGACCGGCATGTCGCCATACCATCGCTTACCCCGAAATCTGACGTGAGGTTGTTGGTTTCATAAGAGTTCTTCTCTACGTTAGGAAATGACCTCGTGCATAGCAGTCCCAGTGTATATTAGTGCACAATGTCAACAGGATGGGATGAGGAGCATATCCGTCAATGTTGCAACATCAGAGGGTCTAGTAGATAAGAAGCCAGCTAATAATAGCCGTAAAATGTCCAGTATACTCAGCTGCAAGACAATGCCGGCGTCTATGCTGCACGCCGGCGTCTTGGTGGAGATGCGGATCAATCAGTCCGATCTGTAATCACTTAGTCAGTGCCACTTCACCAAATGATTGGTTCACCTCAGAGCTGAAAGCAGCGTTTCGTACTTTGAACTCTCAATGGGCCGCAACGCCGCAGAGACGAATTTCCGAACTCGATCTCTGGGTGAAATATATCTCCCGCCGATCAGCTTCTCCAATGTGCCATGAACCCTTGCGTCATACCATTTTGTCAGAGTATTCTTATTAAGCCATGAGTTCTTCTACCTCGGAAATGGATAGCACCTCTGTACTGCCGCTTGAGGTGGGAGACACCGGATCGGGACCTAAACGGGGAAGAAGACCACTTGAAGTACCGGAGGGTGGATCTGTGACCAACGTGAGTACGCCGTGACCTGACGTCTCGGGATGATTAGTGATATGGCTTTTGAGTATTGCGTGGTCTTCTAACTGGTTGTTTTAGCGCCGCAGGATACAGAATCGCATGGCTCAGCGCGCATATCGACAGCGTAAGGAGTCCGCTATTGATGTCCTGAAGCAAAAGGTTGAAGAACTAGAGCGGTCAAAGGAGGATATGGGGAGGGAGTTTATTAACTTCACTTCTGTTATTCTTGAGCAAGATACTGTCAAGAACAATCCGCAAATCATCGAGCATATTAAGCAGACCACTATAAGCTTGCTCTCCCGCGCTCAAGAGGTAGATGGGCATGAGAGACCTGATGTCCAGGATGGGGAGCAGAATGATCTTCTCAAGGATGTCCCTGTCGACGTCTCACCTGATGCCACGCCACCACTCCCGCAAACCCAGGCGTTCGACTTTCCCATGATGGTAGGCATAAACTACACCACCAACCCAATCGATCCCATGCTCTCCCAGCAACGGTCCAATTCAGATTCGACACCACACTCCTTCGATACAACCTCCTACTTCCAGCTTCCCACCACCCAAACACCCTTCTACGACATGACCTACCAACTCCCCGGGTCAACATGGGACTCTACCCTCCCTAACCCCCGGTCCTACGCAAGCCAAGAGCTAAACTTTGGCCGACGGTATCATAGAGCCTCTCAGGAAGCGGCATTTCTTCTAGCGTCCATGAGACATGCGCCTCCTGCGTGGTATCGAAAGGTCTTTGGGTTCTGCATGCATTTTGAGACGAGGGAGGAGATATGTAGTCGTATTGGTGAGACGCTGCGTAAGTCGAGGGAGGCTACGCTTAATAATTGGAAGTTTCCTTTTACTAATGTTGGCGGTGCTGGGACTTTCTTTTCGGAGCAAGGATTTGGTAGTGGTGATATGCCGATTGGCAATAGATCACTGGAGCATGAGGCGTACAGACCATCTGAGATGTCAGGTTTCTCAATGGGGCCTTTTGGTCCATCGGTCGAACAGATCAGAGATCTGCGCTTGAACCCGCAATTACGCATCATTGATCCAGAGTATGATGGAGATTTCTTTGATTCAGATGAGATCGAGATCTGTCTTCGCGGCTACGGCGTTACTATTCCAGCGGGAAAAGACTTCGTTACAGCATACATCGACATGAGCATGTTTGAGCGAACATCAGATTCAGAGACGAGCTCTGGTCCCACCACACCTCCGGATATGCCAGGTAATGGCAACTTCGTGGAGGAAGATCTAGAAAGTGACGAGCCCCCTTCGTTTTCGTGCCCCGCTGGTTTGATGGGTATGGCAATGGGAGCCATGCCACCGCCACCGAAGGGTAAAGGACCTGGGGAGCAGTGGAAGGAGCCTACCAAACGAGAGACAAAGGTCAAGATTGATGTTGAGCGGTTGATCATGTGTGAGTCACTGGGGAACTTATTTGGTCAATATTGAAGACTAACTGATCTCGATAGGTCTTGTCAACTCAACTGTTTGTCTCGGAAGAACACCCGCCGTTCGACCTATGGACATCCGTAAGTCGTTGAAGATGTCCATCATAGAGGAAGACTAGCACTGCGACATGTAACTGGGAAAATGGAACGATGACGAGTTGGTCACGGGATGAATGGAGATAAGTTACACAAAAATGAGATCGACAGATCAAGGGAGAATGATAGCAATAACTCAATAAATGTCTCTATACACCCAATGGGTCTCTCGCGTATCTTATTGACTCGTAGGAGTAAAGTGATACCACCCGATTACCAGTCCTCAAGGAATGTCTCGACATGTTTGACAAAGGTCGGAGCGTACTGGAACAGAAAGCCGTGGCCGCTGTTGGGATAAAGAATGAGCTGCCCATTCGGAACCTTCTGGTAGATGAGGTAGCTGTTTGGCGTGGGGATCATGTAATCGTTCTGTCGACACATACGTCAGTACAAGTCAGTATTGAAGCGAAAGACGAGTTACTTACGCTTCCATTGGCGATCAATACTGGGATTTTGAGATTAGACAGCCTTTCATAAGCGCCATCCTCTCCCTTGCTCTTCTCAGCACTCTCTGTAAAATCATGGCCCTGTGTGACCTGCCCTATCAGTCCCTTGCCACCATCCTTGTACCTACTGCTTAGCCAGAGAGAAGCCTTTTCACCACTCGTCTCTGCACTTCGCTTATGAATTCTCGACCACCAAGCCTCAGCAGCAGCATCGCCCTCAGCATTCTTGGGAAAGAAGAGTGTCTTGAAGACATTAATATCTACATCTTTGACACCCGCGACAGAGCCAACATCTTTGTTCTGAGAATAAACAAGTTCAGGTCCGTAGCTGGTGCCTGTTCCCGCAAGGATCAACTTGCGGACTTTGACTTTGCTGGGATCCGCGTTGAGGGCTACCATCTGAGCAACATAGCCTCCAATGCTGAAACCAAGAAGATCAATCTCTTTTTCGCCTATCAGTTCGACGAATTGTGATATATCAGCGGCGGACTGTCGGATTGAAGTAGCGACGTCACCGGTGCTGAGACCAACACCAGCATAATCAACCGTGATGATGCGACGGTTCTTGGCGAGGGTGTTGACAATAAGAGGATCCCATTTGTCCATGGTGCCGCGGAAGTGCGTCAATAGCACGAGGGGGATGTCAGATGCATTACCGATCTGGCGATATGCAAATGTCGTGCCGTTGGGTGACTTGACATATTGCGTCTTGGCGGTTTGCTGAGTTGCCATTTTGATGGAGCTTGATAAGGTTGGAGATTAGGATTCTGGGGAAATGGCACTTAAACAGCCCTTGCAGCTGAAGTTTGATGCCCTTATGTACTCGTTTGCCGGGTGTTGCTTGTGGTGTCACCGAGAGTCGGAGTGCTTACTCACAGGAGGGATGAGTGATTACGGTACCTTGGGTTTACGCAGCGGGATTAGTGATATGACACGAACTGCACGTTTTTAATTACTATATGAATACAGAAGCTAGAACAAAGCACAGTTTCGGTCACCACTTATAATCTTTTGGCTTCTGTCTGACTTGAGGTCAGTGCGTAAGGGCTATGTAGAAAAGGAGGCACCCCAGTGTCTACGAGGCCTGCTGAACCCATTCTACTGGTTGTGCGAAAGCATATCTAATCTAGTCTAAACTATATAATCTAGTCTAAACTATCTAGCCTAGTCTAAACCGTATCTAAATGTGTTTCGGTAGTTATTTAGACATTGCAATACAACCCGCCCATGTGATTGATGATACAGACACGAAATCTGGACCGCGGTCTGGAATATGTAGTTATCTTAGTTTTAGTTAGATCGGAACGGGCTTCACAGCCGAGTCTAGAGCGCCCGAACGCATCGTCTGGTTGGTTGAACGTAGACGTTAGCGTATTTCCCCTCCTCCTCTGAGCACCCGATTTTCAATGATCTAATTCTCTCATCATCCAGTTCAACCATCATTAGCCAACATGGGCAATGCTATCAGCGCTTTGATTGAGTCCAATCAGGCAGACGACGAGAATGAGAGGAAGAAAAAGGAACAACTGGAGCTGCTGATGAAGCTCGCGGATGCACGGCTTGACACCTTCCAACACGAGCTAGAGCAGATGTTCTTGGACCGTGAGTCGGCAATGCATACCAGAGTTCCCGGAAGGAGAGCTTTGAGATTCGAGCGTCGGTTTGTTGTTGATGCTGAAAGTACCGTGCGTTTGCTACTCAATAGGCCTTTTCCCGAGATATGATAGCTAACCATGTGATTACAGCCCGGTAAAGGCGTTGAGGATGCTGTGGACGCCTTCTTCGGCATGTCGGATACTGGAACCAAAGGTGCCCTTAATGGCTTTAAATCCGTGGTAAAGAATGGCCTGTCTACGATTCTCGGCGACTCCTCCGCTGGCGAAAGTTATGACAAGAAGTTCTTTATTTGCGTAAAGCAGTATGTTAACTCTATTCCTCTCTCACAAAAGCCCAGGAATGCTGACATGGGATTATCTAGTAATGCAATCGTTCGCGTTGACATGTATACATACAAGTATACCTTTGCTAACGAAGGAGTCATTGACGTGCACAAGAACATCTTGGCTTACATTCTGTGCATGTCTGTCGTGGATCATAGAGATGTGACCATTGATGAGCTCGTCTATCTTGCTTCAGAGTTTGCTGGCGATGGTGATCCGGGTCCTGAATTCGCGCAGTACCTGGACATGGTCACGAAAACTTGGAACAAGCTTGGAGCTAGCGACCCTTTGCCTGTCAGTGGAAGGCCGGCTCTGGAGTTCCCTGTGATGCCTGCCGCTCCACCTTAGTCATGATACTCCCCCATGTGGTCATATTCTACACAAGGGTAGAATCTTAGTATTATTTAGACTATATTTATTATATATTAGGTACTCAGTGTAGAGTCTTAGTATAACTTAGACTACATTTATTATATATTAGGTACTAAGGTTAGGAGAGAAAGTAGTCAGGTCAACAGTCCTGCTGTGTTATGCCGCTACACCATTTTGCGAGTCATCCCAGAATATTGAAGAAGAAGTACTTGAATTAAATCTTATCAGTTCAGGCAGTTAATAAGACTCCATTCAAGTTACTGGTTTCGTAGCTTTAGCCTAATGTTTTGCCCTGTGGCTTACTGTATTATGTAAACAATACATAAAAGGTACGTCTTCTGAATCTTGTTTGCTTACAATGAATTACAATAAGTCAGGTGACATTCATTCGGGCAGCAATAGATTAGGCAACAATAGATTAGGCAGCAGTAAGTAGCGTAATAGTGAGGTAGCCAGGTAAGGAGGACTTTAGACGTCTCCTGACAGCTTTGGTGTATTTGTAACTAACGCAACTAAGCTTCTCTGTTCATAAGCTGCTAGCTATTATTAGACCGAGTTTATCTTATTATTCTCCACTCTTCAAGCATTCTATTGACCCTTCAGCCGTTATATTCGCATGGCTAAGGTGCTCACCATGGATTCATGGAGATCTAACCGGCCGGAAAAGCGGGATGACTTTGAGGTCGCTATCATTTGTGCTCTGACTCTCGAGGCTGACGCCATCAGCGCTCTATTCGATAATCACTGGGAAGATGAAGGGCTTTCCTACGGCAAGGCCAGAGGGGACCCTAATGCTTATTCCACTGGTGTCATAGGGCAACACAATGTGGTGTTAGCCCATCTACCAGGGATGGGTAAAGTCTCAGCAGGCAACATCGCTGCCTTTTGCCGCATGAGCTTTCCTAACATCAAGCTAGCCCTTCTTGTCGGCATATGTGGCGGTGCGCCTTACTACGATAAAGGTCAAAGCCAAATACGTCTTGGCGACGTAATTATTAGTACCGGTATTGCTCAATATGACTTTGGTCGTCGGTGTCCGGATAAATTCAAGATCAAGGATAGTCTAAAAGACATCCCCAGAAGGCCAGATCTTGAGATCAGAAATCTGTTATCAAAATTGAGGACAGCGAGGCAGCGTGAGCGTTTGAAGAGAGAAAGTTGGAGGTATCTGAATGAGCTACGCCAGGATGCAAAGAGGCCAGCCACCTTCCCAGGACGATCAAAAATTCCCAGTCGACTACCGCCACAAACACCAGGTTTCGTTAGCGTGTGCAACGTGCGCATCGTGCCACCATGAATCAGATCCAGTCTGCGACACCGCACTCACCTCAAGCTGCGAACAGATTGGATGCGACACGAGACAATGTTTGCGAAGAGACAGTCGCCAGGGAAAGGGATTTCGCCCATTTGTCCATTATGGTGTATTCGCGACGGGGGATACAGTAATGAAATCTGCAAAAGATCGTGATCATATCACGAAGCAAACGCAAGCTTTAGGCTTCGAAATGGAGAGTGTTGGCATATGGGAAGTCTTCCCTTGCGTTGCGATTAAAAGTGTATCCGACTACGCTGATAGCCACAAGAGCAAGGACTGGTAGCCTTATGCTGCTGCTTGTGCAGCATCATATGCAAAAGGATTCCTTAGATACTGGGACTCAGCAAGACGGTAAGGGCCCTATAATTATGAGAAAGTACCTACATATTAACAAAACACTCAAGTGCTAAGTCTATATCCGATCATGAGCAGTTTCGGAACCGCATGACCAAAAGCGTCAGCGTTTCAGACAAGGGCATTTTCAAAAGCGTTAACCTTCCAGACAAGGGCATTACCAAAACCCTTAGCATTTCGGACACGGGCATTATCGAAACCCTTACCTTTTCAGGCGCGATCGAAAGAAGAAACAACATTCCATCATAGGCTCCGTCGACATTTAATTGGATCTATGAGGATTCAGTCGAACATCCTGGGGAACAGAACTTGAACCGGCTCTCCTACCGCGGTTCTTTTACTAATAGACGTCCTGAAACTGTATGGGAAACCGACTCGGCATCGGACGAGGAGTCCGGACAAGAAGTATTTTTCGATGACGACGAAGCTTATGAACCAAACTGGGAAAGTACGTCAGACGAGAGCTCCGAGGAAGAGGAATCCTCTGAAAGTGATTAATGATATAGAGACAGGCTGGTCAAGAGAATCAGATGAGAGCACTGAAATTACCGAGTCCACCAGAAACTATAAACTATGGGAACATTTGGTCAGCTTTGCCAACTGGCTGAAGTCGGATTTTACTGAATAAGTGGCATGCCAGGGTCTGGGAAGAATACTCTCACGAGATTCCTCATATCGGATTCCAGGACACCAGCTACGTTGAAGGAATGGAAGAAAGACGCAATAATCATTGCACACTTTTTCTGGAAGCCAGGCAGTACGATGTAGCACTCCTTCAAGGGCTTTCTCTGTTCATTGTTATGTCTGATCCTGAAAAACTACAAGAGCATCTCAAATAGCTCTCTTCAGAGATGATTAGAGATAAAAATTTAAAGTAATGATCTAATGATTGGGACCAATGCGAACTTAGAGATCTGCTACTTTACTATCGCAACACAGCCCATATGTATCTTCATCGATGCTTTAGACCATATTTCACCGGAGCAGGATACACTCGATATGCTACATATTCTCAGAGCCCTTATCTCCCCTACCATCAAGCGTTGTGTGTCAAGTCGACCAGAGCGCCTCATTCGACTTCACCTCCAAGACAAACCTAATCTTTAGATCCGTGAGTTGACAGGTCCGGACACGATACCCATTACACGGTTTTGAGCGTAAGTTTATAGACTGTATGGGGTTGCTCAGGTCTCTTAATCAAGGATGTAAGTCGCGTAGCTATCAAGGCTGCGTCAGTTATAGGCTCGAAGGTTTATAGATAAAGGGCTAATTTACTCGCTGTATCCAACCTCGTTCAACTCATAAAAGACAGAACGATCGTACTTGGTCAACGACCAGCCATTCTCAATTCGGGCAGGGAGATCAGGGTTCGCTGCACCCGACGTATTAGAAAATAGAGTGAACGCGTTGATAACGGAGCACTTACGGATGAAGTGACGCCCAAAAGCCACTAGATCATCTGTCTCACTGGTATGCTGCAACGCCTTCTCCGGCGTATATCCCCCTGCCACAATAAACTGCACACCAGCGCAAGCAGCCACCTCCCTTATAGGCGCCAAAGTATCCTCTGCCTTTTGTAGATGCTCAGGCGTATCAACCGAACCATCTGCTCGAGGTTCGATGGCATGGATGTACGCAATGCGAGGTTGAGCATCTACTATAGCTTGTGCCCAAGGAACGAAGAGCGACAACGGCTCGGCTTCTCGCATTCCTTGAAAGCGTGTGAATGGTGACATGCGGACGCCAACACGTTCGGGTCCGATGGCGTCGCTGACTGCGTTGACGACGCGGAGGGGGAAGCGGATCCGGTTTTCGACGCTGCCGCCGTATTGGTCTGTTCTATCGTTGCTGGTTGACTGGAGCTATGGTACTGTCAGGCATATTCTACATTCGCAGCGACAATAAATACTCACAAATTGATCGATAAGCTATAGATTGTCTGTTAGTCAAGGGTTTATCTCTGGGGACATGAATGCTTACTATCCATTAGCACCATGGATCTCGATGCCATCGAAACCAGCCTCCATAGCGTTCAAAGCTGCTTGTCGGTAGTATTCCACAAAGTCATCGATATCAGCTTCGCTCATGACGGTGAAGTTATTCGGAATCTTTCGTGCGACATTTTCATCCTCGAAGAATGGTTGGGAGCCAGGACTGAGAACAGCAGGCACTAGATCAGGTTCGGCAATACGTCTGATGGTAATGTCAGCGGTGAAACGACAGTGGTAAGTGGGGAATGGCTTACCCAAGAGCCCAGAGCTGGCAGAGGATAAAAGCACCCTTGGGATGGACTGCATCAGTAACATGCTTCCAGGCCGCAATCTGCTCTTTGGAATAGATCCCTGGTGAGAAAGAGCGCCCAGATGCCTCATGGGAGATGAAGGTTCCTTCTGTGATCAACAAACCGCCAGCTGCACCACAGTTAGTGATAATTTTTCAGTGGTCAAATCACGATGAGAGCGTACGTGTAGCGCGCTGGGAGTAGTAATCCGCGGCATAGGTAGCGGGAACTCCAGCCGAATCAGCACGGCCACGGGTCAAGGGCGCTAGGACGATGCGATGCTGTAGATCGAGGGCGCCAACCTTGATTGGCTTGAAGAGCTTGGTCGTTTGTGAGGCCATTATCTCTAGCGTGACTTTATTAATTGAGCTTCAGTGTAAAAGATGTAAATTCGCTGAGAAGTTGTAGCTCGTTTCGTGATGATATTTTAATGGTTTCACTGTGTGAAATGATGCCTGCTATATAGTTACATGTCAATTCGCAAAGATGGTGAATTACTAATACGCACTGTCTCGAACAGATCACTTTTGCTTTGAAATAGCCATGCTGCGCGAGATCCGATGGAATATTCCAATTCCTGCTTTATTATCCCAACTCATGGCTGCTTGCTTACGCGTGAGGCCATGCAGGGGGCGGTTAATTTAATAATCATCTCGGGGCAGATTACTGACGTGGATGCATCCCCCACGCAGTAACACAGTGGTCGAGTTTAGGGCCAATTTTGCCAGTCAAATGTAACTGGGCTACTGCTTTGATTCTCATCATACTAAACGCTCCTGGAATCTCTTCTTATGGTGCATGCAGTGTAGTACGGCTGATCACGAAGGTGGTTATCCAGACGTGTTGTTTGCAGTTGAGACTTGTGGCTGAGAGCTTAAATCACCAGACAGAACTTGGATCATAAGAGTAACGCTTAAAATAGAAGAATAAGCTGTGGCTATTAGGTACGCAAGATTATATCGACGCATTCTATAAAATTGTTCTTAAATGCAGCTGAATATGCAACACAGCGACTGTACAGAGTAAGTGGCTCCCTTTCAGGCGCTCTTGGGTTGCCAAGCTGAAGGCTGTGTTGGCCTGGGTCCGCCATCAGATGCATGAATACCCGATCATAATCGTATGATCTGGTCAAGAGGCCTGAAATCTTAGCATTACAAGTCTATCCTCACCTGCTCCCTACAACTAACTTTTTAAAATAACAAAAAATTACAATTCCGATAGACTGAAACTCAAGTCACTCAGATATGGAGAACAACATCGAGGCCTCTCAGCGCTTTTCGACTGTGCGCAGGGAATTGCCCGGATGCCGTCCCTGCGGTCTAAACTGGGATAAGTGCAATGTTCATTTGGTTGAACACGCTGATACGCTGGCCATTTCTTTTGACATGGGAAATGTCTCCTGGAAAAAGCGATTGGAGATGAAAAACGGGATTTTGCAATGCAACCTCCAAGACCTTGCCGTGCTTCGCTGGATCGATCACCCAGGAAACGTCTCAGAATCAGGCATCCAACCACGCGATTACACCGTCCACTATTCCCCACGACAGCGTTACGAATGCCTTTTCCCTCACTCGGCTAATGAGGCTCATGAAGTGTTCGAAGTTACGCACGGAGTGTCAACTGAGGAGCTCCATGAACTAGGCAATGAAGCAATGGCCAGGTCAATCATAATGCTATGTCCTGCGGCTTCACCACTCTGCGAGTCGCGACATGACGTTGAAGAGGAAGTTCACATTCTAGCTGAACGTTGGCCGATGAGACAAATAGTAAATGGCTCAGCAGTGGACGGCTTTGTTGATATCACGCCAGTATCAGTTTGTCAGGATGATCCTACTGGTAATGGCTGCGTGTCTTTCAACTGGGCACAGTCTGAGCCATCTGCAACAAGAATAAGGATGAGCATGTCTCCCGGAGAAATGTTTAAATACGTTGGTGATGCTGGGTCAAGGTGGCCCAAGGGTTACATCTATCGGCACAGAGCCGTCAATCCCGACATCGCCATTCATGGCTCCTCCTATCACGGCATTCTCAACGCAGTGCAACCAGCAGTATTGAATTGTTGCCGGAGGAAGGCCAATGTGAGGCCAACGAGAATATATGATGCTCAAGACAGGGTCACAAAGAGGCATGTGGAGCCTGCACACTATCTCGCTCTTTCGTACTCCTGGGATGAATGACCGCTGGAGAGTGCTCTGAAAGACAAAGTTGAGGAGATATCGCAAAGACTGGGGATCAGATACTTCTGGGTGGATAGGTGGTGTATTGACCAAGATGATGATGAAGACAAGAAGCGAGAGATCCCATCAATGCGAGGATACTACGAAGGATCGAGCGGCTGTGTCGTACTGACGGGGGAGGGAATGGAACCTTTCCAATGCCTACCAATGCATGATGGTACCGTCCTCTCTGCATATCAACAGTTAATGGAGAACAGAGAGGCGATTGGATCATTACTGCGCTGTCGGTGGACAACAAGAATATGGACCATGCAAGAGGCTTTAATGTCTCGACAGGTAATCTATGCTGTCAACAACCAGCTGATCGACGGCGACTATGTTTCAGAGCTCATGGCATACATTCAGACCTTCTCTCAGATTTATGTGCGTCACGATGACACCAATCAGTGGGTTGGTGGCTATGGCTGCTATGGCTGGAACGCCAGACTGCCCTCACTTTTCAAACCACGGCAGTTCTCTGCTAGGAACGATCCAAAGGTCTTTACTGTGATAAGGACCATCTTTGGTGGAGAACAGCAGTACAAGGAACTAAAAGCCTACGGGGGACTGCAGATGCCACTAGAACAAGCATTGGTTGTTGTAGAGGGCAGAAATGCCAGCCGGCAAGAGGACTACATATACGGTGTGCTTGGGATAACAAAAAATGGCCACAAGATCGAAGTCGAATATGGAATTGCATGGACCAAGATGCTGAGGAAGCTGCAAGCAGCTGGAATGATCAGTGAGAGACAACTCGCATCGCCCACTGTTTGTCCACTTCCTGGCATGAGTTGGCTACCGGATCCTGGACATAAGTATGGCCCTTTCACCCAGATTGAACGACTGGCGAGTTTCATCAATAGCCCACCTATCAACACTTCGAGTGAAGGGGCTAAAGTGCTAGGTGTAGTTTTCGAATGGGTCAGGCCAGATTCTGATCACGAGGCGACATTTAACAGGCACGGTATGGTTTGCCATATCGTGAAGGGCGAGCTTCGGTTTCCTACAGTACCTGGACTCCGGGTCAAAGCAAATGGGATAAGTACCAAGAGTTTCACGCACAAAAGGCTGCAAGGAACACACGTTTTGCTGTCCAGCGGCCTGAATAAGTATTCGCGAGACGCTGTGGTCATGGTAGTGTCAGGTGATGTGAAGAACAGACAGGTATACAGAGAAAGTGGCTATGTCTTGGAGTTCGGTGTTAATAGCAGTCTCGAATTCGCCGCGGTGCAAAGCAATGAATGGACTGTAGGCAGTAGATATATATAGCTTAGTATTGAATTAAATAAGCAAAGTACATGTATTACTGATAGCCAAAAGCGTAGGCTGCCTTACTTTGTTTCTCGGAGCTGATTACAGAGATCCATGCATTTACTTGAAGGAAGGTCAACATGGCCATATTTAGCAGTCAATCTGAGACGACAAAAACTAGATGAGACTACCAGATACCTCCTTTCCCAAATTGTTAGTAACTTCTGGCTCCTGCTGTAAATCTTAGGCACGATGCCGCTGTTAATATAACTGATAAGATAAGATAAGAGAGGCTATCTCATTCATCTCTAGAGACAAGGAGGCAACTTCAAGGATTGACTACATATGCAGTACGATTATCAATTCGGTGAGTAATACGATAACGACGTGTTATCGATTATCTGATTAACAGAGACAACAGAGCAAAACTTAACACTCTGTTCGTTGATTACATCAAAGTGCTTAGTGATCAAGCCGTCCCTCGTTTGAATGGCAAGCCACGGGTTATTGGTCAGATGCAGTGAAGTGGGGATCCCTAAACACCATTCCTGCTCGCTCTTCTCTACGATGAGATGACCATATGAGTATTACTAAGTTGCCCGTTCGAACTGTCGGAAGGAAACAAGCACTTATGGTGACGTCGCTTTGCAAAGAATAAGCAGGACCAATTGATCAACCATACGTCCGAGATGTGACTGTCGACTTCAAGTCTTCTATAAGAAGACCGCCATGAAGACAACATGTTGCAACAGAGCCCACCAACTCTCAATACTTATAGAAGAAAGGAACATATATCATAAACTCTGGTCTACTAGCATCATACGCCGCTACCATGACACCTTCACTGGAACAAGTCTTTACAATGAGGATGTATACATCCCCAGACAAAGCCCTCGTCATCCCCGAAGCCAAGGGCAACAATCACCGTATTGTTGCGTTCCTGACGCACGGCCACATCAAGGGCAGTGGTCTTGAGGCAGAGCTCCTCCCCGGCGGTGCTGATTGGATCCTGGTAAGCCCGCTTTCAGTACAGCAAGACAAACGCTAACGGTTTATCAGCGCGACCCTGACACAAATACCGGCCATCTTGACGTCCGAGTTCAATTCCGGTCAAAAGAGGGCCACGGAATTTACATCCATTTCAAAGGCGTTTTGCAGATTGATGGCAAATGGATGGAGGTTTTTACTGGGGGCTCGAAGGCTCGAACTCTTAAGTTTGGAGAGAATGAATGGCTGGGATCACCAATTATCGAGACTAGCCATCCGGACCTGAAATGGGTAGAAAGTTCCGCTTTTGTCAGTGAGTTGCGTTGGTTTGTTGATGATGATGGGTCTGTCGCTGTTGAGAATGCTGTCTACAAGGTCAAGCCGAGCAGAGTATAATACTTCAACAAGGTCAACCATTTAGCCATAGCGTTCTATCTAGAATTAATTGAAAGGGTTCTATGAAAAGGTCGATATACTGTCAATAACTCCCATATGCCCTGATGAAGCTTTACTTGGGTCCTCGCAAGCCGGAATCCTCCTGGCCATCACGGAAATCCCGATCACGTGCCTTTTTAACAGGGATTCTAACACGGCATTTGACGGAAAGGCCGACATCGCCAGCCCTGATCCCCTGTTCTGATACATATTTCAGGGCGGATGTTCATCCTTGGCAAAACTTTACAAGGACTTTAATAACGCCATCGTGTTCTGAGTGGCCGAAGAACGGGCTGCCCCTTTCCTTATGTATGCAATGGTGCGGCGATGACAGTCAAAGAGCGGCTGATCATCCAACTACCGATGCAATTCGGCTAGTAGCCTTGAATCCCAGACTCTCTGGCGTTCTAAACGAGTCTTAAACGAGTCATGCAGAGTGTCTGAGAGTAAGGATCAAGGCTTGAGGCCGTTGTGTTGTGGTGATGCTATTACGAGAGAGTACAGCTTGCCAAGCTTCTTGGGCCAGGGAGCCAACATTATGCCTTCGGGAAAGAATCCGTGTGTTACGAGATAGAAAAGAATAAGAAGCGCCTGTTACACGATCTTGACATCTTCAGAAAGACGACTCGGTGCAGACACTCACGATCCTCGATCCTGCACATGAACAGGGCGTCAAAAAATCAACATGGCACCTTCCCCACGCCCTTGTAAGCATCGTCGATATGCAGTTGGACTCACCGAGATGCTGGAAGCACCGTGGCCCAACATCAGCACACTATTGCTGCGCATCGGCAAGATTCTGCCGAACGAAACCTGACACTGCAATGCGATATGTGACAAGACCTTCGACGCCGATCCGAATTTGATACAGGAAAGATTATGTATGTACGACGACTGTCTGGACTGGCGACCGATTACGGACAGATAGACGAGGGTTCAACCTGCGATGTAACGCCAGCAGCTACAGTAAGGAGTAATGCGTGTCCTACAACTGGTGAGTTCATTCCAAAAGGTGTTGGTCGGATGTGCCGTCCCCAATAGTTGATATCAAGGGTTTGCCTCCCGACTGCCAAGTAGATGTGTCTGCTAAAAGAGGAGGATCCTCGCGCTATAGCCCACTACTTAAACTGCCAAGCTCAAAGGCCTTGCAAACGTACGTGAAGTAATGATTACTGCGATGACAGTTGCATCTCGATCAGAGTACCGCTTCGCGATATGATGTTATATATATAGAAGCTTAAAAGTCAAATGGTAAGCATACATCAAGGTTGTACTCCCAGTAACCACGGCAGTGAATCAATCACCATGTTCATGCAGTGATAAATCTCAAGGGTCCTACGCCAGGTTCAACTACGGTGGTTTTCGTGCATATTCGTATCTCGGACCGCCTGCATGCTCCTTTCCCATGCTTCAACAGCTCCTTAGACTACTTCAGTGCTACAATTACGAACTCTTTATCTTGGTCCCTGGAAACACTTATTCCATTTCACCAACCCTGCATTCAGCTTTGTCAGGATTAGCTAAAATACCGTCTCGTTGCGACATTGGTCCTCTTCCAACCACTACTGCCAAGTGTGCTAGTTCTTCCGGGCTTGCTAGCCCCATCCAAACGCGACAGCCTCCGTCACAGAAGTAAATATAGGATGCCCACCAACATTCGCCCCCCTCACCTCATTTCGAAGCCCAGCATTCAAGTGTCCGTGACCCTAAGAATCAAAAGAGGCACTGCATTAGTATCCGAGAGTTTTTGAAGAGGTGGAATGTGACTGATAAGCAACCTCACAAACCAAGTAAGCGATCCTCACATCTTGAGGCAACTCAGTGATAACGATGATCTTCTCCTCGTAGGGCGAGTCTAGACCGCAGGGCTGACCAAGACAACGAGATTGCGCGTATGTAAGAGTTCCCTCTTCGACCCAGAATCTTCAGTGCGACCCCAATCGGCCGACGTTCCCATCCCGTCCCGGCAGTCTCCCCGGCGTTGACTAACCAGAGCCAAGTACCCATAGTCATCGATATAGCGGCGGGATGCTTATAACCGGATACACTAACGAATTTTAATACAAGCCCGCAGACGCACATTTTTAACAAGGTAGGGGAATTTGTTGGCTCTAAAATCCTACTTCAAGCCATGACCATCCCGCGCCGCGAGTAATGTCCGGTTATAGGGGCGGGCACGCATTGGAAATAAAACAACCACGAGTCTTTTGGCACAAGACTTCCGCGTTCTCTTTCTCGTCGCTCATTGTTATTCTTTCTTTTTCTTCTCCGTTTTCGACAGAGGCCTCATAAGATGTACAAAGAAGCCGGAGTTGGAGGCAAGGGCGGTCTGCTAATCGGAGTGTTCTGGGCCCAGATCGCATTGAGTATCGCTCTGATTGGTCTCTATGGGCGTCTTGTGAGTTCATACACCTTTCACTCTGAGCAAGCGAGAGCTGACAAAGGATAGCGCTGGTATCTGTGGAGTATTTAGAACAACAGGATTAACGTCTCTGAGTAACTCATAAGATTATCTCTGTAAGCAGAATCGTCGTGACAAATAGTCCCGTGAACTAACTGATGCGACAATAGACGCTATCTCTGACTCGGCCATCTGGACCGCCAGCGAAGTCACAGCCACCATCGTCTGCCTCACCCTTCCAGCCTTGCGTCCGCTCTACAAGAAGATCCGAAACCAGGAATCGAGTTCCGCAGGCTATCAACAACACGACGACTCAATTTACGCAAACAACTCCGCCTACCCTCTTGGTTCTCTTCGAGGCAACACGGCTGATGACGGGAAGGGAAGCAACCTCACCAAGATTGAGGCCAGCATACTAGCGAGTAAAAACGATAGTGACGAGGCAATACTTCTCCAGAGCTCTACCAAGGGTAATATTATGAGAACCCAGGAGGTCAGCATCTCGTATAGGGAGACGGGTTTGGAATCGAAAGCGACTTCTCGAGAAGGCATCTGAATCACATTTTGGGTGCCAGTGCCGGGGATTGATCTGACACTAGTTATGCTGTTGGAGTAATGTGAGAAATGGAATCCATTAATAGATGAGCTTTCAGTACAACCAAAGCAACGATAGAAGACATGAATCCTGTTTAAGTGTCATCTCAACTGTAGCACCTTTATCCGAAATAGATACAATGAGTGCAGAGTCGTATTACGTGACACGAAAGTCATTGAGTCGTGTTTCTTAATCCCGCGGTCTAGGTTACCTTCCCCCGAGTCAGTATCTCCGCACCGAAACCACGAAATATTTCCGTAACTTTTCTGATTGGCTCTTCTGGACAGCTGAGTAATCATCTCAAAAGCCGGGTTAGCGCTGACGCGCCACCTTGTCCCCATCACCAACGCCCTGTTAGGCTAACTCAATACTCATCCTTATCTCTTCAATAAATTCCCAAGAAAATGTCTTCAAACTCCGAAAAAGAGAACTCGTCAACGCCAGAATCGGACTCTCGAGTACGCCAGTTCCACACGCGAAGTCGAACAGGCTGCTCCAACTGCCGGACCCGCCGGAAACGATGTGACGAGCAGCGACCGCAATGGTATGGCTGATCCCGAATCCTTGGCCCCCACTGTAAGCTGGGATCCGGTTACTAATGGGGAAAACGTAGTCACAACTGTGTCAAGGGTCAGAGGACCTGTGTTTATGCGCCTCCCAAGATTCCGTTGAGGGAACGGAGGGCGCAGCAGAAGGAGGCTCGTCCCTGGGATCAAACACCGTGGGAGATTGAGCAGCCGGCCAAGACTAAGGAGATGGCTTGCTTGAAGAAGACGACTGTTCCTCCTCGCTTAAGCTGTCTTAACCGTGATACCGGGTTTAATAAGTTGGCTGTTGCCATGCCGCTTAGATCTCATGAGTTGTTTCAATACTGCCAGTTGCCATGAACAGTTGTATTCTTGTGGAGTTGCTGACTCTATTTAGTGTTTGAATCGAGCCGGACGCTAAGAACGACACAAAAAGTACCGGGTACTGAATAGTGAGTATACCCGTCGATCTCGACATTCGTCGCTTACCGAAATAGTCTCGCGCGTATGACAGACAACCCATGCGCACTCCGAAGTGCCATCCTCATGGCTGGCATGCATTTCTCCTTCCAATTCGGCGACCTCGCTACATTCGAATCCACCTTCTTGTATCATAAAATCGAGGTCATGCGTGTCATAAATCGTTGGATCGCATCGGGAGACTACAAACTTGAGGCTGCGATTATTAGAGAAATGGCCACGTTGGCTTTCACAGAGGTAAGGCACCGTGCTATATGCTCCTCTTCGGAAGTATCTTGCTAAATGAGAGTCTCAGGCATGTCATGGGGAGCTTGTTGCTGCTGAGACTCATATCAGTGGCATCCTTGCGCTGATTGAGACTGCGCGACCTGAAAGAAGTGACCCGACACGTTCTGATTGCTGTTCCACCGACCGAGAACTAGCAAACCGCTATTTCGTCATGTGAGTCACCATGAACCCATCCATCTCGATGCATTTTCCCTCTTTCTGACGCATTACCATAGGTCGTATGTCTACATCACTGGCCTCAAGAGCTTACTCAGCGGCATTTGTCGAACTGGCGGCCACGGCAACAGTCTCGATGCTATACCAGGTCGAAACCTACTCAAGTTATCGCATACATGGCACATGAGCGAAGCCATGGAGAACCTCGGTCTCAAACTCCAAGCCATTCGGTTATTCCCATTCTTCTTCAGCCCACTGCCGCAGGGCGCACGGCTGAACAACGCAGACGGGAAAATAATCATCAACTCCATACGGGACTTTACGGCTGCACAGGATTGTATGTTCAAAAATACGGGTACAGAAACAGCTGATGGCAAGTTTGAAGGGTTCTGGCGCAAAGGGCCGGCGTCGAGGGTACTGGGAGAATATGTCACGGCACACATCGAATCTATTTCCGTACCTGGTAAGAAAGAAGAGAGTCCTCATATGACTCCATCATCATTCGTCGGACCATGGTGCGGATTGACTATCGCCTCCATCTTTTATATGCAGGATGTTCTCGGGGCGCTGGAGTATGTCGACAAGCGCATTCACAAATACGGTGTTACGTTACTCCAACACGATGTCGCCAAGATCATCACCTCGAAGGACGCACAAAAGAACGAGGCGTTTCTGCTGTGGCAGACATTGGTAGGCCTTATTGGCTCCTTACGAGCCCTGAAACATAACGAGCAAGACAGAGGATTGTTGTCAGCCAGACAGTTCTTCGCGGATGCTTTGAAGCAGCAAGCAACGACGCTAGGAATCACGACTTGGTCACAAGCAAAGGGGACGTTACGAAGGGTAGCTTGGCCGATGGGGACTACTGGTCGAGAATTTATAGAGGAGCTTTGGGAAAAGACTGTTACTAGTAGAGTTTAATTATAGAGGGTTGAATACATACAGTATCTAATATCATAAATCAAGACTTGCTTCAAGCCCTCCACCACTCTAGCTGCTTGATGAAGCTTTTTCAATCTGTGAACAGCTCACTTTTGCGCGTCTAGCTACGCCTCAATGCTGCTTGCTGCGCTTCCCTTGTTTTGTCTCTTCTTTGCGGCGTACAACCCTTCGTCGAGGCAGGGACTGAGGTCGAGGCATAAGTAGCCTGTTAACGGCCCGCAATAGCGGTGTACCAGGAACTGCGGTCTAATTGGTTACTTGCAGTCACAATAAATAAGATTTCCCCCGCCCGATTAGGTTGTTTAAACGGTGATGGTGTTTTGATTGCGTCTTTTACAACCTAGTATTGACCCTTGATCTTAATAGAAGTTGAAATCTATAGAAATGGCTTCGCTTGCCCGGGCCGTTAGTGCGGAAAAGAGAGACGTTTTTATATCATTAGTACGTACCAAGTTACTATACGTAATAATCGTAAGGTCAGATTTTAGCAACCATGATCTATAAATGGCATTATCTGCAAGACTTATTTTTATGGCTATTATATGTCTCTTACGATGTACTACTATTATTAGAGGTATTACTTGGCTTTACCTAATCCGGGCATAAGTTCTACATCTTCGGTCCAGAAGGGATCCGGACTGTCCCAGGGTATGATTGTGATGGTAAATTAGGCAGCTCGAATATCCGGCGGGGTTTAGCAACATGGGGTAATGCAGGGACTCTGACAATGCAGCAAGGGTCTACACGTACAAAATGGCTGACGAAAGTTGAGATGTCGTGGCAGCGAGCCCAAGTCTCTTTGCTTCTGAAACTGAATTATACTGTTGAAACCAAAGATGCAGCTCTGCACCTGGATCATATCTGGCTTTGTGACAGCCGTCGCTGCTACCGAGACTTATGACTATGTAAGTTCTTCCGCATCATAGTAGTCGCCCAAGCACTGCTAACCTTGATGCTATCTAGATCATTGTAGGAGGTGGCACTGCTGGAGGAGCCCTCGCCACCCGCCTGAGCCTTGGCCTTCCCAAGTCTAAGATCCTTCTTCTAGAAGCAGGCCCTTCAGCTCTAGACGATGTGCGCATCAACGTACCAGGAATGCGTGGTTCAATCTTGGGATCATCGCTCGATTGGAACTTTAGTTCCATCGCCCAGCCTAGCCTCAACGGACGATCCATTAGCGTCAACCGCGGCAAGGTTCTCGGCGGCTCATCTGCTATGAACTTCCTATGCTATGACCGAGCTGCATCCGCTGAATACGACGCCTGGAGTGAGCTCGGAAGTCCAGGCTGGAATTGGCATACTATGATTACTGGTATGAAGAAGTCGGAGAACTTCACGGGCAACGATGGTGACGTCCATGGTCACTCTGGTCCCATCAGCTCTACCTACAATCGCATCGTCCCTGATGTCCTGAAGCCATGGCAGTCTACCGTCAATAAGTTGGGTGTCCCAATCAATGACGGAGGATCTCTTGGTGGAAACCCTGTTGGAGTCATGTTTCAACCTACCAACATTGACGTGACCAACTACACCCGGTCATACAGTGCCAACAGCTACCTGCCAAAGGCTGGGCCAAATCTGAAAGTCAAGACGAATTTCCAAGTCGCCAAAGTGCTCTTTTCGTCTAAGAAGAGTAAGGGTTTGGTTGCTACTGGTATCGCTCTTCAAGATGGCTCTACAATCAAGGTCCGCAGGGAGGTCATCCTTTCGGCGGGTTCTATTCAGAGTCCAGGACTGCTTGAGTTGTCCGGAATTGGACAGACCAAGGTTCTTGCCAAAGCAGGAGTCAAGAAATTGCTTAACCTTCCAGGCGTTGGCGAAAATTACCAAGACCACCTTCGAACCTCCAATACGTACATCCTGAAGGAGGGTTACGAGTCCTTCGATCAGATGATCTTCAAACCAGATGGCGCATTGGCAAAAGAGCAGTTCAAACTATGGCTTGAGAACAAAGTATCGTGGTATGACTATACAAGCAGCGCCTACGCCTTTCTCAACTGGGCCCAGGTCAGCAATGACGTGCAAAAAAAGATGAAGCGACTTGTGAAGGACGGCTTTGCTAAAAATGGTACTGTCGTGGACAAAAAGAAGCTCGAGTATCTAAGCGACCCTTCTATTCCCCAGCTGGAGCTCCTCCTAGAAGCCAACTACGTTGGTGCTCAGGGCTATTCCGGTACTTCTCCCAACTTCATCACCATCTTCTCCTCCATCATGCGTCCCATGAGTCGCGGAAGTGTTCACGTCAGCGGGAAAGATGTAACGGGTAAGCCGATTATCGACCTGAAGTACCTCAACAACGAGTACGACATACAAGCACTCATTGAAGGTGCCAAGTTTGCCCGCAAAGTCGCCGAGACCGAGCCTTTGCGATCTGTATGGGCTGCAGAGTTTGAACCAGGCCTGGGGAAGAGGACAGATGCTCAATTGCGTGTCTGGGTCGTCAAGACAGTTAACAGTTTCTACCATCCTGTCGGTACATGCGCGATGCTTCCCAAGAAGGACGGCGGTGTTGTCGACTCGAACTTGGAGGTGTATGGCACGAAGAACCTGCGCGTGGTTGATGTTAGTATTATTCCTGTTCAGCTGTCGGGCCATATTCAGACGGCCGTGTATGGTGTCGCCGAGACAGCCGCGCAGAAGATTATCGCTGCGGAGAAGCAATATGCTTGGGGTCTGTAAAGAACCACTCAACACAGGCCAAAATGGCGAACTGGATCTTAAGGCGTGTGGCTAAATTGTTTATGTTCAACATGTATTGAGAACGTGAGGGTTTCTCGGGTCTCTTTTTCGCATCTCAGCAATTTTACCTAACCATTGTTATGAAGCACTAAACACTATATCTTACCATATCCAATATAAATCTCATTTCACTCTACTACGAGCCCCTAAATGAAGTAGTTGGCCAGCTATAATGAGGAAAAGCAAATAGTCAGCTATGACAGTTTTAAGTATTGCATGTTCTCGACCTTTTTTATTTAATTGCACCTGCTCATGTTCCTCTCCAGTATGCTAAGTTTAAACAATTGTTACAGCTTTCTTTACCCCAATGCTGTTACTCATATCCAGAATGGCCGACCTATACAATCAATTGACCTCAATAATTCCACTGCCTAGTAGTCATAAAAGTTGAACCTCGACTTTGGGTCATTGTTATATATAGTTAGTATCCAGTTGTCATTTATTTGCAGTTGAAACTTGTGGCTGAGAGCTTAGGTCAGCAGAGAACACCTAGCCGGGTTACCAGGCAAAGCCACGTAGAGAAGGACTGTGGTAAGCTCACTACATCAGTCCTAACCCGCCCTCAAGGGGCATGAAAATACTAAACCTTAGCATAAGGTGTTAAAATAAACTTGGCTAAGGGCACCCTAAGCTTAGGCTAAATTTACCTAATATTTTCATCCCTCAGAGTCAGGTCCTGAGTTTTCTTTCCCCCCCTAGCCCGCTGCCGAATGATTCTCTTGCCTCTTTGTCATGCTGCGTATCTTACCCAATGAACCAAAAACAGCGTAACTAGCGACTTCACTAGTCCCGGGTTACAGTCAAGCCGGTATCTGCAGGCGCTGCTCTTTTGCTCTTAGTGCACCGCACGCATTACTTCAGCTGTCAACAAGCCTGTTGATAGCTTAAACTATTTCCTATTTTAGGTCATAATGTCTTGGAACCCCGCTCCAATATGCAGCTTTTATGATCGACAACCAAGAAATATTGGCAGATCTCTTCCTAAATCGCGAGCTCAGCTGGAACAAAAGGTCAAAGCTCCATGATGAGGCAATAAGGGAGGATTGATAACAGCCCGTCGTTGAGAACGTGCCGTGCCGCTCCTTGCCAAGATTTTGACATTTTGGACTGAAGGAGACTAGCGTACATATATTATTGACTACTTGGCATATGAAATCTTACCGCATAATCTGATAAGAGCGGAAGCGTCTAAAGTCAAGGGAGTCAAAGCCTGGTTGTTGGAGCGATTTCCCCCCTCCTTCTTGAATCACAATGCATGACGATTGTCTGGTCGGTACATTCTCTTGATATTGAAATTTTGTCTACATGCACTCAATCGCAGAGCTAGACTTCTTCAATGTCAAGTGCGGGTAGGCCCTTGTTCTCGTCGTCAAGGATATCAACAATGCTTTTTAGGTCACTCGGATCGTTGACCTGCAGCATGGTCCCATCAATGGCATTGTAGAAAAAGAACTTGCCACTGCCGACCTCGAAGAGGTAGAGTGCTTCTCCCGTGTAGGGTGCCATTCCGTAGTGAGGCCTGATATCCCCGTCAATGCCACGGCCGCGTACCTCATCTTCAATTTGACCGCCCTGGGCCCAAAGCATATCCCCTCCCATCTCCTCGTAAGAGTTGACCCAGTTGGCTGGCGGTGGGATCTAAAATCTCGCCGGTTAGTCAGGGCGCTGAGGGAAAGGGAAGGTCATGATATACCCCATTGTCGGTGATCAGTACGCCGTCGGAAATTGTGGTGTATTGACTCATGTTGGGCAGCAGAGGTGTATGTAGGATGGATGAGGGTCAGGCAGTAGAGTGTGATGGCTGATGAGTAGTAGAGTCGAAATTGTGATGGGGAAAAAGCTGATCGAGGGACACTTATATACACGGCTCGGGCTAGTGATGTCACATGTAAACGACTAAGCTCAAGATGGTATGGCCAGACTGATAGATAAGGCCAATGTCAGTGCGCCTTGGGGAAGGAGCACATCTCAGGGCTCATATAGTCCAAGTGGTCTATTACACAGTCATTATTATTGCACTTTCGAAGGAGCTTTACGTTCATAGGAAGAAAACTTCTGATCTCTACTAGTAAGATGGCCAGTGTCATGGATGTAGACTTGTCCCCTCTCAGAGCTCCTAGTTCAAATGCATTTAATCCCTCTTCATCAAGACCTGCCACAATCTTTTCGAGACTTAAGTTTCCGTTGACACGGTACATAGAATCGTCGAGAGCATTCCAGAAGAAGAAGTCCTGGCCGCCCACCTGCATCAAGAAGAGGGCCTCCCCCCTATAAGAGCATTTGCCGTAGAATGGCTGGATATCTCCATCGAGGCCCCGGCTTTTTACCGTCGCTTCCACCTCTTCGTTCCAGCGCATGTCGCCACCAATCTCATCATATACGTTTGTCCAGTCTCTAGGAGGGGGTATCTGCTGAGCTGTCAGATAATCCTTAAGGAGCTGAAATGTGACTATGAGGAGCGGCTAACGTCAGTGTTGGTGACGACGACACCGTCGACGACTTTGGTGTGATTACTCATGGTAGATATCGGTGATTGAAGGGATGTTGCGTTCAGAAAGTAGGTGTAGGTGCAAAATATTGGTCACATAAAGCTGCCTGGAAGATGTGGCTAATGGCCGAACAAAAATGAATATTTATACACCACCTGGCCCTGAGGAAGACGTCACCGCACAATGTTAAGGTGCAAGGGTACTGCAAGGGTAGCTCAGCCGTAAGCGCTGATCTTAATTCGTGGTTATCTTGATCTACCAACTTACATCGCTAGCCCGCGTTTATCAGCTCTTTTCTGCACACCCTATTTCATGACATGTACAAACCAGTATATCTGGAAATTCTTGCCTTCTGCTTATGGCGTCGCTTGCAAGCTTGGTTATATGCCAATACTCTCTTGAAGCAATGTAAAATCGAGGAGGTTATGCCGCTTCCGGCATCGGGCATATTGAGCGCTTGGAAGTATTATGACCCTTTGCCAATCTTCTTCAGGCTTAGAGTAGTCTTGGTACTTCGGGCCAACGACGAACTCCCTACTAATAGATACCTCCAACTTATCAGCCTCGAGGCACCAACCAGCAGCCAAGCGCTGCTGGTGCGGAGGGTGAGTGAAGTTCGAGTTTTTGAAGTCTTAACCAGGAATGCAATCGAATAATCCGAGCGTGAAACTGTTTGCCATGATCTTATAGCGAAGGACAGGTGCACGCCTGGGAGATTAAAGTCTCACTTAACTCGATTTATGTATCACCTTTATATCAGCTGTTCTGTAAGCCGAAGGATGCACCGACTGACTCGACGACTGCTTATCCTGTCATGCCATTGATCGATCGAGTCGATTCAGGCCAAGAGCCTCGATATACCCTGCCGCTTCGAGCCTGTCGAGGACGGTGAGGATAAGGGCAATCTCCCTCTCATTTACCAATCGCAGCTCAGTTGAGCTGCTGGCGATGCACTCGAGACGCTTGAGAAGCTTACAAATCCCCGGTCTGAGGCTGGGGGTGGGTTCGCGCCGCGGGATGATACGTACTGGGTAGCTGTGGGTATGAAGATCGATGCCTTCCAGATGATCTCTCTCGACGCTGTCGTGGTCATGTTTGGCCAATCTGTCAAGCTGGGTATCTACGCCGTTGCTCTGGTTGATATTCCGAATGCTAAGTCTCCTATCAGATTTGCTCACGTTGAGCTTGACATTGGTGTTACAGTTAACTTTGACTACAGAACCATGAAAGTGGAAGTCCAACTATCGCCCAAGTCGTTCATTCTGGACCCCAACTGCTATCTCACAGGAGGTTTAGCGTCATACTATTGTTTCGACGCCACGCATGCTGACAAGTCGCTCGTTAGCAGCTTCGTCTTCACCCTAGGTAGTTATCATCAAGCCTTCAGAATCCCAGACAGATGGCTTGGCCGTGTCCACCGCGCTTAGGCATTAGTTGGTCTCTCGGAAGCCATCTCAGTCTATCTGGCGAGGCATACTTCGCGATAGCGCCCAAGGTCTGTATGATGGCGGAAGATTGCACGCAGCTTTTAGTGCTGGCCCCAATTTGAGTTGATAGTCCCCACAGCTGATGGCTCACATCACGCGCCTCACACACGAAGCTTGGTTTGACGCTATTGCGAACTTCCTCATCAACTACAAGCCTTTCCACTTCACGTCCAATGCAGGCATCTGCGTTGGCGTTCTCTTTAACATCGACTTCTTGTTTACATGTTGAGATTGGGGCAGACTTGTCTGTGTGGGGACCGCCGCTTGCTGGTTGAGTGCACGTCGATATCAAGGTGGCCAAGGTTGACATCAACTTCAGTTCGGAAAAGCACGATGAGAAGGAGGCCAATATTGAGGAATTCAACCATATAGTTCTTCAGGCTAGTGGTCAACAGCAGGAAACGAGACAGTCGGCATGAAAGGAGCGCGCATGATCGCTGAGTGCGAAGGAAAGATTTTGCCTGAAGATCCCAGTCAAGGACATACCTTCCTCGCCAACTCGGGATTTCTGAACAATAGTTCTTCTAGTTATCGAAAGCAGAATGAAGAGTGGGTTGTTCGTGCAGGATCATTCTCATTCGTTGTTGGTTGCAAGATGTCAGTCGAAGATGCCAAGTATTTTGATGAAGAGAAGAATGTAGTCAACTCGGTCTCTTCGAAGGGTCCTACCATCTACGTTCGGCCAATGCACCTCAAGGAGGCTATGGCTAAGTCAGATATGAACATTGTGATGACTCAAGATGGTAATGCCCGTGCGATATGGGGCATGACACAGGAGTACAAGCCGGTGCCAGCAGGTCTTTGGGCCAGACGTAAGTCTAAAGGAAGTCCATATTAGATGTTTACTAACAAGACGGAACAGATGATGAGAGTCAGGATCCTACCAAGAGCAATGAAGGTAAAAGTATCCACGATTTGCTCGACATTAACTCCGGCAGTTTGAAGCTTATGATGGGTATCCTCATGCAAGGCCCACCAGCTAAGATGTCTGAAGATAACCTCAAAACCTTCAATATCCTTGCTCAAGGGGAGAGTCCTTCAAGCGGAGAAGCCGTTTCCAGACACAGAATCACCCGAAGAAGACTGGAATCCCAGTAAGCCCAAGGATGCTAGGGGGTGAGGAAATACAGCGGACGGGCTTTGGTGGGAGATCAGCGATTTTTGGTGTAAGCCGTTCCGCTGTTTTCCTGACCCCGAGGGGATGGCAAGCAACAGTGGAACGATGTGCATAACAAGTGGTCTTCACCAGAGTGGAACGAGGACCGTGATGGCGGAGAGGACGTCCAACAGACTTTTATTAATACTTGGTTTTGGGTGGGGAAAGGCCTTGTCAAGTTTGGGCAAGCTGCCTAAGCTTTTGGGCGAGAGGCTCGGTGATCTGTATGTCAAGGCCCCACTAATCGTATTTAAGTGTGCTATTTATGTTCAGTTTAGATACGATTTGGTCAGAATGTTGAAACAGAAAGATGACATCAGACAGAGGCAAAACACAGTCATTACCACATCAACTATACGTAGTTTTTTATCTTCAAAGTTTCACAAGATGAACCAATTACGATTATGCCGAAGCGAGTTCACTAGCAAGGATGTCCCAGCCCGATTTTTTACCTCTGATGAGAGCATGAGCTAATAGTCTAGGGTATCAAGATAACCGGAGCTTTTGCACCGGAGTCATCGGACCGGGCCTTTGGAACCACAACGAAGCGACTAGAGAAAGATAAAGCAAGTTACAGAACGTTCCATCAATCCTAAAGTGGACCTATCGTCATCACGAGATCACTGTTAGATGTGAATTGACAGCTGTAACTGTTCCGGGCCGACAACGTCGTTTGGATCGATTAATGCGTTAGCGGCCGTAGATAATTGTATATAAGCTTATGAGAAACCTTGTGCTGGTGTTTGATCTTCCTGATGGTATTTCTGTCTAAGTTTCTAGTGACGTAATAATGGCGAACCTCGAATCTTATCTTCAAGAGCTTGAGCGAGACTTTACGGTTGATACCGCAAAGCTCAAGCATATCACCAACCATTTTATTGATGAGTTAGATAAAGGTATAACCCGAGTTACTCACATGAGAAATGAAAGCTAAGATCGATGTAGGGTTGAGTGTCAAGGGTGGCAGCATCGTAAGTGTTAGATTTACGCCATTGTGACGCGTCGACTAATCGTTAACAGCCTATGAACCCAACATGGGTAATGCAACAACCAACTGGTCACGAAACAGGAAAATATCTCGTCCTAGATCTCGGCGGCACGAACCTCAGAGTCTTCTCCGTTGAATTAACCGACGAAAAGTCAGGCTTCAAAGTCAGCCAAGTCACGCACAAACTACCTAAAGAATTGAGGACAGGATCTGCCGAAAGGCTTTGGGATTTCGTTGCTGGACACCTTGAAGAATTCCTCAAAACAGCTGATTTTGAGACTGGAACGAACACCGACTTGAGCTTCATCTTTTCTTTCCCTACGACGCAGCGAACTATTGACGAGGGAATTCTTCAGAGGTGGACGAAGGGTTTTGATGTCTCTGATTGTGAAGGTCGCGATGTAGCGGCGTCGTTGAGACATGCCATCGCGAAAAGGGTATGCATTCTGCAATCATAGTACGACTACGAGACTAATAGAAAACAGAAACTCCCTCTTGAGGTCCGAGTCGTGACAAACGACACAACCGCCACGATGATTGCCTCAGCATACATCAACTCCGAGACCGCAATTGGCTGCGTTTTTGGCACGGGCTGCAACGGCGCTTACTTCGAACGATGCCAATCCATCCCCAAGCTTGACATGGAAGGGCTTCCCGCCGAAGCACTCATGGCGATTAATTGCGAATGGGGCGCTTTTGACAACGAGCATGTTGTCTTGCCTTTGACGTCATTTGACATCGCTATTGATGATGCGTCACCGAGGAAAGGCCAGCAGGCGTTTGAGAAGATGGTTGCGGGATTGTATCTTGGGGAGTTGTTTCGGTTGATTATGCTTGATGTTAAGAAGAGGGATGATACGTTTTGGGAGGGGCAGAGCTTGGACAAGATGCAGGAGCCGTATTTTATGGACTCGTCGTTTTTGTCGGCGATTGAAGAGTTCGTCATCCATCCTCTACTTATGAGATCTCTCAACTGACAATTGGCCTAGGGACACGTCGGAAGGTTTAAAGATATCGCATGACTTATCCGTCGCCAAGCTCGGAGTATCTCCAAACCTGCAAGAGCTCGAGTTCATGAGAAGCGTCGCGACGCTGATAACAACCCGCGCGGCGCGTCTTTCATCAACAGGCGTAGCAGCGATATGCTTGAAGAGGAATCTCAAGACATGTCATGTTGGCGTTGAGGGATCTCTGTTTGAGAAACATCCTCATTTCAAAGGCGAGCTGTCCAAAGCGTTAGGTGAGATTCTTGGTTGGGAGAAACTGTCACCTAATGGCGAGCATGATGTGAAGTTTTTGCTTTCGCCCGGAAGTGGTGTTGGTGCAGCTGTTATTGCGTCAACTCTTACTAGAAGCAAGCATGAAATTTAAAATACATTGCGAGCTGGAGGTTAATGTAGGAATGAGTCTACGATCTGTATTAATATAGATGAGGGAAATTGGAAAGATGCACAGGTTGAGCTCTTGTCTAGGGTACCAATAGTATGAATGGCAATAAAGAAAACCACTCAGGCCCAACACTGAATTGGGCGTGGGAACTAAACCAGAGTGGATCAGCTTCAGTCTTCCTCGGCTGAGATGCCTACTATTGGACTTTACTCCCTGCATCAACATCATCCTGCATTCACCACATTTCCAACCCATCACAAAGGCCAACGACTTGCAGCATCTCATCGCCATAATCAAGAGGACGCATAGAAAGTCCGGACGGGCTGTCGCTGATCTATGTATAAAGAAAACACCAAGCGAGGCTGTGAAGGAGCAGTGGTTCTTTAAGGTAAATAAGAAATATTTCTGCATGGAACCTGTATTTATCGAGCAAATGTACAGTCTCCACAGTAAGGGGGATATGGAGCCTCAGGGAGATATAGACATGGTGGTGGAAAAGTATATAAACGGATATCTAAAGAAAGAGGACGAGGACTTTCAGGGGAGGACGACAGAAGAGATTATAAAACTGTTCCAGGGGCCCCAAACAATAGAAATAGCCTAATTAAAGATTTAACTCCAGCTGCCTCTAGCGGCGCTCTTAATAAGATATATAGACATAATAGAAAGAGATTTAACTATGCCCTTTAAAGCTTACAGTTTGTCTGCCTATTGTATTTTATAAAGCGCGTCAGCCCGAGAAGGTATTAAAGAGAAATTGCACCTAGTCTTAAAATAAGTAACTATATCAAGACATAATGCTGTAAGTTATATAGAGAGTGAGAATTATTATGAAAAGATATATTATGCATATCTGTCTTTCGAGGTGTAGAAAGATGGCGGAAGGTCGAGGATTAACTTTTGTGGATCTAGGCTAACTCGATATCGACTGGAAGAACGATTCTCCACTGACTCTCCCAGATTAGGGATCGCGACGTTGAACAATTCATCACTCCACTTTTAATTCTCTTTATTCACCCTCCTTTGAGGAACATGTCTGCCTTTAGACCTGCCCGCTCTTTGCAAAGCTTGTTCGTCTATAAGCGACCTCAAGCGCGGATCTCAATATGTAGTCTTCAACATAGGTCCTTGGAGACATCCAGCCCAGGTGCCCGCGCCGAAAGGCCAGTGCGACTGATGGACAGACATGACAATGAAAAAGTCAGTTACGCCTCACCCTCGTTTCTCAATGGATTCCCTTTCCGATACTCATACGCACAGATCATAAATCACTGCTCCTTTAGAAAAGACGTCTCAAAGATCCCATTTGGATATGCGTTTGTTCCATCGCACAAAGCTGCTATAGCGCACATCTGCCGGCGAATGGCGAGAAGGCAAAGGAGGGAGATATTTGCTTGTGTCAATACCCAGCGACAGAGACCCCCGACAGACTCGCAGCCAAAGGTCGGGCCACAACCAGCTTTTGGTCTCTACGTCCCATCCGATATTGCCGATGCTGCTACGATTCAATTTGAGGAACAGATAAAAGCTGTACAGGCAAAGCAAATGTTTTATATAAGAGAATTCTTTCGTTATATGCCTTATAGGCACATACGTTCAATGCATGCCAAGGAATACAGGTACCAGCGGCGATCGGATTGGGATTTGAAAAAGTTAATGAGGGAGGTCAAGTGGACAGTGCCGCACAAGGTTGAGAAGTATCTTAGGGACTACATTCGCAAAGAGGGAGGCAAGCTTACGGATGAAGAAGTAGCGTCGGTGATGCGATCGTGGAAGGTTGGCAGCGAGATGCCGAATGTTGGGATTATCTAACATTGACTGGACTTGCTTGGTTTCTGGCTTGGCTACCTGACTTGAACTGAGTTGTAATGATCAAAGTCCTTAAATAATCAGAGCTTAGTCAGATATCCAACCGCGCACTTTATGATGTCTACAATCTCATCGGCTTGTTTCCATAGATCGTTGTGATCACCGCTAGCTTTCATCTCAACAATCTCCAGCGTTGATGTCTTTCTGAGGTGTTCCTTCATAAGCTCAGTCTGGGCATACGGGACAAGACCATCTTCCTTGCTCTGGGCAATCACAACGACCTTGCCTTCAGGCCACTCTGCGCTCCAGTCTGTGACACTCGTAGGACAGACAGCTTTCCATACTGCCTCATCGTCGCCGAAAGCGTTTTTCGTGAAGTCGGTATACAGTGGTTGAAGTTGTTTGTGGGATTCTGGTGGGTTGTTGATAAAGGCAGCGAGATCGTATAGTCCGTTGAGAGGAGCTATGACTCTTGGCTTCCTTACCTTTGGAATCGAGATTCCCTTTGCAGCACCTAGCCAGTGATCAGGGTTCATCAATGTCTGGAACGTCATGGTAGCGCCGCAACTGTGACCTGACAGGACATAATCATGAGCTAATCCAAGATCATTTTGCAGAAATGAGATAGCCGTGAGCAGAGCGATTATATGATCAGGATGTTTCGCTTGTCGAGCAGCATCAACAGGCTCGGACGAATCGCGAGGTGGTGCAGGGTGCGTAGGATGATTGGGATGGCTGGAAAGAGGATAATTGATTGATACGACGCCTGCGATAGGTGTGTCTTTGTCGCTCAGAAGTTTGAGGGCAGTTGCTTCGAAGGACGAAGAGTCGACGAGCGGGTCTCGCCATGCCCCGCCGTGGATATAGATGACCCAAGGGCCTTTGCCTTGAGGCAACACGTCTGCTGTCGGGAGTGAAGAATCCTGAACAGATTTTGGTTGCCAAATGTCGAGCGTGTGTAGGTATGTTGCATCTTGTGTATATGGAACACGGCGTTTATGCCATGTATCGCCAGAATCGACCCATGAAGTTGTGGACCAGAGCTGTGACGTCATTGTTCCAACGAATGGCGATTCTAAGGCCTTAATATTATTTTTAATCTCTTTACTATGATTCAGAGGCACAGAGACATTTAGCGGAGAATTTCATGAGAATTGGCGAATTTAATACTCAAGGAGTTCTATCAACCCCGCCTAGGCTTCTCACGACAGGTGCTATCCGCACTGTTCGGATACGGATGCGGAGAAAGTGACCCGTTTCCGCTCAGCCGACTCACTCCGAAATCTGCGGGTGATTCGGAAATGGAATTATCCTTTCCGCCTTCTCCAATCACCCGCCGTGAATCTCAACGGTTTCGATTAACAGATGATAAGATAATGCCTCTGTGATTAAAATGCTCTTCCTAAAGGTCAATGACAGAATGAAGGGCATATGGAAACAGGAATTTACAGTGAATGTGGATGATCCTGGCATTTTTGACAACGTGTCGCCAAAAGATGCATCTGCTTCCAATGGATATGTCTTGAGTATCACCATGGTCTCTACGTTCGAATCACCTTGTAATCCCAATCATGAATACCGTGTTACTGCTCATCACAAACATGCCTCAAGCCCTTTCATATTCTTCGCCGGGATTAACTCTCAAGTCGCGTCACCTCGATTGTCTCACGAACGACACGTGATCTCATTCAGGTATAGCGTGTTTTCATTTTTTCACTCCTGAGAAAGCGAAATCGATCCTAGCCCAATACCAAGACCGCCAAGGCCACCATCATGTCCTCAGCCAACCAGGATGAGCAGAGCCTCGAAGACAGACACCCGCAAGTAAATACTCCGGCGATATTACCTACAGAGACGCAATGTTCTACGATGCCCAAAAGAGATTCTAGCGCTTGGCTCTCGCGATGCAAGAAGACGTTGATCAAGTTCTTATCCTTCATCGGTCCTGGCTTCATCATCGCTGTCGCTTATAGTAGGTCTTGCTTACTATACCCATCTTCATTCATGGCTTATAATGCTCTTCTAGTTGATCCTGGAAACTACTCAACAGACATCGCTGCCGGTGCCTCTTACCGATTCAAGTTGCTCTTCATTGTTCTGTTGTCTAACCTCTTTGCTATCTTTCTGCAAAGTCTCGCTATCAAGCTAGGTACTGTCAGCGGACTTAACCTAGCAGAAGCCTGTCGAGCATTTCTACCGCGATGGCTGAACATTATACTGTACATATTCGCTGAAATTGCTATTATTGCGACCGATATCGCTGAGGTATGCCGTTTTTGGAGTACTCCTTGATGCACATTTACTAACATCAGGATTCCAGGTAATCGGTTTTGCAATCGCACTCAACCTTCTGTTCCCCAAAGTCCCTCTCGTTGCAGGATGTGCTATCTCTATCGCAGATGTCATGGTCATTCTCTTGTTCTACAACCCAGACAAGTCTATGAGAGGTCTGAGGATATTCGAGTACTTTATTCTCTGCCTGGTTATGGGAGTTGTGATATGCTTCTGTATCCAGTTGTCGTTGATACAAAACACTTCTGTTGGAGAGGTGTTCAAAGGCTACTTACCCTCAAAAAGCATCGTCGAGCAACAAGGGTAAGTTCCCAAGCAGAAGTTGTGCAGTAGAGTTGTTCTGACCAGCTTAGGTTGTATCAGGCATGTGGTATTCTAGGCGCGACCGTCATGCCGCACAGCCTGTACCTAGGCTCAGGCATTGTCCAACCTCGACTACGCGAATACGACGTCAAGCGAGGACTCGTGCCTCCCCGCCCGTCTCCGAGCAGTACAGGCAATCAAGTCTCGGAAAAGACATACTACATCCCATCGCTTGAAGCTATCCAATCCTCACTCAAGACTTCCATCGCCGAACTCGCCATCGCCCTGTTCACCTTTGCCCTCTTCGTCAACTCGGCTATCCTGATCGTTGCCGGTGCCTCTTTATACGGGAATCAAGACGCCGTTGATGCCGATATCTTCAGCATACATGATTTGCTCGCATCATCAATCTCCCCTGCGGCTGGAATCTTGTTTGCATTGGCTCTGCTGTTGTCCGGCATTACCGCGGGTATTGTCTGTACCATTGCCGGCCAGGTGGTCAGTGAAGGTGCTCTCAACGTCAAAATGCGTCCCTGGCTACGCCGCTTGATGACAAGAAGCATCAGTATCACGCCAAGCATAATTATCGCTGGCGCAGTAGGCCGGTCCGGTCTCAACGCCGCCCTCAACGGCTCGCAGGTAGCTTTGAGTATCGTTCTGCCCTTTGTCACCGCGCCCCTCATTTACTTCACGAGCAGGAACAAGTTCATGACTGTTAGATCTGGTCCTGCACGACTGCATGTTGAAGGACAGTCGACGCTGATGACGGGACAGAGAAATGATGAAGATGATGTGAAAATGAGAAATGCATGGTATACTACCGCCATTGCAGTAGTGATATGGCTGATTATCGCTATTATGAACGTCGCCAATCTGGTGTTGCTTGGCAAGGGCCAGTAGGTAACTTAGCGAGCATGGTAACGCACCGCGTTTATAGACATTTGATAGACTCGCCCATCACTAATGGGAATTAAGATACTTTCATACAACGGCAGGCTTACTCCACAACTTAGTCGTCGTAGTCGAAAAGACTGATTGCAAGGGCCCTCCGAGACCAATGATACTGCAGCTAGCAGGTACAACACACCGTGCTCACGTTACTATTTCTGATGCTCCCTCGCGATTTTTTGATCCGATCGCGAAGCAGTGAATATCAATGGACATAGACAGATCCTTTTGATTCATTGTCACTACGCCTGCACTCTGTATATGTGACTCTCAGACCAGGAGCTAACCCTTTGTAGTGTCGTGATACATCACCCCCTCTAGCTAATTTAGCGTCCGACATCCTATCCGGTTATCAAGTATCCAACGGCTTCCCCACGATTATGTATCCAGATGATCTGCATTGGGGTATTAAATTTCCAGTACTATGATCTGGGGAAGATCTGGAATTCTGTTATCCGGACTGTCCAAGCACCAATTGCACTGACAGGTAGAGCCATGACAGCGAATCAGTGACATGGCATTCCTAATATATAAACTCATTAAGATACAGCGTTGTCTAGATAGAATCAATTCGCCTCTATTCAATTGAGATATTACTAGTTGTTAACAATATGCTTCGTCCTCGCTTCTCCGCCGCTCACCACTTTACCCTGACCACCTTTGGATGTCAATACCATGCTGACACTCCAAGTACCGAAAAGCTCGACCTGATCGAAAAGTTTGATGATCTCATTAAGGACGCCGGTGTCCCGGTCGAGCGACTAGAACAAAACAATATCCCCTCCAGGGTTTGGATGACTTACTGGACCTCACCTCAGACCTTCAAGTCATGGTGGCAGAGCGACGCTACAAAAAGCTTTTGGCGATCCTTTCCAGATGATGCTGGCTTCTGGAGGGAGTCAGTTTGCCTTCCTGCGACTAGAGCTATGCATGAGTGTACAGGCAAAGATCCAGTTGGCTTTGGTCATTGCGGAGAACTTGTCCCTCTGACTGAGAAGACCGGGTATTGGGGAGCATATCGTTCTCGTATGACGCCTGACTTTGAAGGCGACACCTACAGTTCGTCTTCTAACGACTGGCAGCCTCCAAAGCCTATGACGGATAAGATTCGTCGTGGAAGAGCTCAGATCACCAAATTCCCGGACAACCTCTGTATTGTTATTGAAGGACAAGACTACAGTCATATGAAGGAAAAGGAGCGCGAGTACTGGAACGAGAATTTTGATGGTCTTACCAAGGAATGGGTTACGAATGTTGTGACAGCAGGTATGGAGAAGGGAATGGTGTCAGCGAGGGCATGCCACGCATTTGCGGGAAAGAAGACACTGGGAGCAACAAACGGTACAGCCTCCAATGGTACAACCAATGGCTCGACCAATGGCATCAATGGCACCAACGGCACGCACAAAGGTGGCATATTCCCAGGCCTCGACTACATCCGCCAAGCCCAGATCCTGTACTGGACCGACCTCTCCAAGATGGAGCACATGGGCCGATGGGACAAAGGCCACGTCAAGCTACGACGTAACTTCATGTCAGCATACGGCCCGGGCGGCGCAATGCAGGGCGGCGACATCCTGCTCTGGGTCGATCTCGGCATTATCAAGGGCGACGAGATCGACGCCGAGTATGTTGGGTGCTACGAGGGCACAGGGTTTCTCGCGTTTGACAAGAGCGCGATGTTCGCGAGCTCGAGCGTCACTGCGGCTGAGCTGCCGCCGATTTTCGATAAGCCGGTTGCGTGTCGGCCAATAGAGTGGTAGATCTCATGCGTGGTCAGATTGGCTGAGACGGGTGAAGGGAATGCTATTGGGTGACGGGACATGCCGCTTATTCGGGACCCGAAGACTAGAGATGCTGTGTAGCGAACTTGGTGATTGCGGCTGCAGAAATTCGTGGAAATGGTTGTCGGTATGCACGTTCGGCATGTTCTTATCACACCGTGAATAGAGCCCTCACGTCAGATGGCTGCCGACGCCTGTCAGAAGGATAATCAGGAATGAGGATGTCAGATTGAACAACATATATATAATATAGCTATGGTAGTCTTGGCATGAAGAGAGAATCTATAACAATTTGTTCAAAATTCATTTCCATCTAAAATTGCATCTTAGAGACCATTTAGCATCTTACAATTATTACGATCAATTCTTGAAAATGGCTTCAACAACCCAGTCCAACCTCTTGCAGCTGGCACAGACTGTCCAGCAGGCGACGGAGACCATCGTGAAACACCTCCAGGACACTGATCAGCAGGAACCGTCTTTTGATCAGAACAGCAAAGCGATCCAGGGTGATGCCGATATTCACTCTACCAGGATCCAGCTCAACGATGCAGCGCAAGACCTTCTGCGTCTCGTCAACGGCCCAGCAAATGAATACCGCTCCTTTTACATGAGCCACTACACTCTTGCAGCATATCAAGTTGCTCTTCATTTCAAACTCTTCAGACATGTCCCTCTTGGCGGCAAGATCAGTATTGCCGACCTTGCTTCCAAAGCCGGCATCGATGAAGGTCGATGTCGCAGGGTGATCAAACATCTCGCGACTCAACGCGTCTTTGAGGAAGTCGAGCCAGATGTATTCACTCACACCGCAAGCTCTGCGCTCATCGCGCGAGACAGTGACATGGAAGCTATCCTCTGGATGCAATTCGACGAAATGTTCAAGGCAGCTTCTGACGCTGCCAAATTCGTCCAAAATGATCTCAACGGTTCTAAAGACGCTGATTCACCGTTCGCCACTCGTCATGGCAAGCCGCCGTATCAATTCTACGCTGATGTCCCTGAGAAGGGCCTCAACTTTGCAAAGGCCATGGCTGCGCTGACTCAGTCGGACCGCTCAGTCACTGCCCTTCGCGATGGGTTCCACTGGGACAAGCTTGAAGCTCCTGGAAAGGTTGTCGACGTTGGCGGTGCGAGTGGTCATGTTTCCATGGACTTGGCAGCCGTATTCCCCAACCTTAGCTTTGTCGTTCAGGACGTTAGCCCTGAAGCTCTCGAAGACGGAAAAGCAAAGTTGCCATCTGAGATCGCAGACCGAGTCTCATTCATGCTGCATGACTTCTTCAAGGATCAGCCCATCACTGACGCCAACGCGTTCTTCATGCGTCAGTGTCTCCATAACTGGCGGGACGAAGACTGCATCAAGATCCTTCGAGGTCTTGTCCCAGCGCTTGAGAAGTGCAAGCCTGGAACTCCTCTTCTCATCAACGAGGAAGTCTTACCCGAGCTGAATGAGGTCTCAAAGTATCAGGAGCATCTTTCGCGACAGTGTGACATGTGTATGTTTGTGGTCGCCGGGTCTAAGGAAAGAACTAGAGGAGACTTTGAGAAGTTGCTCAAAGAAGCGGATTCCAGGTTCAAGGTTGTCAAGGTTCACAGGAATAGCACGAGCACTATGGGTCTCGTTGAGGCGTATCTCGGCTAACAAGTCTCATTCATGTTTACTAAGCAACGTTCACTATATATATGCATTAAGCCAGAAGCATCAGAGTATCGGTCGGTGCCATATGAGAAAATAGGGTTAGACAGTATATGCAGAACCAAGCCCGACGTCGCGGTCAAACATCTTTGAAGTTGCTTACATAATATACATTATGGTTGATGGAATAGGCAGTATTGGGCTGATAGAGCCACCAAAGAAGAATACATCCACTACATTCCGTCTTTGTATCAGTCAGGCCATTACCCTCAGTTTTGTGGCCTCCCTGTTAGATGATCTCACAATTATGTCCAATTAGATACGGTCATTAACAGGACGTACACTCTCTTTTCCAGGCTTTTTAGAAGGATCGAGCATTTCTATAGTGAGACGCAACCAGGACAACCAGGACTTTAGCGATGTGAGAAGTGAAGGTCCAAATGGTTCGGCAATGCAGTCATGTACCACGGTAGGGTTTCGCCATGCTTCGAAATAATATAGTGCATAACTCAACACATTATCAGCTATTCCACCTACAAAGGCCTAGGATCAACACTCTGCAAAGTCGGCGTAACCTTTCCAAATAACCCCGTGTCTTTGTCAATGGGCACCTTATCAATCGTAGTCTCCCTATTGTACCCATTTCCATCGGGAATATGGAATCGATGATACGCAATATACCACTCATCCGTTCCAGGAATGTTGATAATGGAGTTATGTCCCGTAGCAAGAATGCCCTTCGATTCATCCTTCTCCAGAAGTACACCACGATACGTCCAAGGTCCAATGGGGTTATCCGCCGTAGCGTACCCAACGCGATAATTCTCTGAGCCAGTATCGTCGATGGAGTATGTCAGATGATATGTTCCATCGCGATAGTTGACGAAAAGCCCCTCGCGAAAGTTCTGGAGACCGGAGATTTTGTGCCAGCCTGCTTTAAGAGAGACCATGTCGTCGTTCAGCTCTGCGACGATAGGGATACCATTTCCCCAGTAGATGTACCACTTCCCAGTCTCAGGATCTTCAAAAGCAGCGGGATCAATAGCCTGGTTGCTAACAATCTCTTCATCAGAAGTTCCCTTGATCATCGGCTTATCCTGCGCTTTCCAAGGTCCCTCAGGATGATCAGCCACCGCCGCACCAATACTCTTATGTCCATCGCTCACAGAGGGATTATTCCCACTGTGATAAAAATAATACTTGCCTCCGCGAGCAGCGAAAGCAGGAGCCCAGGCATTACCAGTGGCCCAGGGAACGTTGCCACTCGTGCCATTGAGAGTAAGGAATGGCTTGTCGCTCTTTGTCCATGATACGAGATCTTTTGATTTCCACCAGTAGAAGACGTTGCCGCCCCAGCCTTCGAAGCCGTCGGTGGTTGGGAAGATGTAGTATGTCTTGTCGACGATGGCGATGTTGGGGTCAGCCCAGAGACCGGGGAGGACAGGGCTATCGCGTTTCGAGAGGGCGAGGGATGAAGCCTCTTTGAGGGTTAGGAAGGCCACGAGGAGATGGCTGGGGAACGATAGAAGACGCATGATGGGAAATCTGAACACGGTTCGTAGGGTCTGTTTCGCGGTTCGCTACATCACGATGAACGGCGACTTACACGGTCTATATATCACCACCAGATCGCCAAGCGTCACCATTTCCTGGAACCATTATTCAATTACCAGTTCTCCGGCCCGTCACGGACCGAACATTCTTCTCCATGGGGTAGACCATCCATTCCTGTGATTCTATTCGTGCGCAAAGTCGAGATGTTTCCCCCGCATTGACTCTGGGGGATCGGCGTTGCGGGGTGCTTAAGCGCTCGAGTTATTGGGCAATTAGCTGGGCTCGTATAAACCTCCAATACTACCTGCCGAGATCGTGGGGCGACTAAACCACGTTTTGGTCACGCGGTGGGACGATCCCTCGGCTTGCTTCCTGTTCATCCCTAGTCTTGAATGGACTACGGTAAGGATTTCAGGACATCGTTACTCCGAGGCTTTGGAGCCATGGCGTCTGTGTCTCAATGCCACTGTTACTTTGTCGCATAGTCACCGCGATTGACACAAGGGTCCATGCACTATCATAATAGACCTTTTCTCGCTGCAGATTTGTATGTTATTCGTGGCAGATGGCCATGCAGGATATATATAAAAGTTGAAGTATTTACAGATGCAATTCGTGTATAGACAATGGATTCCAGGTCACATCCAATCCCCAGTTCAGTCCTCTAATAAGCAACAGGCCAGCCATTGTCATATCTGAGCAAGTTGATACCCAACAGCGCCGTGCCAGCGTTATTGTAGTAATGGTAAACAAGAACGTCCGCATCATTATCAGTGAAAACAGCGTTATGTCCTGGTCCATGAATAGATCCATGGCTAGCCATAATCTCTGTTCCTCCACCTGACATCATCTGCTTACCAGCCTTGTCAACATAAGGACCAGTAATGCTGCTCGAACGTCCAACCATGACACGGTACGTGCTAGAAGCGCCCTGGCAGCACTTGTCGAACGACACCCAGAGGTAGTAAGTGCTTCCACGCTTGGTGATGAAGGGAGCCTCGACGGCGCCTTCGACGGAGGCGTCGCGCTTGGCGAGGGAGTACATGGTTGAGCCGGTGCGCTTGCCCGTCTTGGGGTCGAGCTGGATGAGCTTGATGCCGGACCAGAAAGAGCCGAAGGAGAGCCACCATTTTCCGTCAGAGTCGACGAAGAGATTTCCGTCAATGGCGTTGTAGTCGTTGTTGTTGTTGGACTCGATGACGACGCCCTGGTTGGTCCATGAGCCGGATGCACCGGTCTTGCTGGTAGCAAGGAAGATGGCAGAGGTGCGCTGGCCGAAGGCGGAGGCGGAGTAGTACAGATAGTACTGGCCGTTGTGGTATGAGATATCAGGGGCCCAGAGGTTCTTATCGCCCTTGGTATACTGCGTAGTCCAAGGCGCACCGTTGGGGAAAACAGCACCTGCATCCTTCCAAGCCGTTCGATCAGAAGACGTCTTGAGCGAGACATTATCGCCAGTATGAGCCAGCAAGTATCCACCGCTGGGAGTCTTGACAACCGTAGGATCGTGAACACGAGTATCGCCGGTGACGGGACCAGGGTTAGGATAAGCAGCGTTCACGCCGCTGAGGGACGCGACGGCGACAAAGCCGCTGACGAGGAGTTTCCACATTGTCGATAGAGTTTATGAGTAATGATAGATATCATCGTGCTTGAAACAAAAAAAAGACATCGTGGTGATCTTATAGCTGCGGCATCCTCGGCATTCGGTGTAGGTCCTTAATAGTTTCAGCGGGCGCTGAAACAAGGCAGACCTAAGGCTTCGGGGAATATTATTCCATCGGTGTAAGCGCTCCACGGAAGAATTGCTCAGCGGAGCTTCTCGGTCCGGTCCAGATTGGGCACGCTCGGCCGGTAGTTCATACTGGGCTGATTAAGGGTTCACCGCTGGGAGATGACGCGAGGAAATACGCCTATTCTTACATCTCGTATTTTCGACGATGTTTCTTATCGGCAAACTCAAATTTCTCGGTTTTGGGGTTTTGGGGATGTGATGCAGGGATGAATACGCGGATAGCTCCGAGACAGCCAAGAATGGGATGAAACGGGATAGGGGAGTCAGCTGATCCTCCCAATCCCGGAGATAATCTCTGAATTGTGTTTATCGGAAACATTTGCGGTAATGAACTAGATATTGAGGAATCTCAATTGATTTATGGCCATACCTTCGGATAGAAAGCATCTTGCTTAGCTACGTCGAATCCCGTCCTGTACAAGTGGTTTCATAGTTGAAAAGGCATATCGCGCGATCTTCCAGCTCCCATCCTCCTTCTTCAGAATAAAAAGCTCTTGGTTGGAATGAGGTTCTGATGTCTGAGTCTGCAGCATAGTTTTGGTGCCTTCTGCTGTAGTTCTTGCGAAAGCCCATTCTGGCGACATCAAGACAATTTCATCGATGTCAAAGGTGATAGTGAGTTGAATGCTGTTAAAGATCCGCTCATACGTCTCAGTGAGAGCCTGTGCTCCTGCGCTGGCGCTGAAGTGGGGAGGCATTATTACGCCATCGCTGGTGTAGAGTGCGACTGTTTCTTTGACATTCCGTTCTTTGAGAGCACTTCCGTAGGCGTGGAGAACTGCTGTAATAGCTTCTGTCTCAGATGAAGACACTGGGGAAGGTCAGCTCTTCTCCTTGGCAGAAATATGTAGGGTAGCTCACTGTTGTCGGATGCTGCTGCTGCTTGCCGATAACCTTCAGTTTTTTAGTAAACGGGGAAACTCTAATGATGAGATACCTGTCAATTATATGTTAATAGTTTCCATATGGATAACTGTTCTTTTAAATGTTTTTCTGTCGAACTTGTCTATCATCATTCGTGAGCCAGGAGTGGGGGTCACATATTTTGATTTCTGGAGACTGAATGTCTTTTTGCAAAAATGGGGTTAGCGATTTTCCGTATAGATGATAAGATATCTATAGAGTTTAAAAAGTTCAGAAGTGGGATATCGATCAATCATAGCGCTATGTTTATTATCTCAGCATATATTTACGGCATGAAAACTGTACTTGAGTGTTCTGGAGGTCTGACAGTAGGCATAGCCAGATATCAGGGGAATTTAGTGAGTAGCAACTAGTAAGTGATGATGCCATGGTATTCACCTTGAGATCTAGTAACTTAACATAGTTTTTGCATGTCTTCAATGTGGATACATGGTTGTTAACTTGTCTTACTGGTAGTCACATATGAAAGACGAAGAGAGCCCAGCCGTGAAGCAGGGATTATCTGTTAGTGCCTCAGGCATTCACTTATGTCTCATCTGACATCCGAGCTTCACGCTGTTGCCTACTTAGAGCATGAACCACAATTTCAAAATTACGTCAAAATGGCGCTGTGCGATCTTTGCAAAGAAATCCCGTGGGATAATCTCCCTACAGCCCCACCTGACTCATGGCCATCCATGAGCGGATATCCATATCTCGTAGACTTTCACCATTGGCCCGAAGACAGCCGAGGCTACCTACATCATCAGAGCCTGGATGCTCTACGAAACGCCGCGGGCAATGAAAGCTGCGGTATCTGCTCACTGATACTTACTCAGGTCGAATTATGCCAGGCTGAACTCGAAGAGCTCAAGCCCCAGTGGGAAGCCGGGACTATATCGGAGTATGGCTGGCCACTATGGGAGATGTGGATTGTCAAGAGAGAAGTCGGAGGCGATGGGTTTTGGGTCATGAGTACGACTGATGACACGTTCAAGAGGAATGTACGGCTTGTAGCCACCATTGGGCTTTGTGTAGATGATGGTGAGATTGAACATTCCGCTAGAAGGTAGCGAGACTAATGGCCCTAGGTGATCCTCTGGCCCCGATCATTCGCGGACGACCCGTTGAGAAGTATGGAGGAACTTCGAAGGCGATAACAAGGGTTTGTGACTGGGTCTCTGCATGTAATGAGCATCCAAAATGCAGCCCCGGAGACAAGCTGTTGCCGTATCGAGTTGTTGACGTGGGCGATGATCCCGAAAGCCCATATGCGAAGCTCAGGGAAACAGACGGGCAGGAATATGGAAAATACATATCTTTGAGGTATTTCTCCTGACTATATTCTGAATCTGAAAGTCACTGACGCTTGCTCTGCAGTTACTGCTGGGGCACAGAGCCTCAATTCACAACCACCAAAGTAACACTCGAAGAACGCAAACGTCAAATAGCCATTTCTGACCTATCGCAAACGCATCAAGATGTGATTAAACTAGCACGAGAACTACATGTGAGATATCTTTGGATTGACAGCATCTGCATCTGTCAAGGCGACTACGACGATTGGGAGCGTGAATCAGCAAAAATGCTCTCCATCTACGCAAACTCGTACATAACGGTTGCAGCCTCAAAAGCAAAGGATCACTCAGAAGGACTCTTCAGCGAGACAACGCCAAGGGAATACAAGAAGTTCGAGTATAGATCCGGAGAGACCAGTGGGCAGGTCATGGCGTTCAACCTTCCTATCGACAAAGAATCTGGGGCTAGTTCTTATGTGAGCCTACCAGATGAACCGCTGTCTGATCGGGGCTGGGCTCTTCAAGAGCGAGTGTTGCCATATAGAACCTTGCTTTATACAAAGCAGCAGATGTTCTTTGAGTGCAGTGAGGGATTTCGAGGGGAGGATGGTACGGTTCTCGATTGGAGATTTGTCAATGTGCATGATATGCCAGACGGACAGGACCAGAAAAAGAAGCCCGAAGATGAAGAAGCGCAGGAAGAAGATCCTAAAGCGAGCCTGTATCAGTCATGGTATAGCCTTCTCTGGATATACGGCCCTCGAAAACTGACAGAGCCGTCGGATAAACTCCCTGCCATCTCTGGTCTTGCGAGTATCTTTGCCAAACGCCTTGAAGACGAGTACGTCGTCGGGCTCTGGCGATCGAGACTGCTGGAAGGACTTGTCTGGCAAAGCCTAGAATGCAGAAGGGTTTCAGAGTACAGAGCACCATCCTGGTCATGGGCCTCCATGGACGGAATTCCTGGCCTCGGGGTAAGAGCACCTTACGAGGAAGTTGCCAGGATCTTGGATGTCAAGGTTGATCTCAAGGGCACAAATATCTACGGCGAAGTCACAAGCGGAAAGCTAAAGATCCAAGCACCGATGGAGCGGTTATACCTCGACGTCAAAGACTGGGATCCTACGAAACCAGGGTTCAAGTATGACAACAACCCTCCGATTCGTACGGCGCATGATGAGGCGCATGCGCGCTTCGACTTTGACTTTACTGCTGATGATGCGCCGCAGGAAGCACTCAAGATAGTCAAGACTTTGGAGGGGAAAGAACTTTTTGCGCTTATATTGTTGAAGGCTAAAGATACGGATGGGGAGACTTATCATTCGGTAGTGGTGAAGAAAGTCGATGGGGGAGAGGAGTATGAGAGGTTGGGATTTGGGCTTCTTGATGAGAAGGCTTTGGGACGTAGGCCAGAACTTGACGCGCAGGATGAGTTTCCTATTATCACGCTTGTGTAATTAATTATCAGATGAGAGACCTGATAATGTTGTTTGGCTGGTTCAATCGCTTCCTATCCGTACGATGTCGACCACTCAAAGGGCTGGTTCGAGGCATTTTAATCTTACAGCCAGCCACGTTGTCCGAGCTGAAACTGTCTACCGAATGGAAGTTATCGCAGAAAGCCTCATTGAACAGGGGTGCTTTGCCAAGACCACCACAGTCACAAATATTTGCTGTTTGCAAATGTAACAGGCCAACAGAGAATCGATCTAATGAATATTGTAAAGCCATGTAATTAGTTATAACCGGCAGTCTGTCGACGTTCAATGTATAGGAGATGCGACTTGCGAAAGCGTCCACTCAGGGTTATATGACAACCTGCGCTGTTGCTTACCTTCTGATGCGACCTGGGCTACCGAGTCACACGGGCTAAAGTTAGTTAACGCCACAGTCTTGTTTAAGCTTAATTGAAACCAGTCAAGGCTGATTGAAGCGCAGTCGCTGGGCATGTCTTAAGACCCCTTCCCCCATTGCGCGCATATCCCTCGTTCCAATTCTTTCATCGCATCTGCAACAGCGAAGAAGGAGAAATGGTCTCTCTAAAAAGCGCGACCCGTTTGGGGCTATTAATATGTCTATCAAGGCATATAGGAAGCGTCATTGCCGGCAAGTCACACCTTATGTTCTGCAGCGTCGCGCATGACTAATTATTCCCAGCTTGCTCCAACGACGAAACTTCTACAATTACCGAAGCGACCCAAGTATCGAGCCTCGCAGCATCATGCCCAACGTACACCGGCGATCTCCATCTCATCAACGTGACGAGAACCATCAACATGACCGGCGTCGAGACTCTCATCGGCGATATCACGTACAACCACGACTTCCCGGACGAGTACGTTACATTCTACAGCTCAACGCTCAAGAACGTCACCGGTAGCCTTCTGATGTACGGCGCCGGCGGGAAGATTACCAAGACACCAGGAGATCTGAACATAACGCTCCCTGCTTTGCGAACCATCGATGGCTTGGGTGTATATTGGGGATGGGGCGACGTGTCAATTAATACGGATCCAAAACTCAACATACCGAAAGGGTTCCAGATCAGTTCTGGAGCTAGCCAGTCTTCGGCGGGGAATCTGTACTTGAACGTTACCTATACTTATAGCATCGGCGTTTCAGGTGTCGACTTTCAAGCCACCGGTGGTGCACTCTTCACCTCATCGGCGGAGAAGGTTGAACGCGAGATCACGATCTTCGGAAATAGTGGAATAAAGCGTGTCGAGCTGGATGATCTAAAGTTTGTGAATTATACGGTCGACGTCAAAAGTAACCCGGACCTCGACTACATCTCTTTATCTCTGTCCGATGTCGGACTTTTGCGCGTCAAGGATAACGGGAGAGATACACATCTGTCAGTGCCTAATCTCAAGAAGCTCGGAGGCCGCAGCGATCCTGCCACCCATACCAGCGGCGGTGACGCTGGCGGTATTTTCAGGGATCTTGTCAACGCCAGCCTACCATTATTGAGTGAAGTACATGGTGACGATGTGGATTGGTTCAAGGGCAAGCTCAACTTCACTTCCAACTTCTTCTCAGAGCTTAGTCTTCCGAGTCTCAGGACGGCAAACTGCACGCTCGGTATCGACGAGAACATTGCGCTGAATGACCTTTCAGTACCAAGGTTGAACTACGTGAAGGATCTACAGATACACGACAACCCTCGCCTTCTCAACTTTACGGCCAACTTGCTTAAGAAGGCTGATAACATCAATATGACCGGACCGTTTACCGACGTCGAGTTCTTTGGTCTCGAGGTCATTACGGGTGATTTCTATTTGGCTGGGGACAAGACCATGGATTGTTCTTGGTTTGATGAACACTTCCTCAATCACATTGTCCAGGGATCATATAAGTGCGTTGGGAACCATACCAAGCCTGCGACTGAGCGTAAACCCAGCACGCCGACAGATGAAGCAGATCTTGAGGACGAGGGCTCAAAGCAAGGAGGCACTACTTCCAGTGGGGGTGGTGGGGGATCATCTTCAGGAAGTAATGGCGGTCTGTCGACTGGTGCAAAGGCTGGTATTGGCGCAGGAGTCGGTGTAGCTGGTCTTATCCTTCTCGGCCTCGGTGCTGGGTTTTTGATTGGCAAGAAGACGAAGAGACCACCTGGTGCGCTTACTCGTACTACTGAATCTGGTAACCAGAAAGCTGAGCTCGATGGAGATGGTAAACCGTCTAGGGGTGTGAAACAGGTGCATAGTGTAGAAGCTTCGGAGATGCAAGACACGGGCAAGTCTGAGTTGCCTGTTGTTCCAGCGAGAGCCGAGTTAGCAGGATAATTGTCTGCGGTCTTGGAAACACGTAATCGAGAGGACAATCTCATCATAATTTGAATATCCCATATTGAATTCAAGGTTGGGAAGATATGCCTCAACCCGGAATTTCTTTCCAAGGAGGATCGCTAGAAATGCCCATGTGGTTTGATAGAAGCCTTCTTCGTGTCATTTCATAGGTACTTGGTAAGAATGAGGCTACACTGAACTGAGCTCGAGCGGCTGATTCGGTCTAGCAGACTACTACCAATCAAGCACAACCATTAGCGAACTGCATAACGCCACAGCGCTTCGGTCAGAGTTTCAACCCCCCTGCCAAGCTATCAGGCGCCAGCAAGTTCGAACTTAAATGAACGGTAATCAGACAAAAAGAACAGCTTGGCAATTTGAATGGTTGCAAGCAGCAAACGATGAACTCCTCGCCATATCATCCTCTGCGATCAGCTGATGGTCAGATCAGGCTGTTGATACTTCATCCCGCTTTGAAGCACGACGCTCCTATTCAGTGTATGCTAGAGCCAGCCATTCTCTCTTCCAACCCCAACTATGAGGCTCTATCGTACACCTGGGGCGATCCCGGAAATGGCTGCAATATCTCACTCAGTAATCACGATTTTCTGGTGGGAGACAATGCCGCTGCAGCGCTTCGCAGATTGCGATGGAAGAGGAAGAATAGAGTGCTATGGATAGATGCAATCTGCATCAATCAAGCCGACGTGGACGAGAAAAGTACGCAAGTTCCCCTCATGCAGAAGATCTACGGTCAAGCACAGAACGTCTTGGTCTGGTTGGGAGAGCCTACTGATGGCAGTATTATGGGCCTGAGACTACTCCAGAATAGGATGGCTAGTGTTGGCTGGCATCAGTGGAAGATTGACAATGACTACGGCAAGCCGACACTTCCGTTCCTCAAATCTCTCAAAAGCTCCATTGCGATGATGAATCGATCCGGATTAATACAGGAGCAAATAAATGGGGAGGTCAGTGAACTTCTTGATCGGCCCTGGTGGCGGCGAACTTGGATCATACAAGAGGTCGTTCTGGCAAAGAATATCCAGATAATATGCGGAGACGATGTCATCACATGGGATGCAGTGGCATCTTTGTTCAAGCGACTTAAGTGGACGCAGGCTGAGGTTCAGGTGTTTGGTATTAAGTTGAGTGATCAAGATATATTTCCGGATCAGATGTACAACTTTATTTCGAGCTATCGCCAACAATGGCATTCGAGCGGCGGGAGACTCAACCTTTTGGACGTGCTATACGAGTTCAGAAGCTTAGAGTGCACGGTTGCGCATGACAGGATTTATGGATTCTTGGGCATTGTACATGCTGATGTGGCTGCCCACATCAGCCCGGATTATCATCTCGATGCACCGCAGGTGTATCGTGACTTTGCAAGAACCATGATCCAAGTTACAGGCAACCTACATCTGCTGAACTGCACAAGACACTGGTCAGGCGTTGAAACTGGCGCTCAACGGCAAAAGGCATACAGCGTCCTGGAGCAGTCGAGATACTACGACATCCAGGCTCGAATCTTCGATGGACCAGATAAGACTCCGAGAAGAGGCTGGGCGAGACTGCCTGATGGCTGGGAGAGAATACCGCGCAAGGAGAAGTCTCTGTTTCGGGACAACACGGATAGGAACAAACAGTCTACTGAATCGAGTCCATTAGAGGGCCAGCAAGCTGCGAGAGCTGAGCATTATATCAAGCAAAGAGAACTCTCACCGGGATGGTCCAAGATCTGGGACAACCTTGGCCGTGCAAAGGTTGTGTATGGAGCCGGAGAGACGGCGAGAGAGCACAGACTGCGAAATGAAAGAGAGCTTCTCCGACAGAGGCTTTCTAGATTACCCTCATGGGTTGCCAACTGGGAATGTCCAACTCGATGGGACCCTAAGCCACTGATCAATTTTTCGTCATCACAGCCTCGATATTTCGCATCCGGAGACACTACTGCGGCACTACATATTGGTTCCAACCCACGGGTTCTGTCTCTGAAGGGGCAGATTATTGATGAAATCAGGCAACTTGGACCCGTATGGCATCCCGAACTTAACAGGCCCCCTATTTCTAGGAAAGGCATCAACGCTCTTGTTGAGTGGGAAAGTCTTGCCCTGATTGAGCTTCCAGACTGCCCTTACGGTGGCGCTGAGGGTCGCACCAACGCCCTCTGGAGAACAATGATAGCTGATTATGCAGGTGCAGAAGCTGCTGAGAGTGATGATTGGGCTTATATCGAGGCGTGGTATGACCGAACTGGATGGGGTCGTGAGCTCCCAGATATGGCATCAAGGGGAGTATATGAGACGGTCACACTTGAGGGAGAAGTACGGGAGCTTGAGGTTGTGATGAATGCCCAGTTTCTCCAGATAAGACCTGTGCCTGTTCTGAAAACTGGCGAAGTGCTGAAACATCCATTGGGGGATTTCTCGCAAAGAAAGAAAAAGTATGGAGGTTATATAAAGCGCATTTATGACGCTTGTGCGCATCGCGCATTGCTGGTGACTTATCGGGGTTACATGGGATTGGCGCCTTGGAATGCACAGATCGGTGACAAAGTGGCTATTCTTCATGGTGGCGAGACGCCTTTTATCATTCGTAACATTAAGGGGACGGAGGACTTTTCTTTAGTCGGGGAAGCTTTTGTATATGGGCTGATGGGTGGAGAGGGAATGTCGGATGCTTTTGGGGGAGGACGCGATATTAATATCTTATGAGACCAAGACAGGAGTTGCTGTTATTTTTGTATGGTTACTAACCTAACATGTTTGGGGCAGTGCATGACAGGAGAAGAATTCACAGAGATTGTACATTTATCAATGTTAATAATTTCTATACCTTTTCGCTTTAAATAAAATCACTTATCTAGGCAAAACTTAGCTGTCGTGAGACGATATTCCCATCAGGCGTAATCCACAGGGGGCAATAAAATACTCCAACCTTGGGATAAGGTACTGAAATAAACTTATTAAAGAGCTACCTAAATTTAGGCTAAATATACCTAAAATACTTTTATTACTTAGGGTTAAGATCCTAAGTTTTCTTTCCTTCCCTAGGTGAGTCAACCGAACCTACATCGTCCTTGTCAATAAGATACCTCGCATACTTGACAATCGGCTTGCCCTCCCCAGGGCGCTGATCCATAATCTCAAACAGCCCTGTTGACGCCATCAGTTCATGCAGCTTCTTGAACCCATACGTTCGAACATCGAAATCCGGATGCCATCTGTTCATAAGCATTCCAACAGGCGCAAGGCCAGCCCACCCATCTTCACCGGTTCTTGCCTCAACTGCTTCGCGAAGCCATTCTATGACTTGATCATCGACGGGCCGTTGCTCAGGTTCCTGCAACTCGCCTGGTTCTGGGGAGGATGCTCGAGGTTTGTTTCTGGGACTGTTAGGATCATCGGAGTCGAGCCTCTTTCGCTTGCCATTTGTTGTGCTATTCCATGCAGGAACGGACGGCACTACGTCGGAGGGCTCGATTCTGGTATTGTCGGGAAGACGCGCGCTTTGTACACGATTTGAAGGTCCTGGAGACGATTTTTCGGGAAGCAAGCCTCTGGCAGGCGCAGGCGGGTCCATCAAAAGACCTTTCCCTTTTGTAAACGCCGAGATTGGAGCGTGGCCGCGAGGAGGTCTCTCGCTCGGCGATCCCCCATTCAGCGGTAATGGTAACGCGGTCGACGGTCCAGCAACATCAACCTCAAGGGACGGAGTTCCAGATCTCGGCACGAGATTTTCAACGTAAATGAACTTATCACACGCCGTGACAAACGGTTTCGGCGTCTTGCGCTCTCCACACCCGTAAACCACCAATCCCGACTCTCTGATCCTCGACGCAAGACGCGTAAAGTCGCTGTCACTCGATACGATACAGAAACCATCGAATTTGTTAGAGTACAGCAAATCCATAGCGTCTATAATCATGGCTGAATCTGTGGCGTTTTTCCCTGTGGTATATGCAAACTGCTGCATGGGATGGATGGAATTGTGGAGGAGCTGGGGCTTCCAGCCGTTTAGGCGGTTGCTGGTCCAGTCGCCGTACGCGCGTTTGACGAAAGTGGTGCCGTATTTTGCGAATTCAGCGAGGACGAAGGATATCATGGATGCGCTGGCGTTGTCTGCGTCGATGAGGACGGCTAGCTTGGCTGCTGGGGCGATGGAAGCCATGCTTTGAAGCTGAGAGTCGTTCATTGGATATTGTGGTGATGTATGATCTGGATGTGTCAGCGCTTGGTGTTTCAATTGTGATTCACGCGACTCACTCGGTATAAATAAAGCTGTTTCGCCTTTTAAAGTATCACTTGTATTTCTTGTTGTTCATTTGAACTAGAAGCTGATACTCGTCATTCTCTTGTGTTGATATGCCCAAAGCCTCTCTGTTCATGCGTGGTTCAAGCTTATGGGGACACGCATGTCCTAGGGGAGAAAATAAAACTCGGGACCTTGGGTCTGGGTGACAAAAATGATCAGATAACTTAGTATGAAATTGGGAGACCTTTTGTTGAATTTATTTAGTCACCCTAAGCTTACATCTCGTGTTTTCTCGCTCCCTAAGAACGCCATCTCAAAAGCGGGGTTGATCTGACCGACGCGTTGCTGCATGGTCCAATCAGAAGCCACCACCACTGGCCCTAACCAAATGTCACCAGAAATGAGAGGAACAGTGACAGTGTTGTGTCGATGTATTCATGAGCTATCGACCTCGACATATTGAACAAGACGACTTCGTCAGTAAGTCTCTGACTGCTAGTGGACGCGCTCACTCTGACTCTTCTTCAGCAGCGACGTACTCCTCAACCAATCTCGCCTCCCTCCTCTCACGAATCTCATGCAATGACGACTCAGCCGAAAGCCAGCCAACCACCAACATGCTCTTCATAACCCACGATCTGCGAAACGTCTCAGCCGTGTACCAATCCCGTTTCTGACTATGCAGACCCGACACCCAGGGAAAGTTGGAGGTGATGTGCATCTGCAACAGCGCAGGGTAGAGCTCCAGTTGAACCATGGCTTCTCTGGTCGCGACTTCGTACCATCGGTAGCTACCGAATGCGAAGCCGAGAGATGAACCGATGAGAAAGGGTAGGCCTGCTGTTCCCCAGATCATGCTGCCTACCATGCCGCTTGAGACGCCGGCGACGGTAGCGGTCGAGAGGCCGGATACCAAGCTGCGGAGCATGCTGTACCCAGTAAGTTCAGGAACCACTCATGAGATTTGAGGGAACTTACAATAATCCAGGGCCACTGTGCAAGGAACAATCAGTCAGTTCAGTCCGGTTTCATGGTGCCATTCAGCCTTACCTCACGACGCCCCAGCCACTCAGCAAGCTGATGAAGGGGAAGCTATCAAAGCGATCCGACATTTCGAAGAGAGAAAAAAAAAGGAATAAGAACGAAATGTCGTAAAGGTTACAGTGGCTTCGAAGGGTGAGCAAGCTTGTAAGCGTGAGCTTTGAGGTGAGGGAACAGCTGAAGATCTCAAGGGAGAACGATGAGCGAGGGGAACGCGATCGTTAGCTGCAGCCACTTGGGGCTGATCGTGTCGCGCCAAACCCTAAAATCGATAATCATATCTTGAAAAGGATTAGCTGAAAAAACATTAGAATGACTTTTTGTCTGCATGTGTGTTGTTGTTCTTCTGTCGAGAATACTGAGCCAAACTGCGAGCGATAAACCGATAAGATAAGAAATCCAGCTGATAAGCATCCGGATCACGTTGAACAACCATTCATATGTGTGTACAAAACACACAACTGTCAGTCATATAATGAGGCACGACGTTCTATATAATAGCATAAGAATTCATCTGCTCAGTTCGTCAATTGAAGCGAACTAGAGCCCTAATTATCTGGTATATCGAGCATTATGAGGATATCATCAGCATGTTCATCTGGCTTGTGAATAAGTTTGGTGTACATATCGATCCAAATTAGTTGATCCCTGGACTTGATATGAACAGAATTGAAGTAAGCTGAACTCAAATCGCGAGAAAAATCATATAAATAGTTAATTTCCTCCTCGACTGTGACAGTTCTATTCCCTCCTCACCAAGCTCTTCATAGCATTCATCCCGACACATATCCTCTCTGAACAAACAAATCTTCAAGCTCCTTCCCTTTCTAACACATCTTTAAATCTTTGGCAAACTAACGTCGAAATGCCTTTCGAGCAAGTTCAGCAGTGGATCAAGAGCCGAGGCGACAAGAAGTCGTCCCAGGACCCTCCATCGTCACCCGCTTACGAGGCGGAACCACCGGTTCACACCGCCGAAGCACCAGCACACATGGATGGACCACCTGCCTTCATGGCGGGCAGAAGAACAGCTACGTTCTTCACTCCAGAGGGCCGTATGAATTACGTGATTGAGCATCTGCGCCTCGATCCCGCCACTGCCGCAACGTATGAGCAAGCCATCAACGATGGCAGCCACATGGTTGGCCGCCATGGCTATGGTGAGCTACAGGAGATTGACCAGTTTGAACTTGACTACTGGGTGACAAAGGAGCGCGGCAAGGACCCTTATCGCGTCAAGAAAGGAGGCAATCTTGTCATGGTCCCAGAGGGGTACCTCATCTACTTGGACGAGATGAGCAAGGCACGAAGACGTGGGGAGATTGAAAGGGAGATCCTTATGCTGCAGGAGAAAGCGCAGCAGAAGTTCCACAAGGGGCTCAACGGCTTCATCCGGTCGAATTGTCGTATTGATATTCACATCCTGGAGAAGGAACTCGTTAAGATCCAGGCTATTGGAGGGCGTCGGACTCTTAACAGCTGGTAATTGTCAGGACTGGGGAAAACGTGGGGCTCTGGGGGTTCAAGATGATCTTCAACTTCATCTATAGAGGGTAAGCAGGGGGAAATCACACAGATTGTGATTCTGTTTGGGTTGCGGCAGTTTTGCTAGTGAGACTGGGAGCATGTAAGTTTTTGCTTGATAGACAGTATACACAGATTGTTCAATAGTACACGTGGCGTTGGTAGTAAATTGATTTTGTGCATGAAATATCTCTTTTTGGTCAAATGTTCTAAACATTGTTTCTTTAAACTCAGTGAAATCCTGAGGCGTAAAATGAAATTTTTAGAGTGTAGGGTATATTGTTTATGTGACCGCTGTTCTGACTTCAGATTCCCCCTTACTAAAGTTAAGTGTCGGGACCACTGGTTAATTGCGGAAGTGGTAGAAAACCAGCTACGATCTGAGAGAACAGAGATGGAGTATACAGTGGTTTTATTTAGAGAGTGCTGACTTGTGCCATTAACATTGCGTGGCTAACTTGTAGGGGTCTATTTTGTTTTGCACGTTTCAAAAAAATAAATGTCTAATCAGTGCTCGTACGGCCTTTCCTGTCTTGGTGTGTCACCGAAACCTGCGTCTGGACAACAATCCCTTACTCTGCAGCCGAGCTCCCCTGATTCTTCCAGATGGACCCATCTCCAGTCCCGCCCCTCCCGACATCATATGTCAACTCGACCTCATCATCGTCACTGCCAAAAGCATTGCCCTTAGTCCTGCTCACACTGAAGAGTTGAAAGTGTTTGGAACCAGACTTGGAGAGGTCAGTTGGTCCTGATGGTGTACCCCGTGAAGTAGAATTGATGCGTTTAATGCGGAACAGAGGCGCTAGCGTGGGGAGACAAGCCGAGATGACAGCGACGGAGGGCTCGAGACTGGACCACGCGAATGACGAACCCATCCACCATGTCGCGTCGAGGTTTTGGAAGAAGCCCCAGAGGTAGTAAATACGCGCGATACTGGCAACACAGACACTACAGAAAGTCAGCTGGTAACTCATCTTAGAATGGTAAGATCGCTTACAAACTGCCAAGAAGCATAATGCAAATGATAGAAATCTTAGTCTTATTGTTCATATGCAGTGTCCAAATTCTTGGTATCGGAACAGTCAAAATGATGATATCGTTCATCATGTTCATGATCCCAAGAACAAGGAAGAACAGCTTTACTTCGATGCATTTGCCCTTAGCCCCAAGATACTGGTTCCAGAAATGACTGACGGGTCGACAGGCGAATGGCATGGTGATCCAGAGGATGAATGGGTACACGGTCGTCAAAAAGGTCGCTATCCAGAACATTATTGTGTAGACTCGGTTTTTGTCGATGCCGAGGGGGAAGAGGCGGCGGTAGAGGAGGAGGATGCTGATTTTGACGGATGTGACGGCGAGGGCGTATACAAAAGGTTCGGCGTAGACGATCTGATGTTGATGAGTACAGAAGGGGTGAGCGATCGAGCGACATTGTGGACGCACCTTGAAGACGTCAACAAGAGTCGTGAGCTTGATTGACCATACATGAGCTCCAGAGCCATGCTCTCCAGCTGTTACCTATCAACACGAAGACTCCAAGTATTGACAAAGACAGCTTACCCAATATTGTCATAGCGACAGTTGCTGAAGCACAAAACTGCATCGCATCAGTAGAGACCCGATCACCTCGGTGAAATTACTTACCAAACTGACCAACACGGCCCAATCATCCATCTCAATGTTCGCCGACTTCATGTTCCTCACGTAAAACCGCAAAGCAACAACTGTGACAGCAATACCGAGAACAACACAAACGACGACGTTGTACGTGGCGATGACATTCTTCTCGAGATCCAGCCCGTTGGGCGGTGGTCCAAAGATGGCTACGATGTTAGGGTCAACAGCCATATCTGCTTATCAGACTAGCTGCATGCAGAACACAATAAACACCAAGGGCAGTTCAAGTTGGCTGTTGGTTAGTTAAATGGGCTTTTACCAGCCTAGTCAAGGCGAGACACAGGACCTCAGCATCGTTTCTTTTTCCAGTGGCCAGGCCACTGCAAATCTTTCGCCGTTACGGGCTCGTTCTTTTCTTCGTTTACTTACGCGGAATGAAGCAAAACAGGCCATTTGTGAAGATTCGGTGCAGGCCTGGACGGGGCTGGAGTCCACTCCGATGCTACCTTTTGTTGGCTGTTATGGAGAATGAGAAATCCTTCGAGGGGCCTCTGGCATCGAAGCGACTGCTCTCTAAAATGCTTCAACATGCTTTAAAACACCTCAGTCCTTTAAAAACAGCCTACATCGCCATTTAGTACAATGTTTTTTTGGTATCAGTAGTGACGATGCGCATATTGAGGTCTTACTCTTATCAGAACGGGAGATGAACTGCCAAGACGAAACTTGCGGCTCTGGAATGGCACCACCCGGAAGTAAATCCCTGTCACCGCGACGTACTTCCGGTCGGATATTACGGGGATTTGTAGCCGGCCCAAAGCACGTTTCAGGGCTTGGTCCAAGTTATGCAGACAGGGCCCGCTGGGATCCACGGCAAATGCTTGTAATGTTTCATTGAGGGGTTCGTTTATTTTGCGTTATCTGCGTTTAGAGGCTATCACGGGTTTAGTTTCTCAGATAGGTAAAGGAGTCGAGACGATCCTGGGACTGTTAACGGCTCTGGCATGTCGGATTTGGTCCGAGGATTCGTTTTTGGAAGCCGATATTGGCTTTTCAGAAGGCCCACTGGGCGAAATTCCACTTTGGATGCTGCTTTGTGTGGTTTCTCCGATGTTGAAACATGATTGCTTGGAGCGGCTTGCTGGGTCATGAACACGTAATCGGCCAATACAACGTTTCAGTAGGTCCTGAAGATAGAAGAACAAAACCCTATTGGCTATGTAGCCATACGGCTTTGTTAAGTTGTTCTGAACCTGACCCGAAATGCTGGTCAGTCGATAGAAGTAGACCTCTATCGCAACACTACAGTCCCAAGCGAGCTGCCCAAGAAAGCTTGGTCCCCGTCTAGCCCGTCAAACTTCCTCAACCAACGCTGTCGATCCTCATACTCGGGACAACAATGTAACCACCTCGGCAGCACGCCCTGAAACACACATGGATAACACGAATCTTCAAGACCGAAACAGTCCATCTCTCCGCGTGGCGACCTTCGCCTGGTCAAGCTCTTTCGTTTGCCCAAGTATTAGAAGCCAGGCTCCCTTCCACGAAAGCGAACAGCAACCAGACCATACCCACATTTTCCCTTCCTTCATCATGACTCCCGCTAAAACAGAGATTTTGGTCATAGACCAACCCGCTCTCCACTCCAAGACCAACGCTACCGAAGAGGTCACACCACTTCCTGATCTCGCTCCCCCTTTACTTCCCACTGAGAAGATTGGTCCTATGGGATGGATCCGAAGCCTTCTTCACTTTGAACTTGGTGACAGCTACAACGCTGAGGAGATAACATCTATTCTTAAAAGGGCTTATTCGGCGTTTAAGGAGCGTACGCCCATTGCGGGTTGTGAAGCTGTTCCTACCGCTGATTACCTGGAGACTGGGCTGTTGCAGCTTCGTCATTATGGTGATGAGATTGAGCATGACTTTCTTGTCAAGGATCTTCGAGATCAAGACTTCCCTAGCTTTGAGGAGCTGAAGCGTCGGGGGTATCCTACTTCTGTTCTGGATCCTGATGTCGTTTGTCAACGGGGTCTGGGTGGAGAATGGCCTCGTGCTGGAGATCGATTGAACACTACCATGATACAGCTGAACTTTATCAAGGGTGGTTTGCTACTCAATGTCCTTTTCCTCCACGCCTACATCGATGGAACAACGGCGTACAAGTTCACCGAGATCCTCGCTGAAGAGGTCCGCAAAGCTCAGGGCCTACCTATCACGAGCCCAGCCGAAATCCCTTGCGACGATAGAGCCAAGTTGATGAAGCCATCCGATACCATCGTCGGCAAGCCCGAGGATCACCCAGAGTATATCGAAGTACCCTTCACACCCGAGGGTCCCCCACCGAAACTAGCCTCGCCCATCCACCACGGACACATCTTTTACTTCTCCCCTGAGAAGATCCAAGAACTCAAAGAGGCTGCTGAGCCTCGGAATGCAAAGCTTTTCAAGTCAGATGACATTTCTTCTTACATCTCCACCACCGATGCTTTGACAGCATTGGTCTGGCGATGCACCATGACAGCTCAGCATGGGAAGAAGGAGGGTGAGGATAAACCTACTGGACCATCTATGGTTGGTCTGGCGCTTGATGCTCGTCGTCGAGCTGGAAAGCCTGTTCACAAGCACACTCTCGGCAACATTCTTGGGTTTGCGCCAGCCGTCATGGACATCGAGAAGATTCTAGAACATGACGATGTCAGCCTAGCAGACATTGCTCTCGTCGTCCGAGGCGCCGTGAACAAATCCAAGGACACGTACCTCGCCACTATCAGCTCCCTTGTAGATGGTCTCGGTAATGTATCACGATTGATACCTGCCATCTTTCTCGACATGCCAGGGAATCATGCCTTGTTCTCATCATGGAGAGAGTTTCCATTCTATGATATCCAGTGGGGCCCTGCCCTGGGTGGCCAAATCAAGGCTATTCGACCGCCTTCAGTTGGAGTGACTCACTCCATGCACATCATTCTGCCTGATCGACCTGAGGCGGGTCCTGGCGTGGAGGTATTCGTCGGTACTGAGAACAGTGCAATGGAGAGCTTATTGGAGAACCCTCTTTGGAGGCAATACGCTCAAGGACCAGAGAAGGCGTAAAGGGATATATTTAGACAGGATTGTATATGGGAGACTTAAAGTCCGTCTTAGGTTAGATACGACACAGGAATAAATATGGAAGACGAGGGAATATAAAAAAAAACTACACTTTAGTGCGTTTTCGACAAATTATCATTGAATATGTAATCTTGAGCACGGTAGAGGCGTTTCTGCCTACGTGTGTGAGGCGCGTGATGTGAGCCATCAGCTGAGGTCTGCCTACCACAATTACCTCAGAAGCCAGTCATTAGTGGGGCGATATCTCTGGGTGTCATGTGACCAGCGATGAGCCATGCTGCTGGCAAGCCATGGTAGCCACCAAGAAAAGGACAAGTCAATATCAGGTCTAATCATCTACATTCAAAAGTTAGTTGATCCTTCCCCTTGACTCGCGAGCCTCATAGGTCTAAACCTGCTCATACCAAAGCTTACACAAGGGAACCCGCTCCTGCGCATGCGATTAGGCTTTGGCCTTTAAATGACTGATGGGAAACTTGCTCTATTCCGCGCAAAGTCTAAATACTCGTGCGGTTGTGAAAGCTAGTCTTGTATATCAATGTGAACATGAGTCGGCTAATAATGTCATGGGAAATAGAGTTTTACTTGCCACCTTGAGCCCTTTTTCTTGTACCATCTTATGCTCAAGGTATCAATCCGACGATATCAGCGCACCTTACTTTGATACTGATTCTCAAATTACATGACTGGACGAAATGCACGGCTCTAGGTGGCTTCTTCCACGAGAATTATGAGAACGTTGAGTTGTGACGTTCACAGCTCGGACTCAACCCCCAGTAACCGCGAGGAGACTACGCCCACCCATATCTCCAAGACCCTTACCCAGCATTTATCTTGCTATCAAACTCTATCTCCCCCTCATCCTGGCTTTTCATCCTCGTCGAACTCCTTGCTGTTCCTCTACGCTAGACCTGTCAAGCACCTAGTAAACTTGATAACGAGAATTTTGACTTTTGACATGCCCACTTCTCGTTCGTGCAGGGAAGACAAAGTTCATGCATGACCAGTACTAACCTTAACTCAAACCTATCACAATGACAACGTCAACTTATCGTAAAGATAGTTTGGGAAAAACTCAATGGATGACTCCTTTCTCCTCCACAAGCTTCTCGAATCAATAGGGCAGAGGGCTTGGTGTTCTCCCTTCTCTCAAGGTCTAACGGATACTTGGTATAAGATTCCGTCTTGTCCTCTTCCATCCTGGATTCTGAACTTCCCTTCTTCATGCTCTTCTGTTGTCTGCTGTCAAGTCTCTGCTTCTTGCTTCTCGCTTTCTGCTTATCTGACAACGCTATCTTATCTCTTGGTTCAGCTTTCTTTTGTCAACGACTCACACATCTACTGTCTTTTTTTTCAGCAAGTCGTCATAATCTGGCCTGGAGATCAGCGTAGTGCACACACTTCTCTTCATTTCTCCATCATCATCAAGCTTTGGCAACATTTCTGGACATTTCGACACAGCAACAGCAACAGCAAACAGACTTTGACTCTTGTCATTGTTTTTATAACTCCACAATCTCTTTATCTCCGACTTTCATTTCACCTTCACCTTCATATTCTTTTAAGCGACATATCTCTATTTAAAATGTCTGCTCTTACTTCTGAAGCGTTGAGTCAATTGGACCAGCTTAATAACCAAGGAGGATTGCCATCCCCTCCATCTTCACAAAACAGCTGGGAGACAGAGTCAGACTGCTCCTACTATTCACTCTCTGACCTTACCTTTGATAAGTGGTACCGGCAAATCCCAGCTAGCCAGGTCAGGAAACAGGCAAAGCAAATTCCAGCTAGCCCTGTACCAGGCCAGTCCATATACCCGCGACGATTTTATAACAAAGAGGAGCTTGCTCTTCAGTCTTTGGGTCCCTGGAAAGAGTACCCCTTCTGTCTGAACAAGGGCTACGTGTCTGGGTCACCCGGCCCAGTACGTATGATCACCAACTCTGCTGCGCCTGGGGAGTTTGATGTGGTGTACCATCCGGCAAGGATAGAGACCTCGGCTTGTCTGGCTAAATACCGGCCAAAGGGGTATAAAAAGGGTGCTGTACCAAAGCCCCTCCCCTCGAGCGAGCCGAGCAGCCAGTCGAACTCAATTCCCAGTGCTGGCGTCTCTTCATTGCAGGACAACCCGTATATCGCTGCTCATATTGCGGGGTATCAGCAGGGAATCACGGCGGCATACTATGCGCAGAGTCTTCCGGTTGCCTACTATGCGCAAAGTCTGCCGGTGGCTTATGCTGTACCAGTACCAGTACCAGTGGTTCCTGATGCCTATGCTCCTATTTATGGCCAGTATTTATACTGAGTCTGGATATACTGCTACCAGCACTGCGTCTTGTCCCAGGGCTTCTCGAGCATAAGTTCAGAGTTTTAGTCTGGGTTTTAAAGTCTCGCTTTTCTCTTTCACTGCGCATCATCTCAGCATGCCATTAAACAAGCAACGCCTTCTGATACATCTTGTCACTCTCTATTGTCGCATACTACTGAGGTTTCAAGCACGTTTCGAGGCAATGTCAAACACAACTACATTTATATATATTTTCTTTGGATAAATGACCACACTGCACATCGATCTTCAAGGAAGTTGACAGCACATATCATGCTTGATATCTTCTTGCAGTTGAAGTATCGCTTAACGACTTTATGATATACGACAGCGTTGGTGCTTTGGAGCTTAGTTAATTGTTCATTGGTGACCTTCAGGGTCTCTTTTACACGTTATTAATACAATTCATTGAGTCTTCATTTGAAGACTTGTTTCTGAACGCACTTGTTCCACAAAGTGAACTATTTATGCACTGAGACATGTGAAATGCTTGGTCCAAATTGATCACCCTAGGTAATTCGCAACTATCTATTCATTGTCTCGTGCCTTTTTCTTTTGAACTGTGTTGCTGAGTGACAAGCTGTAAGTACAACACCGATTGGTCACGTCGGACTTTTTTCGCCGACGATGGAGATTTGACCCAATGGGATTGCCGTGATCTCGATAAGCCACGAGTCAACTGGCGAGTCCTGGCTTGGAAGAACGGGCAGTGGCTTAAGAGCTCCGGTGAATTACCCCTACCTATATGTTGGAAAAGGTTTCGATTTCACCAAAGAAGTTAGCTATGACTGGGGAACACGAATTGAGAGCGTATGACAAGGCTAGATTGAGGCGACTGATTACAACGATTGGTGCGATACCTAGACTGATATTCGATGCGATGCGAGAGCATTGTCGTATGAGAGTTGCCATCGGATTCCATATACTTGTACCAATGGTGAGACCTGTAGCCATTGCGATACTCTTTGATGTAAGCGAATCTCAAGTCTGAGACGACCAGCCCATTGCAGGCACATTGATTCTTTCCTGCTTCTGCAGAGGGCCGTTAAAAGTACCTGTCACGATTCTCTACACATACGTGTTGCGGTCCCATGCGTTGGGCATGGTTTTACCATCTGGACAAGCCATCGATGGGAACTTCCCTGACCGTAGGAATTCCAATCCCGACTCTCATGATAACTCAGTATCCTTTCCCATTGCCAGTGCTCCTGGTTGGCGTTTGTCAGGAATTGGGGCATAGACTAGTGGATCATATGTAGTTGGGCTGAAGATATCAGTACAATCTTTCCTTGCGTGTAAAACACTACTAATATTGTTGGCTTCGAACCAACCACGAGAGGATTGTGCAAACGCTTGACTACCCTTACGGAACAGACGAAGGTTGGTCTACTGTCGAGGGAAAGGAATGTCAAATCATTGGAATGTTTGTTACTCTTGTGTCTGTTGATTGTTTTCTATACTAACGAGACTTGCAAAGTCTGCCTTTCTGGGATCTTGGTCTCATATCGGTATGAGATAACAGCTGCTAAGAGCTTAGATAGGTGTCAAACAGTATGGCGCTGAATGAGGCCAGCGTATGGAGGCATCAGACTACAAAAGCCATCAAGCTACAAATTACTGCGTTCGTATGGATGTTTCGCCCACAAATCTGTCGAATGATGGCTTGGTCACTTAGTCACACTGTTGTCAAAGCATGTTGGGGCTATCAATGCCTCAACTTCACATAACACGTCTCCGTTGTTACTGTTAGCCTCTTAGACGTCGTGGGGGATATACACTGGAGTTTTTCGCAAAACCGAATGCGGTTTCGAAGTTCATGATTTTGTATGCAGGGGGATAATCCCTTCAAGATAGGATTTTCTAATTGGTGCTGATCATTCAAATTATGCAAGCAAATATTCTCATGGATCCGTATAGATTCTAGTAAAAGGAGGCACGGCAAATGTATGTTTGTACAAGGCTTGTTTTTGAATCACTTGTCTCCTTCTGATCCATCCTCCTGCTCTGACTACGTGGCCGCAGCCGTCTCACCAACTGCTTCCTTCTCAATAAACCCCATCTTCTGGAGCTCCTCCACAAGATCTTCCGGTTCTGCTCTGGGTGCATAGATGATTTGATCATCTTTCGTAGTCTCCATAGACCATGACCAACCACCATTGGGTAGATAGCAATAGATCTCTGTTAGGCCCAAGTAAAAGTCACCCGTGTCCGAGATGAGGTGGCGCGTAACGACTCTTTTGTGGTCTGTATTGATTGGTTCCATGATGATTTCGTGATGGGCTGAAGTGTGATTGTTTGTGTTGGTGACACTCGATCTTATTCGTTGAAGTGGTAATGGTGAGGGCGGAATAAACATGGGGAGGGAGGTTGCATTATACGTGAAAAATGAGCCTGAGTACCTCTGCCCACGCAATCACTGTGCGGCCATTTGCCCCTGATTTGGTTACCGTAGATGGACTCTGATGTGTGATTGAGTTAGTGGAGCTTCTGAGGCAGTGCCCTACGTAGAATGGGCATGTTATAACAAAGCTTTCAGTCAGAGATCTCGAGTTCTATAAGCCTCTGATACTTCAAGCGAAGTCTCGCCCTCAAGTGGTGATTGAGAGCAACACAAGAAAACAGGCCACGAGTTCAAGCAACAGTTACATATGTCTCGAAGACTCTGCTTCAGTCGCTAAGAACTTTCTGCTGAAACTTCGCGACAGTAGTGACTTAGAGCAAAGCGATGCCGACAACACATCAGCTCGTCGGTCGGATCACTGACCCAGCAGAGGATGTTGTCACAGTTGCTTCAACAGCACTGATGAGACACATATACTGACACTTGTGGCTGAATGATCCTTCCGGTTATTCACCCTACAAGTATTGCATGTTTCTCCACCTCACTCTCGACAAGAAGACAACAAGACAATCACACGATCCCTCAGACAAAACATCATCCACACACACGCACAAACACTGTAACACACTAAATTATCTTAACATCGCCAAACCAAAAGATAATATGCCTCTCGTCACCAGGGACACATTTACCGGCGTGGAAGGTGTCGATTATTTCGAAGTCACAATCGGTGGTAAAAAGATCAAGAACGAGCATGCACTCAAGACAGGATTGGACACCATTCTCAAAGAAGCTGGAAAACCCGGCGAGTGCTATTGCTGCCATTTGAATGTTCAACACTGGAACATCTATTCCTGGGAGCAAAAGGACGTACTCAGGGAACTTTACGGATTGAAAGAATCGGGCATTGACTCTGGGGTGTAGTAGAGTTCACTGGGAGCCAAACTCGTGAGCCTGAGGGCTTATAAGTGCTCAGATACTTCACCCAAAGACAATTGATTAACACCATAGTGTGATTCGATCAATATGGTGTAATAAGGAATTGGGTCAGATCAGAATGTGCAGGGTGGCAACCCTAGATTAAGCTCCGGTAGCTCGTAAGACTCCATTCACACGCACTTGGAGATACTGCTATCCCATTCAAATGTAGTAAGCTGAGATTAATCTTTGCAGTTGTGAGTTCATCCTCAGGGTTCTTAAGCACCATAGGATATTAAGCCGCGATCTTAGCACAATACCTTACCGTTTCATTGCAGGGTTGTTGCAGTGCATAATTGAGGAAGCCGCGTGATGCAATCATCAGCGGTAAGGTTCATTAACTCAAACAATCCTCTACCCAGACGAGCGGCAGCTCTCTGAGGCTATGGAAGCTCTGACTTACAGTTCTCATCTACCAATCGCACATCTCGCATCTAACTTAGATATTATGCCAGAGGCGTTATGAGGTCACTTTATTGTGTATTGAAGAAGAAGATTGGCCCGAGCACAAAGCTAAATGACAAGGTTTGACAGACATAGACATTAAACTTCCGCTCTTCGAAGTTAGATCCTTTTGTTCCTCTCTAAAGCTGAATACATAACAGCCTCATGCCTCCTCTTCAAACGAGTCAACCTAACATCAAACATTGGTCATACTGCAACTTACCTTTGACAGCCACTCAGCATTCATTCACGGCCCGGTATAATCTTCCAAGCTATAAAACCTCGAATCCGCCAATTTCCCATTCACTTACCCATCGATCGTGGCATAAGAATACCAACAACTTTCCACGAAACATGAGTCAAGTAAATGAGTCCTTTTTCTGGAAGAGCGGCAAGAAATGGTTCGAACACAAAATTCGCTCGCACTTCGTCCGAAACTACGACGAGCTCATTCTGAACTTAAGAGCCATTTTTGGTAGAGAAGAAGAACAAGAGAATGAGTACTTTCACGTTAAAGAAAGGGGATATGGGAGCTACGTCGTACTTGCCTTTGTGGAGAAAAAGGATATGGAAGATGATTTACTTTTCTTGACAACTGCGACAATGGTCACCTCGATATTGTAGCTGTCATTGCTAAATCGGAGAAATAATCGCTAAGCGGGACATTCGGTTCCAATTCAAAGAGCCCGCAGTCGCCAATACTTGTTCTCTTCTCTCTTCTGTATCAACATAATCTGTTTGGAACTTTCTAACGGCGATACGAGAATATCAAGGAAGGTTTTGAGGGGCCAGTGGATGATTATTTGATGCAAAGGAAAGCGCTTGCTGGATGGCGGGTCATGAAGGTTCATTCGGCCAAGAAGATGAAGTCAGATGGAATGAACCGCGCACTTTAGTCGTGTATGAAGGAGATAAGCTTAGTTGGATTTGATTAATAGCAGCTATACGACTTATGCTACAACCTCCCGTCTCTGAATCGTGATGTTCATGTTCTCAAACCAACTCACACCACCCTTGACAACATACGTTCCCCTATTCTTCTCATCAACCCATTCAACCTTGAAGCTCCTCAAGAACTGCAGCGGTCCCTTGTAAAGCTCCATGCGTGCAACATCTTGACCTAGACACACTCTAGCGCCATAGCCAAAACCCATGCTGTACTTGTTGTAGACCTTGGCCTTGTCCTCGTCAAGCCAACGCTCAGGCTTGAAGACCTCGGCGTCGTCACCGTAGATGTTTGGGTCACGGTGTACGAGCCATGGGTTGCAAGTCACTTCGGTACCCTCGGGGACGAATTGACCGCAGATCTCGAGACCGCCTGGGGGAGCGATGCGGGGGAAGATGTTTGGTGCAGAGGGTTTGAGACGCATGCTTTCTTTGACGCAGGCGATGTAGTAGGGGCAGTTCTCGACGACTTCATCATATTGAGGCATCTCGGAGAGTTTACCAGCCACAGTGGCGTCGTCGATCTCAGTCATAAGCTTCTTGTACACAGATGGGTTAGTGAGAATGTGGATCATCATGGCCTGGAAGGCTGTTCCAGTTGTGTCAGCGCCGGCGAGAAGGACAAGAAGAATCTCAGCCTTGATGTAGTTGATGTCGAGGGGGTTGCCATCCTCATCCTTGGCCTCAATGAACCTGTAGATCTATGTCAGCATTTAGTGTGGGATATGAAACAAGCCAACTTACGTTTGAAGCAAGTCAACGCGTCCATCTGTCGCACCATTCTCAATATCCTTGAAACGCTGATCAATCAATCGATCGCGAAATCGCATCAACGTTCCGATACCAGAATCCTGCTCAGGACTGGCAACCATGTACTTGCCCAAGAAAGTACTCTTAATCCAGTTGGTGAAAGGATGCAGCCTCGCCATTATACCAAAGGGGGTAAGGCCATCGTGAAAGCCCTGAATTAGGCCCTCAACATCCTTGCCCTCTTTGACAAACCCGAATGGGGCACCAAAGCCAACTTCTGAAATGATGTCATAGGCCATGAACACAGCCCAAGGCGCAAAGTCGAATGGCTTGTTGGTAGAAGCAAACTCTCGCTGCAGACGGGCCATCCAATTCTCAATGTTGGAGTCAATCAACGGCTCCATCTTTTTGATGTTGGTTAAGCTGTAGAGAGGCGCTGCAATCTTTCTGTACTTGGCGTGCATGACGGAATCTTGCATATTGAAGAGGGACTCATCTTTGCCAAAGCTTCCGGTGATGTAGTGCTTTGACTTGTTTGCATGACGATTGTAAATCTTGGGTAGTTGCGTTGCATCGCTGACGAGCAACATTGTAGGAGTAATCCTGATAACAGGTCCTGAAAAGTGTGAATACCTTCATCACTCACTGAGCAGGGCAATCTTACCATGCTTCTTGTGAAGCTCTTGAAACGTCGCACACTCATCAGCCTTGACATTATGATACGTGATCCAAAGCCTCGTAACACTCCCCCAGAAATTCCCAGGAAACTTGCGCAGCGGATGAAAAAAGCGATACCGAACGATCTGCCACAAAGCGCAAAAAGCAATATACCCAACCCCCAACAGGGCGACGTTCATCAAGCTAAGCACGGCCATTGTTGTCTGCAGGAAACAAAACGAACCAATTGTTGGGAACGCGAAAATAAGCAATGAAAGGGGACGTAACCCGATAATGTACGAGGGATCGACACGACTCGGGTTCCCCATGCTGTTACATAGCCTGTATAACCGAGTTGCGCAACTTGACGATCATTAACCCAGGATGTTCAATGGCCCGTGATTGCTTTTGCATGCTATGCAACGTGTAGTTAAGTGGATTCTTTAATGTAACGGCTCACATCTCGGATGAGCAAACTGCTGAAGATCCAAGAATTGTTTATGCGCGCCTGACGACTTACCTGAGAATGCTGGGCAATCCTTGTTGACCATTCGGCAGGATAAGAGTTCCCGAGCCGTGGTAAAATTTCTGATCCTGGTAATTACCCACATTCGCCAAGATCTGCTACCAAGATCGCCATACGCGGCTGAGATATTAAATCCTCTCCACTCCAGCGGTTACTCAAGATGCTCGCATGTGAACACCTTGGGCAATACAACGGTAATACCACGACGGTGTTCCCGAGATTCTGGGTAAAGGAGAAGTTAAACGATCCTTCTGCTTCTTTTTTGCCTGACGAAAAGTTCCATGCAGGCTCTTGGATGATATGATGTTTGTCTCATTGTGAAGAACATGTTGGTTCAAGTGCCATGTTTGCTTGGCTCCACAGTTGAGAAAAGATGACAGATTCTCACGAGGAAACATGTCATGAACTAAGTGGACTCTACCAAATGATCCACGCCGTGAAATACGGAAGTTGGAAGGCAGTAGGATGAGGCGATAATTAGCGTGAGACACGCTGAAGAGAACCGGTAGGCTAACACTTAGCTTCCACCGGGCCGTTGTCTCTAACCTCAGTAGCAGAAAAGTCTAAGAGAGAAAACAACACCAATTGGGTGGGGAAAGGGCTCCGGAAGAGAGAACCCGAGGTCCACAGGCGTCATGCTCCTCGCACAGACAAACTCACGGGCCATTTATCCGAATCCAATCATTCTTAGCCGAGTGTCAATCATTACACGCATCTCCACTTACAATGGGGGCATTGTTGGTTCCAAGACGAATAATGAAATCTGATATATGAATTTCCCCTGAAAAACTCCTCCTCTTTCGCGATGGAGGCAGTAAGATCCTCGCTCGCTTGGCGAGGCACGTCTGTGCTTCCGTTACAGAATGGTAAACGATTGGCATAGCACCAACGAGTTAATCAATCAGCTGTAATGAAAGGCCATCTGCTTGTCTCAGTTGAGATTCGATGGATTCTTCCATTTAACCCGCCCACGATTCTGCATCAGCTGAGGTTTTTCGGACTCTTGCAATTCTTTTTTCGTTTCTCTTTGCAGCCATGACTGAATCGCAGGGCTCGACGGTCAACTCGGTCGCTATTTGTTTTGCTGTTATTAGTTTTTGTGCTGTGGTGTTGAGATTGTGGGCGAGGACGTTTATTGTTAGGTCGCTTGGGGCTGATGACTGTGAGTACGTCGGTCCACTTATTGGGGCTTTGCTAACTGTTGCAGACTTGATTTGTGTTGGAGCCGTAAGTCTGATGTTTTCGCAACTGCATATGCAGGTACTGACAGATTTAAGATCTTATCGTGGTGCTTTATCGGTTGCACAATAGCTTGTAAGTTCACTGTCATTTGCCGACTCACCGTCGCTAACCTTTGTAGCCGTCCAACATGGTCTCGGTGGCCACTATGAAGACGTGATCAAACGCGGCACCGACAACTTCATCGCCTACCTTCAAATCGTTTGGCTATCCTCCATCTTCTACAATGCCTGTCTCGGCTTCATCAAGATCTCCGTCCTTGCGCTTTACACCCGACTTGGCGATAAGATGCTACGCAAGACGGCGTTCGTGATGATGGGCGTTGTCGGATGCCAGGCTGGTGCAAATGTTCTGGCTTGCATCTTTCAGTGTTCTCCAGTTCCCGCGGCGTACGATATCACGATCTTGCCAGAGGATAAGAAGTGCGTTGACATCAATGCTTTCTACTTGGCGAATGCTGCTGTCAATATCTTCACGGACATTCTTACCTACACGTTGCCTATCCCGTTGGTGGCGAGGCTTCGTGTTCCCCGACGACAGAAGATCAGCTTGGCCATCATCCTAGGTCTCGGACTCTTGTAAGTCCCCATTGCCCCTATCAATCGCTCACCTGCTAACTCCAACAGCGCCTGCGTCTCCTCCATCATCCGAATCACCTACATCCCCAAAATGCTCAGCTCCTCCGATTCCACCTGGGTCATCTCCGATGCGATGTACTGGTCCGTAATCGAGACCAACATCGGCATCCTCGCCGCATCGATCCCCTCTTACAAAGCCATTGCCAAGAAATACGCGCCGCGTCTGCTTGGCAGCTCTGGCATGTCCAGCAGTCGCAAGCTCTCTGGCTTCAAACAGATGCCTCTGGAGCTTCAGGGCGGTAGCAATTCCGGTACCGGTGCACCGAAGAGTACGTTTGAGACTAACATCAAAAATTGTTTGGATGACAACAGTAGTGAGGAGGTATTGGTTATGCCGAATGGGAGGATTGGGGTTAAGACGGATATCACGTTCAGATACGAGAACAATTTGGAGAATGGGATGCAAAGTCAGAGATAGAATGTTGCCACGTCTCACGTAATTCAGATAGCACGATAAGAATAATACATCAATAGCTTATACCACCACAATCGCTCTCAGTAGCTAACCAGGTCCTTAGAGAAGGGCAGTTGCTGTTCCATAGATGACCTCACTGTGGATTGCGTCGCCTCATCTTTTTCCATCTCAGCTGAGCACAACTCAAGTATGTGACTATGGAAATCTGTCAAGATATAACCATTAGCATAAGAAAGGAATAATTGAGAACCAGAGTGCACTTACAGATGACACCATTCTCCTTTAGTGGGTTCAACAGACCCTCCGAGTAAATACCAACATTAAGATTCGCCTGAGTCTTCTCGCAAAGCTCAATGTCTTCAACAGCAACGTTTCGCGTGAAGTCATACCACTTCTCGAACTCCTCACTCCCAGCATGTGCTTTATGATAGTAGTCAAACTCCATGCGGGCCTGACAAGGTATCTCAGATGGATTAATGCGCCAGCACGTCAAGCCGCCAGCGTACAAGCTCAAAGAACAATTAGGGAAGAGGAAGAAGAACAAACCATCATCAGCGCCAGTACCAGTAGCCATATGCTGCGAGTAGTTATGCTTATTGATGACTTTGTAGCCCGCGGGCTTGAACGTCTTTGCAAACTCCGGGTGCGCATATGCGCAATGCAGACACTCTTGATAGGCATCAACAGTGGCCTTCCAATTATTCTGAGAAGTGTAGGTGAGGGGACGTCTCAGTGGAAGGTCAGTGAAGTCAGCGTGCGCAGTTGCTTTCTCAAAGCCGGGGAAGAAGTCTTCAAACGAGCAGGTGTCGTCGGAGAGTGTCACGAAAAGAAGGCCATTGGGAGTTAAGTGTGATCGCATAATGGTACCCTGTATGATAAGCAAGCTCTCTGAAGATAGAATTTCCCTGTACTTACGTCTCGTTTCTTGGTGATTGTAATGCTCCTCCAATCTTCAGTCTCGCGACGGACGATGAAGTTGACCTGAGCCAGCTCATGCTCATAGTTGACATTGGTTTCTGGAAACTTTGTTACAGCTCCTAGAAGAACCCAGGACTGAAATACGATCAGAAACTGGGTGATGAGAGATTTTTCTTTTCTCTTGAACTTGCCTTGAGAAAGATCGCCCGCCTCTCGAGACTGTAGATGCCGGTGCTGGTGTACCATGAGGCAGGCAGAGTGACATCCCAGTCAGTCATTATGGATTACAGATAGCGATAATTCCAATGATATCTTGGGCCTTTCAATAAGATGTACTTATTTTTAAGTGATAATAGACTCATTAGAATATTTATTTATAGGAATGCTCGTCTTTGAGCTTTATCTAAGTCAATGGTCGCTGCCGGAAAGCCTACCCTACGCTATTCCAGATCAGGAAATTTTATACGCAACATGCATTATCTTCATAACTACAGCCGAGTGATATCATCCCTTGTACTATTGACTTTCTTTGATAGGCAATTTATTCTTGTACTTTACATGCTGATCCGAAGACCGCGATATACACGCGTGAGAACCAAGATTTAGCTTTCTCGATTGCCTAATAGAGGAATCGCACACGAGAATGGCGGCCCACGGAACAGCTCCCGTGCGTCCGGCGCATTTGGCAATGTGCTAAATATTCTTAGTTGTCCGTGAAAGATATTTCGATATTGTCACTTTCATATCACAATCTGTTGTTCTTGGTCCTCTCTCAATGATTTCATTACTGATCTTGGGCACTACGAGTGTGCTTATCACGTCCATAGTTCTTCATTTCTGGCGATATCTCAAACGACACTCTACTTACGTACCAGTGCTGGAACAAGGGACCTTTGATCTGCCTGAGGGATGGTGGTCGGACCCCGTTCGATTCCAACTTGAGCGGCGAGCAATTTTCAGCCAGGTAAGATCACTAGAGGCTCATCACTATCAGTTGTGCAAGTCTGAGTCCTGACCTCGCTGCTAGACGTGGATCTGTGTCAGCCACCGCGGCCGTTTTCGCTCCCCCGGCGACTATGTGGTCTACGATGTTGCTGGTTTTCGCATTCTCATGATCTTGGGCAAGGATATGGTAGTGCGGTCGTTCCACAATGTTTGCAGGCATAGAGCCTTCCCCGTCGCGAGGAAGCAATCTGGCAGTGCCACCGTGCTAGGCTGTCGATATCACGGGTGGAGCTATAACACGGAGGGGAAACTCACCAAGGCTCCTTATTTCGATGAACTACCCGGCTTTGATAGGAGCTTGAATAGTCTCTTCGAGATCCACACGAAACAAGACGACAAATGCTTCCTTCATGTCAATGTGAGCCGTCACGAAGGCGTGTCTGCTACTGCCACTCCAAGGGGGGTCGAATCCGGGAGGCTTGGCGATGTCAGCCCCGACGCAGAGCTGCTAGACAGTATCGAGTTCAGTGGGAAGTTCAACTGGAAGGTCGTCCGTAAGTATCCTACCCTTAGTCTTCGTTCTAGTTTACCCGCGGATGCTAAAGAACGACAGTCAACCAGCCATACGCTATATCACCTCCAGCCAAGTCCACTTTCACGGCGATAACTAGTTCAACTGGAGAGCTCCAATTCTTCCCTCTGACTACGGTACACTTAGTGCCTGGCCAGCCCTTTTGGTATCAACTAACTTATTCTCCCGTCACCGTTGACCAAACAAATCTACGTTGCGACATTTATACCAATAGTCCTAAGGCGTCTTTCAAATTTGATGGAACGACTAAATGCTTTCTTGAGAAAGAGATAAAGCAAAAACTGCTAGCTTTCGAGAACCAATACAAGCAGCTTATCACTTCAGCAGAAGAGGCAATTGGCAACGGTGACTTTTCGCCCCTTCGGATAGCTTATAGTGACAGCGCTGACTAGGGACAGGTTACCAAGCAAAGATTGCTGCAGCGGTCGAAATGCATCGACGCCAGGAGGCGTTGCGAGGATTTGAAATCAAGCCCGCTGCGCTGAAGCAGCAAAATGGCGACGATAAGCTCTCCAAGGCTGAACGAAGTAAGTCAAACCCGCGAGAACACCCCGTGTTCAGGTTTTCCACACATCATCAGGCCATGTTAGCTCATCTTCACTTTAGTCTGCCAAGCCATGGACTGTGGCACTTCTAAAAAACTCGATTGGTAACAGTCGAGAAGGAGACCCATGCACTTCACAAGGCTGATGTTGTTACTGGTGTCAATAGAACAATCATGCTACAGTTCACGTAATCCTCTTCCGCCGAGATAAGGCAAGAAATGAAGACTAAGGCTCGGTTTAATTCTCGACAGTTATGTCTTGCAACACGAGGCTTTTGTTGTGATCAGTCAATAGTGGTGAGTCATGGACTAGTAAACATTAGGGCGGTATCTACAATTTGTGTTTATGCACCATTAGAAATACATCGTTCGCACCGAGAAGCAGAACATAGGTATAGAGAATTTGAAAGCGGCCGAATTATGTAGTCGATATGCTCCTTCGTAGCTATGTTTGTCCGTGAACACGTCGTGCCCGAAACGAGATATAAGTCTTTTGTGTCGTGAATCTTGATAATGACTCCCAGTAGATAAGGGGCTTAAATTGGATGAGAAAGCCTCGCCATCTCAAATTAAGTCATTATGCAAAGTCGGATGACGAGTGGTGATGCAAAACGTACGTACTGATTCGATTAGCCCAAATCACGGTATCTTATTCCGTTTGCCGGGTACCGTCGTAGTTTCCGGCTCGCTAGCCCCTTTGGACCCCGCCCTTCCGTGCTTATCAACTATGCCGATCCACTTCCCCTCCTTGATACGGACCGTCAACCGCCGGTGCAAACCTGCCCAAAGCTTGAGAACGGAATAGTACGATCAAGTAGACTAAACGCTCTTGACTTGAACGCTACCATGCCCCGACGTGGCGGCGGGAGGCAGACGAGATTGTGCGGGCGCCGTTCCCGAGGTGGTTGCTCCTCATGCAAGCAGCGACATGTACGTGTTCGGAACCTTGCGATCTTGGAGAGTATATGAGGTACTCACACAGAAAGGTCAAATGTGATGAGAGCAGGCCAACGTGTACGAACTGCGCAAAGAAGGGCTTGTTATGTGACGGCTACCCTCAGCGAACGTTGAGGTGGTCATACAAGCACGAGATAACGGCGAATGAGACATCACAGCAACAGAACAAGTCACTAGAGCCTCTCAACGATAACCCAACCATCATTGCGCCAAATCCCCCAACGACTGATGACCATACTCGCGAGGAGGATGGGGAGGCTCGTGTGGTGGCGGATGATGAAATGGCTCTTTGGCCACAGTCAGAGGATATCGGCTTATCGGATCTTTTAGGCTTCGATTCGACGAACATGTTTGATCATGAGTTCTCTGGGAGTCTTGAATCGATTGCTATCGAGACCCCGACCTTTGACTTTTTGACTTTCGACCAGGTACCTGACTTCTGCTTTGATACCTCACCTCAAGGGCACACCTGGTTAGATCCAGGTCTATCTAACCGATTACAACTATCGGGGATAGACGCAGACCCAGCTACGCGGCTTCTGAAATGTTGGTTCGACGAAATATGCCCTGCATGGTCCGGCTTCGACTCCAAGTCAAACATGAATAGAAGGATGGCCGAGGATCTTTGGCAAAGCTCACCTCCGGTCTTCACTGCTCTACAAAGCATGTCAGCTAGTTTCCTCTCGGCAAGACTACCGCAGATGAGGCAATCTGCTATGAATCTTCTCAAAACAGCAACACTGAGTGTCCAGGCAGAGATACAGGAGCTCAATGAGAAGGATGTCGTCGATGAAATACCTATCGGTATCCTGTTCGCATTAATCTGTCTTGGTACAACAATTTGCTGGCTGGATACTCGTAGAGTCGGTTGGCCGTTTCTGCAAGAAGCAAAGAAACTATTTCGATGGACCTCACAGCAACAGTTTGCAGCTGATGCAGACAGGATAGATTTCTTCAACAAAAGTCTCGTCTACTGGGATATGTTAATATCTCTTATATATGACCCAGAACCAGGTACCGATATACATCAAGTCAGCGAACTGCCATCCAGCTTTCCGAGATCTCATCTCCTTGCTACTTACAGCCAACCTTCCTACGAGACGGAGCCTCACCCGCGGACTGGCGTCTCACTTCTCAGCACAACCCTTTTCACGCGGTCAATTCGCCTTTGTCGGGTCTATCGACGTCGCACAACTGAGCGAGCACTGGACTCGCCTCCAACAACACCAGAGATCGAGCAAGCCAAAGAATTAGAGGTCGAGTTGCTGCAGTTGCAGCTTTCGCCTAGACCATCGATCAACAATACCGATGACCCGCGCACACCAGCTACTCACCTTCTACACGTGGCCGAAGCTTATCAACTTGCTTCCTTGCTCCAGATCTACATACAGTTTCCGGCGTTACTAAAGCCACCATCCCAATTAAATCCACGAGACTTCAATGAGGCTGAAATAACAATGTTATGGCACAAGCGCATCATACCCCTCACTCTTCGGCTCATAGAAGTGCTAGAGCAAATCCCCTCCGAGTCCCGTAGCTGCGCTATCCAGCCACTTTTGTATATGTGCGCCGCCACTGGACTTCGACACACACCAGCTTGTTCGCCTGGTACAGAGCCCAGCAGCGGTAGCCCAGCCAAGCCAAGGCCAATGGAGAGCATCCTTGACTATCTAGACCTTCTCAAAGACCCAGTCGAACATTCCAAGGAGGATATCGATCCTTTGTCTATCTCACAGACTACGATTGACGTCAGTAAAGGACGAACTTTTATCTTACGGCGCCTGAGTGTCTTCAAAGAATGTTTGCACCCTGGTCCAATTGCAGTCGCCGAAGAGTTTGTGAAAGAACTGTGGGACGCTTATGATGAAGCGCCCCGGTGGAGCATGGATGTCTGCTGGATTAGTCTTATGGATAAGAAGGACCTTCGAACGCTATTTGGATAGAGAATCTCTGTATTACACGGCCAAGGACGGGATATAAACACAATATTATAAACTTGTCAAACAGAAGTATAGAGTAAATATCTCGACATGACATCCCTTCGCTTTCACTATGGATACCATCAAACCTCATCAACCACCTTCTTCCTGTCCTGGAGTTCATGTGCGTGGACCTGAACCTCTGTGACAAACTTGTCAAACTTGCGAAGATTGACCTTCTTCTCAAACCTGTCGGACATTAGCTTCATATACGTAAACATGTAACACCGATGAATCTTGACATACATTTCATCAATCTCGGCGGGTGTTCGGCGTGCCACCTCAGGGAGGATGAACCAGGCGATGACGACAGCAACAGTGCCGGTACCAGCGAAACTAAGAAAGTGTTTATCAGCAACCACAAATAAATCACCAAGACCTTGTAGATTATACTCACAAGAAACCAGTCTTGACGCCCCACTTGGCCGATCCATTGATCATCAATGGGGTACAGAAACTGAAGATGATAGCGATGCAGTTGGACACAGCTAGTGACCAACCAGCCGTCTGGGCCCTGAGGCGCTGTTGCGGAATCTCAGCAGCGTAGGCGTAGCCGATGGCTGAAGCACCAGTGGTGGAAAACGTAGCGAGACAAGCGAAGAAGATCTGCAAGGATACTAATTAGACAAGGAGGAAGTGATCCCGCCGAGATCATACTGACAAGTAGCGAACTGGTAGCCTTGGCTGTGTAGTCGAAGCAGCCAATAATGCCCAGACACAAGACCGATACGACTGTGACAGCATACGGGTAGACGGTAAGAGGTCGTCGACCGATGGAATCTGTGAGTGTTGCAGTGGCGATCATCGAGATGAGCTGGACGGATGATAGGATGAGGGTCACGAGGAATGGATCCTTATTTCCTGCATATTGGACTGTAACATATGGTTAGAAGTTTCCCATCGCACCGCGCACCGAATACGTACAGAAATATGTCGCATAGGTATTAAATACGGCCAAGCCAACGAACTGCTGAGTAATCTTAGGCCAGCCGGAAATGATAAAGCGAATCAGGTTGCGGCCCTTGAACACAGCCCAGGGTCCCAGCTCGGAGTTTTGCTCGGCTTGTTGGCGTTCGAGGGCAATGGTAGAAGTCATGATTTCCTACTCCGGAATTAGCACCACTGTCTATGATGAATTTAGGTTGGTACTCACGATCTGTTGATCAATGTCATAACCTTCGACATTGGCGAAGCATCGGTTCAGTACTTGAGAAGCCTGCTCGACCTTGCCCTTGCTTGCCAACCACCAAGGGGACTCGGGGATCAGAAGGAATGCGATAAGGATACAACCGATCATAGCCCACTACAATCGTTGTTAAGTTCGACGCTCTTCTTCGATCTCGAACAACGAGCCTCGATAACTCACCTGAGTGTAAATTGGGGTTCGAAAATCGAGCGGGTCGTTGGCTTTGAGCTCCTTGAGGGCCACAGAGGCAAAGAGCTGGCCGAGGACGAACCAGCTGTTCTACAGTTAGTATATCGGCTTTTATTCGTTCTGGAGACCGTCGTGACTCACAAACTGTAGGCGTTGATGAAGAAACCTCGGAGCTGTGTAGGCGAGATCTCGGATAGGTACAGAGGCATGGTGGACTGCAGCATACCAACACCCATGCCAGAAAAGAGCTTTGCGACAAGCCAATGCTGCCAGTGTGTTGCGAATGACTCGGCAAAGACGCTCTATTTATTTGACATATTTGATCAGTCCTAATTCTTGCACATGTCGTGGCGTACGTACCGCGGTGAGAACGACCCAGATAATCATCATCGCAGCCTTGCGACCGAGACGTTCAGTTGCATATTGAAGGAGCTAGAAACATTGTCAACACACGATCCAAAATGTTGAGTATGAAGATCGACGTACGACTTGACCGATGGTCTGGCCGGCTGATTGAATACCGCCCCAAGCCGAAATGTATTTACCCGCGATGATCGTGGTGCCAGAGGTCGAAAACTGTCGTATAAAACCTGCGTTGGAGACGATTCCACCGTTAAGATTGATCTCTGTTGCGAATGATGATTAGCAAACAATTGAAGAACAAGACCAGGTGCAAAACTTACGATAGCCATCGAGAGAGGCCGAGAAGGCTGCAAGCATAGCGATACTGCCCACGCGCTTGAATCTACGAACACTTTGCCAAACACTAAGATCATCAAGCTTGGACCTCATGAGAAGTCCTTCGCCTGTATCCTCGACGGTCTCGGTATGAGCCTTTGCTTGCTGCATTTTGACGATGTTGTTTTTGTTGATAATGCAGATCTGATTTGATGCAGCCAAGATCTTGGCCTCGATCAGTCTTTATGGAAAAACACTTGGCGATACGATGTCGTATTTTTAATTCTTAGTCCTCCACAGCAGAACGCGGGGCCCCAGACTTGTCCGCCCCAGGCCTGGCTCCCTTCTGACTAGTGCTCATGCTAGAAGGGCAAACCCCACTGCGGAGAGGAGATGATTGACTGTGACTGGGGCTGCGGAAACCAGTCCGTTCATACACGGTTGATGAACGATCTAGCAGATCCAATCAGACGCGGCTGTCAGGGATATCACGGCAACGATATCCGAGACTTCATACCACTGAGGAGGAGAACAGGCTTGACCACCTACACCATCTTCGTCTGAACAATGACCGAGCTGAGCTTTTCTCGGGTCAAAGATGTAGCGCGTAAAGTTTGTTTTGAGCGTGCTACACTCGGTTGCGTTTGAACCGAGAGAGATCATCCATGCTTTAAATATCTGTTGATGATCATGAGACTGAGATTAAGCTATGCAGGGTTTTGAAAAGAGACGGCGAGAAGCCCGAAATTAGAGAAAGTCTGGGGAAAGGTCTGGTTTAGTTCATGTTCCCCAGGATCAGGGTCGCTCTAGTATGCTTTGCTTCATGGTGTTAGTGGCCTCGGTGGCCAAGTTGTGTAGTAGCGGTACTGAGGTATTCCAGGTAACTGACTCCAACTATCAACGAAACAAGTCAAAAGCCGTAAAGCTTCAAGAATAAAAGGCAGCTAAATTCCACGTAAAATAGAGAACTATCAAAAACCTTCCTGACAAGCTTCCTTCAATATCCTACTGTCAACTATATCTCAAGAATGGCTTCGCGTCTTAGCATCGCCTGGCTTATCGCCCAGGTTGCCACTGTTTCGGGCTTGTCTTTCGACGTTCCATCTTCGCCGCCGGCCAACTCGAGCGCCCAGCTTTCCGATGCCCCAGTTGGTGTTTCGTGAGTAGACAAACATAGTACAACCAACACAAAGTGCGTTCGTTGACAGTCCGCAGCTTCGAGTTCTTTGCTTTCCCAGGCTACTGGAATAATGTAACCAGCACCTCCACCTGTCTGCAGAACTTGAAGGACCTCTCGGGAACTTGGCCGCCCATCAGAATCGGAGGAACTACGCAGTGCGTTGGATTATGTCCCTTGTTTTGTTGCTACTTACATGGTGAACAGGGATCGAGCTACCTACAATGCATCCTCTAGCCAGCAGGTTACTTACACAGTTGCCAACGCTGGAGATGCGCCAAGCACGCTAACCTTCGGGCCATCCTTCATGTCCTTGGCTGGAACATACGATGGGAAAGTAACTATAGGCTTCAATCGCCGGCTCAATAACCTTTCAAACACCGTCGCTGCAGCAGCCAAAGCGGTTGATCAGATTGGAAGTCTGCATGCCATTGAACTTGGCAACGAACCTAACTGTACGTTTCGTTTCCTGGTCGTCATTTACTCGCTACTAACTATGGGTCAGTCTTCAGCAGCAGTGACCCAATCGCTCAAGGCTCTTCCTGGACAGCTTCAGCAGACTACAACAGTGAGGTCTCCTGGCAGGACGCCGTGTGCGGCAATCTCTCCGCTTCCAACCTCATCTCCGCCGGTGTGTTCTTCGGAACCAGCCCGATGAGCATCGCTGGTCTGACTGCGGTCGAAGGTCAGGCAAATAGCTATGTCAGACAGTACTGCTCGCACAACTACCCGCAGTCCAAGAGCACAGCCAATCTAGCAAATTTGATGAGCCACAGCGCTATTGCATCCCAGATCAAGCCTTTTGCGAAAGAGGTTGCAGCTGCGACGGCTAAGGGCAAGCCTCATGTTTTTGGAGAGACCAACTCTGGTAAGTCAATTGTCCCGGCCAAGTAACTGTGATGGCTGATAAGCTGTCCTTAGCTACTCAGGGCGGTGGAGGCATTAGTCCAACCTATGGTGCTGGACTTTGGCTCCTCGACTATGTCATGCAGTCCCTGATCATGGGAACAGAGGTACAAAGCCCCCTTCATCTCTCATAGCTCTGTGATTAACGTGCTGTAGACGCTGTACTTCCACCATGGCACAATCGGAAACTGTAAGTAGCCCGGTACAACAGGCTTGACAGACGGCTAACACATTTACAAACAGGTCAGTACTGCTGGTGGGGAAAGTACTCGATGGGATCCCCCTATTTCGGAGCCTACTTTGCCACGATGGCTCTAGCCGGCGCCGACAAGATCGCCCCTTTGGATGACCAGACGACCGGATACGCAGCATATGCCATCTACAAGGACAATAAGCCTATCAGAGTACTTCTGTACAATTCCGATTACTACACCACTGGCACTCGCCCATCTCAGGCTTTTACCCTAACAGGGCTCTCTGGTTCCACTGTCTCGGCCAAAAGGCTCACTGCCGCTGCTTCCACGTCCAGAGTTGATGCCGGCCAGAGCCCCACCGTCGCCGGACAGACTTTTGAGAATGGATCGTGTAAGATCCAGGGTCAGAGCACGGTTGAGTCGGCTATTGTCTCGGGGGGAAAGGCGAATTTCACGCTTCAGGCTTCCGAAGCTCTACTGGTGACGCTGTAGTATGTGGCATAGTGGCTGCTTCAACTGTGGTTGAATACGCGGACTGGTGCGCGCTCACTTTGAGCACTAACCTTTCGCATGTGTCTGGTTTAGAGGTCTGGTGGCAGTGGTGTGCAAGATGATTCGTTTAGTCTGTAGTCGTAACAGAAGAAATGGCATCGGTATAATGATCCACGCTCACTTGACCCGATGCCCGGCCTGTTGAATTGGAGCATCCTTTTCCCCTCACTGTGAGCTAGCGTCGTGAATGCGGAAGTGATCAACTGGCGCCATCTCTAGCAAATGTACAGTGCTTGGATTAGTGGCCCCCGCACTGAACAATGCTCGCTTTGACATGCCCCGAAGCGACACGGGCTTTCAATTGAAAGCAGCAACGTGCTAGTCATCTATTGAATATTAAGCCCGTATAATCTTTAATAAAGCTTCCCCTTTCGAGACTACTCAATACAGTCAAGCATTTGACACGCTGGGATGTGATAAGATGGCGCCATCAAATGAACAACAGGTAACCACCATCCTGATCTGTCTCATCCTATGCACCATCAAACTAACTCGCTCTACGGATCATTAATCAGCTCCAATCCAATTGGATCTGGATTCCCGACTGGATCGACTCCTCTAAAGAAAACACCGCCGCACGTATCGTCACATTCAGTCGCAAGTTTACACTCCCATCGCGACCAACCCGAGCGCTCCTCCACTTCACAGCCGACACGCGGTACAAGCTCATCATCAATGGTACTCGGGTAGCTGTTGGCCCAGCGCGAGGTAGTCCGTTGATATGGTACTATGACTCGCTCGATATCGCTCCGCACCTCAAAAAAGGCGATAATGAGATCTACTTCGTGGTGATCCGTTACTTTGCGGCTTCCCGGGGTGGAATGCCTTTTGAGAGGACTTCATTTCCTGGGTTGACTGTTATTGGTAGTGTAGAGTCGGATGGGCAGTCTATCAGTCTTGACTCTCGGGAAGGCTGGTTGGCTGAAGAGGATAACTCGATCCTGTTTCCAATGGGAAGACCGGATGATGTCTTCCTTCATGTGAGTGCTTGACCTCGTTTTCGAGAGATACACTGACTCTCTTCAGATCAACGAACATGCCGTCCCCAGGCCTGCCAAGGATAAAGTCACACCCGTACCATATAACCTAAAGACTCTCAACGGAGAGCTTCCTCCCTGGCGTCTTCGGTTTCGCGTGATCCCCACTCCAGAGCAAACACCTGTCTCTGTCAACACCATCAGAAAGAACCTCGGGATCTTGAGCTCTGATGCTTGGGTGGGGTATCTCTCGGGCCAACGCCCTGTCACCCTGGCAGCTGGGTCTTCACACATGCTCGAGGTCCAAGCGGCCGTGCATTCAACGGCATTTCTACGCTGGACGTTCAAAGCGACTCAAAAGAGCCAGATCCGAATGAAGATTACTTACAGCGAAGGCTATGAAAATGAACCGCGCGCTTATCCCTTTTTCAGGTCAAAGTCTGACCGCCTAGATGCGACCAATGGCCATATCATCGGTCCTTACGATGACATAACGCTTGACCTACCAGCGTCGCAGACCATTTTATATGAACCATTTTGGTTCCGGACCTTTCGCGTTATGCGATGGGAGATCACAGCTGGTGCTGAAGCCGTCGAGCTATCTTCTTTCGATGCAACTCAGGTTAACTACCCCCTTGCAGTCAAAGCAAGTTGGGATGAGCCAGGAGACAAGGACGCCAAGCAAATATGGGATGTTTCCATCAGAACTATGAGGAATTGCATGTTTGACGGGTACTCAGACTGCCCCTTCTATGAGCAACTCCAGTCAGCATAGCCCCCACGCCAGATTGTTCTGACTAACCGATCTTTAGGTACTCCGGTGATTCTCGCTCCGTCGGCCTATTCCACTATCTCCTTTCCGGCGATGACAGATTGATGCGGCAGACGATCACCAACTTTGCGGCATCCGTGACACCCGAGGGCTTAACACAGTCTCGCTTCCCCTCTCACGTCCCGCAGATCATCGCTGGTTTCTCCCTGTACTGGGTCCTTCAAATCTGCGATCACCATCTCTACTTCGGCGACACAGCATATACACGGTCATTCCTACCTCGAATTGACGGTGTCTTTGAGTACTTTCAGTCTCACATTGATGACTTGGGTCTTGTTAGCGGATTTCCAGAGGATGTATGGCAATATGTCGACTGGGTTACTTCTTGGGGTGCAACCGACACGCACCCAGATAAGGGAGTTCCGACATCTGGACGGGAATCGAATCGACATACTTATTTCAGTATGCTTTACGCTTATGTCTTGAAGCAAACCGCTCGGCTGGTTCGAGATGTCGGTCGACCGGGTTACGCGAACGAGTACGAATCTCGCGCGGCTTCTGTAGTCAAGGCGGTCCGGACTCATTGCTACGATGGGAAGTTCTTTACGGATTCTACGGCTGATGTTGCGGGTGAGGGCGCTTACTCCCAGCACTGTCAAGTATTCGCAGTCCTCAGTGGCAGTGCAAACCCCGAAGAACGGCCACGCCTTCTTCAAGAATCATTCTCTAATCCAGACTTTTCCAAATGTTCCTACGTCATGATGTTCTATGCTCTTAGGGCGTTCGCTCTTGCTGGAGACGAAGTCTACGAGTCAGCATGGGGACACGTCTGGGACCCTTGGCGCAAGATGTTGGCGAATAACCTCACAACCTGGGAAGAGGATGATGTGAGACAGCGTTCCGATTGCCACGCTTGGGGCAGTGTTCCCATCTACGAGTACTGTACCGAGCTAGCTGGTCTGCATGTCATAGCCCCAGGGTCAAGCAAGATCTTGTTTTCGCCGAGACTGAACTTGAGTCGAGAGTTGAAGGCAAAGGTAGCGCTTGGTTCTAGCAACACTGCTGCAGTGTCTTGGAGGCTTCAGGATGATGGACGGAAGAAGGTCGAGCTACGACTTGAGTCTCCAGTTTGGGTTGTAAGCAAGTTGCCTGGAGGAGAGGAAGAGGACTGCGGTGTGATTGACCATCTTATACTGAGTTTCTAGGCTGGACATAGGTCGCAGATAGCCACTTGAGAAAACGTCTACTTTAGAGGAATTTCAGCTGATTGGATATCCTCTAATTTCGCAAACTAAACATGTAGTCTCCAACCTCTGACTCCATTCGTTACTCATCACAACTGAACAGTAACCATCCTCAATCATCATACACAAGCTGCAACGGCCCCTCACCACGATCCGGCCTCGTAACATGATCCACCCATCGACTATCAGCAGTGTAATACACCTGCTTCGAGTCCCCCCACTTCTTCGGCCGCAAATCCTGCACCATAACCACACGATCGGCCCTCTCGATCTTGACAGGCTTTTCAAAATTCTTCTTCGGCTTGAGTCCAGATCCAATACGCAAGTCTGTCCAGCCCATGGTGAGGCGCCCAAGCTTGAAATTCTCCTCCCAAACGAATTTCTCACAGCTACTAGCGTTTTCCAGGAATCCTCCCAGTAACTTCTTGGCTAAGTTCAAGTGGGCGTTTTCTCGATCATCGTAATAGCTTTTGAAGTTGGGGCAGAGTAGATTTGTCAGGTTCTTGGCGTGTGATAGGGCGCGGGCCATTGCATCCTCCTCTACGTCAGTTTGAGCGTTCATGTAAAGACAGGTATAGCAACTTACAAGGTCATCTTCTTGTGGAGCAATCTCAAAGACCCGTAGCGAAGGTAGGTTCTTAGTCAAGATGTTCACATTTTCAGCTGAGGCAAATGGGATCTCCCATGGCTCACTGCCCAAATGCCGATAATGAAAGCGCAGTTTTCAAGCCCCGTATGCTTCACAACCGACTGTAACAAACGCCTCGAAAGTCCCGGATTCGACTGCACATTGGTGTTATACATGTTGTAGTCATGAATCTCCAAGCTGGTCAACGAGTCAAACGATAAGATAAATCGATACACCCCCTCGAGATGGACCTCTGTCTCGGCGTACTTTGATGTATGCCCAGGTCCCTTCATATCCAAACACACCTTTCGCAGGTGGATATCTCGCTTGTCAGCTTTACTGAACAGATCCTCGAGATGTTTGAAGAAGGTGAGCTGCCCTTCCCCGAGATTCATGAGATTCAGCTCCCTCAGCATGAGAAAGTCAAAAGCTCTTGTGATATTCGGCATCATCCTTTTACAAAAGTCGCCGCTGAAGCTCATCCCATGTAAAGTCAGTGATTTTAGCGCCGTGAAATCATACCCTTGTTTCGAAGCATCGGGGTCGCGAGCTTTAAGCTTGTCTTCCCAGTCGCCAAGAAAGTCAGAGTAATATTTGGATGTTCGAATCTCAAGACTCTGGAGGGTTGATAGGGAGTTGAGTAGCATGCTCTGTAAGGGTCTTTCGTCGGCCACAACAATTGATCCCCAGCCCCTGTCTTCGATGCAGATGTGCTCGAGATTACTGAGCTTGGCGAGTGCAGTTATAGCTTCAGACTTTATGCTATGTTGGTAAGGGTCGAGTCGTAAAGACTTCAGATTCTTCATCTCAGAAAGGCCCTCCGCCATCAATCTTCAATACTGTTAGTATAACACCGCCCGTTATGCTGGGATTTACTTACTCCGTTAGGTCCTTGGCATCAAAGACTTCCAAGTTATGGAGGTTTTTCAGAACCTCCTCAAAATACCTCATCAAAAAGGGCTTGTGCTTCTTGCCGGGGTCAATCTTTCCAATGATCATCTGCCGGACATTGCTGGCACAAGGCGGGACGGCATTGGGGTCCAGGCTAGTTGAGAACTTTTCTTGTTGACCTTTGTACTGACCCTCTCTCTTGAGCTGCTTCTTCTGGGCGATGCTTAGATGAGGTTCAATTCGACGGATGACGTGGGGAATGTGAGCCCAGAAGTAGGTTGAGACGGAGATGCGTTTGTGGATGATGGCCATTACGATGGCGTAGTATCTCTTAGAGGTGCAGGCCATCTTGACCATGCTTTTTGAGTCGTTGACCTGAGTTTGTCAGTGTTTGAGATTCCGCGCTTGAATTAGTGCAGACTGACGCTTTCAAGGATCTGGTGGAGGATCTCGGCTGGCAAGACTGACAAGACATCATCAGGCACCAGGGCCGTCTCATTCAGGGTCTCACTCTCGGCTGTGGCATCGACCTTTGACTTTGGCTTTCGACCGGTTGATGTTGTCGCTTTCACCTTTTTCGCCGGTGCTTTCTTCCCCTTTGCCGTCGACTCATCTTTCTCGTCTTCAGCCGGAGCCTTCCGCTTCCTCTTTGGTGGGGCAGTTGGCGCAGGTGCAGATTGAGCTGGCTTAGTAGCGACGCCCAAGTCAATGTTGCGAATTCTGGCGCTCCTTCTCGTTGACATCTTGACTGCAATCGCACGAAAATAGAAGAAAAGTTTAGAAGGAATTGAGATCTTGAGACGATACTTCGCGTGATTATGAAGGACGCGATGGATTTAGGGGAGATTGGATGACTAAAAGCTCTGATGGTGATTCATTGGTGCGTTCGCTGGTCTAAGCCACTGTAGCCTAGAGCTAGTCTTCAGGTGAGGCGCTTGGCTCGATTCAGAAACCGCCGGACTGATAATGCTTTGTTAGAGCTACTAACATCTCTGTTCTTGATGGATTAACTTTTGGCAGTATTATAAGTTTTTTATCTTTACAAGACACTCTGAGATTTTCCTGGGAGGTGCTGACGCTACATTGTTCTCCTGTAACTCTTATTATACGCCGCTAATGTCGCAGTTCTTGTCCTTTTTCTCATCCACAAAATAACGCCACTAGGAGACCTCTATGGTCACTAAGTCAGCCCACAATTCCGCCCGCGGAATCTGCAAACAAATCCCTGCCCTTCACCTCATTCACAAAGAACACCAATTACATCGGATAACACAAAGTCAATGCTCTTATAGTGAAACCTGTAAGGTAGTCTAAACATCTGACAATGTTTTATTGCTAATCCGGCGGATATACAGAAGATGTGTTGGCAAACGATGTCACGCTGCAACAAACAGCTCATTGAGAAAAAGACGTAACGAGCAATGAGAAGTCCGCTTTATTGCATTGCGGTCGAAAACCACGGACAGTTGTAACAGTAAACGAAATCAATCGAAGAACGCTGTCAAAGAAATATAGAGTATGAGACAACAGTTTTCATTGCATCAAGCCATTGCCGTCCATTGTCAAAAGAGCCAATGTTGCGAGAATACCCTGTAGCTGCAGGGTAGTCCAACTGAAATGTGAATCTTGTCTCGCCATCGGAATCTTATCCCCGCTCGGACCTCACATCCAAGACACATCCCCCGCCAAGCCAGTAGCACGCATCTAGGCGACGCCTTAAATGATCCCTTGCACAAGCAAATACCACTCCAGACAGCAATCCCTATCGCACCCTGAGACTCTACGTGAGACACCACCACCAACAGCCTGTGATATCTGAGTCTGAATAGCTAAGAAAGCGCCACCAATTGTGGCACGAATGAATTGGAATTTCGCCCCCTTTTTCGCTGCCCTTCCCTTGATCACAAGGCATGTTCAGTACGTGTTGTTTCCCTTGAGGATGCTCATAAAACATAAGGCTGCAGCCACCGCGCTTCTTTTTTCTGAATGTTCAATTGAGTTTCAACTTTTGCTATGACTGTCAAGTTGGAGATTCCGAGGGCTGAAAAGCTCCCAACGCTTCCGACACTACCGACACTGTCATCACTCCTAGCACTTCCAATTGTCGTCAAGATTCTGAATCACCCCAGCCTCCAAAATCTTCCAGATCCCTCACATGTTCGAAAAATTCCAAGAGCTCATATCGCCGCCGTCGCGTTTATCATTTCGGCTCTATCACTTATTATTCTGAGTCCATGGAGCTGGGAAATGGACAGCTCGAGATGGTCGCATCACCGTCACAAATATCGTGACGAGGACCGTAAATTCGCCCTCGTCGTCCCCGCTACATCTCCAAGCCCCGACCTCTGCAAAACGGTCGTCACAGCCCTTGCGCTCGGCTACCCCAGTCCCGTCATCATCAACTGGGGAATTGATCATCGACTCATTTCTCACTGGAACGGTGGCCACAATCTGCCCAAAATTCCTGGCATTGTCGACTATCTCGATGCAGTTCTGCACCCTGATGCGCATCAGTCTGAGAGATTGAGCGAAGATGATATCATCCTCATGGTCGACGGCCACGACGTCTGGTTTCAATTGCCCGCACAGATCATGCTCGAGCGATATCACAAGATCAATAAAGAGGCGAATGAGCGGTTGCGCAAGCAGTGGAATAAGAAGGGGAAGATGCCGATGCAGCAGACTATCCTTGTGGCCACTGGCAAGAAGTGCTATTCTGGTCTGGTGGACAAGGGCATTAACATCCAATGTGAGAAGTGGCCTGAAAGTCCAGAACGGAAGGATCTCTACGGTCCCGATACTGAGAAAGATGGGGAGCATTGGCAGACGAACAGGCCGCGATGGATCAACGGTGGTGTCTACATCGGCCCCGCTGGCGATATGCGGCGCTTGTTCCGTCGATCCCTATTCACCATGCAGGCTGGTATCGGAGAGGGTATCAAGATGCACAGTGAACAAGCTCTCACAGGTGAAGTCGTCGTGGAGCAAGAGATCTTTAGAAAATTCCAGAGAGAAAAGGGAAGACCCAGACGTGGCATGAGAGACATGCTGGACAAAAAACTTGAGTATGGTATTGGTCTTGACTACGGTCAACAGATATCGATGCAGACTCAGTGGACGCAGGACGATGAGGGTCGGGACCATGGTGCTTTCGTCACGTTGGGTGATCAGAAACTCATCGATGAACTCTCCGCTGACCTGGGTATCTCGCCAACGCGCCTAAAAGGTCTACCAGAGGATATCAAGAAGGCAGAGAACCCGCTAGAGCTCATCCAACCAGACGCAGACTGGAACAACATGTCTCTCTACGCCGACTTCTTCCTCGAGACAGTCCCCGTCATTCTTCACCACAACGGCATGCACGGTCTCAAGCGACGCCGGTCAACATGGTGGGATAAACCATGGTACTACCATCACCTACGTGAACTTCTCAAGATGCAGATCCAAAAGAAGGGTGAACCTGAAGATCCTCTGGCCACGGTCAAGACGGATCATGGGAGGGTTAGGTACTGGGGTGTTTCTGCGGAGTATGAGAGTAGGTACCCGAGACAGATGGTCGATAACGCATTTGGGAGGTTGGATAAGATGAAGCTTGGGGAGATTTGTAGACATACGAAGAAGGCGCCCCAGGGGCCGAACCAGGAGTGGTGGGAGGAGGTGTTCCGTGATACTGAGGGGCCTTGGGGACACTAAGTCGTTGCCATCGAGTGTTTGTTTTGGGTATGGGATTGAAGTTTCTATTGATGCGCAGCACTGTGTAAATGAGTTAAGGTAGCTGTGATGTGTGAAGGATTGGAGTTAATTGTCTTTATTGGGAACTCGTTCGACTTTTGTTTCTGTTATAGTACTGGTGTCTGGAAATTAGTATTTGCACAATAGGATATACGCTTACTGTCGTCTCCCGTCTCACCAGAGCCATTATTTGATACAGGTGAATTATTAGTTCTGAGCTTTTGCTTTAATTGAGACTATGATCTCGATAGCTGCTAGTGAGTTTGTTCCCGCGGGATTCTAAATACAGGATACTCCATCCCTGCTTCAACAGGGATAATGTTAAACTTGACATAGCTATCAATATTCTCTGGCTCCAGAGCAATAAACGCCAAGGCCGCATTCTGTTGCCTTGTGCTAACGTAGTAGCTTCCGACCGGCAGCACAACTTCTCGACTAGTTGAGTTGGTGGTGACCGTGTTGAGATAAGTGCCTTCATACAGCTCTGGTTCAGCGACTGAAGACTCAATCGTCAAGGTTTCCAAGGTCCGTCGAAACTCGTAATTCATCCTTTCAACTTCCAGGCCCAAGATTTCCAGTCTCTCGGCAACGTCAGACCACGTTCGTGGGATCACATAAGCTTCGGGCCGGGGCCTGGTGAGATTCGCAATCGATGGGGTAGTCCGCTGGAAGTCAATCGGCACTTGAACGACACTACCATTACGAGTATCGACCATGGTCAATGTTCTATTCTCTGGGACATAAGAATCTGTGATGACGATATCATCATCGCTGTTGATGAACTCATCACGAGCATCTTCGACAACCGACTTGACTTTCTCAGCGTTATCCCTCGCTAACTCAAGAATAGTCTGGATCTTGATAAGAGCAGTCGCAACACGACGTTGGAAATGCTGATTGGCAATACGAATACCCCGCATCTCGAGGAGAAATGAGATCGTTTGTGTTAGCCCGACCGCATTGCGACCAGTGCGTGCCTCGGTCACGGCCTCAGTGAAGCGAATGCGTGAACCTTCTGTTCGGTTCGAAGGCCCGGTTACATAAGGCTCCCACCTGAGGCCGTGAGACTCAAGCTTCTCTCCTACACCTGGGATAAAGAAGTCGAGCAGTTGCTCGCGAATCTTGGGATGGATGTTGGGGTTGATGCCGCCCGATAGCAGAGAGTCGGCGCCATGTTGATAGTGGCCGCCGTAGATTGTAGGCACAGTGAACTCGTCTGCCACCGAGGTTAGTCATGGCAATTCATGGGCGTTGATGATCACTTACGCATGTCGAGCGCTATGTGAGGGTTCCATTCACTGACGACTCGCTTGATCTCCCTTGACTGACCACGCATGAGCTTGAGATGCTCTCGGTTAGGGTCGAGGTTTGATGCCAACTGTCTCTGGAAATACGCAACGCCATCCACGTTATACCGAGGGAGGATCTTGAGGTCCATCTTTTCCAAGATCGACTTTGCCCACGCCGGTTCAGCATCCATCTTACCCAAGAACGCAAGAACGGACTCATCAGCAGCTGGCTCATTACCGTGGATTGCGGCCTGGAGATAGATGCGTAGCTTGTCGCTGCTCGAGTTGGTTTTAAGGGACAGGAAGACATATGGAATAGCACGGCCTTCTTCCGATTGAAAAGCTGCCGATTCATAGGACATCCAGTCATGCTTCTGTGCAAGGTTGCGGATAAAGTAATCTTCGGAATATTAGTACGTATCCTGGAGGCCTTGACATTGGTGGTCTTACCGAGTTCAATATCGTCCGTAGGTCCCTCCGTGCCGTTTGAGAAGCGAGCAGGAACCTTCTCAGGGTTCAAAAATGCAGGCGATCGGAGAGTGATGTTGACGTTAGGGAAGTTGGCAGAGACGAGGTCGGAGTCTTTTGTGGTAGGTGCCCAGTTCTCGCCATATTGAAGACCTGTCTGGATTCCGCCTGACTGTCCTGCGACAACAGATACGAGCGCCGCGACAGTAATAAGTCGTTGAGAAATTATGGGGAGACTCTAGACCAATCAAGCAATCGTCAAAGTCTCAACGTGATACTGTATGTTACTCTGGGGGAACACTGGCCTTTAAATACGACGCATCACATTGCCATCGCATCGCCCTCGGTCATTGATCGGAACTTGTTCTGAATCCGTTCATCGCTTAAAATCGATCGTCACATCGCGTCTAAGTATCGTGACATCAAGTAGGATTTCATTATCAATTACCTCCGCATTCTAACCAAGTTGATACAATGGACTGACTGACGAACTGAGGGGTATGCTTGGCATCAATGATACTCTGGAGACTGGGGTTGATGAGCATTTAGAATTGTCGGATAAGGTAGGTCGATAGATAAGCTTAAGTAAAACTCCGCAATAACCCGACTTTAGTACAACGTTCATCATGCTACGCTTGAGACTCGGGACTTTGTTGGACGAAACTGACGCCCGCATAGAAATACACCCAGTTCTATTACGGAGTTGAGTACCCAGCCAAATGGCACGAGACCTTTGGAGACCTGCCTTGTAATACGGTCTGGCACATTCTGTCAAAACTACTTTCACAAGAGTTGATCTACTGCTAGGGTACCCAGACACACAAACTATCGCCGTTGACCCTACTCCCTGTCTCCAGAAGCCTGACCATTAGTGGGGCCCTCCTGAGGAGGCACCGTTACTAGAACCTCGCCAGGTTCCTCATCAGCATCAGCTTCCTTATCATACTTCGCCTCATCAACACGGAGTACTTCATGCGCCAGCTGAAAGTACGACTTAACCTCTCCCGAAACCTTCTGCTGCTTCTTCTCCTCCTCCTCAAGCTTCTTAATCTCAGCCAGAGCCTCAGCAGGCCCCATATTCCAGAAGGACTCATGCGTAAGTCCCCTGATCTCGGCCGAGTTCTTGCGCACGTCATCCTCAAACAGCTCCGGGATCTTGACGGACGGCGCCCAGAGGCTTAGCTCATACATGAACCGATCAGGGTTGACAACTGCTGTCCATCCTAGGCTGAATGCGATGGAGAGAAGAGGTCCAACACCGGGCACAAAGCCTAGAGCAAAGGTAATAGCGTTCTTAAAGAAATCCTCAAACCAACTTCCCTTCTCACCCTTGCCCCACTCGATGTTCAGACCGCTGTGCGCTTGTGCAATGGTAAGCCAGCTAAAATCGTACGCATCGTTGTACGAGGCTCTAACAGGCACAGTTCGGATGTTATCACGATGGACAAGCTTGATGAACTTGGCTTCGTAGGGGTTCACCTTGCGGAACTGACGAGGGCAGCTCAAAAGCTCAGTCAAACCCGTGATGTCGAACCCGATGGTGTGTTCGCGCCATACGTCAAGGCCGCTGGTGGTGCTTGTCTCGTGACCCATAAAAGTCGAGCCTCCGCGCCAGATGTCCACGGTTCTGTTCTGTGTGAACGATACCTGTAGCCACATGCTGAGATTGGGATGGTCTTCGCTAGCCGAGAAAGCTACAGGGATGTAAATAGCTCGAATTCGAGCAAGCATCTATGACAAGGCTTAGTATCACTATTATCGGAGAAGCAAGCCCACTGGTTATGATACTTACATCGATCCACACCCATCGTTCCTCTTTGGTCGGCATCGGCATGGTCATAAACCAAGCCTAGTGATATCTGCATCAGTATGTACCTATGACGCAACAGCAGGGCCAATACTTACCTCAGCAGCATCTCCTTTCTCATGGTTCTTGAACCGATTCCCATTAGTACAAAGATTATGCTCAAGGCGTCTTCTGATATCTGTCTCACGAGGACCGTAGCTGAAGGGCAACTGCGCCCAGTTTCCGTAGTGGGTGTTCCAGCTGCTGCCCATGACGATGGCGTAGGGAGAGCGCTGGTGATAGTGACCGGTCCAAGAATTTGCATTCTTGGAACCGTGGTCAGCCTCAACGTTCCAGATATACTCAACCATGAAGTGGGAGTAGAAGTGCTCGGGGTTGTCGGCCTGGTAGTGAGCGGGGTCTTTGTTGCGCAGGACACTGCGCATGAAGAAGACTTCTCCCTCAGGATATGGAATGGCCATGGTGACTGGGGCTTCTAAGGGCTGGAAGAGATATGGTGAGTAGGGTCTGGGTTATAGATGAGGTTGAGACTCATTGCGTATCATGGGAAGAAGGCCCCCTTATATAAGAAGAGCACTCGGCGAAGCGGTGTATCTTGTGCATAACCATGATGCGGCCCAGCCTTGACTGATCGAATGCAGATCATCCTCCTTGGGGATTATTGGGAGGAGACGGAAGGCATCGGCGTATCAAGCGCACAACAAGGTCTCGGACTCTGGCCATCCGAAACATTTCATCTGAGACCTGAATCTAGGCAATGCACTCAGATCGTTATCTTCCGACTCGAATCGGCGAATGTTAGAGCCATCAGGACCACTGAAGGAGGGCCAGTACAGCCACTGAAACTGGACGGAGATATCTGCCAGCTTTCAACTCTAGTAAGACAATTGTCTGTAAAGGCTCATATGCATCGAAATGTGGGACCGGTGTATCTGCTTGTCTCAGCGCATCTGGCTTTTGATCTCCCTGGACCGGCATTGCATGCGGATAATACTCACCGCTTCTCGAAAGCCAGCGTATTGAAAGTGCATCAAGAGTCTTGATATCAGGTTTGAAACATGTGACGTATGATAAGACATTGATCTCCGAGACTGATGCTGAAGTCGCATAGGTAACATGAGAAGCCTATGCCCAAGTTCACCAAGACTGGTAATAGCGCTACAACAACTATACCAAGTCCTTCCAAAGGGCTACATGCATCTTTGGATACAAGGCCTGGGTAAGTAATTGAAGGGATCGGAGACATGATACCAGACTTCAGAAATGTACACAGACCTGTGGCCATGCATATGCAGGCGCTCCACAATTCGCAATTTCGATGACCATTACATGTAACAATTTGAACCTGATAGGGTACAATACGATTTCTCTTCCACAGTAAGAGAGAATAGATGGATAGGATCGGAGCGGCCCGAGCCTCTTCCGATGACTGATACCTAGCGCCCAGATGAGACTGGCGATGAGTTCTGATATATCGCTTTCATCTGACTACCAACGTGATGGCAGTGGAGCGATGGCTCCCAAGGCGATATTTCTCAGTGGTTCTCACAGTTCCCGTTCTACGCCAATCTTTATCTATGCCTCAACCCGGGCTCAAGGCGATAAATAAAAAAGTTGAAAGGGGAGGGACAAGCCTCTTTGGTGCTCAACTGTAAAGCCTAGCTATAAGTGAGCGGCCACTTCAAACAAGATATTGACTGGTAAAAGCATAGTAAGAGAAGCTTCAGCCATATTACAAAGATATCCATCGCAGGACATGCGATTTGCAACACGACGTTGGAAGATGGCGGAGAGTGACCTGAAAGATTTCAACTAGACTACTACCAAAGTCATCTGCCCCCAAGATCAGCACAGTGATGACCCAAATAGGTTAGGGTACGTCGAGATGACCAAGGGGCTATGCTGATTGGAGATGGCTGAATTGAATCGATTATACGAGCAAAAATCAAGCTTAAAAGCCTGAGGGCCAGGAGGAACAGGATCCTTGTAAACTAGACTACTGGTATTAATTCACCCACAATTCTGGTCTCCTGCTTTTCCGCACCTGTACCTTGAAATGCCCCACACTGCCCTTTCAGGCTTTACTGGTGTTTGATCAATTGTTTCTACAGGCCTGAACTATTGCTAAAGTCTTGGCTAACGTCATAAGTATGCTTCGACAGGCTGAACTCGTTGGCGGCCATTTTTAAAACGAGGCATATCAGAAGTATAAAGGATAGTACAAGCAGGCAAGAAGGGAGTTTCAATCCAGGTACAATTAAATCTCCACGTCCGCGGTCATGAATTTATTCGAATTAATCCTCCTTCTGGCCTTTCCATCGATCGCTGCCTCGTTGTCCAAGCGTGACTGCGAATCCTTCGATCTCACCGATCCAGGACCCAATGGATGGTCCAGGACGGGCCAGCCAATCCGCGTGTCAGAAACCGTGAACTGCACCGCGGAAAGGGCCAAAGAAAACGGCGACGGCAAAGGACACTGCAACATCCAGCGTTACAAAATGGGCATCATCGCCAACGCAACTATCAACAGCACCGACGGCGCAACCTATCGAGCACCATCTCCAGCAAACCTCAATACCTCTATGGCGAACAAGAACGCCATCATCAAAGCTGTCAAGGGCAGTGTAGACCTGTCGGGCGTCACCCTGGAAAGACTCATCGTAATTCCATTTACAGCCCCTTTCAACACAACGCCAAATGGGACTTACGGATATTGGACATTTACACCTGAGATACGGTGCTGGCGGGGATATCCGAAAGATTGTGACGGTGATTTGGAGGAGGACTTGGATGGCAACTCGGCTGTGGTTTGCGGCTTTAGGCTTAAGAGCAATTCGACGGATGGCAATGGCACTACATATGCAGGCAATGTCAGTTTCGTGGAGGAGGATGAGGAAGAAGGTCTTACAAAGTCTGAGGTCAGACCGTGGCCGGAATATCAGAAGGCTCGTCAAATTGCTGCCGAATGGGATCGGGTTGATGTAGAGTCTGGGGCGATGAGATATTATGGGATGTCAACGGCGGCCATCTGGTCATCTGTTGCTTGTCTCTTTGTATTTATCTAGGATAGTAACTGACATCCATATTTCACCAAACCCTTGCCACCATGCAACACATATACGTTTCAAACCCTACGTCAGCTGAGAGAAGAGCGTGCCAGCTGCTGTAGAGTGGCCTAACGACATTGAGGTCTTGAGATTCAACATCCCATTAGACTGCTCTACGATGAGTTCTGTCTGCTAATTGATGCCCTTGGTCATCAGTCTCAACTATGAAAAGCCGCATCTCTGCGTCTAGCGCATTAAAGAAGGAACATGGAATTTCTGTAGCTCCAATAATCATGCAAAGTGGCAGGAAGCTAGATAAAATGAGGAAAACAGGTAGAATAACAGCCTGATAGCTCGGAAGCTTCCACATTGGGGTATTGACATTGTTGGTAATCTCAATTCGCTGATGAGGGTGGTTTCATAGGCCTTGGGACAGTCGAGCCGCCTTGGCCAACGTCACAGAAGCGACAATGGGCTGAAGGAATTGGGGGCGATTTAGAAGATAAGGCAGCAACAAAGAGCATAAAAGGACTTGATTAAGCTCCTGGGCAGTCTCCAAATTAATAGCCATTTTATACACAACCACAACAATGAACTTCATAATCTTCTGCGCCATGCTTTTCCCAGCCGCATCTCTATCCATATCAAAGCGCAACTGCCAGACCTTCAAGCTAGAAGCGTCAAGTGACTCCAAAGGCTACTTTGATCAAAGTAGCTAGATTCGTGTCACTGAGCTAGTCAACTGTACCGCAGAGAGAGCAAATGAAAGCGGTGACGACGGGGGTAATTGCAGAATCAACAACACCAACGTAGGCATCATCGCCAATTCAACCAGCACCAAGACTAACAATGAACCCCTCGACACTTCCTTGGAGCACAAAAGAAGCATCCTAGAAGCAGTAAAAGATGTGGCGGACTCGAAAACGATGGAGTACGTCAACTTTCAGCGACTTACGGTCATACCATACCGAAACTCTTCTTGGGTCATACCCAAAGGGAAGCGCTGATACTGGGTCTGGGCGCCTGCTATGAACTGTTGGCCCTGGACTCTAGATGACTGCGGCAATGATGGTGATGATGATCTTGATGATACTGAGGTGGTGGTCTGTGGGTTCAGGATTGATAGGAAAGGGAGTAACGAGAGTGATGCCGAGTATCGCGGCAGGGTTGGGTTTGTGGAGGATAATGACCCCAACTCGAGGATCAAACCTGGTGCTAGACCTTGGCCAGACTATGAAGATGCCATTGAGAGGGCTGAGGAGTGAGAGAAGAATGATGTGCATGAGGAGGAAGAGGAGGAGTCGCTGGGTACGAGATTTTACACTGCTATGCCGACTGTCGTTTGGTCATTGTTTATCTCTTTGTCTGCATTAGTTTAACAAGTCATCCTTTAATCATCCAGTCAATATCATGATTCCGAATCCAGTAATAGAAGTTATATCTGCCCTCGTGTGACTCACAGAGCTCAAATGGAGACATTTTCACAGTAAGTGCCGGTCAAGAAACCGTGCCGGTATGATTACCGGTATGATGTGCCGGGAAAGCTAGAATTTATCAGTAGTAGTGCAATCACCCGTCAGATCTCTTCTTTAGTCAGCTCCGGGGTCCTGTTTCGTACAGTGCCAGACATGGGACCGGCTTCCCTGTGCTAGCGGGTTTGAAAGGAGTATAAATCCCCTTCGCTGACAAGGCCGAGGTTCCATGTACAGAGCGAGCTCTAACAGTAAATCCATTCTTCCTCTGACTTCCCAAGGTACTAGAAAATCATCGCGTGTTGGAGTGAAACAAGCGACTATTTTTACAAGATCCAAAAGGCTCGACAACATGTCATCAGACCTCACCACCATTTCAACGTCAGAGGGATGCCCAGGTAAGGAGCACCAAACATCAAACAACTAAACAGAAATCTAATCCTTTGTGATAGCTATCGGACCCTATGTAAGTCCCTTCCGAGCAATTGACAGTACTAATTACTAACTGATCCACAAGTCGCAAGCTGTAGTCGCAGGCTCTTATGTCTTCCTCTCAGGCCAGATTCCAATCGACTCAACCGGCAAGCCTCTACAAGGCAGCATCGCGGACAAGACGCATGCTTGTTGCAAGAGCGTCCAGGCAGTTCTGGCAGCGGCCGGTAGTGATGTTAGTCGTGTGGCAAAGGTCACGGTCTTCTTGGATGACATGAAGAATTTTGCTGAGTTCAATGCTGTTTATGAGATGTATTTCACTCATAAGCCGGCTAGGAGTTGTGTGGCGGTGAAGACACTGCCTAAGAATCTGGAGGTGGAGGTTGAATGCGTGGCTTTGGTGAGCGCTCAAAGATCTCGGCTCTGAGTATGTATGACTTGGAACTTCGGAATAGGAGATTTACAGATAGTTTAAATGACATATGCAGAGGCTCTTGCATCATCTATCCATGCCTCGATGTTAAGACTAGACCATTCCGCTCGTACTTAAGATTGCTTATAGGTGCCTTTCAAGTCTAATCGTGTAGACTAGCCATAAAGTGCGCAGACCTTACCGCTGGCACTGTTGTTGCTGTCTATTAGCAAGAAGCAACCGAGAACTTAAGTTTTTCCAACGTGAATAGCCTTAGAAGTCCACTACAATCATCAGGGCTCTACCTGTACAACGTTGTCCTAAATGCCTCATCTATCTAGTCGGAAAATGAATTCATATGAGAACTATAATTGAATGCCTATATAAGAACATCAAAGTCGTGTCAAAGCTTGCTTTTCACGGCCTCCTCCTCTGTAGCAGACCTCACCAGATCTCGGACCCTCAAAGCCACACCATAGCTATAGGTATACCCAAGCGTGTTGAAGCCATAAGCATGTATCACATCGTCCTCCCGCTCGAGTCGATATCCGTCTTCTCTACCCGGTCGAAACCCAACCAAGTCTTTCATGACATGCTTGTCCAAATCCACATCGTGGTACAGGTCGCTTGCGACGAGCTTCATTCGTCGTAAAATATGCGAACGCACTTCTGGATCAACCTTCTGATCCATGTTGCCTCGCTGACTTACTCCTCCGACGATCACACCGCCACTATACATCCGCGGGATCTGGTAGGTGTAGTGAGAGCCCTGAAACATAACCATTTCATGAGAATCACTTTCGATAAGCATGGTCTGGCCACGAACGGAAACCACTTTTTTGTCATTCGCGAGGTGGAAAGCTCCCAGACCTGACGCGTTGACAATTGTCTTGGTCCGTAGAATGGACCTGGCTTCTCCGATGGACTTGACTTCAGCGCGGATGAAACGAACTCCTTTCCCATCTAATACTGCTTTGATCCAAGGCAAGAACACTTCTGGGTTGACGGTCATTGATTGATACTTGAATCCAATTTTGGCGCTCGCTGGAAGTGCTTGTGATGGCAGACGGCGATACTTAGGGACCATCCGCTTATACCAGATAGTAGAATCGTCGTCTCGGTCATCATAGTACTCGGTTACATCTACCACCTGATAACTAACTTAGCTGTGAGCCCTTATGGTAGAATGGCGTACAGGATTACTTACCTGCACTCCGCTTGTCGGATCACGATGGGCGAGTGCCCAGTAGAACTTGAAGCTCTCGGTCTGCAAATTTTGTCCCTTGTAGTCCGGATGGGGAAGAATGCCAGCACCAGCCCTTTACACAACACTTGTCAGAGTTGATGAGAGATTCATGGGGGTTGGGTGGTCCCTACCATGGGCTTGCCCACTGCTGAGATGAATCGTCTCCAGGTAGGTCACAGGCGACGATGGTAACAGAGTATCCGGCATCGATGAGAGCCAGAGCAGACGTGAGTCCTATGATTCCAGAACCGATTATGCCGACTTCCATTGTGAATATTTTGGCGTCCTTCGCACGGGCGGTCTGTGGTTCTTAAGAGTTGTTGTACTGGTTAGAGTGTTGGTAGCAGCGTTTTGAGAGAATATTGTTTAACGAAGTGTTATTTGCATTTGAGACTTATGGCTGAGAGCTTATTCCTACAGAGAGAACCGAGTCTATCGATGACGAGATTGAATGTGATACAAACCGGTGCCGGTCCTGGTCATCAGAATTGGCGAGCCATATTGGAGTTGCCAGGCCCTGCTAACCGGCACATTGGTTGCTGAGCACTAGAACTACGGCTAGTCAAGAACCGGTAGGTCTTCTGAGAGCATCAGTTGTTATGCCGGCGATGAAAGCGGGGCCGTAGCCCGGAGCTTGGACAGTGGAGACAGCCCGGCACCTCGACCGGCACAACCGGATAAGCGGCGGAATTGTCGAATCGCATCTGGGGAAAGATTAATCCTTCAAATATCGCTGAGGCCTCCGATTGTCATTACAGTAACCGATGGCTTAGAAACTTAGCAAAGGCAAGTCGAGGCATTCCATGATGACTTTGCGCAAAAACAGAGTTCTACTGATTGGCAGCGGTGGCATTGGTACGATTGCTGCTCTGAACCTTGAAACAGGAGGTCTAGCTGAAGTCACGTCTGTCTTGCGTTCTAATTACAAAGTCGTACGCAGCAAGGGATTTACCATCAGGTCTTGCCAGCATGGCGATATTGAGAGTTGGCGGCCTACCGAAAGTATACTCAGCCTGTATTCCAGATCCTTGGACTTGTGCTTACTTGGGAAATAGGTTTGGACGCTATCCCGAGCAGATATGATGCACAGGGTCGACCGTTCGACTTTATTGTCTGTTGCACCAAGAATATTCCCGACATCATTCCTACGTTATGCGATATCATTGCACCAGCGGTAACTCCCGGCCATACAGCCATCGTCTTGATACAAAATGGCCTCAACATCGAAAGACCATTTAGCCATCAATTTCAGAATAACGTTATTGTATCAGGTATCAGCAGAATCGACGCCCACGAGCTCGCACCTGGTATCATCGAGCATAAGCAGAACGACGTTCTACACATCGGAGCTTTCAACAACCCGTCCTTGCATTTCAAGGTACAAGAAATGGCGGCGAAGCGCTTCGTAGAGATCTACGGAATGGGGGGCAAAACGACGTGTCTATATAAGCCAGACGTTAATTTTGACCGCTGGAGCAAATTGGTGTATAATGCTTCCTTCAATCCGATCTGCGCACTGACTCACCTGAACACCGGCGAGCTACAGAGAACAGGCAGAGCTGTGGATACTCTCGTGATACCTGCGATGAAAGAAGTTATGGCTGTAGCCAAAAAAGAAGGACACGAGCTTCCAGAACGTATCATAGATGATACAATCAAAAGCAACCCGATACATGATAACATTACTCCGAGCATGCAAATAGATCTTGAAAAGGTAAAGTCTTCACTCAATGCAGAGAGTAGTCCAAATCTAACAGCTGGCCTTTAGGGTAATTTTATTGAACACGAGAATATTATCGGGGAGGTGGTTCGAGAAGGTCACGACAGGGGAGTAGCTACACCGGTGTTGTCAATTTTGTACGAACTATGCTGTGCGGTGGAGTGGAAGCTCAAACAAAAGAGAAATAGTAAATAGGTTAGACAGTTGATTGGTTTAATATCCTTTTGTTACTTACTACCATCTTGTCCAGTTTGTCAAAAGCATGTTATTTCAAGACTGCTATGCTGTATCCATATACCTGACAGTTGACGATTGCATCGCTCCTCTTTCTACCTCGAGATTCGCTCCTCCCTGTATGCGAGTAAGCTTCTTACTTACCCTACTTTCGACAGTCCGCGCGGGACGTCTTAACCCTTACTCCAATTGGAGGTTGGCGGTCGAAGGCGTTTCCGCCCTCGCATAGCGGAACGAAAACGAGGTTAAACGAGATTCGCTAGGCTTAGCACCAGGGAACTTTTGCACTATATCCGGCAATGTCCACAATGCCCCCGTCTGCGCCCAATTAAAAGTCACTATTTGCTGTGAGATGGTAGGGGTACTCACACCGGGTAGTACGCGGACACTGAGCCAATTGCCTTTTATTAGAGCCGCTGCATTTCTCTTTTCCTCGTTCTCGTTTTCCATCCGGACTTTAACTTTTCCCCTCAAGACTACAGAATATTGGCATTGGTTATGTCGAGTAACGCGTCCACGCCGGGAACTTCGGAGCATCGACGATCCAAGACGAAACGAGGCCACAAGAAATCGCGGCTGGGCTGTCAGACCTGTAAGCACAGGCGAATCAAAGTCAGACTCACCTCAATTGCACCACCAGAGGTCGTTCGCTAACTATTATAGTGTGGAGAAGAGAAGCCCATTTGCGCTCACTGTGAGAGACGGGGTGAAGAGTGCCACTACACTCTGCCATTCCACACCAGGCACTACACCTCACCCGCCTCGTCACCGCAGGCATCAGCAGCAGTACCGAACCTTGGTTTGTTGGACTTGGAGCTCATGCATAATTCTGCACGTCGACGTACGCCACTCTCAGCAATGACCCTGCGATAAGGGATCTCTGGCGCATTCGGATCGTCAGGCTTTGCCTAAGCTGCGACTATGCCATGCTGGCGATCTTGTCCGTGTCAGCGCTTCACCTAAGCCACTTTTCGGCCGAGAGGAGAGAAATCCTCCGTGAGAGAGCCATAACGTACCATAACCAGGCGCTTAGCATCGCGGCAGGGTTTATCGACGCGTACAACGACAGAAACGCTCCGCATCTGTTTGCCTTTTCAATTCTGACTATCTACTACTGTTAGTTCCCTGGCTTCTTTGCTGTTCTCGCTAACATCTATTCTAGCCTTCGCCCAGACTCCAGAGCACGATGATGGACCGTATCCTCCTTGGGTAGTCCTAATAAAAGGATGCACGAGCTTTGTGGATTTGGCCAAAAGCACCCTCCTACTCGGGCCTTTCTCAGTCATTATGCACAAAGCTCGAAAGCGCCTAGATCTTAGAACGCAAACGTTTGAAATAGACTACATGCAGCAGTTGCGGCTGTTTGTGGATGAGACAGTGGCCGATACCGAACGGCGGGCCATTTACCACGACGCGATCCAAGCATTGAACCAAACATATGGTGTTTTTCATGAAGTCGGAGGTGAAAATGATCTAGTAGATATCTTCTCTTGGATTGTATTGGCAAAAGACTTTCTCAAGTTTGTGGCAGAGGAAGAAGAAGAAGCTCTTGTGGTGCTGTCCTACTTTTGTGTGTTGTTGCATAAACTACCTTGTCAGTGGTGGCTGGACGGCTGGGTTAACCATATCATGACAAGGATATACTCGTCTGTGGGTGAAATGTACCTCACCTATTTAGTATGGCCGATGGAGGAGATTGGATGGTTGCCGAAGCATTAGAACTTTGGTGTTGTTGGCAGATCTTAGCCGATGCCTAACAGCCCGTAACCTGTGGACAAATGACTATAAGGTTCCTGCTAACGGTCCGTGCTCTCGGTTCTCGTTCCCGTTGTCCCATCTCGGTTTCCAAACGAGTTGTGGATGCCAACGTCCGGTGTTCGCAAGCTATAGCTGACAAGCTGCCGTGGAAACAAAACACCGTTGCACGTCATCCACGTTCCAGGTTCGCATAGAATGCGAGATGCAAAAATAGTAAAGGGGCACAGCCGTCGTGTTAAGGTGGAGGCTGGGATGGCATTTCCTCCCTAGAACCACAAACCATTTTCCACTCTTGTATTCTTCCATGGAAGAACGATTTCGTGTTCTCGATAAAACCTGTTCCTCCCTTTGCTCAGACCCATCCGCTCATCGACCTCGATATCACTTTTAGTCTACGCCGCTAGCGAAGATGGACCTTTTCCCCCGGATTGACAAACTTGCAGATGGCAAGTTGGACTTTAAGCTGTACCGGTACACGCCTTCATTCCCTGCTGCCATCGTCGCGACCGTTATCTTTGCGATACTCTCCTGCCTTCATCTTTGGCGTCTCTACAGAGCTCGAGCATGGTATTTTATTCCGTTCACAATCGGCGGTGCTTGTATGTCTCCCCCGACTCACGCTCCCTGACGACTATCGCTAACATGCGTCTCGCAGTCGAAACCATTGGCTACGCTGCACGAATTGTATCCCATAACAACAAAGAGTCTGTACCTGCCTACAGCGTCCAAGCGATTCTTATCCTCGTTGCGCCCGCCCTCTTCGCTGCCTCCATTTACATGATCCTCGGCCGAATCATCATCTCCCTCCGAGCTCAACATCTCTCATTAATTCCCGTTCGATGGTTGACAAAGGCCTTTGTCTGTGGCGACATCGTCTCCTTCTCGCTACAAGCAGCTGGAGGCGGTATCCAAGCGTCCGGCACCATCGAGGCATATGATAGAGGTGAAAAGATTATCCTAGGCGGTTTATTCGTTCAGATCGTGGTGTTCGGTTTCTTCGTTATTACCGCTGGGCTGTTCCACAGGAAGTGTCTCAAGAACCCAACAGTGGCCGCCAGAGAAAATGCATTTCCGTGGAAGCTCGACCTCCACGTCCTGTATACTGTCAGCATTATCATCCTGGTCCGAAGCATCTTTCGTGTCGTGGAATATCTTCAGGGCAACGATGGATATTTAATTTCGCACGAGGTCTTTCTCTATATCTTTGATGCAGTTTTGATGGCTATTGTCATGGCGGCTTTCCTCGTTTGGTATGTTGACCACCTTCAATACAAAGACGGCGACCAATACGATCTTGAACCTTGTGTCGTCGATGAAACAAACTCTTCTTGATCGAGTGGTAGGACATATGCTTATCGTGTTGGGCGAAAGAGGGGGCTGTTGGGCTTGTGGGATGATTGGCTATCATTACCAAGATCATGTTGATTGATGTTTAATTTTTGCGATATTCGAGCGAGACATACATAATACCTATAAGGCTTCAAATACTTTAATATCCCCTGATTCTAAGCAGAGACACCTGCAGATACTGCATTGCCGCATAAGACTTATTGGACCTCTATTGCAAAAAGCGATTTGAACAGGGACAGAGGAGTCTTGCTGATCCTTAAGCATACCACGTATCGACTGCTACGGTTCCTTCGCTGTCAGTCGGTACTCATTTTTCTTCGGGATACCAGGAAACTACAACAAAACCCTGGAAAGCTTTTAACTTCGAAGTTTGGGAGAAGCCTCTCTCTGTACAGCATTCGGTCTCATGACATGGATCTGAAGGACAAAGACGAATTCTCGTGTTGACATTGCACCAGACAAAGCTTCTAGATCTATTAAAACTACCATCCAGCAACCTTCTAAATCGTGTTCGAGCGTCTCGTCCAGCCAGAACTTTTAATAGCTATGATCCAGCATAACTATCTACTTCTCCCAATACAATCGAATGCCATATCTAACCGCAGTTCCTCCCCCGTTGAGCTTAGCATTCAGCTGGCTAGGATGTTCCCAAGCGAACAAGGCCATCGCGAGAAACATCAACACACTGTCGAGAATGTACATGTACGCCTCATGGGAGATGAGATAGCCAGCATTCCCTTGAGCATATTCGATCAGGCGGAAGACAGACCGCACAAGAATGAGACCAGAAGCGATGTACAATGTGAAGAGGTACTTCTGCCAAGGAATCCCTGATACAGCGGCCTTTGCGGACATGGAACCTACAAGCCTCATGTGAAACACAGCGGCAGTGACAGCAAACAGTGAGAAGAAGGCTATTTGAACGATGAGTCCTATGATGACGATACGTTCGCCATTGTGGAGAGCATCAAGGGAACCACCTGCCATCATGCCACCACCTAAGAATGATAAGAATGAATGTTAAGGCCGGAGTGACAGAAATGACTTACCTGCACCCTGAAGAATGAAAGACGCAACATCGCCGACGACAAAGATCTTTGTAAGCCAAACACTCTTGATAGGTGAGTGCCGCTCCCCGTCGGTAATGATGATGATGCGCCCGAGGATCATGTAGATGCTTGCCGTGAACAAGGCCGGTGAGATAAGCAACAGCAAGGTCTGGACCACATAAGGCTTGACAGTCCAGTTAGGACTTTCGCTGGCAGAGACTGCCCTCTGAGTTGAGGTTAGAAATGGAAGACTTCAGCGCTGAAGAAACTTACACCAATGTAACCAATGACTTGCACTGTTCAGGAGTCAGTCTCGGAATGAGTGAAGATCACTTTTGAGGACTTACTGAAACCGCCGATGACGAAGCAAGAAAAGAACCATGTCTTGGTCCTGATCAATTGATATGTATGCAGTCCAGTGACTAGCAGAAAGAGGATGATGAAGATGACAGCCGCCGCCATGGACGGGTCATATCTATAGAGCTTGAAGATAGCATCGCCATCTCCTGCTGATTCAGACATAGTTGAAAAGGGTTTAGGTTGTCTGCGATGGTGGTAAAACTGAAAAAACTCGATATTAAACGTTTTAGTGGCAAGAGCTGCTGGGGAAATATTCCTTGCGTGAATGTTAGAAGACTGCCATTATTGAAAAACTTGAACAGTCTTTATACCGACAGCAAGACATTTTTCAAGGCGTCTTCTAATCCCCACTGACTCCGTGGCAGTGCACTCCCTTTTCTAAGCGCTTGCTCCATGTGTAATCTCGGGTTCGTTTACGGGCTTTGACGGGAATGCGAGGAACGAGGCTGACAGATTGGCGACTGTCCTCTTTTATGTTTCGGATTTTTTGTTTCACAGCAATCCCTGATTATATATGTCCAACAGCTATTTATTACGTCGAATTATTATCTGAAATGTTTGTTGATTATGCGTCAATCAGGCACACCGGATTCAGGTGACGGCTATATTGCGACGACACGCGCGTAAAGAGTGCGAGAACGCTTTAAGAGTGGAAAACTGCAAGCAGATCTAGCGGCTATCATACTTGGAAGTGTATGACATGGAAATTCGGACCATTGTCTTCCGCCTTGTTCTTACAACATTCTTAGTTTTATATCTCATGGTTTCTTCCATCTATCTTCGCTACTCTAATCGTGCCTTGGACGCCTTTGCCATCTTCTCCAACTCTTTGACGTCCTGAAATTCTCCATGAATTACACCCGAGTCTACATCATGCCGACAGCTCAACAGTACAAGGGCCGAAGACTTCCACAGCGGTACCTCATGCTTTCTCGCAGTGCCCACTATAGTAAAGACGGCAAACATCAACGCAGAAAGCTCCAGCACCGCAGGGCCAATTAGCCAGTACCATCGGATAGATACAAAGATCTGGCTTTCTCTCCGGACTCCTTTCGCCAATTTCTCGTTCGGCCCTGAGCGGAGGTAGTCCGTCATGCCCCGTGCCATATTGCCGAAAGCACGCGTGAGATTAGTATCTCCATCCAGGGCGGCACTGAGCCCAGGGTTATTGTTCTTTGCGCTTCCACTCACGAATTCGGATTGAAACGTCGTGGACTCGAAAAAGGCTTGCAGGGCCCTGATGTCGATGATGGATATCCGGAACGGAGGTAGTTTGGAGGTTTTGTTGCTCACAAGATATGTTCGGTCTAGGGGACCATCCCAGGACCAATTGGCACGCCGAATGTCAATTTCAGAAACCTTCCCGAAAGAAAAGGTGCTACCGTTCGCTTCAGCCCTTGGGTACTCGTAGGCAGTAAATCCCACGCTGCATTCGGTGATATTAATATCAGTAGCGTTGAAACTAGTATCGTAGCCTGATCTCCAAACTGCGATTCTCACAATGTCGTCCAGTGATGTGGTGATATTATTAGGGTTATCGAGGTGGGTACGTGTCGCGTTGATTCGGAAAGTGGTTTGCGAGTCAGTCAACACATGCTGCGTTGTAAGTGTGATGTTGCCCGGTGTTGTAAAATTGCAATTGCGATCGAATACCATTCCTGGTCTCCCTTCTGGCTTTATACAGTGTTTTGTTTCCAGCGCCGACATGGTGACATTCTTGCATGTGCTCTTGAAGCCCAAGGATATATAAGAGTCTCTCCAGAGACAGGCGCCACCGCACTTGAATACTGGAATGGAACTTATGTCGTAAAGGCCTTGGAGGATAGCAGATTGCATCTGTGTGTCCGGCGGTATCTCTAAGGACAACTGTTAGTTACTGTATATCATTGCATTTTGACGACCTACCCGACTGAGCACCCGTCGTCATGTTTCTATCATATGCATGTGCATATCCAAAGGTCGCATCATTGCTTGGGACATCCACCATCCTTGGTTCTAGGCTGACCACGGCCTGGGAGAGTGGAGAGAAGCCCAGGCGAAGGATCGTTATGAAAGCTCCCAACGTTGCCAAATTCCAAGGAACTTTGAAGATGAGAAGCATCGCTCCGAGTGGACCTCGACTGGCCTCGTCAAACCTTTCAACGTTATACACGGTCCGCGAAGATTGCTTGAAGTAAAGCCACTTGAGCTGACCGATAAAAGCGCTGACGTTATGCATCATAGCAGCTGTGCAACCTGTCGACAGGATGGCTATGGTGGTGCTTATAGAGATTGAAAGAGGCCATTCGGAGTAAGGCTTGTCGCGCATGCTACAGAATATCGCAACCATTCCCGCAAACAAAACGAGGGTCGTGAAAGACGTCAGGAGTTCCAAGCCCCACCCGTGGGTAGAAAAGGTTGCATGTCGGACATATCTGCCCTTGCGAGACGATTCTCTGGTAGAACCTAACTCGATTTCATCTGTGTCTATGTCGCGAGCTGATGTCGCCACGTACCGATGTGATTTTGGCTGCATCTTGTCTTGACAGCAGTTGATTGAGAAGATAGAGGTTGAAATCCACTCCAACGGAAGGGCCATTAAATAGCACAAGCCAAGTGCAAGAAAACCACGCGTGCGAGAATCTCTTTTTCAGCTGTCTAACTAAACCAATTAGAATCACTGTAGTGTTGCACATGAAACTGTGGCTTTGCGCAAAGCGCTTATCACTCGAATTTGGCCAATCTTGGGAAGTAGGTCAAGTGGGGGCTGCACCGGTGACTCCAGGTGCAGCTTGGCAATAAGGCTGAGCGAAATACAAGCCGATTGTTGCAATGTGTCCCGACTGAGGGGCCTCAACTGCTCCGTAGAGGCAGTGGTGCTTGAAAATAGGCGAGGACGCTACAACGCTTGGCTACAATTGCGGCTCTTCTTATCAGTCAAGCACTACTGCGTTGGAGGGTTCTCCATGCAGTTGTAACCACTAATCCAAACCAACCTTGCCCCGAGTTGTTAGCTAGGTCATTGTGGATCAGCGTCTAAAAATAGTAGCTGTTCGGCTCGGTGCATCCCACGAGTCCTATGAGTAATTCACAACAAGCAGCTGTTGTATCCATGAACTGGATAGAATATTATATATTTTCTGATAGAAGATGAAGTAAAATGAGAGATATCGCTGATTTATTAGTTTTGAACTGTTACACAAGCGAACTGGTTTGCCTACCACTTATCTGCTAGGAATCCCAATATCTCTGCATTGTAGAAGGAAATTGGGCAAGCTCAAAACTACGAATTATACAAGAAAGTGTAATAGTAACTTCAGTCAAGTCAAAAGTCGTATTTAATACCTGGGTTGCTTGCTATAGTATCGATCTAAGCCTGATGACTTGACCCAAAAGCCAAGTGACTCTCAAAGGCTGCCATATGCAGTCTAGAGGTTCTGAATCACATCGCAGCCAGTTCCACGACTGAACGTCTTCGAGGCAAGGTTGTGCTGGTTTTTGTATTGGCTATGACCCAAAAGGTTAGACATCAGCAACAGTGATGGGGATAGTAGGACTTACGCATAGCCGGCAGGACCTTGAACTTCGCTAACGTCGAGCACATAGATTCCATCTGTCCAGAAGCATTGAACATTCTCAAGCTTGACTGCATTGACTTTGAACTGATCGCAGTATAAACCAAGATGGTCATCATTGCGGGGGCTCGTGATGAGCTGAACTCGATATCTTCTCAGGGCATGCTCGTACCAGTTGGACTTCCACTGGAGGGTCAACTTGCAGTTCGCGCGCTTATCTGTCGAGGATAGCATTTAGTACTCGGCAACCTTGAAACTAAACTAGCAGAAGACTTACCTTCAGCGATGCCAATAGGGTCGGGGATGGCTGTGGCAAGAGCAGGAATTGCCAGAATGGCCTGTGCGAGGATTGAGAACTTCATATTCAAGGGGAGAAGTCACGTAATTCAGTTAATAAAGAAGTTGCTTGGGAATTGGAGATATACACTAGGAGCACGAGGATCCCGCTACTGAGGAAATGCTTTGACTTTATAGTCGTTTATGATAAACTAAGATACGTGTTGAATTCTGGCTCGTGGTACAGAGTAACGTAACATACCATTCCGTCAGACATTAGAAATCAAAAGGAAAAGCGGCCTCGGGAGGCTTGGTTGAGTCCACATCCAGCATATCGTGATCCTTGAATTACCTCAAGAACCCATTTTAGGATACTATATGTAAGGATCAGAATCCCACCCGCGTATTGATTTAGGAAAAGGTAAAGTCCGCGGATAATATTTCAAAAGCTACCCCCTTTAACGTACGTCTTACACCTTGTGACTTTCTAAATTGTGGTTCTATCGTTTCCTGGTGTTGATCTGCTGTCAGACAAGAGCCACATAATACAGTGGGACTTAGACTTATATAGATGCCTAAAAAGTGGTGATCTTTTATGTTACATCGTCGACTTTATTTGTCTGAATAGACGCGGTCGACCCACTGTATTCGGAAGTTTTATTAGTAGCCTGGCTCTCGTTTATGTCGGGGAAATACTCCAGTATTGCTTACTCCGTACTTTACTCCGTACGGAGTAGGTGTCGATTGACGTCCAACAACGTCAACCCTGAACATGTAAAAGTTTGTCCTTGAATGGTCCCCGCTGAATAATATGTATAGAGCGAGTAAAGTCATTGCTGTTGCCTCCTTGTCATCTACGTTTGGATGATCTGACAGTTATCAGCACATCGCTAGACCGTCGGACTATCGGCTGGGGGTCATCTCAAATATCAAAAGTGCCAGTCGAAGCGATGAACCATTCTCTTCGGTGGAAGAAATGCAACGTCCTACTTCGTATCAGGCCCACAAAATGACCGTGGGTAATAGAGCCATGCCTGGGTCCCAGCCTATACATGAGAATCAGTTTCCTGAATTGGATAATGCAACTCTGACATCATGACATCAATAAATCGCCGACTCGGCAGTACTAGCATGAGCTAGTGGGACTTAGAATGAAGCGAGGAAAGAAATGCTCCGCCGCAGAGACAGGGGCAGATATAGCATGACCAATTCTGTGTCCCAGATTCTAAGAAGCCAGGTAACAAAGAGACAAATATCAGCGCGTATAAAAGAGAGTTTTATTCCGCCCTAAACAACTTTTATTCCTCAGCTTTAGAGAACCCTCGCTGAACCCTTTTAAAAATGGAATTCACTATGTTTACCCAGGCTGCCATGGCCATTCCCTTCATGACTGGAACTTTGGCTACTCCTACCCCTGATGCTAAATCACTGCCTCGCTGAGGCACTTCATATCTAATACATATCAGCCTCGGAGGTCAAACGGGCAGATTGTTCCATGACAGTCCGATACAGAACGGACTGGGTCGAGAAAGGTCTAGACAGATATCGAATGCAGCTCATCAGAAGCCCTCGCAATGACCGACATCTCGGTGTTTACTGCGACGCTTTCAAAGCACCCGTTGGTTTTGTCATCAACCCTCAGTGTTTCTGGGGAGATGCATACTATGTTGATGTCAGCGCTGCTCGAGCTCCTGCAGGCCGAAGGTAAGTAGTGTTTGACCTTATAAAGGTTTCTCCTCTAAAATGGTATCTTTAGGGCAGTTCGAGACGCTCATAACAAAACTTGCAATGACTTCGAAGTGTACACTGGCTGCAAAACAATCAGAGAGTTCTAAGAGTCTTTGATGAGAAGACTGCTTATTGTTGGAGTTTTAGCAGAGACGATAGGCTCTGAGCCCTGAAACTTGATTCAATTTATTTATATAGAAGGAGAAAGGAGGAGGAACAGAAAAGAGAGCACCGCGAACTAGCTAGTACATCTTGCGTATTTACGAATACATTACGGATTTCCTCTCATACTTGACCAGCCCTGGAATGATGCAAGGTAGATGATCCACAGTGAAATAAGAAAGATGGCCTTTAGAGTCTTTGCCATTAGCGCTTAAGTTTCCCATGTAGGGCTAGCTCAGGCCTCTCCATGATAAAGCCTAAGAATTCACACGTAAAAATTAACATGGAAATGCTATTTTCTTCATAATAGCTTTCTACCAATACAGTCCTATTCTTGCAGTCTTTATCTTTACCTTTCCTAAGTACTGCTTCTGTACTCCTTACCTTCCCCCTCTGGTCCCTCTCGGTGGTGTCAAATCCCGCCGTTGACTTGCTGTCCCATACTGCCCTGTTCTAAGTGGACTTGGGTTCCTTCCTCTTGGCCCACCCGGTTGTTGGACTTGACCGGTAGGATACATTGGCGAGCCTACAGACGAACTGGTACTTCCCAAAGGAGGTAGCGTCCCCGACTGACGTGGGGTGCCCTGACTCTGGAGTCTTGAACGGCCAGGGCTCATACCCCTTCTGGTAGTTGGTGTCGGCTGATAACTGACTGGATACGTGGACGCACTTGGCATGGTGTTAGATCCTAGAGGGGGCGTTGACATCCGGCGAGGTGTCGAGTTCTGATATGAATTCGTAGTTGTGTTTGGACTGCTTGCTCGCCGAGCATGACTTTGCTGCGAATAGCCAAGAGAGGTCCCAGACATTGGTATACCTGAACCTGAGCCTACGGGAGTCCTCTGTTGGCTAGATGGATTGAATCTTGGTTGCTGCAACTCTCTTGTCATCGCCCCGGTATTCGGCGGTGCTCCTCCAGTTGGATATCGACTCTCTGATGGGCCAGCCTGACCATAACCAGCATATGGTTGGATCTGAGAGCTAGCTGGAGGAAATTGATATGATGAAGCAGGTTGTTGATTCAGTGGAGGCAGTGTGTTGGATAACCCAAATGGTTGAAATGGCATTGTTGCAGCCGTCTGTCGTGGCTGACCCATTGTAGGACTTTGAAGTGTTGGTCTTCCTGTTGGCGGTGGACGATTACTTCTCGCGGAGGCATTGGAGGGACTTGACGATGATCGTCTGTGTCTAGAGGATGATGCCCTCCCCGTTGGCTGACTTGGGTTTGTAGTTGGCTCACCCGCTGCACTTCTTGACGTAGACCGATTACGTGATCTTTGCCCTCGGGTAGACTCTGTGTTAGTACGGGTAGAGGCATTCCCAACGACGTCACGAGACTGCCTGCGGCTTCCTCGATACGGAGTGCCTCGATAGTCGACGTATTCATCCCCGCTGGACTCGGTACTGGCAGAGACGGTAGGGTTTTGTTGTCCCGATGTCCTCCTTAGACTGGGAGCTACGGCACTAGTTGTATGGCCTTGATTATTCGACTGCTGCTGAGCTGGAGGGGTTTGCCTAGAAGACGCTTGAGGGATTGCGTTCTGCTGGAATCCAGGCGGAGGCTGATAGGCTTGGGATGGCTGAGTGCCTGTAGCTTGGCTGAAGCCCTGTCCAGTTGATGTTCCAGACTGATATCTCGTAGGTTGACCATAGACTGGTGGACTGCCTGCGGGTAGATCCTCTGATCGAGACGGTCGATGACGCTGTTTCCTGGATGGATTCGCCTCTCGCGTTTCTGACGGCCGAACATCTGAACTACGTGATGCTCTTTCCCCTTGTCTAGATCCCCGCGGTGCCGATGCCAAGCCGGTATTTGAGGAATTTGATGCTTGTGGTTGGCGATTTCTGCCACTTGACGCAGGCTGTCCCTGTAAAGAAGGCCTGGTTTCTCGCGTTGATGTGCTTTTACGAGGGTCGACGATACCCATTCGTTCAAACTCACCTATCAAGTCCTCTGAACTGCGTGTTATAGCTCTGAACCTTTCTATCGACTGTCTTCTTTCAAGATCCGATCGAGCATGACTGTTCTTTCTTAACGCCTCATCAAATTGTCTCTGCAGGCCTTCTGCCTGGCGATTGAGTTCTAAAAAACGCTCGCTCCTAGAACTAACTATGGTATTAGTGTATGCGCAGTAAGTTATATTGTGTGAGGGAATGTACTTGTCTTGAGACATTTTCAATGCTGGGCAAACGATAGTTGAATGGAAATTGAGGTATCAAAGCTTATCATACATCGAAGGAAGGCCAGTTAGGAAACAAGAGGTTGTGGCAGTCTATTTATGCCTTTTTGGCATCAACAAGAACCTTTGGTAGGTGAGATTCACAAGGCAGAGCCTCAACTCGGAGAACTCATCTGCTGACCGCCTTCCAGGGTAAAGTGCGACACTGAATTGTTATCATTAAGCTGGTTCGTTCATTGATGGCTCAGCTGAAACTATTCTGCAGTCATGCAGCCACACCAAGTGCTGCAGCCAGTGAGGTGATGCCACCTTTCTGTCGTGAGGGGTTTTATGCAGCCGCCTTGATCAGTTGGGAGCCTACTTTCAACCCTCATTATCAATGATAAGAGGGGGTTACATGTTTGCAGAGGGGCGGGGCAAGAAAACTCAAGACCTGTATCCAAAGTGATGAAAAAGCTCAGGCAATTCAGTCTAAGTTTAGGGGAGTTTTTTACTGAGTTTATTGTATCATCTTCCTCTAAAGTAAAGTCTTATATCTTTTTGCTCTATGAGGTTTGACCAGCTGCTTGCGTCACTGGTTCTGTTCTAGCAATATTGATGAATAGTGTCTTAACAAAAGCTCTATCATAGACCCTTTAACAAACTTTGGAGCTATGGCAGACGATTCAGCCGAGAGCCTGACTTTGGAGGATTTGGAAGTGGTCATTCCACATCTGAGAAATAGCGTGGAGAGCATTTCGCGACACGATCCCGATTTCTGTTCAGCAGTTATTTTGCTTGCACCTGCGCTTCGAAAGCATCACCTTTTCTCACGACCACACGGAGACTTGAGTGCTCTTGAGGAGTACATCACCTTGCTGCAATAAGCTGTCGATAGTTCTTTGGTTGACCATGCCAACAGAGCTGAATGGCTAAATAGCCTTGCGTCCGCCTCAAGCCTTTGTTGCGATGCGACAGAATCTGAAAGCGATGCTAGAGAAGCTTCTCGGTTAGTAGACAAGGCCGTTGACACGGTAGAGAAAGACGATCCGTCGCATCCTGCGGTCCCACAGTCAGCATGTCGTATCATCGGCAAGAAGGCAATCAGGCTTTCTGACAAGGATGATTTTGAAAGATTGTTCGGGATGCATAAATGCATACTAGATATAACGCCACTCAATCATCCGAAGTTCATATCGCGATGGCGGAGTTATGAAGATACACTGTTCAAAGGGTACATGACCTTCGGCGAGGGAAAGGCTCTGGAGGAGTCTATTCGAGTTTCACAGCAGATTGTCAGCACCACAGACCACGACTCCGAAGAGCATGCGAGGCATTTGTGGATTCTTGGACGGCGGATTATTCAGCGCTATTTGAGGAACGGAACTTCTGGAGATCTTGATGCGAGTATCAAGGCGTGTCAACAAGCAGTGGACGAAACACCGATCAGTTCCAAGAATCGCCAGCGAAGGTTACAGTCTTTGTACGATCGGTTGGGGGAGAAATATTCTCAGACTCTGGATGATGATGACTTCCAAAGAGCATATGATATTGCGAAAGAAGCCGTTGATTTGACTACCGATAGCGACATGGGCCCTACCGTCCGCCTGAGTATTCTTGGTGTCTTACTTCTAGGGGCATATGGCAAGACCGGAAGCAAGGAACGTCTGGAAGAGTCAATACGCTTTGGAAGGGAGGCTTTGCCCGCAACGCCTGATGGCCATCCAGATAGCGCTCTGTGCAACTTTAATCTTGCCGACAGACTACGTATACGACATCTCGAGTATGTTTCAGCCGACGACTTGCAAGACGCCATCTCATACTACCAGAAAGCCCTCAATCACTCCAGTGCCTCTATGTTTCTTCGTTTACAAGCAGGCTTTTCGCTCATGCAGAGTTACGTCTCGAATCACGACTTGGAAGGCGGGTACAAGGCAGTTTCCAAACCCATAGATATCCTGTCCCTTCTCAGCTCTCGTCCACTGAGAAATGCTGATCTTCAGCGCGATGCTTCCAAGCTTGCAGGTTTGGCTACACAGGCAGCTTCGATCGGACTACACTCCGGGAAGAGTGCAGTCGAGGCCCTGGAGTTTCTGGAGGTGGCGAGAGGAGTCCTGGCTTCCTCGATCAGTGTTCTTCGAGCTGATACTAAGGAGTTGGAAAAGGAGCTACCTGAGCTGGCTCAACAATACAACAGTCTTCGGGACCAGCTAGATGACGGCCCTTCACACGACGCGGGTTTTGAACTAGATGACGAGGTTTGGGCAAACGCAATGACTCAAACATATGATACTGGGGAACAGTTGTCAGCCTTACTGGCAGAGATACGCTCAAACCCTGGCCTTAAATTCTTTCTGCGGCCTGACGATGAGGAAGGGATGAGGCGTGCAGCTGCGCTCGGCCCTCTTATCGTGGCAAACGTCGCCTCTGCGGTTGATTGATTGATCCTTAAAGCTTATGACGCCTCAGCGAGGCATATCAAGCCATTTGCTTTCAAGTAGCCACAAACTGATGTACTGACCCCTATACGATAACGGCTTTCAGTTGTTTGTTGCCTCTGCGGTTTACGATGCCATGATCATCCATCGAGATGGCTTCGGCACTGTTCGTATCCCTAGACTGAGCAAGAGTGATATCGATTCGAAGTATCAGACGTTAGGTCAGCGCAGTCTCAAGGTTCTCGAACGGCTTTGGGATGCCGTTGCTGAGCCCATACTCAACTCTCTAGGTTTCGCTGAGCCACCACAAAAGGGCAAGATGAAGAGGGTATGGTAGGTTTTGACTGGCTCTTTAAGTACCTTTCCTATTCATGCTACAGGGCGCCACAGTCAGCGAACTGGCGATACGGTGATGGATAGAGTTTTACATCATACGCTACGTCGGTATCAGCTATTGTACAGAGTCGAAGGACATCGCCAGTCTCTCACGACCATGCGCTATTGTTGTCTGCTGGTGAAACGCGTGGTCACCGGAGGTTAGCCTTTGCAGAAAAAGAAGTCAGCGTGCTGCGAGATATCTGCTACCTAATGAAGCTCAAACCTGTTGAGCCTGACCCCATCAGAGAAGATGTGCTATGACATCTACGAAAGTGCAAGATCTTCCACTTCCCAGGGCACGGATACACCGATACGGCAGACCCTTCCAAGAGTCAGCTGTACCTTAAGGACTAGCAAACAGATCCCGTTACCGTCGTGAGCCTTCTCAAGCTTAACCTTTATCAGGAGGGTCCGTTTGTTGCTTATTCATCTGCCTGCGGTACAGAACAAATCAAAAACCAAAAGCTTTTTGATGAAGGTATTCATCTTATCAGCGCATGTCAACTAACAGGCTTTCGGCATGTCATCGGAACGCTTTGGGAGGTAAACGATCAGTCTTGCGTTGACATGGCTGCTATTATATACGAGGAAATTCTCAGAGATGAAATGTCGGGTAAGTCTGTGTGTCGTGGTGTTCATGTTGCTACGAAAGCGAAGAGAGATCAGTGGGTTGAGAAACATTTGGGGTTGAGAAGGCCATAGATCCAGGAGATAATGGGTCAGTAATAGAGAGGAGAGAAGTTGATGTCGAAAGAAATATTATTTCTCTTGATGATGACGATGAAAAAGGTATTCCTGGTGTAGGGAACGCTCCATTACACTGGATCCCATATGTACATTTTGGTCCGTGATTCTCAGTTTTCCGCCTCGGATGTCTCGGAAACTTCAATAGCCCGCGGTGTTACCTTTATCAAGAAACCAACTTTATTATTAGCCTTTTACCAATCTCTTTTAAACTTGTAAATCTCAGTTATACTCATTTGGTTGTATATCCAACAATGTCAACAATATCCCAAACCCCCGATGCAAATATTACATAGTACCTGAATCATACATCCATTCTCATGAACTGAAGAGCTGCGCCAGCTTTGACTTGCCCTCCTTGGCCTCCAACTTTCGAATTTCCTGCTTCATCGCATCAATGCGGTAGTTGTTCCACGCCTTTTCTATCCGCTCCCTCGCCTCAGGGTTCTTGGTGATAGTGCGTGACGCCGATGCGGTGCCGGTCAAAAGACCTGCTTCACCACCGATGAATAAACCTCCCACGGAGAAGAAGAAGTACGTGGCCGCGTCACCCCACTTGGATGGTGTAAGGTGAGCGGTGATATCCGGGATAGGTTCTGTGAAAGGAAGTCAGTATTAGGTTTGAAGCAGGTTCGAGAAGAGTATGACGTACCGGTACGACCATCTGCAAACCTGACCTCTACGGGCTTCTCCATGGCTCGGAAGGCATTGAAGTATGTCAATCGCATCTTTCGCAGTCGAAAAGCAGCGTAGAGGCCCAGACCAACACCGACCAGCGATCCGATCTTGGCATGGGTTGACACTTTGCTTCCTGCACGTCTCAAAATTTCGCGATCTTCGTCATTCAAGCTACTCATTTTTAGTCTCCAATTCAGATCTCATTGAAAGGCGACTTACTCATGCTGAAAGTGCTGCGTCGCTAGGTCCCGGAGCTCATCACTCCTCCCAGATCGAAAAGCGGCAAGACCGGACATTTTGTGTTTATTATCGAGCTAAGTCAATTACAGAGGGGAAGAATAAGGGGTTTGAAGAGCTAAAAAAGAGCAGCGAGTTATGAAATAAATAAATACCCTCAGTAGAGAGAGAGGACTTTGGAAGACGTTGGATATGAGCGGGTAAGGCTGACGTCACCACCATTTGCTGTACCCGAATCTGTTTTAGCGGGAGAAACACGAAGAACTGATTCAGTAAAACGTCATTGTTGTATCGAGAGCGTGTCTTGGATGATTCTGACTTTGGACCATGACATCAATTTATGCTTCTTGCTATCATTTATGCTGCCTCTGAATCAAAGCCTCCCACTCCGTCAATAGTCCCATGATCTCAACGCTCTGATCAACGTTCGGCGAAGGCCGTTCCGCTGTTTTAACACCGCGGGATAAATAATCTTCCACCTTCTTCACCTGATATCCAAACGCGTCCATGTCTGCTGGTACGATGATTTGTTCTGCTGAACCGCTGTAGGTTTTGAGCTCGATGATGTTGTCGCCTGCAATTGGCAACCAAGGGTTCGTGATGAACCTGATCCTGCCTTTATCACCGAGAATCGTGAAGGATGAGTCGTTGCCGTAGCTGTCTGTTGACTGCAAGCTTGCAAGAACGCCGTTGTCGAAGCGGACTGTCAGTGATGCGTCGCGGACGTGGACACTGCCCTCTGTTGAGATGTTGCCGAAGCCGTGCAATTGACGCTTTGCAAAGGCATCGCTGCCAAACGCTGTCTCGATAACGAAGTGCAGAAGTGAGACTGGATAACAGCCCAGATTGTAGATAGTTCCCATGCTCAGAGGATTCGCTTTCTTCCAGATATTCGCAGAGTAATACCCCGATACACCCCTCACCGTCCCAATCTTGCCTTCAAGAAGCAATTCCTGCGTCTTCTTCATCAACGGATGAGTAAGATACATCAACCCCTCCAAGAAGAAAACACCTGCATCTTTCACAGCTTTCCCAATCGCCTTGGCATCCTCCATCGTCGTCGCAAGCGACTTCTCAGACAGTATCGCCTTGCCTCGCTTAGCAGCTGCCAGCACTGCGGGGGTGTGCATATGATTGGGCAGACCGACGTACACGACGTCTACCGCAGCCTTGTCGAGCAGGTCATCGATAGAAGTGTATCGCTCTGGGATGCCATGTTTATCGGCGAATGCTGTCAGGCGGTCTTCGTTGCGCCCGAAGACTGCGGTGATGGTGGAGTTTTGGCTGGCGAGGATGGAGCGGGCGACAACGTCGGAGATGAAGCTCGTTCCGAGCATTCCCCAGCGCAACACGGCCATACTGAACAAGTCACGGAGCAGAATGGATGAATTGAAAGCTATAGGAAGCTCTAAATGACTTCAAGGGCGTCTTTTTATAGCTTGGGCGGTATCGTCAGCATTTGGGGTTTGTTGTTGTGAGGCCGCTAACGTTAATTCTCTTATCGTGCTTATCTAAATCCGGCCATCTCCGAGTATTACCGCTTACAAGCTGTCATTTCCGCGCTACCCTGAAGCCATTCAGTTCAGAATTACAAACCATCAATTGACTCTTGTATATGTCAGTATCCCAATGAATACATAGAAAGGTTCGGATAAATAGTCCACAGTATGCGAGTGAGGCTTAGCCACTATAATCGCTTACCTCAATTGCACCTCATTCTAGTGTGTTTCCAGTAGTAACTCGAGTTGGGTCACAGACCCACCCTCGCGACCACCTCTCACCTCGGGCATTTCTCTTCAGCCACAGACTACAGTTCAGCGGTTTCTACATAGGTTGTTGCGGACCAGTTGGTCAAACTCTAAGGTGCCATAAGATGCTATGAGATCACGCTATTTGATTTTCGAAATAATAAGCTTCTACCCAAAAAGCTTCCACGATATTCCGGCGTTTCAGCTTCTGCCGAACCCCGACTACGCGAGTGGCTTGGCTTTGGGATCACCACGAGGCGGGGTGCTGATCAGTGGATACGGAAAAGGGGTCTTGCACCATCGTGCCGGATCGTCTTGTCTCTGACTCATGGACGTCAGTGTCAGTTATCATTCGGTTCGGAAGATATCAACCTATCTCACGAACCGAGCCGATCAGCTTTCTGGGGTAACTTCTTGTCATGGACAATCATTAATCTTGAGATATGCTATCTATCTACTACAAAGTAATACTGGAATGAACTAAACATTACAGCTGGTATCTTCAACACGCCGAACGAAAACGGGAAATGGCTAATCTACACGACTCTGAACTCAACCGTCTTCTTGATCACATTACCCTTGAGGTCCATATCCTCAAGATTGATCGACCCATCGCCTTGCGAGGAGCCGCCCTCAATGATATGATCTGTAGAATCATTGCGGGTCTTGTGAGTGCGTGTGCCGCCATCAACACCGACAACATGCTCCGTTCTATTTTGGGCAAAGTCATCCTTTTGTGTTGACGTGAAGCGACCAGGTTGGCTGCTCTGATGGACATAGCGATCACGAGAGGAGGGATAATCCTGTGTGCCATTGAACTTGAGTTTGGATGAGAGAAGATCGATGCTGCAGAAGTTAGACCAACGATTGAAAAAAAAGGTACGTTAGAATGGAGAAGGACTTACTATAACACCATGGAATACAGGCAGAAGACGGCGTAGAAGAATCGGTCCAGTTGGGTAGCAATATTCTCCGCCGTCTGACCAGCCGTCTTGAATGAATGCGTCACAGCGCGAAGCGTACCCTGCAAGGCCAGAAGAGCGACTCTTATTTCCGTGCTTCGGGCCAAGTACTGGAAAAGACCACCACTGCGCGCAATCTCGGCAGATGAAGTCTTGGCCGATGTAAAGAGGACGATGAGGAAATATGCGCTGAGGCATTCGAGCGACGCGATGAGACCGAAGTAGGCGATGTGGATATGGTTGATGGTGGTCAAGAGATCCTCATTGCCGGCGAGGATTGATTTGACTCGGAAGGTGATGATGACGACGCGAACGACGCAGATACCGGCGATGCCTGACCAGAAAATTGACATGAAGACCCTCCATCGTGTACCTCGAAGGACTCGTTTCAGGATGATGTAACTGTAGAATAGAAGACCGGCTTCTTGCAGCTGGTAACCGTCAGCTTGGCACGCCCAATTGAGTGATGCATCAATCATACCAACCAGAAAATATCAGCAAACACAGACGCGATCGCAAGCATCATAGCAGGATGCTTCTGGTAATAGACGTAGTAACACAACCCATTAGCGATAGCGCCCGCCGCTGACGAAAACATCGGCACAGCGGCGAGGAGCGTCCAATTGGTGATACCGCAGACGAGACATCCCAGCAAGACATTGCCCATGCAGATGGTCATCAAAATAGACCAGCTGAGCTCAAAAAACACCGGCACCGCTGCGTCCGCCATTGTCGATCAAGGTAACGTCGAAGGGTGGTATAGATTGGTAAGGAAAAGAACGAGTAATGGAAAAGCCGGAGAAAAAAGAAGGAAAAGAAGAGAAGGGAAAAAGCAATGTGACACTGATGGCGTTAAATGAAGATCTTGGCCTCGATGATCACCCTCCTTTCCAGCTAGTTGGATCTCAGCTGGACTGGCTGTCATATCATAAAGTTCCCGATAATCCCCCCCCTCGTAAAAGGAAAGAGGTCGATTAGTTTTCGACCATTGTAAATTAGTGAGGGATACCCTTGATTCCAATGGCGTCGGATACAGTGCACTCCGCGGTAAGAGATTGGCTCGTTGGTTGCGAGAAGACATCAGTGCTCAGGCTATCCTGACAAGTGAAGTGACGGGTTCTCCGCAAGTCGCAGCCCAACCCATGGGGAGGCGTCAACGGTTGGGTACATCGGTTTCGAACTAACGAGCTTGGTCAAACAAGCAGCGCCCAGCTAATCCCGTTCTGTAAGGTCTTGACTCATGGCTACTGCGCGGGGAGAAATGAGGGGGATGAGCAAACCCATTTATTTAAAGTTTTGACTTCGGCATCTGGTCTAGGCATCATTTTTCGCTTTGCTTGTCGGTAAGGGGTAAGGTTGAGAAGCCGGGGTAGATCGCTAGGGCGGATTTATTTTCAGCCCTCCTTTACGGTAATTCGTATCAGGCTGTGAACCCCTGTTTCTTTGGAATGAGCTGGACCAAACTCTGTTGACCCCCCCTTCTCTTCTCATGATTCTTTTTGGTCGGGGGATATTGTGTTGTGTTGCTTTTTGGGCTGGGCTAATGCACAAAATGCCTGATTGCATCATGCCATGCGTTCAATTAGCAGGGCTGGTGATAGGGAGAGAGAACGCCAGAGGCAGAGATCTAGAATGACTGAGGGTGACTAGCTAACCGAATGATCCGTCTCCCGATGTGATCAGTGCCCCCGGAATGTGGGTGCGACAGCCGAGTTGCCGTCCGCACAAGGACAAGGCGTCTTATTCATGCATCAGCACGTCTCAGACAGAAAAGCATCCCTCAAGTCAAAAGATCCTTTGCATTAAATACCTTTTCCCTCATCACACCATCTCCGTCGCGGCATTTTCTTTCATCCGCTTTACTGGTAGCATAACCGTTACAGCCGTTGTATTCTCCTGGTTCCTGGGGTAGAATCAATTCCAGACCCGGGGGAAAATGCCTGATGATAACCTTGTTTCTCCCCTCCCGTGGCGTTGCCCGTGTGATAGGCGAAAAGAAGGAAAGACGCAAGCCACGGAATCGGAGCTTCGCCGATTTTTGGTAGACAGCACCGGCGCCACAGACATTCTCACATGTCGTCCTAACTGCCGAGTGGCTTCAAGAAGTGAGGGTTGATAGGGAGTTGGACGGTGATTGATATTAGCGACACCATCCCGCACTACGTATGACTCGAGCGCAGCGGGCCGGCGCTACTGAGTCAATATTGTACGTCAAAAATGAGCCTAAAAGGATCGTTACCTAGTCAAGATCCGTCTGGACTTGTCTCTGTAGCTGATATTTATGTAAAATGGCGAAAAGAATAGGGAATGAAATGTTCGTTTATTATGTCGCATTGACTGGCGTAGAGTTTCCAGGGCACTGTCGTAAATGACCCCAGTTTTCATCTTGAATAGATTGATAAAGTATCATTGAGATTAAACCCGTCACGATGAGATTTCCTCTTTAGGGTTTAAGCTTTTCGCGAACTCAATCCCTATGCTTAAATTTCCTATCTGTGTGTTAGTACTCACCGCCAAATCTAGCAGCATACCCTACAGATACCAACTATCCATTTTTAGACGAAGACAAGTCGAACGTCAGTTCACGGCACACTCGAGATCACAGCCTGCTAACGATCTGCCTGTGACTCAAGAGACGAGAACATCGCGGGTATGCACGGGCCAATCTCCGGGTCCAGCATGCAGAACGCGAGAGGCTCCACGAACGCGGAATCTTCCGTGATTTTCAACTAACCCAGTAGTGAGAGGAAAGAAATCCAGAACAGATGGCCGAAGCTTGAGAGTAAATACGAACTATGGAGTCTATCCACTCTCTCCGTGCTTTTGCAAAAGCTTCCGGGTAGCCCACTATTATCATGTCAAATGAGTCTCTCATCATAGAACATGCCAAGCGAAGATATTTGATGAGAATGGGAGACCGGAGAAGGGGTCAGCCAACCTGTTTTCTGTATAATCCTATTAAGTTTCTATATGTTACATGGCCTCATACTATAATGCTGCACTTTTAGCGCGGTTAGATTGATGTCTCTCTCGACTTATCGTGTAGTCCCCCGATGGCATGCCAATTGTAGAGAAGCGCCTGATTTACCTACATTGGATTCTCAACATGAACGTCGTCAACCACGTTATCCGAGAACTCATTAAACCACAACTGTGGAAAAGAATCAAGGTTAAAGAACGCATTCGAGCTCGCAGTCGTGTCATGACTCGTCTCATCCACCCCTTCGCTAAAGATGTAACTAAAGTCCGTATAAGGAAAAGCCGGTATCTGCGGGGCCTGCTCCGGAAAAGCCGGGGGTTCTTGCTCGACTGACACCGTACCAAGACCCCTTGTCAGAATATCGATGCTGCGCTGTATACCGGGACAGCTAACTGTGATGGCGTTCAGCGCTCTCATAAACATCTTGAATCGCTGGGTAGTATCAGGCCTGCCGCTTTTCATGTCTTGCACGACGACTGTGGCTGCGGTGTAGGTGCAGTAGGCCATGATGTATGTGAATCGCTGGAAGCCGAATGTGTTATCGAGGAGCTGGAGAAGTTGCTCTACGGCTTGAGAGGCTTCTTGGCATGCTTTCCAGCACGCTGGGTTATTGAGAAATGGCCGATGAAGTAGGATTATGGTGGTATGGTACAGCATTCTGAACATATGTTAGATTGGGTGATAGCGTTAAGGTCTTGCACTCTTACTGCTGAGCTACGAAATGTGTAGGCGGGCATGTCTGGCCTTGGTAGTCCACGTGCAGAGCTATTGGTAAACTTGAACGCCAGGCGTGCAGCCTCTCCCTCGTAGTTTGCACAAAGTCCAAGACATCTTTGGTTCGTTTACTTCCATAAATACTGAAGAGAATATCGTTGATGATAAGGCTGATCCTGCAAGTATATGCAAAACACAGCAATAAATGCGATGGTCTCGGCTGATAAGTCTGGAGTGCTTCATCATCTGGAATGGGATAAGGCGGCCATAACTTGGTTTCTAGTTCTTCTGGTAAAGCAGGGTCCCATTTCGGAGGCTCTGGTAATGACGGTGTTCTTCCAAGATATAGACTCAAAGTCTTATCCCAGAAGAAGCAAGACCATGCGAGATGCCGACCAAGTTGCAACCATACGACATCCTCAGACGTCTTGGGTGATAGCGAGAAGAGACCAATGTCAACAGCAACTCGAAAAGCCATCCCGCCGTACAGCCAAGCTTGCGATACAGATCCTCTACCAATTTCGCGAGCACTAAACTGCAGCAATGCCTGAACTAGTGGTATGGATCCTTCTTTGTGTATCTCATGGCTGAACTCCAACTTTGCCCTGGCAAGGAGTTGTTCTGTTAAATGCCGTTCCCTAAAACGCGTCGAGTGCAGACATAACACGCTCAACAGAAATGGGGAGAAGAATTTCCCACCGACTGCGGCATCACGAAGAAATAAAGCTCGTGGGACAAACATAAAGTTGGCGTGAACCCATGTCCAATGCGTCGCAAAGAGACGTCGAATCACCTCCTCAGGAATGCTGAGATAAACTGCTGCGCTCTCGACAGCTTGATCCTCCCAGAACTTCAGCTCGGGGGTTTCCATTGGTAGAGGCTGACGAGTTTCAGGGCTATGTGCGACAGTGATTTGACCCGTTGTTGCTTGCGATGGCGTATCTCCAGGATCGTGAACCGCGGATGTAGTGTCGTAGAAAGACCGAGTGGGATCCATGTTACCGTCCGCAACCTCGATGGTCGGAAGAGGCTCTATCAGTGCTGGTACTATTGCGCTCTCTGTTAGGACTGTCGCACTGGTTTGACAAGGAGCAGTGCTGGTAACATCCTGTTTCTGTAGGTCTTGGATCGTCTGTTCAAGCTGCGCGATCTTATCCGCCATGGCGCGGATCTGCGTCATAGGCGGTGGTCGATCATACTGGCAGGTCTCGTTGTATGCTATGCAGATGCCGCAGACGGGTTGGCCTCCGTCGCAGCGGACTTTGCGAGCACGACAGTTGTTGCATGTCAATCGGGCTGTTTTCTTTGGGCGGGGCGGGGATTCTCTTCGCTGGCGCCTTGTCTTGGGCATTATAGTGTCTTTTGGGTGACATATGTGTTTCCTGAGATTAAATCTATTTTTTGCTTGCTTTTGATGGGCTTTGGGCTGAAGAGGCTCATCGTGGTCTGGTTATTGAAGTAAGAGTGATGACAAGTCGAGATGAAGTGAGCGTTGAAGTGACCGATCCCGGAAAAGCTTGAGTCTACTTCGGGCTAGCGCTCTCCACTCCGCAAACATCGTCCTGAGATGCACGTCATCTTATTGGAGGATGAGTCTTTACAGGTGATCAATCTCAGTGTAAGGAACATAATAATATTCTTATTTGTGCGATCTACAGCGGATAAAATGATGTATGATGCTTTTAAGCTACTCTATTCCCTTTCTCCTCACCCCTCAACAGTGCCATTGTGATCTCCGCAACCGCCATACCACTCTGACTCTGATTCTCAACTGTCGAAGCTCCAACATGCGGCGTCAAGACAACATTCGGCAACGCTAGCAATTCTGGGTATGCCTCAATAGTCGGAGGTTCAACCATCATCGCATCAAGGCCAGCACCAAAAAGCTTTCCGCTATTCAGTGCAGTTAACAATGCATCCTCGTTAACGATCCCACCTCGAGCGCAGTTGAGCAGAATTGCACCATCTCTCATAGCCCCAAACTCTGCGGTTGAGATGATGTTCTCGGTATCTTTGGTGAGAGGAAGATGAAGGGTTACGACATCTGATGCTCTCAGGAGATCATGTAGCTTTGAAACCTGGCGAAATCTGGTCTCTCCAAAAGTGCTGAGCCATTGTTTCCCATCTGAGAATGGATCATAAGCGACAATACTGCCTTCCATAGCCCCCACCCACTTCTTCGCAACAGCTAACCCGATATTTCCCATCCCAATAACTCCCAAGGTCTTTTTGAACAAGCTCTTTCCCAGCGTCTGACTTCTCACGATAACCTCACCGTTCTTTGTCCGACGATCAATCTCAGCAACTCGTCGCGAGAGTGTTAAGGCCAATGCGAGCGTAAGTTCAGCAACGGCCTCTCCATTTAGACCAGGAGTGTTGTAGACCTTGATACCCGCTTCTGCAGCAGCTTTCAGATCGATGTTGTCGACGCCAACGCCTTGCTTGACGATGTATTTGAGCCTTTTGCATTTCGCGAGTTCATCTGCACCGAGACGAGTCTCGCTACGAAGCATTACTGCAGTGGAATTCTCTGCGTATTGGATCTTGTTTGGATCTGTTGGGAGGACGACATTGATGTCGGTTGATTGCTGCAGGGCCGCGATGGCATCTGGATGGTAAGGGTCCAAGACGTAGACCGTTGGCTTGGAGTCAGCCATGATGACGAGCGAATGATCAGAAAGTACTTGGCATGGAATTTAAATTACCTGAACTACATGGTGCTTTTGTTGGATTTATATCGATATCAACTGAACCTTTAACCGTGTTTCCCATGAGTATCTTCCGGGATACTTTCCCGGATTTCGTCCCGGACAATCTCCCGGAAACTTGCCGAGAGACCAGTGCGCACATATCAACCCGCTAAAACCCATCATGAAATTTCTTTCTAAGAGAATATTACTCTTAAATACCTCGATTCTGCATCAATGAGCTTCACAATGTCTTTTCACAAAGTCCTCGTCGTCAACCGAGCATCGTTTCAACAGAAAATCTCTACAACCGCGGCCTTATCCACCATGGTGTCTCCAGACCACTCGCTGGCTGAGAAGCTTCGCGCATACTCCACGTAAGTATTTAAAAAAAGAATATCAGCGTGATAGATCATACTGATATGAGGTCTGGTGCAGATGCGATGTATCAGACGCGTTACTGAAAGTGGGCGTTCCTTATGGCGGCTTTCTTCCCAACTTGAGCATGTGGTCACCTCTACGACAAGAAGGCGATAAAAAGCTCATTGGACCTGCGTATACTGTCAAGTTTGTCCGCAACACTCAGACCAACGCACCAAAACTCAAGGAGCATTATGTACGAGCCTACGACTGCCTTGAGAGAAACCACTATTAACAGTTCCTACAGATCGACACTATCCCAAAAGATCACGTTATCTTTATCTCAGCGCCCCATGGCATATTCAACGCCGTGTACGGCGGTCTAATGAGCACTCGTGCAGAGTACTCTGAAGCCGCGGGCACAGTTGTCGATGGTACTTTTCGAGATTTGCAGGATCATCGCAAATTAGACTACCCGGTAAGTCGTCCACAACGAGGCCATGTTCCAACTAACAGATTACAGGTCTTTGCCCGTAATGTCGGTACGCCAAGCCCCCACGAGGTCGCTCGCCCCAGCGAGGTATGTGATATCTACTAAACGTGGATTCTAATGACTAAAGCATCGTAGATCAATGTTCCTGTAAAGCTGCAGGATCCTGCCCTGGATGTGATGATCAAGCCTGGTGATATCATATTCGGAGATTTGAATGGTGTTGTTTGCGTGCCCAAGGAAGTCCTTTCCAAGGTTATTGAGATCTTGCCTGGGCAGGTTGAAGCGGACGATAACATGTCACGAGACATCGCTCAGGGTAAGACTTTTACAGCCGCTAAGAAACAGTATCGTTGAGCAGCATGATATAGCTTCGAATAGAAATAGACGCGACTCATAAATGCCAGTAATTATGTCATGAAAGCCTTGATATCAACCTTCTGAACTACCCTTGTCTGGAATTCGTTGTTTGCCAATTCATTGAGGTATTAAGAGAAAGTTTACAGGCTGTGTATATCTACTGCATCATAAGCATGATTAAAAGATAGTAAGATATAAGAAGTTGCTATCCTCCTCTGCAATATGTTGATTCTCTTTTAAGAGGATCTCTAATTCTTCCTCTTGGAGCTTCGTAGGCTCCGATGTACAAATAATTCCATCCTCGTCATCAGAATCCCATTCAAGCTCTTCCATATCATCGCCGTCCTTGTTGCTCATGGCCAAATGATGAGCTTTGGCCTTTTTAGGTCCCGTAATAACAGGCTTATAGTCAACATGGCGTGATGGCCATATTGTTTTACCAGAGAGTTGAACAGTGGCATACGATATGGCAATGATCTGTTCCCCGGCAACATGTCGTGTATGAGATTGCGTATGGTTCGTAGCGCGATTAGTCCCAAGAGAAATATCGAGGAGACCGGGATCTGGTATGCCGCAGGCTTGGCCCAATGGAACCGCTACATCAAAGCCCCCGCCTCTGCCAGTGGTATTTTCCGTTGTCCAAGTAGTCCCAGAAGATGTTATGAAGCCAGTGATTAGATAACCGCGATTGTGCTTAGCCTTGGAGAGTAGATCTAGCGCATCTTTTGCATAGTCATCATTCTCCATGAGTTGCTCGAAATAAATTTCCGGACTACTCAGAACGTATTTCTTGACAAGGTCACTCTCTAATCTAATGCTTTCCTCACTATTGCGAGAAAGATTGATGTTGAGGAGGGCCGATAGTTGGACTGAGAAGCCGTGATCTTTGGCAACAGTGATAGTCTGATCAGAAAGGCTGGAGACTTGAGGCTCCGGAAGAATGGATGGAAGTATGTCGTTGGTGTTGTGAGGGGGACGTCTGGGATCAGGATATGGCGCAAATCTGTTCAAAGGTGATTCAATCGAGGTGACCAGTCTGCCTAGAAGGCTAGGGGCCTCAGGGGCTGACAAGGGGTCCCGAAGGACAAAATACTTCCGCTCCTGGTAGCTCATTTAAACGATGTTTGAGATTCAGGGAGTATGATGTAGTACCTACGCATTTGGGACTCGCGCCATTATTTATATCTCATTGATAGGAGGGAGGCCTCTAATCTATTCCTAAAATGGAGACGGGATATGCAGGACAACCAACACATTGTTGCATCTAGCAAGTGGGGTAGGAAAGCATCAACCAGCACAGCCCCTGCGAGGCTTTCTGACGATTGAAAACAAACAGAAAAGAAAAACCCTCAGTTGTGTGATTTTCAATCTGCCTTACAAAATGTCTCAGAGATCGATTTTTTTGTTGCAGATTGTCTGTCAAAGGTTCGTCGATGGAGGCTGGGCCGTCGATATCGTCAAAAATGGCGAACCTATACAGCAAGACATCCGGATCACAGACCCCCTCACTTCAGATCAGAAAGAAACCTGCCGTTGGTATCTGCAGCAGTATGTTCGGCTTTCTCCCTTCTCTGTTAACAGAGCAGAAGAGGCCAAAGCTATCCTTGATCAGTATCCCCATCAGCTTCTGGATCAGCTACCCCTACGGCGAGCTCTGCTCCCTCAGCTTGAACAAGGAGCTTATAGCCTTGATCCGGTCACCCTCCTTGTTGATGTCTTTGAACTGCCCAAGAGCGTCGAAAGCGAATCGGATGACAGCGTACATCAGTTGTTCTGGGAAACACTGGAATACCCAGAGCTATGGAGCCACCCAAATTGGAAAGTTATTGTTCGCCGGAGCTTGATTTATCAACGGACAAATTTGCCCCCTCAGGTCCATAAAGTTGACTACTGGGCTAACGCGGATGGTTCAAAATCGCTCAACGTGCTCCTGGTCGTTGCAAGAGACCTAACCAATGACCCTTCAGTTTATGAAGATGTCAGCCCCTCTATCGCCACCAACACGCTTCTCAAAATTCGCCATGAGCTCAATCAGCATCCTTCCGGTAACAAGCTAAACGTTGAGATCGTGAGGCCAGGGACATTCGCGGCATTCAAGGAACACTTGCGACATAGTGAGAAGACCAGAGGGCCAGGTTACTTCCATCTCGTCCATTTTGACACACATGGCACGGTAGCGCTCAAAAAAGGCAGAGCGGCCAAGTACGGTCTTCTACATTTCTCACAGGCCGAGTGTGACAAAACTGACCCGAGACCTGGGGCCCAGATTGCCAAGGTGCTTAAACAACATCAGATTCCATATGCTGTGTTGAATTCCTGTGAGTCGGCATCAGCTACTGCCGGCGACAATGCAAACGTTGCCAAACTTTTTCTCAAAGCAGGGCTGCGTGGTGTCATCGGAATGTCCTTCAAGATAGCTAGCAGCTCAGTCACTATATTCCTGGAGCGATTCTACAACGACCTGCTTCGTGGTGGGAAGTCATTTGCTGCCTCTGCAGCTGCTGGCCGAGAAGCACTGCGATTGAATCCGATGCGTCCAGCAAGATACGGCCTCGATCGCCGCCTGAGCGACAGTTTTGTCGCTGTGACTTACGAAGAAGGCAATAACTCATCCTCGTTCTCCGATAATCTTGGTGGTTCCTTCGTCCACCACTGGACTCTTGGTTCCAAAACTCTGGATGAAGGCTCGGACTTTGCGATATGTCAAGAAGCTTCTCACCTCAACACCACAAGTGACGAACAAGAGCTTATTGGGAGAGATTTTGAGATCTTACGTCTGGAGAAGGTTCTCATGAGAACCCATGTGCTTTTCATGTCAGGTGCTCTAGGAGTTGGAAAGACCGCTCTTCTCAAACATGCAGCCAGTGTTTGGAAATGGACGCAGTTGGTACAGGTCATAGTACATATTGAGCTGGAGAAGTACTTCGATCGGTCTGGCGAAAAGCTGCTCGAGGATATTCTCCGGCAGATTTTAGTCCAGCTCAACGATGCGAAATCGCAAATGCTGCTATGGACCATGAGTGCAAATCCCAATAGCGTTGCCTCTTACGACAGCCTCTTGCTTGTCGACATACTCAAAAATCTCCTCTCGCTGGTCAACGCCGTTATTATTATGGAATACCACGAACCAAGTCATCTTCAGTTATTCATAGAAAGGAACGGTGCGGCCACTACCAAGGCCGTGACCGTGCTTGACACGGTTCAGATTCTTTTTTCGTTGGCTCACAGTCCAAAACCAAAGACTGACACCCATCTCTATTTCATCTTGACTCAGAGGCGGAGATCTTTACGTGGGATGGAAGAAGTACTAGGTTGCCAACTTGCACCATACCGATTAAATCTTGAAGGCCTTAGACTGTCGGATGCCATTGAACTATCGAAGAAGGTGCTGAACAACGCTGGCGAGCCAGTAAAAGACTGGGTGTCCGAGGATGTGGACTGTCTTGAGATTGTGATTCATTTATTGCAAGGAATCCCTTCAGCTTTGATCTTAATATTACCCCTTCAGAGGTCTCGCGGTATCCCCTGGAGACGTTTTCATAGAGAGCTGGAGAAAGGTCTCTTTGCATCAGTCTCAGATCTAAAGAGTTACGGCCTTGGGGATTGCTCTATGGTCCATGAGCTTGAATCGATGTATCTTCCAAACAAATATGAACTTTTGGTTCTCCTCATCAGCCTGTTCTGGCACAAAGCTCCCCCAATGGACGAGTATGTCTACCTTTGTCTTGGAATTAATGATGAACATATTGTGGACGATGTCCTCGGTGCCTCCGGTCAAGGGATCAACGACTGGTATCAGGTTTTCAAACATTTCGTTCACGACAGAGGATATATCCATCACTGCGATGGGTACATACTGGAAGTTCACCCTCTTTTCTCCATTGTCGGGCGAGCATTTCTGTTCGATAAATGGGTTACCCTGGCGAACAGAGTGCCATTAAAAACCATGCTTTGTGCCACGTTACAGCTCTGCTGTTTTAGTCCTAGAGGCCAGAACCCGTCTTTGGAATTGGAGCCTTGGAATTATTTGACAGCTCTTGGGTTTTGCACTGGGGAAATTCCAGTCGAGAGATGGCCGTTGAAACTTCTATTCCCCCCCGAAGATTGGTGGAAGTCCAGCTACCCTTCAAGCCTCAAAGCCTACCTGCGGGAAAGAGGCAGTGAGCTATTGAGAGCCCTCTCTTTCAAGATACCCTTACTTGATCAAAAGGGCCATCATTTGGTCCTTTATTCATGTATGAACCTTCTCTTGTGTCACTCTGATAAGCTGCCCAGCAAGTCAACTATGGAACGCATTCTACAACTATCAAGGAGGGGCCAGGAGCTCATGACAACCCTAAGCCCATCAGAAGATACAGATATCGTTAATTTGAGTCGCGCTTTACTTTTGTCGGCAACGATGGCCTCTTCTCACTATCTTGGAGATTATCAACAAGCTCACAAAGCTTGGAAACAAATGAAACTCTTGGACGAAGAAATGCACCTAGCTGAACTGACTCAGAATGGCCACGAAACTTCCAACAACTCACAGTCGTTTGGTAGTAAGCCATGGCTCGAAACACAAAAGGAACTGGTTTCTGGGGTTATCCAGACTTTAAAGGATGACATGGAGAAGTGGGAAAATGGAACCTTGCTAGCCTCAGAGGTTAAAGAACAGCAAACCCTAGTACAAGAAAGCCTTCAAATATTTCTTGACACTGAGCCACGGTTCCCCCCCGCCATAAATTCCCGCGACGACGTGGTACAGTTTATTTTATCAGGTCCCTCCAGTGTTCCCAGGGAACCTTCTTCGGAGCCCAGCCCGCATAAGCTTTCTGACCTCGAGTCATCGTACGACGCAGGAGATTGGCTTGATACCTGTGAGCGGCACATATCTATGGCAGTAGAGTCTCTGTCGAAGGACCAATTTGTGGACGTGGGCAGTCATCTTGAGTGTGTCTACACGCTAGCAAAATTGAACTCGGCATCGGAGGCCTTTATCACCGATGTACAGGCTTGCCAAAATCGGATGTTCATGACACATCTGGCTTATCTTTGCCATGTTACTTTGTTTCCCGCAAGATACGTCCATCGAGGGATAGAATACGGGTTCGCAAGAAGGATGAATCACACCTTGCACCAACGGTTCGCCAAAGAGAGCATTTGGGGATCTCAAGCTCTTATATGGCCCTCCAAAGACGAGAAGCTCTCCCTCTTCCAGGACTGCAAGTGGTGGCAGTGGTGGCAGTGGTTTCAAGAGTCTCAAGGTCAGGACAAGACATGGGTGACTCACGTGCGCGCTAATCTTGGCTTATATCTCAAGCAAGCTGAATTCATGTGCCTTATCTTCTCCCTTGTTTGCTATAACCGTTTCGACAATGCTCTTATCGTTCTCAACGAGCTAGAGGCATTGTGTAACAAGTCCGTCTTCGTTCACTTCCCTGTTCAACTATCCCCTCTCCAGTGCATGCGAAGTTGCTTCGAGCTTGCATTTGAGCATTCTTCGATAGGTGAAAAACTCGATACCTGGCAGCTTGATTCTGCAGAAGCTCAAAGTTATCAAGCGCTGGTTACTGAGCTTCTTGAACTTCGTCCCAGCTTTTGCACCTGGTTTCCCGACAGCGTGGCCCAAGCCTGGAAATACGCTACTGAAAAGCTCAAGCTATACAGCTACCAAGTATCGATGCGTGAGGCAACTCAGGCTCATGACCCAACAGACTTGAAAGCGACATATCAGCAGCTGGTGTCGTTGATTGAAGGCGGATGCTTCAGCCTCTTGGACGAGAGTGACTTACTCACAGTTCGAGTTCTTGGATTGCGATATAATCTCGACCGGGCACGTGATAGCCGACAGTGGCAAGAAGCAATCTCACTATGTGACGAGTACTTGGCAATTTCACAGAATGCTGCCCAAGACCTTCCGCGATCTCAAGACAGTTGGGTCATTGCCAAACAGGAATGCGAATGGAACATGATCTCCGACTCCCTGGATGAGGCTGAACAGAATCTTGACTTTGAAAAGTGCATCCAGCTTCTGAGGAAGAAGTATGACATAGCTTGTAGACAGCGTCAAACTCCCGGAATGAGCAAAACCGTGATTTTCTTGTTCGGTCCTCGACTATATTCGTTCCAAATGCAGCTGTATCAAGACCAATGTCTAGACTGCCTAGCCTGGCTTCGAAACCCTCAACAACCTTCTCAACAGAACACGCACGAGTTATTAAAACAGGCGCTATGGGTGTGCCGCCACAAGCACATGAAATCACTTGTGCTAGCCAAGCGTTATAAGACACTGCCGCGAAAGGTACGGAAAGGCCAACGGAAGGTCTTTGGAGTAGGGCGGATTCGTCAGAAGGCACCATACCTGCGCAATCCATTCCAGCGTCATCGAACATGGAGATCGAGGTTCCAGTATCGCCTTATGAATAAATGCGAGTACGGTCATAATCGGGATCAGTTTCGGAGACCTTTCGGATGTCGGTGCCATTGTCGTGGAGGGTATTGCTTTGCAGATTAGACAAATTCACTTTATCGTAAATTTATTTAAATATATATCAAACTATATTACAGAAACTTATATTAATTTGCAATCTACTGTTTCAGTATTAATGTATGAGTATAGTATATAACTTTAGATATATTTAGTAAAAATAATCTTAATACTATCTAAAAGGATATCTGGAATATCTCTATCTATGAATAATAAGTCTACGTTCTTGCAAGGGAGATCATTAGTAAGCTTTGATTTATATCCTGACATTAAGCAAAACTGAAGGATTTCTTCAATCGTCATATTCCAAAGCAATAAAGCACTCAGTCTTTCCTTTAAGTCTCTGGAGAATCCATTGACAAAAAGAAGTGCAAGCAAGCAGGTACTGTAGCTGCACTGATAGCGGTTTAGTCGAGTAGTCTGCAACCGCCAAGAAAAGCCACATAGATAACCCAGGATGAGAAGGCGATCCGATTGTATGGTGTTTTCGCGCCGATCAATATGCTGAAAGATGTTTGTCACTTGCTGTAAAGATATTGCCTGGGTCCATGGTGGTGTCTGATAGTCGGTAAGAAACTTTGATGTCAGAAGGTTACCGAATTGTTCGACAATCTGATAAAGGCTTTCTAGAAAAGGCTCAGATTCCTGAGAACTGGCTGTCTGCCGTGACTGTCGGGAGATCGCCTCTAGCTTTTTTTGGAGTTGCAAAATTTGGTTCGGATCTAACCTCACGTCGGAAACCCCATCTGGAGTCATTGAGTCTCGCGCTGATGAGTTCTCAAATGGTACGAGCAGATACGTATGGGGGGCTGCCAGTCTTTCCATGAAGGTCCATGTGCGAGAGAACCATTTATCGGCTGCTATCGCGGCGAAAAGACGGTAAGATCTCGAAATCCTCCGGCAAAGTTCTGGAAGATCTTCCGTTGCTTTCCCAGCCAAAGTCTGCAGCTCATCAAGTAGTGTGCCTTCGTTGACATATCGAATTGACTCCAGTTGGTGTTCGTAACAGACGTGAAATGATAGAAGAGCTATAGCGTATTGACTTTGGTAAAATATCTTGTGCACCACGTGCAGGTGTTGGTCTAGATCAGCAGAGTTGGCTTGATCAATGCAGTCCTGATCAATCCATATCCGAGCTGTATGGGTCGATTTGGCAAACTGAATCGCTCTAAATAGGACTGCATCCTGAGACCTTGCTTTTCGCACCAAGCCCTTTGACGAAATCCTGAATCGAGAGATTGCTTCTTTGTTGGTCACGGGGTCGAATCTTTGCCATGTGTATGATACAGCCACATAATTCGTATTGCCAGTATTTTGCCCCTTCTCTGTAAGCTTGAGGATTGGGTTCTCATCATTCAGATTAGTGGTTTCGAACTCAAGGAACCGGAGGTCAAGGGGCTGTTCAATAGCAGTATAGACAAAGGCTTCTGAGTCTGCAGTGTCTTTGAGGCTGCTAAGCATGATATCTGGCGTGCCATGAATGTCCCGGAACGTAAGTTCAGTGTCTCGCTGCATTGTATGGAACTGCAAGGCGTCCACTTAGGTAAGCAGAGCAAACCGTCGACGGGGCATGTAAAGAGGACAATATGGGCCTAAACCTTTTGGATGATGAGAGATTGATTGATGATGCCATCGACTTCTGCCACTCGTTCAGATAGATCTCGGCGTCTCGGTAAAAATAACACATTAGCATTTTTCCCTTCCAGGCAGAATAGACTCTATTTTCCTCTTATTGGATGATGAGAGAAAATTCTTGTTCTCTTCCTTGACAAGCGCTGACTCGTGCTTACCAATCTGCGCAACCAATCATCAGCGTTTATCACAAGTCATATGCACAATGGCGGATCATGTGAGACAAATTCCAAAATTACCAGTATCTTGGCCAATAGCCAAAGTCCTTACACGCGTTTCCTTTTCAGCTGCAGACCACTCGCCGCAATCACCCTGCAGGCTGCGAAAATGAGGCCGACGAGAATCGATACGCGGGTCCTGTGTGATAAAATCCAAATTCAGGATCATCTTGGCCAATAGCTGAAATCATTACAAGCCTTTGCTTTTCAGCTTCTGACCGCTTGCTGCAATCACGCTGCAGGCTGTGAAAATGAAAGTGACGAAAAGTAATATGTACTGATTAATTCCGCCCTTGTATGCCGTTCTTCACGAATATGTATCTTCAAATCTCAGTTCCTAACGCTATCACAATACATTCCAATCCACTATCCTATGTACGCAAGCCTCACATTATCCACATTGCCAAATCCAACGGAATCAAACACATCCCTATAAAAGCATGACCCTGATCAACTTTCCTGCCCTACCACAGTGGGCCCAAACCCTCGCCAGTATCCTCCCACTGTCAGCACTGATCGAATTCGTCGATGTTGAAACCAGTATTCACGTCTATGAGCTCAGGGGCGGCTCAGTGCCTTATTGGAACTGGCCCGTGTCACCAGCAGGGGCACGTACTCTTCTCTCTGAAACCGGTCGAGATTGTCTCTTGGATCAGCCAGAACGGAGTTCCAAGAAATTGACATGCATTGATGGCTTTTGGGGCAACAGGTTTCCGTGCAGCGCCCCGACGACAACCTTGCTTTGGTTGGAATCGCTACCTAAGTCTCTAGACATTAAGAATGATTCCCCTAATATGATGAATGCGGATAAACGAGAGCAAATCCTGCATCAAATCGCCTTGACTCAGCCCCCGACCAGCTCAGGTTCGGGATTGTTGTCGATTTGCAGTGGCTTTTTACGAAAACGTGGGCCGCGTTATCTCTCGGTGTCTTTGATCGGGTGGATCTTTTGGATAACTCTAGTTATCATCAGCTTCATGGGTGGTCTCTATATTGGAGGGACGTATCTTTGTCTCATGCCGGCTACGGGAATAGTCCTTCGGTTTACGCACGGAACCGAGGCTCGTACGCCAGTCATTCGTTCCGCCAATCCCTCATACCCGCGCCTTGTCATTGCAGCAGGGACCGAAAACTCGCGAGAATGGTATGCGTTTCGAGGAAAGCATCCGCTGCTCACTGGGCTCTTTAACGTCTCGCTGGAACAAACCGAACGTCTTCCATTCAGACCTTTTTTTCTGTATCTTTTGAGGCTCTTGATCCTCAGCCAGTGGGCAGCTATTGTAGGGTCCTCCGCTACAGAAAACTGGGACGCCTATGTTGTCTCCATCTGGACGACGTTCTGCATTGCGGCATCTTCCTATGGCTATCCGATTCATCTTGCAGCCAGGGACTGGTTGGAAAGGGATTGCAAAGTTGACATCAGCAAGGCCACGACAGTCCTTTCTGGGCGCAACGCTCTTTTGGTCGCACTAGGAACAATTAACCCAGATAAAAAGGCAGAAAAGACTCAGTGGATGGATCCTATCCTTGCTGAAACAAACGATCGGAAGAATATATGGTCTGCTGTCATCCAAAGAACATCTGAAACCCCAAATGAACAAACGCCTGAACATTCATCTGGGCATTCAACGGAGGATTCGACTAGAAGAACACCTGAAACAACAAATAAACAAACACCACATTCAGCCTTAGCTCAGAAGCAAAGCACTCCGCCATGGTGGGAAAGGTTTGTAGAAGAAGGAGTTAACATTGGTAAGGAGCTTGATCAAGAATATAAGAAAAACGAGCAGAAAGTATCTGCTGAAACACTATAGACATATATTTAATAATATACTTTGATATACTTCAAGTAAGTAGTGATGAGACATTTGTCTTTTATATACTTAGCTTTCTAGGCTTACCTCTATATTTCTTTACTGCCTCAGGCCTTCTTCTCGCCCGGCCTCGACAATTACTGTCCCAGAAGACGGATTATTGGAGCTAGTCGCGATATGGCAGTGCGACCTTATTGAGAATCTAAATCACATCAGTTGTCAAGAAGCCATGGCGATGAATATTTGCTTGAGACCATATAGATAACAAATTCCGTCTGATACCGCTCTGTCTCACTTAGTTATTACTTATTGCACATCTCACTCAGCTTCCAGGGTAATAATAATAGGATTCACATTAAGTGTTTTATGTTAAGTAGATTAGAGAGCAGCTGGTCGTCATCTAATAGTAATATCACTACTAGTAGTTAAGGCTCAAAGCGGCTTTAAGAAAATAAAAACATACCGTAATGGCAATTAGTCTATGCTCCAGGGTACTTTTACTTGCACGGACTGTCCTTAGACCCCATGCCGCTTAGTAAGAGTCATCTAAACCAAACCTCCGAAGCCACTCATCACACTAGACCAAGTTGAGAGATCGCCTTAGAGTCTCTTCATCAAGCAGGCCATCGGGAAGACTTCCGATTTCCGAATTACTCATCTGGAGTCGAATGCGCTAAATTCCGGGGTAAGAAGTGGATCATGCAGGTATCTAATCCGGGGTAGGAGATCGTCGAATGGAGTCCAGCCCTTTTCCCTCCAAACTTCGACGTCCTTGACACGACTATTTTCATGCTTCACAGCTGAACCTGTCGTTTGTCGCCGTGCACATAGGGTTTGAGCAACTTAATACTCTGTCAACCTGAGATTAAACAGTATCATGAGCCCGCCCAGCTCCCAGCCAGAATTCTCATGCGAGACGTGCAACCTCCCATTCCAGCGCAAGGAACACTACCAGCGACACCTGCGCACTCATACAAAAGAGAAGCCTTTCACATGCTCCGAATGTGGACAAAGCTTTGGTCGCGTGTAAGTAAGCCCTACTCTGTCGACCCGCGCCGCCTGGGAGCTGCACCAATGCTGACTGCTGCAGTGACTCTCTTGCTCGTCATCATACAACCCTACATGTGCCTGCGGACCGTCAAGACAGTCGCGGTCGCCCAAATGATCGCCGGCGAGTATCGCAAGCTTGTAAGCCATGCAGTGCATCAAAGGTGAGATGCGACGGCGAGCATCCGTGCCAAAGATGTCGGCAACAAGACAATGAATGCTACTACGAGCCTCATGCGAAGCGAAAGATGTCTGAGACCAGCTCTGATAGACCGAACAGCAAACGGAATCGAGAAAAAGCCCCGGTCAACGTTGAAGTCATGGAAAGCATTAGTGTCAATGTGAATCGCACGAATTCACCGCTCTCACCGCCTGCCACCGTGCAAGACAAGGTCTCGAATAATACCAACTATGCCCAACACTACATTTCTCCAGCTCATGATCAATTCATTCCCGACGACGCCAATACCAATGTCCAAGCTATCGATCCCCAGCTTGATGCTCAGCATATCTCATCTTTCGGACCTGAAAATCATCAACATGGCCCCAATGATATGCTCTTTGATACCGACGATATATTGGCAAACTTCAACTCTGCCGATATAATGCCAGCGCCATTACCATCTATGTTATTCGGTGATAACTTCAACACTAACGGATGGCTTAACTACGGCTCCGATCAATCGTTTGCGCCTCTCTTTCTCCAAAACGATTCATCTCTCGACGTCATAAACGAACTTTGGTTCGACCACGCAGGTTTCAAGGCTCCTCAGCAACAAATTGTCTCACAACTTACACCAGCCTCTTCCTTGGTCGATCAATCAGCTGTGGCAGAGCTATATAGCCGCAGCCACTCCCCCGCCATTGATAGGGATGCGGTTGAGCCTAGGGAATATGTCGCTGTGTCGATTGAGCTAGACGCGCAGCTCAACTTTCCAGACCTGTCTCATTTAACGGCTGAGGACGTCGATCATGAGAATTTGGCACATGTAGACGATATATCCGAGGAAGTGGCCAAGAATGTGGCGGAGGCAGCAGCAGAGATACAAAATGGTTGCAATTTCCCGCATTTTAGGAACTTGTCCATTCCGCCCACGCCAGTGTTGAACGCTTGGGTCCAGCTGTACTTTGAGTACTTTCACCCGGTCATGCCTATTCTGCACAAGTCGACCTTCTCGTCGTCTAAGCGGCATTGGTTACTCATATTTACGGTGGCCGCTATCGGTGCGCACTTTTCGAACATCAAAGATGCGCAGGCGTGCTCAAGGGCAATGCATGAGACTATTCGGCGACAATGCTCGACCATGGTGAGTCCTATTTGACGCATAACAGGAGATACCGGGCTGATGTGAGGACAGTGTGAACGGCAGAATTCTAATGGCAGAGAGCTGTGGATGTCACAGACTATTCTGCTAAACCATATCGGCCTCCTCTATGGTGGTGAACGGAGGTCTCTAGAGATCGGCGAATTCCTGCAAGCTCTGCCTGTAACTCTCGGACGACGAAAGCGTCTCTTTACAACCATGTTCCCCGTTGACAAGTTTGCTCAGCTTCAGTTGCCGCACGCTCAGAAATGGCAAATCTGGTTGCTGGATGAAGAGCGTCGACGGGCAGGCTTTGCCATCTGGGTGAGTTGATCTCCGTGATATTTGACGAGCCTGTACTAAGTAGTGAAACTCGTAGCTTCTGGATTCTGCATTCAGCTCGCACTTTGACCTTACGAGCCTTATGAGATTATCTGAACTGCAGATATCCCTGCCTCAGCCGGATGATCGCTGGGGTGCATCGACGGCCCAATGCTGGGCCAACTTCCCTGCAGTTGGTAAGTCAACGCTCACATCACACTATGTTTGGCACTGACGGAAGAAGAAAACACCGGATCTGGTGGACTTCCGACGATGGAGCGCGTCGTCTCGGAAGATAGTTGGCGACCCGTATGGTCGAAAACAAACACCTTGGGTAAACAGGTTATGCTGCAGCATCTCACCAATGTCATAAAGGATAGGAGTGCCGACCAACCTGGTACCCCGGGCTTCTCGTATCACGACAAACTACTCGCGTCGAATGTCTTGACTGATCTTCTGAATCTGATTGAGGCCGACCAGATTGAGCAATCTGTTGATGAAGCGAAGGCTTCAACAACGCACAAGATCATGGGACTGACAGCTTTGATGACGCACCATACGCCAGTGCAGAGCCTCCTTCCGATGATTATTCGATGTATATATGGAAAGCTCGAAGATAAAGACTGGGAAGCGATTAGCGATCGCTGGAGAGGAGCTTCCGGGCAAGGAAGGCTTGGATGCTTCTACGCCGCACGTATCCTTCATGTCGTGCGATCAAGCCGGTCATCGCACTTCGGTACACCAGTGTCGCTTCTCCACGCCGTTTTGGTGCTGTGGCTTTACTCAACACTCGCTGAAAGGTACTGTGACGGGTTTTTGTTCTCGCGCGCGGCTCCAGCTGTGGTGCTTGGCCCGAAACCCCTGGACCAAATGGAGACCAACTCGTGGATCGAGATGGGGTGGAGCCGAGTCAAGTTACCGGGCATCGGGAATCTGCTTTGTGCAGATGGCAGAACTAAGCTGTTGGACGACGCGGTTGTTCTTATGAGATCATTGAAGGGCTGGGGAATCAGTATTGCGTATGCTCAAATATTGGTGCGGCTGCGAGCTAGCGAGACGTCTAACACGATCCATGGCTGATCACAGGATGTCCCGAGAAGCTTACATAGTGTATAGGTTAATCTGAGCATTGAAAAATATTCCTATGCGTTCTACTAGTGATCAGGTTCGATAGCCTTACTCATAACTTGCAGTCTCGTTTGTCTTCACCATACACCTTTAGACGTGTTTCAATCACTGTCAACGACCTTACTTGCTACGGGCCAGCGTGCAGTGTTGGGTCTGATGCGACTATTCCACGGGCTTTGTAAGGTCAAACCATCTAACGAATGGAAAACGGCATCAACTTATAGCGAACCGTCTTTAAATCAGCAGGGGCAGCGACATTGTCAATTTAGAATACAGGTTATCGCGTCTCGTAGCATGCCTGTTCTCTCGGCCCCATCGGCTCCACGCTGGCTAGCATCATACTCGTTCCATTCCGTAGTTCCGACCAAGATTGATCTAATCTACATCGAAATTTAATAGCTCATATGCTTGTTCATACTTAAACCTCGCAGAGTTTATTTTTCCTTAGTCAATCGCCTCGCTACAAACATACCTCCCACACACTTCTTCCAACATGACCACAACTGTTCTCGGAACAGCTGCTTCGACTCGTACTCAGAGAGTCCTACTCGTATTGGAAGAACTAGGCATCGACTATGACTTGAAAGTAGTTGATCTCTCCAAGGGGCAACACCACGTCAGTGAAGACACCCATGGTGGTGAGGCCAGTAGCTTACAGAAGCACAGGACCTCGAATATGTCAGAGACCATCATCCGTTCGCGAAAGTACCAGTGTTCCAAGACGACGGAATCGAGATCTTTGAGTCTAGAGCCATTGCTAGATACCTGGCTGTGAGGCAAAAGTCGCCCCTTGCTCCGCCTAGTGATGATCCGGAGGCATTGGCAGTTTTCGAGCAAGCCGCTAGCGTGGAGTACGCTTACTTTGAACCTGCTGTCTCTACCCTTGGATTTGAACTCATCTTCAAGGAGTAAGATAATTGAAGAAAGAAGGCTTTGCGCGCGGGCTGACCTATGAATGATAGAATGTTTAACCTCGGAGACACCGACCAAGGAATAGTTGATCAGCAAAAGAAGTTGCTGAGCACCACCCTTGACCTGTATGAGAAACAACTGCAAAGTCAAGAATATCTGACTGGAAAGGTATGCGACCTCTGGAGAGCGTATAAAGCGGTTTGTCAAATATTAACTGATTCATGTAGGATTACAGTCTCGTTGACCTCTTCCATGTCCCCTGGTTGGGGTTTCTCCGGAATCGATTGCACCTTGGAGAGTTTATCGACTCTAGAAAGAACGTGGTGGCCTGGGCTGATCGTATAAGCCAGCGCCAAGCATCAAAAGCTGTTTCAGCCAAGGCTGAACAGCATTAGCTGGACTTGATATATTCGTATTGACCCAACTATAGACTAGATAACCTCTTTATAGAGATAAAAGACGCATAGATCAATAAAGAGAAGTACCTAAAGTATGCTGGAACCGATATTAAAGTCATGACATCGGCAAATTCCTGTAAGAACGTGTCTGCTAAACGTTCTGGCGATACTGGACTATGGAGGACTATGCATTGCTAGGTTTCGGAGATTTTGCATCGGTGTCATGGCCGTGTAGAACCGCTAGGAAGATACAATCTTGATGTGTAATGGTAATGTATCATGCCTGCAATAGCATAGACTTCAACAGTTTCTTCCTTCGCAATAGATGCCACAAGATATCAGCGCTACAGAGGCGGGAATTCCTGACTGCGCCTTCGATCAGTCATTCCTCGGCAGGTCAATAATCTGAACTTTCTCTACCAAAGGGCCCAACTCTGCCACGACAGCGAGGTGGGCGGGGTCTTTGAGTGCATAGTAGTCCCTGTCCTCCGGGTTGTCGAATTGGATGACGAATGCATGAGTGATACCTTGCTATTGTAATCAGTGATGTTGATCGAAGCGGGACGTGAAGAGGGGAGCCTGCTGGGACAATTTCACCTGGAGGCCCTCTGGGGCACTATCAGCGCCACCTTGAATAGACTGGATATAAGGCTTTTTAGAGTCAGGATGCAAGCACTTATCCCTCATCTCCTGGATCTTGGCGGAAACCTAAAGACGGGGTTAGAAGTCACGTATTGAGGATGATATTGAGATAGCCACCTTCTCTATGGCATCGCTGCTGGTATCGGGTTTGAACTGAAACTGGACGATACGGTTGATACCCATTTTGAAGGTGGCGACGTGTGAAAAAGATGTGTGGGTGCCTTGGTAAATCGGCGGTCAGTTCTGTTGTGGACTAGTGATTATAAAGAGCGCATGAGTGGCGTTCGGAAAGACTGTTGAATTTCCGATTTCCCCTTTCCCCCGCAGTGTGATGTCTCCTTCGACGTGGAGCCGACAGATCGTGGGGAAATCGTTCTGCGCTAAAGCATACCCCAGGTTAACAACCCTGCAGCAAAGACCCCCGATCTTGTGACATGTAGATTTCAGTAGCTGGAAGGTCAATAACTGTCTGAAGGCTGCAGAAATGTTTATTTGTTTTCGAAATAAAGTAGGTACTGTACTTGTAGATGTTTAGGCAAATGTTGGTCCGGACGTGCACCATACCTGGAATGAACCTGTGCCATGGGGAAGCATTGGCGATAGAGACCTCGGTGTTAACATGTGAATGACTAGGAATCGGTACAAAGTCTACAAACTAGCTCAGGCTGAGTTATCATGGCCTCAAATTACGTCCTTCTCATAGACTCGCGTGGGGTAACCGAAGTGGTACCCGCGCGCCAATGCTCTGCAACGACGAAGCTATTTATGATAATACATCTGCCTTTGTTTTGCTCGATGATTCACCAAACAAATTGCCCCGTGCCAATACCAGCAGTATAAGCAAAATGGATTTCGCAAGCACCGAAAAGGCAGAAGTATCGAGGGTGGAGAACTCCAGCCAAGCCCCAAGAACTCCAACAGGTCAAGAACTTCGAGACCATCCCAAAGTGAGCTGCCCCTTTTACTCCCCTGACTTCATCATGACACAAATACTAATCGTCGCCTGCAGACATGGAATCGAAGCCTCAAACTGATGGTCTTGGCAAATCTTTGCTTCATGGTCTTTTGTGGTAACTTCTATTCGGTATTACCTCACCTGTCAACCATCCAGACCTCTCTGAACTGACTACTGCGCTCATACAGGCAGGTATTTCTGCTGGGTTGACGGCCCTCGTGTACGACTTCCATAGCAACTACGACAAAGCGGGGGATATTATCGCCTACTCCGTGCTCTGCATTGGTTTGGGCTCTTTCATGTGGATCCCGACCGCCGTGGTGATTGGCAAAAGACCTGTCTTGCTAGCATCGCAAATAATGTTTATGGCTGGATGCATTTGGTGCTCGCAAGCGGGTTCGATGAACAGCCTGCTTGGCGGTCGAATCCTTGGTGCCTTTGGTGCTGGTGCAGTCCAAGCTGTTGGTCCCGCTGTCGTAGGAGGTAAGAAATCGCCCTTGATATCAAAGCCAGCCAGTCTCTCATGCCTTTTGTCACAGAAATCTTCTTAGAGAAGAACTACTCTAAAGCAATGGGCCTGTATGCCGCGAGCCTCTGCATCGGAGCCCAGGGTGGACCTCTTATAGCTGGGCATCTGATCGAAGCCAAAGGATGGAGTTGGTTCTTCATCCTCCTCGCTATTCTTAGTGGCTTCAACTTTCTTACCCTAGCGTTCTTCTGCCCCGAAACTGCTTTCAATGTTGAGATTGAAACGGGCGCTACTAGTGCTGACGTCGACGCCGATATCCTTGACCAGACCACTGGCCTTGGTCGCACCCAGAGCTCCCTTACTACTTGGAAGCAGAATTCGTTCTACTTGAGACATCCCCATGTCCGAGGTGGGGGATTGAGGCAATGGTTTCTTTCGTTTTTGCTGCAGATTGAGTTCATGTTTGATCCCATCGTGATTCTCTCCGCGGGTATGTGGGGAATTGTGCTAGCTTGGTGAGTTCCAAATCCGTTCCACTGTCGAACCCAAATCTAACTTTGTACAGGGTCGCCACTATCTCAGTCATCTCCAACCAACTGTTCGCTGTGCCTCCTTTCCTCTGGGGTCCTGCTGAACTTGGCAACTGGGCGTGCACGAGTTTAGTTGGTGTAGCCATTGCCTTTCCCATCGCTGGACCATTGACCGACACCGTGTCCTCGTTCATCGGCCGCCGAAAGGGCAAGCATATGCCTGAATACCGACTTATCACTCTGGTGGTCCCATTTTTGTTCTCTTCATCAGGCCTTTTGTTGTTTGGGTACACATACACCAAGGGTTCTTACGTAGGGCCAGCTGTTGGTTATGCGATGCAAGTCGCTAGCCTCATGCTCATTCCAACCTCTGTCCTATCGTACGGTATCGATAGCTACCCTTACGATGCGGCCGAGGTCACGGCTCTGATGAACGCTGTTACCCATATTATTCCCTTTGGTCTGACAAAGACGGCTTCCAATTGGCTTGCCAGGGTCGGCGTGGAGAAGATGTTTCTGCAGATGGCGATCATCCAGTGGGCTTTGCTAGCTGGCTTTACTACTGTGCTTCTTGTATTCGGGCCGTGGATTCGGGCCAAGGCCGCCTATGTTCACCAGCATTACGGCGCCAAGAGATTTCTGTAGTCTGGATGGGACTAGACCTGATGCCTGATCGAATTATCCTCCTGAACACGACCGGAGCTTTCAAATAGTCCATAGCTTAGGAATGTCTGTTATCTTCAGTTGTCTAAATCCTTTCTTGAATATGCTGTATGAACACCTTTTATGTTATTATCTGAGCTTGGTTTGGCTACAAGGGTGGATTGAGCTATAAGCAAAGCCCAGGTTCACTGTCTGCGCTCCCTGCCGCAGATTCCAAACACACAATAGCAAGATTACCACGCGTCTCATCAAAAACCCTCATGCAAGCGCACAGATTCCTGCCTTGTTCAATGACGCGTCTTCTCTCATCATTGTGCAGACGTGTCAGTATTGCTAAGAGGGTTGAGGCTCACACGATCCGCTACCTCATACGGTAAAGACTATTATCTCGCGTTGACAGGAGAAAGTGAACAGAGGTTATGCGAGCAGTGAGGGAATCAAAGTATGTAGCAATGCATTGAATACCTCAGTGTTCTTTAGTTCTGTTTTATGATGGAAGAGACGAGTGAAGAGCATCAGATATCCATTTAGTGTCCAAGAATACGGATTACACTATGGATTTACTCGCATGACGCAATCTAAGCCAGAGGGTCCAGTAGAGGAACCACTAGATGGCTGTTAGAGTCGGCCCCGATATGAATGGTATGACGACCCTTGTTCGCATGAGCAGCTCCGTACAGAAAGTCAAACTCCATGAAACTCATATAATGCCCCGAAACCTTCAAAGTAAGATACTCTCCCTCCTCAAAGATGATCCCAGTAGGCCAGATGGGTACTTCGAGCTTCGCAATAGTGCCAGCCGGAATAGCCTTTCGACTGGTGTTGGTGTACTCAGGCCAGCCACCCGTGAACCTTCCAGGCTTAGGAGTCACCTTTGTTACAGCATGGCTACCTCGTAGCGAGCCAGTAGGTCCCAGGTACTTGAGGAAACAGGTGTCCGCGGCGTCTGTGTGCTTCTCGACAGGAGGAATAAGATCCTTCAAGGGAACGTTCATGTTGACCAACTGAGTCCCTGAAGCATCCTGCTTGCCAAGTTGAGCGAACACGTCAATCTCATCATCGCCATCGTTGGAGATGCTGATGTTAAGCCACGAGTATCCGATAAGCCATGTCTTCTTGGTGAACTTGTACCTGAAGAGCACCTCCTCACCACCTTCGAGAGGATGCTTTGGGACGTATGCCGCATCATAAGAAAGATTGTGGGGGTTCTCCACGGGGGCTGTTTCAAGCTTCTCGCCTGGACCAAGGTAAAGCTTTGTGTGCTTCGTGTTTGGAATTGGGTATGATTCAAGAGGGACATTGCTGATGTTAGGCTGATATATGTCAGAATCGAAGCCCAGCCTGGATCAAAGGCGGAAGGCAACTTACTAGGTTGAACCCAACAAGAGATCCGCGGACTTTCTGGGTGCTTGGCCAATCGTTCTGGATGCCTTTGACGAAATAGTCGTAGAACTTGTTCAGGTCGTCAACACTGTCGGGATGATACAAGTCAGACCATTCCTGCTTAGCATGAATGCGCAGCCTACAAATCCATCAGTACTCGGAACTCAGTCTCTATGCTCAACTTACCATTTGTCCTTGGAGGATATGTCATGATACCCGCGAATAGAGCCAGTAGTATGGAGCGCCGTTGAGAAGCTCGCTAGAACGTAGGTAGGGACCTGTATCTTCTCCAACTTGACATTCTTGTCCTCCCAGTAGTCATTGAACAGGGGATACTTCTCCAGCATCGAGATTGGTGCCTCGGCCGCATTGCGCCCAACCATGAGATCTTGTAGGAGCTTCCACATCGCACTATAGGGATACGGTACGCCACCACGGGCAAGCGTGTCGCGATAGAAGTCCGCATTGGCTTCCCATGGGGCAATAGCGGCCAGCGAAGGAGGCTGCTGAGAAGCAATCTGCCATTGAACCATGGCAAGCCAACTATTGCCGCCCAGAGCGACCTTACCTGTGCACCAGTCCAGCTTGGCGACATGTTCGATGGCATCATAACCGTCTTGGCCATCTTGGTTGCCGACCCATCTAATCATGTTAGTCTCTCTTTTGCAGTATCATGATCCGACATGAGTATCACTTACGGAATAATTCCTTCAGAGTCCCACGACCCTCGCAGGTCGACATTCACAATAGCATATCCTCTGGCGGGCCAGACAGCGGGGTCCAGTCCTTCGAACTTCTCGTAACCGCTGACCTGATCTTCACCCACGCCGAATCGGCCAGGAATCATGCCGAGACCATGCGGTCCTGTCAAAAACATTAGGAATTTGAACCTTGTCGGTGTATGAGAACTTGCCATTTCCAGTCTTGCCATATGGACTCCAGATAAGAACAGCTGGGACCTTTTCATCAGTCTTGGGTCGAAATACATCGGCGTACAGCTTGATGCCATCTCTCATGGGAAGAACAATATCCTTCTCAAAGATTGTGTCGACTTCGAAAGCCTTGTTCGCTGGTGTCCTCTTGTGGCCCTTAGGTAGGACTGTAACCGAAGGTTTTAGGGGGTCGTAAGGCCCTGCCTCTTTAGCCCCTGGTGCAATGACTGGGGTTACGTCAACATCGAAGCCATTGATCTTAAGCGACATGATACTGGTGTTGCGTAATACAATGATAGTCTTTCAGATGACAATTCTGTTGCATCAGCCTTGGTCGTATGAATCGCTACTTGACTTATAGAATTGCAACTGATCTACTACTATCGCGCTTATTCTGTTAAGTCCGTTAAACTGGATCATGTTGCATCCACGATCGTGGGGCCGCTAGGCTAGGCCATTCCGCGGCAGGTGGCATATGGAGAACCGGCTCGGGACCACAATCCCCTCAATGCGCAGTCAATTTTGGCCAATGCGGCCACCAATTTCATCTCTGAGAAACGGCAGAATCAACGAAATGGATGCGGGTGATCAAATCCCAATTGAAATGGAAATTACCGTGCTTGTTAGAAGTTATATCCGAATGAAGCTTAAGTGCACATCCCGTGATGATCATTTCAGTCAGGGTATGGGGCCATGGAAAGCTCCATTGAGCTCATCTGGCGCCGACTTATGTCGTGTTTATAGTAGGGGAGGATTGAATAGACAAGCGACGTACACATCAAACACAATAACACGATGAACCAAATTAATTGTGAACCGTTTCATCAGATGCTATTTTATGATAGATAATGGAACGGCTCTACTCCGAGTATGAAGTAAGTGGAGGAGGCTTTTCTGATTTTCTAAGAACATTGTCTAGTATAATCTGACTGCGATAGAAGAAGTTGAGTCTATGACTGATGCTAGCCCTGTCACTAAAGTTGGTTTACTTTCTCAGAACTGCATTGAGTCCATCCTTCAGCTTCTGCTCATGTCCATTGTCAAACCGTGTGCCTCGCCAAGCAATAAACCCATCTGGTCGCACTAGGATCGCCTCACCCGGCTTCAGGCGGCATTTCCTCTCCACGTCTCCCTTTATGTCTCTATACGGGGATGACGTCGCGTTCAAGGTATAGACATCAATCTCCATTGAAGCCATTTTCGCGGCGGCAGTCCAAGGGGAGTCAGGGTCTATAGTGACAAGAAGAAAGTTTCTCTTCACCAAGTCAATCGTTGAGATAGGTTTTCCGGGTGACTCTACGTCCTCGAGATAGGAATGGGGGAATCGCGATCCAGGAACGGCTGAAGGGAAATCTGGATCATCGTAGAGCTCCTTGGGGGTTGAGTACTTCTCCTCTGGGACAAACGCTCCTCCGACAGGATACCTGAACCCCAGCTCAATAGACTCGTCTGGGGCCTCTGAAGCTGGGGGCTTTTGCATAGCGATTCTGTTCTGGAACCTATTGTACGCCTGGGCAACGGTGAACTCATCAATCGGCTGTCGCTCAATGTTGTACGTTGCAAGCAGTGAGTGTGAGGCCCTTCCAGACAAGACGTATGCAAGCTTCCATGCGAGGTTATGAGCATCCTATTAGGGCATATGTTAGCAACGTATTTCACAAACTGGCAAAGACACTCACAGCTATTCCAGTGTTTCCGCCCAAGCCACCAGTTGGTGGCATAGTATGGGCCGAGTCTCCAGCGAGGAAAACACGACCTCCTTTACTCTCGAAGCGCCCAGCAGTGTATGCTGCCATAGTCCAGTAGTTCATGGAGATAATTTGAGGATCCACCTGGTCAGGAGTCAAGCCAGACAATTGGTAGAAATACTGTTTGGCATCGTCTGTTGTGACGGTGCCGGGCTCGAAGCTGGTCTTGGATCCGACATTATTAACCATGATGATGCCTTCCTTGCCCTCGTTCTCCAGTCGAAAGCCTCCTCCAATGTCTTTGTTTGCCACATAAACGACTCCGTGAACCATTCTCTTGCCGATGAAAGGACTCAGGTCTGACTTGAAGCTGACTCCAAGACTGTTTCGAAGAATGCCTGGGCCATCCCAGCTGATACCCTCATTCTGGCGGGTAGGACTTCGGTTGCCGTCGCATGCAACGACATATGGCGTTTTGTACTTCTTGATCTTGCCAATGTTCAGATCCTTGACGACGACAATAACATGATCCTCTTGTTCCTCATAGAGAAGAACCTGGTGGCCATGGCGTTGCTCGCTGTTGAACTTGTCGGCATTCTGGCCCAAGATGGGTTCAAACATTCGTTGCGATATCCATACCCAGTTGGAAGGGGTAAACCTCTTCACATGCTCAGGATCATGCTCTTGGAGGTGTTTTATAACTTTGCCGCCCACAAGTTTCTCGACGATAAGCATTCCGGCGTTAAGATCAAACTCTTTGCCACTCTGCTCCAGAGTAAAGTCTTCTAATCCCAATTGACGAAGAATTTCGCTGGTTCGAAAGTTGAGACCTGCTGCCCGGGGATGAGCCCCGGCTTTAGAGTGGCGATCAAACGAGACCGACTTGATACTAGGATTTTAGGTCAGCTTCCCGGTCTATAAGCAGTCAAATATTTCATCTTACCCATGATAACCGAGGAGAAGACCGAGAGTCTTTCCAACCATGCTGGAGCCAATTATTATGACAGGCCATTCTTCCTCCTCGAATGGGATGTCAGAATGGTCAAACGGTGTGAACTTGTCCTTGGCCAAGTTGGCCGACGACAAAGTCTCATCAAGTTGCTGTGTAGTGACAGTCATTGTGATCGATTATCTGTTTTATCAAGTTGTCAGATGATGCTGCGTAGTGTTGATTATGATGGCATGGATCATGGCACTTATTCAATCGATGCACGTGGTAAATATAAATTGTCACGCTCAAAGTCTCTCACTCCTTCTGTAACTGCAGAGCCATAGTTCGCTTCGCTGACGCTTCCCTGTATGTCACGGCGACCCGGTGGAGTTGGGCGCGAAGTGAAGCTGATCCGATGCCCACTCGGCATTTGTAAGCAAAAGCCTACCGCCCATTGTATTCGAAGCGATGATGGTGTGCTGATCTCGTTCTTAGGCTTTCTATCCAGTGACGAAAATCCAGAACGATTGACTCTGTCGCACTGAGTCGCGTTACAGTATTGCACCCTGAAGCAAGTTTTGTCTGTCGGAACAAGCTCTCAGCCACAGGTCTCAATTGCAAATAGCACCTTGAACCACTGTTAGTAATCTGATTATCCGTATGGTGACATATTGAGTGTGTGAGCTACGTACAGTAGTGACTATCCCTCATGTTACTATTTAATTGGGAGTTGATGTGTCGAATGACTGGATGGACCATTAACGTGAAAGTTACCAGATCACGTATCACAACATCCACAAAACAAAAAACCGAATAATGGCGAGAAATGCATTAGTCACATAACATATGGCGGATCCTTTCCCCACCCTACAGAAAGTATCCCTAGCTAGATTCGACCATTAGGCCGCTGCTGCCAGAGCCTTTTGCGCATCGTCAAGCACGAAGTTATTCCACAAGTAGGGGAAAATATTGGGAGGGAGTTCCGCATCAGGGACAAATTTGCGAAGATCCTCCATCATCTCGCCTCGCCTCTCGTCGTTGATCTTGGACATAAACATCACAGTGACAGATCGTGGATAGCGGAGCTTGTTGTAAAGTTCCAGTCGCCGAGGTACATCGTCCACCGTCGTGTCGGCGGGGAACAAGATCCCGAGAGCTGCGGCATCTTCGAATGATTGCGCTCCGCCTTGTCCTTGATCTAGAATACTGTTAGATGGTTCATATCATCGGAATATGGGTCCAGTGACTCACGTGGGAGCATCGGATGAGCTGCATCACCAAGCAGCACAGTTCTGCCCTTGTAGAACTTGGTCGGGGGATCTCGCGTAGCCAAACTCCACAGTTTCAGGTCTTCGCCAATCCTGCACATCTCGATAAGCTCAGGCCCAAACTCCTTGTAAACCTCGAGCAAATCCTCCACCTTCCCGCCCGCTAGCCACGAGGACTCTGAGTCGAGGCCAGCATCCTCAGCCGGGTGCATAGCAACGATGTTGAGCAACTTCACATTCCGGCACGGGTAGACCACCATTCTTCGATCTCTAGTTGTAAACACGTGTTGACAGTCGAAACCAAGTTTTCCGAAAAAGGGTCCAGTGATGGGATTGGCCATGAGCTTGTCGATCGGTACCAGGAATCGGAACACGTTTTGTTTTGTACTCACACGAACAGGAGGACTTCCTGCAACGGAGCAAACGACCTTGGACTATAGATCATCAGTAAGGTTCTTTATAGGCAGGGCGAAGACGCAACGCACATGGACACCATCTGCTCCGATTAGTAAGTCACCTTTGTGTTTGACTCCGCTCGCCAAAGTAATTTCGCCTTTTTCTGCGTCCTTCGTATTGTCAGTTAAGTAGCCCAAGATAGTCTCAGGCATGTACATACCGCGTTGATCACCTTGCTTGCCGTGTGAATCTTTATCGTTCCCGCGAAGGTCTTTTCCGTCGCTGCCTTGCGAAGAGTGTTGTGCAGGTCGACGCGGTGAGTCAAGAGCCATTCATCCTTGCTGCCAGTACTCTTCTGAAGTTCCTCAAGTTTCTTTATGGTAGCTTGAGCGTTAGTGTACATAGTTAAACCGAGTTCTTTTCCATGACTAACCGCCGTGACAAGTATGGGTTTACCTGTATGGTCGTAGATCTTGATGGCATTACATAAGACGGCCTGTAGCTCTGTAAAGTCAATGTCCCAGGACTTGAGCACCCTGGTTGCGTTGGGGGCAATGTGAATCGCAGCACCGATCTCGTTAAGGAATCTTGATTGTTCGAAAACCTACTTCTGTCAGCTCCCCGTGAGCCGTGACGGTACAGCTATACAATCGTACCTCCACGTTATGACCAGCGCGGGCCATGGCGATAGCGGCACCCAGGCCACCCAAGCCTGCACCAGCAATTATAACTTTGAGAGGCATATTCACACCGGTTAAAGAAAGCAGGTTTTTTTAAAGACCATTAGACCAGGGCACCGGCTCCCCTTTGGGGCACACTGGGATACCATCGTTATAAGCTGAAATCGTTCTGAGACTAAACCGACTGACGCTTAGACCGTAGCCAAATCATTTCCCTCTGCTAGACACCCATCACAGTTGCCAATATCATTTTTCAAGCCATCACCCATTCCAATTTGCACCAATCGCTTAGTTTCTCCTTGCAAATTCGGAAACAAGCCCCCAATACCGCAAACATTTCACTGCTCCATCTCGGCTCCACTGATGGGAGCATCCCCGCGTTGGACCCCACAACGCGGGGAACCTGGACTCACTCTGGTCTCGGGCCCTCTCCACACGGCCATGTCGACTCTCGGAATGACGAGTTCCGTGACTGTAAAAGCGGAGTTAAGGACGAAACTCCATTGTCACGTTGGGGCTGTATCGTGAACCCCACATTGAGATCATGGTTAAAACCAAGACACAATAGAAGCGGGTGTCTGTCTGGCAACAAACTTACTTATTGCATCCTGTTTTATACTCAAACTTTAGTTCATTGCTACCAAGACTCACAAGATGGTTACCCACGAGCACGTCCGAAACATCTTCGCGGGCCCAAGCAAGGGTGATATGGCCAGCTTCTGGCCCCACGTTGAGCCTAACGTCGACTGGACAGTAAAGGGTACAGTCCACCTCCCAACGACGGTTTCTTTTGGTTCACTCTAGCTCACTACACTACAGGCGCCCACTGCAAGGTCTCTGGCCGCTACAAATCCATTGAGGAGTTCCAACAGGGGACAAGAGCTTTGTCGTCAACTTGGGCAGGTCCCCTTCATCTTGTCGTTCAGAACATTATCATCGAAGGCAACCAAGCTGCGGTGGAGCTCAAGGCAGTTAATACCCAGACTAAGAGCGGAGATCCCTTTCCAAACGAGTACACCTGGGTGCTGGGATTCAATGATAACGGCAAGATCGCAACTGTGAGGGCATACATGGACACGTAAGTTGATACTGAGCTTGACCTTGCGACAGAAAGATGCTAATTAGGCATTCGTTAGTGACCTTGTTACTCGCGTGATTGAAAAGAATCCTCAGTAGACGATAGATATTTTCCACATCACTAGCTAGAAAATAAGATTCCTGCTATTTCACATATATTCTCACGAGATTCAAAACGATAAGTAATACGTAATTCAGACTCTTATATACCGTATGATTTCACCATGAACCTGCAATAATTCGACAATATGGACAAAAAGTAGACTTTGGTCGGTTCATCTTAGTATGATACCGCGAGATACAATATAGCAATCATTTTTAGACTTCAAGAATCTCTAATTGCATTTTTAAACACTTTGTCAAGCAATCAAGTTCCTTGTGATAAGTAGAGAAATCACTGAGTATAGAACTCGCAGCAGCCACTGTAATGTTTATTTCAGTCTTGATCTTAGAAGTGTTATGGGCCAGATGATGTATATATGCGATTATGATCTGTGGTAGCCTTCCATCGCCAGCTAAGTACATGCTTTGTATCTCATGATATCTTCGGGAGATATTTCTCAGGCACGCCAGTCTCTGACACGTCGACGCCATTGACAGTCTTTTCTGACGGTAACAGCACAAAGATGAGACGAGCTGACTTGTCCGTCAAGTTGTTCCACTGATGTAAGGTCTTGCCAATTGACTACGTTAGCATCATCTCAAATAAACTCTTAGGTGCATCACTTACTGCCTGTTGCACGATGATGTCGCCTGCACGAACAATAGTCTTGGAACCATCTGCCAAGACCATCTCCAGCTCGCCCTCAAACACAATTCCATAGTCAAGCGATGCTGTCCTATGATTGTGACCTGAGGAATTTGGCGGAAAGTCGACAACTCGAACAAGTGAGCCGGGCGTATAGATTACTGGATCGGTGCCGACAGGATCTTTGTCAACCAGCTCAGCCGGGTACTTGTCATTTCTCCAGATGGTGACCGCGTTGCTTCCAAAGCCCGAGGTAAGTTTCAGCTCTTCATCTGATAAGATTGCAGAGTTCTGGCCCTTGTGGTGGGTGACTACTCTTCTCAGAGAACTGCCAGCGTTGAGACCCATAGCGTCTGGATCTGATGTTTTGTGAATAGTGCTTGGATCTTGCTTGTACTCCATAAAAGGCTTATAAAAGGCCAAATCGCGAACTCTCTCGGGTTAAAGGCGTAGCGTTGTGATCTGGTAACATCAAGCAAGTCCTGGTGACCGGCTCGCCCACGCGGCCCCACCATCTCAGATCCGTAACGAGGTACTCCTCGGGGGTCAAGAAAACAGCGAACCTAAATGTGGGGTGCCGAAATAAACTCATTAAAAGATATCCTAAGCTAAGACTATATTACCTAAGTCTTTTTATTATCTAGGATCGAGGTTCTGTATTTTCTTTCCTCCCCTAGGTACTGTATTGTCTCCTTGTGAAGTACGGATACTGTTGGAATCTTTTACCGGGAAACATTTGAACAATAAGTCAGACACAACAATTTGCACTCATGAGACTTAGAGTCAATAGTCACTTGGAGGTTTTGTGGTAATTGATGCGAAAAATTACTGTGTCTAGCTTTTGCACTTCATCATCCAGCTTCCAAGCTTTTTCTACAGTACGGCTATGTGGGGCTGCTAAAGTTGTGCTTATTCCGTGGCGGAAGTTTCCGTCAGCGGATGAAATCTCCAATTTGTCTGGCAAGATATCTAGGGAGTAGACTGCTCACCCTAGAGTAGCCTGGTTTAGTTTTACCCTTACATACCCACGAAACCCAGAAGGCAAGAAAAGTCTTATCTATTATGTAGAGCACCAGCTAATAATTCAAAAATATATATACATTTTTTTTTTCTCTTTATTCCATGATGATGAGTTTGTTGTTGAGTAGTCTACGACCCGCGAGGCATGAAATATAATTGGAAGTTCCACCACATGAACCTGACGAGCCGCAGGGACCCAGCTGACTTATTGAATCAAGACCGCTTGACAAAGTGTAGAATACCTCGATAAATACCAAATCCCGTACCCGAAACCGCGATTAGTGATAGAGCCAGTCCGACCAACAGGCCTCGCTCGAAGTAACTCAGTCTTCCGCCTTTTGGCTGTTTGATCTTACCCAGCTGCAAACGATGGGACAAGAGAGACCAAGTAGACTCCTTTTCTCCGTTGACGGAATCAAACTGATGAACCGAGTCTTGCAAGATTGGTTTGTTGACAGAAAAGTCTTCTCTGCGGTACAGCAAACGACTCTCGATGAATGGTGTTGAAGGAGCAATAGTGGCTGTATAAACCAGGAATTAGCGAGCGCGCTTGCATCAGGCTCATCTCAGATCTTACCCAGTGACCACTGAGGGATGGCATTGATGAACACCTGAAGTGTGTTCGTGAACATAGCGACGTAGGAAGAAGCCTGAGAGGATGCAAAAATGTACGTTGACTGCGAGGGGTTGTTTGCGTTACTGATACCGACATGTTAGCTCATAATCTCAGGTACCTAATCTAGATTACTCCCGAGACTTACATCTTGCCGAGAATATCGATTCCATGGTCCAAACTTCGCGTTGAGACTAGTAGAAGGCCGTTATCGCTGCCTGCAAGCAATTCCACAGCCCTTTGGATGTGTTCAGCTATAATCGCGCTGACAAGAAATTAGTTATAAATCAGATGTTAAAGTCTCACGAAAAACATACTCGGAAGTATCCAATGCGATGATGGCAGGCAAATGGCCGGATACATGTTTCGGCAGGTTGCGTTTCGAGGTCGGGAATGCTGATGTTAAAAGCTCATGGAAACCCTGAGCTTCGTCTCCGCTGTCGCCAAACGACAGGGATGCATCTGCACTGGAATCCGCACGTATGAGCCTATAAAGCTGCGCAATGTGTATTTCATCAACGAAAACGAGACGTGGCGTTCGCAAAGGATTATAGCGAGGTGCTGCCGGACCAGATGATATAAGGTGACTCGCGACAGCTCCGAGATCTTGGACAGAGCGATCAACAAACGCAGCGGGAATTCCTGAAGGTGGCGAAAGCACTCTGATCAGTGGATTCGTCTTGTAAAGAGACGTGAAGAGGTCGTCACGCAGGGACAAGTTCTGGAGGGCAGCAGCGCCAAAGTGCTGTTTACCGAGCTCTCGACGGATATCGGCCGAGTCACTCTCCGTTATGACAAAGGCTTCGACGTCCAAACTTTCGGTAATCAGGGTGCGAAGCTCGGCATTGAGCTTGTCACACGCTGATGTGGCCAATACGATTGCGGAGCTTCCGGCTGCTATAGCTGCAGCGAGCGGTGCAATTACGCTGAGAAATGGCGAGTAGGGAGCGGGATCAATTAGAACGGGACCCAGAGCAAACAAGTTGCTAGATGAATTGCCCCCCTTCTTGATTTGCTTCTCCTTGGCCAATGTACTCGGAAAGTCTAGGTCGTCGTAGAGATGTTTGATCGAATCGAGGGCCAATTGGACTTCATCAGCGGCGCTCGCTTTCGAGGTTTGGAGATCTGTGGTAAATTTGTTAGTCCACCAACACCAACCACAAAGTATGTAATAGAAGCGCTCACCATCGCATATGGCCTTTATCAGATTCGTAGATGAGCTTTTGATATTGGTATGTAGCAAAGCAAGCTCTTTTTGTCGCTGTAGTACATTCTCAAGTCGTCCCTCCACCCAGGCTGCGGTAACGGCGCGATATTGGTCCAATGCTGAGACCATCGTTACTGCGCTTATCCGCTTCTTGTCGATAGGGTTTGTGACGTCTCAATTGGCAGCTGGTCGAGTGAAGTCCAACATAAAAGTAAACACATTTGATCTACGCGACTGAACGTGTTGCGTTTCGGTAGAATCATGACCGACACTTCCGACCCTCGATGCAGGGTTTCGGCTCGGCTCCACACGGACCTGGACGGGAGAGTCGTATTGCGATACGCGCTATCACATATTCCGAACCTCTCTCTGCAGACCTTTCATGTGATAACAAAGGCACGGGAGTCTCGGTGATTTGACCAATAAGAAATAAACTTCGATACCTTCAGATAAGTCCCAAGCGACCGCGACATGTTGGTTTGCAATCGACACCGAAGAAACACAGCAAGCATCTTCACAGTCAACATGGGTAGCTTACCAGCACAGAAAAAGAGTAAGTCATGTTTGAATGTCAGAAAACGTGTCATGGAGCTGACGGCACGCACAAGAGCCGACTCCGGTCTTTCTATTTGCTCATGGATCTACCATGATGCTTGGAGAAGAGTCAGAGCCAGCTAGAATTTGGGAAAACATTGGCAATGAGTGTCTGCGGCGTGGAGTCAAGCGAATTGTCATGATGGTTTGTACAGCAAACTTTTCGACTTTAAGAGAGAGCTAATAACTGTTAGGGTGCTCACTGGGACTCCCCCTACGACACCGTCAGAGTAAGCATGAACCCTGACGCGAAGAAAGATCCCGTGGGCAGCGTTACGGAAGCTCGATACATGCCATACAAAATGGTAGCAGACCTTGAAGGAGGGCAACGCGTCATCGACATGCTGCGAGCCGCTGGCATCAATGCCCAAGCCGATCCCAAGTTTGAATGGGTCCACGATACCTTCCTGATCGTCATCCGCATGTTTCCTCATTGCATCCCACTCCCTACAACAATCGTCTCAATGAACGCACGATACGACCCGCACCTACACACAAAGATCGGAGCTGCTCTACGGCCATTACGATACGAGGATACACTTATAATAGGCAGCGGTGGATCAGTGCATAACCTGTATCGAAACCATTGGTATCAGATGCTTACGTATCGAGACAACTTTGCACAGCCTGTTCCGCCTGGAGATTTTGCTCTTGAGTTCAGGCAGGCATTGGAAGATGCTGTTACGCAGAACACGGGACCTAATCTACGGAGAGCTGTTACTCGATTGATGAAACATCCGCGGTATAAGGAAGCTCATGGAACGGATGATCATTATATGGCTACCCTGTTTGCTGCTGGAGCGGCTGGTCATCATGAGGATCAGGGGCCGAATAAGTTTTTGGGAGAGTGCTGGGAGCTTGTGAATATGTGTAATAGTCAGTATCAGCTTGGCGACTGGGATGAGTCTATGTAGAAAAATGGTACTGCAGATAGATCAATAACGAGAACAGCATTGATTACACAAACTACTGGGTGTATACCTCGTGGACTTAGGTCATGGTTTACATCGTGATATTGCGCAGAGTGTTAGAATCTATAGTCTTCCCAAGTAGACTGTGAAGCGATGTTTTCGAAAATACCGAGTGAAACGTGTGATGTAAGCATTAGTTGTCAAGTCTATCACGTAAGAATAACACTATTTTTGCAAAAATCCATTGTAAATACGGTCATGACTCCCCCATCAATCCCAGCGTTGGTCGTGGTATAGTCATGACGTCTACCACTCTCCTCCGACCTTTGACAGACCGATATCAGTTAGCCTTCCAGCGCTGTTCCTCCACGCCTGTGCCCAAACCTAAGAGAGAGAGAAAAAAAAGAATCAATATCTCCATTGACAAGAATATCTATGCGAATCTAACACTTACCGACATAAGCCAGCATCCTCTGACCATAATGCCACCAACGACCGTAAACAAGAGCATCTGCCGTCTCTCATTGAGGTCAAGATGTTGATTGATAGGTCGATAATCAGGAACTCGCCGAAAAGTGTCGGTCCACCACCCTGGGTTCGATACCGGATATGGCACGGTGGGATGAGGAGCTAAAGAAGAGTCGAATTCACTTGGTTGAGCTTCTCGTGGAATTCCCGCGACAATCACGATATTGCGATCGCCACTCTGCTGGTCAATCGTTGATGAAAATTGGTGAGAAGAGTGATGGATCTTGTATTCTTGCAAGGTATTTTCTAAGGAGGTATCGGGTTGGAGCCGCACATGGCTGCCACGGGCGTTGGTCGTGGATGTTTGGGTAGTAGACATTGGGTTGGTGCTGGATGTGACAATACTGATGTTTACAATTTGCTAATAAGAAGCGCGTTGGAGAGCCAACTAAATCATTACCGGCAACGGCGCTAATACTTTCTCCGAGACCCGAGATCCCGATTCCGGTATGGGGTCTTTAGTTAGGGTTCTTGTTCTCATTGTAGATTGTTCAGGAGTTGTCGGCTCGGGACCACATCACCCATGCTAGAATTCGGATTTGAGTGTCTCCAGTATCACGCAAGCGAGAGCCTATTGATGGAATAGACAGTAACTCGGAAGTTTAGACGTATTAAAGGTGCAATAATTAACAAATGCACACAAATGGATGCGTATGAATGAGGCTGGTCACATGAGCCATCCACATCGAATCGCCTAAAGATCAGTAACTATGCCTGAAAACAAGTACCTCACAATCGACAAGGATAGCTTTCCTTATACTTTTATCAAGAATGTTGACATCCCACTCAAGACGTATGAGAAGGGTCTTCTTCGAGCAAATGTCTTTCTTCCCAAGGATGCGGCTCCCTTTGGTGACAAGACATACCCTGTTATCGCTACGTACGGCCCGTGTACGCTGAACCCCCATCAAACCTTATGCGCGCCTTATCTAATTGCTAATATGATGCAAAAGACGGGAAGGATGTCCGCTATGAGATATTCTACAGGAAAAGCTGGGAACAGCTAAACCCTGACATGAAGTCCACGCATTCAGCTTGGGAGACACCTGATCCTGCTTTTTGGACAAGCAAGGGCTACATCGTTTTGAGGGTTGACGAAAGAGGGGCTGGTCAAAGTCCTGGCTTCCTTGATACTATGTCTCGAGGTACAAGTGAAGCTTTCTTCGACGTCATTGAGTGGGCTGCCGAGCAAGAATGGTCTTCAGGTAAGGTCGGCCTTCTTGGAATCAGCTACTACGCTGGTACTCAATGGAGAGTCGCTGCGAGAAAGCCGAAGGGGTTAGCTGCCATTATCCCATGGGAGGGCATGAGTGACTACTACAGGGACAGAGTAAGACATGGAGGCATTCTCTCGGACAGGTTCATTGGTAAGCTATAAATGGAAGTTCAACTCTTCAAGATTACTGATGGTTTCATTCTAGATTTCTGGTGGAACAATGGAGTTAGTCCATGCCAGTACGGCAAACCAGGCCGCAGCGCCAGAAGCTGGGGCGAGGATACTCTTGAAGGTGACCTTGACGAGGAGACCTTACTCAAGAATCGTCGAGACCAGACAGTAGACACTGCTGTGCACAGGTTTCGTGACGAGGATTATTATCGTACTCGAGACTTTGATGTCGAGGCCATCGAGGTTCCTCTTCTCAGTGTCGCCAATTGGGTAAGTAGAACAGTTCTTACAAGAACCGAAACATAATACTGACATGGCATGAAGGGAGGCATCCTTCTTCACCTCCGAGGAAACGTCCTCGGTTGGATTCGTGCGAGCTCCAAGTACAAGTTTCTCCACTTCATTATCGGGAGACACGACTTGCCCTTTTACTACCCCGAGTCGGCTGAGCTACAGCTGTCTTTCTTCAACTCTTTTCTAAAAGGTGATGATAAGGATGGCTGGAAATCTGGAAAGCAACCACGGGTTCATCTTACTTTGCGAAAGGGTGAAGCTGGTGTTGATGACCCTGAGCGCGAACGAGGTTTCCCCAGCAGAGACGAGGCGGATTGGCCACTGCCTGGAACTAACTACACGAGGTTCTACCTGACTTCTGACAATTCATTGAGCACCACACCATCATCCTTAGTCAACACAATCGAGTATGATGCTCTGAATGGGTAAGTGATGTTGTCTGAGCATATCGAGAAGTCTAGTGCTAATACGCCCACAGCGAGCCCATCCGATTTGCATACAAGACCTCTTCTACTCTAGAGATCACCGGCCATATCGTAGCTCATTTAACTGTAGCTGCAAGCCGAAAGTCCGCTGACGCTATTCCTCCATCAGATATCGATCTGTTCATCACCCTTCGCAAGATCAACGCCGGGGGTGAAGAGGTCTTCTACACTGGCACAATGGGCGACCCGGTTCCCATCGTGAAGGGTTGGCAGCGAGTTTCCCTTCGCAAAGTAGATGAGAGCAACAGCTTACACAAGGAATATTTGCCTTACCGCAATTACTACTCATCTGACGTGCAGTCAGTTGAGGAGAATCACAAGTATGAGGTGGATGTTGAGGTCTGGCCTACGAATGTGGTGCTTGAGCCTGAAGAGACCTTGGTGCTGGAGATTGCTGGTCACGACACTCAAGGCGTTGGGAAATTCTCTCATGAACATCCGGATGATCGGAATTCTAACATCTTTGATGGAAAGAACATTATCACTGTGGGCGGAAAGGCTAGCTGGATTACACTTCCTGTTATTGATGTTCGGAGATAGATGAGCTACTGGAAGTCAAGGCGGCTGGTTCAAGTAGAGAAATAGATTATGCCAAAGTCACATCTTACAGCTTAGAAACATGTTAATATGAAGTCTCCTGATGCTTTGTTCACCACTTAACTATGTCAGATTCGTACTTGTCCCATTTACCTCATAGCACTTTACGCCCAATAGACTGACATTTAAACCCCGACCTATAAAGAGCGACTGGCTTTGGAGATCCTGTTCTATGTCATATCGCCGTCGGAATTTGAAGCGGCTGTTACCCCACAAGAAGCCGAATTTCTAATACGCTCCGAGTGGTGGTACCGGGTGTTTTGGTGGAATCCTCCCCAAGCCTGCGCGGGGAGTTACAAGAGGGTTAAAAGGCCTAAGAGTCGGTTGAGGTTGGTTAGATCTTCTATTCTAAGATCCAGACCGTGGTTCATAACCTCTCTTAACTCTTACACATTGCTTCTCGTGCGCGTCAACATTGCATAAGACTCGACAATCACGATGCTATCGCATTCACTGACCGGCTGTTGCCTTGCTACATGTATAGCGTTAATACTTTATTATGTGAGCGCGCTTCGACAATTAAAATTGTCCGATGTATCAGTTTTACCGTGCTGACCCGTAACAGGCTGTCGCGAAAGTCAAGACTGCTTTATACGGTCCATTGTCTAAGATACCTGGGCCTACTATAGGACGCTGGACGAACCTCGTCGTCAAATATCACACCCTATCCGGTCGGCGCATGCAGTATATACATTCGCTCTTCACTCAATATGGTGAGGAACGCCTCCATTGCTCATACATTTCCCAATAGCTAATAAGACATGCATCGAGGCCCTGTCGTGCGCATCAGCCCAACAGACATTGGGATCAATGATCCCGATTCTGTCAAAGTCATACAAAAGGTATCCGGTGGCTTCAAAAAGTCTGCTTGGTATGACAAGACTGGTCCTGGGATGCTCGGAATGAGAGACCGCGAAAAGCACGCTCGCCGTCGCCGGTTACTTGCGCACCCCTTGAGCAACTCGTCTCTGCCCGCTTTCGAGCCTTTGATCCGTGCAAAAGTAGACTTGGCGATGAGTCAGATGGAGAAAGAGTATCGAAGCTTGGGATACACTGACTGCCATAAGTGGTTCAGCTTCATGGCGACTGACATTATTGGTGATTTGACATTTGGTAGTTCTTTCAGAATGCTTGAGCAAGGCAGAGTATGTCCAAAGTCTTTCCGACATTACCCCTTACTGATACACGTCCTTTAGCGCAGCCAATATGTCGAAGACCTCCAGGCCGTAATGCCAACAGTCCACAAAAGGATCGAGCTCTCTCCATTCTTTGACCTGATGTTCTTGCTCCCATTGCCGCAAGTTAAGAAATTCTCAGAGAGGTTTCGACGAATTCTCAAATATGGAGAAGAATCGATCCGTCGTCTACAATTAGCTCAGCTGGCAGGCTCGCTCGACACCCCGATATTCTTCGACAAGATCATGAATCCAAAGAACAAAGAGAATGCCTTGACAGAACTTGAGATGCAGCAAGAGGCAGCGGAACTCATGATCACAGGAACCGATACTACTTCAAATACTCTGACATATCTCGTCTGGTCGGTTTTGCAGAATCCTGGAATACGGACACGACTCGAGGAAGAAGTATCGGCTCTTGCTTCAGACTTCAGAGATGCTGACCTGGTAAAACTACCATACCTGAATGCAGTGGTAAAGGAATCTTTGAGATTGTATGGGGCTGCATCTGGGGCGCATCAGAGGGACGTTCCGGAAGGCGGCTGGGAAGCTTGTGGTTACATGATCCCTGACAGAGCAACTGTTTTCACCCAAGCATTCTCCTTACATCGACTACCCGAAGTCTTTCAAGACCCGCATAGGTAAAGACTAACTTCAAGAGTGCCGAAAGGAAGATTGCTGACCTGGTTCTCAAGGTTTGACCCAGATCGCTGGCTTAACCCAACTGCCGAGATGCAAGATGCATACATTCCGTTTGGAGGAGGACCTCGAAGTAAGATACCCTCCCTACATTCGCATTCAGCTTATTGAGTTTTTGACATGGGGCAGTCTGCATCGGCATTCACCTCGCTTACATGGAGCTTCGCGTCACTACAGCAGCTTTCTTTCGCCAGTTTCGGGGAGCTCAGGTTCATGTATCAATGACCACTGACGACATGGAGTTGGAGAATTACACATTGATTGCTCCAAAGTCTCACAAGTGTCTCATTGCGCTGTGATAACTTGATCAATACTCTGACCGCATTGATTGATACCGTGGAGAATCCCTGCTAGGTTTTGGTAATACTCGAATAGCTAAAGAACAGTGACAAATACGAGAATCACTGAATGTTTTCATTTGCATTACTTGACTCATTCTCGTTGCTGTGAGACTGTTCTAGCTTGCACGTCCATTGTAATTTGCTTGAAAGGTCAAAGCTTTCGAGGAGGCTGAGCAAAGGCTGAGCCTGGCTCGTTATCGGATACATCATTGATTGGTGGGGATGAGATGAGTCCCGTATATTAAGCTCTGCAGTGTAAGCCCGGCATAACTTGACTTTAACCATAAATTCAATCCAGTAAAGGCCGGCGCTCTCAGTCAAATATGTCAGCTATTCATTCTCCGACGAACTGATACGGTCTGAAACGAATTCCTCTGCAAATGATCCTTTGCAATGAAGCGATTGGGCTACCGCAAGTCCCGCACGGGATGCCTAAGATGCAAGGAGAGAAGAGTCAAGGTTTGACACAAGCCCGTCTAATAAATTTACCAGGCCGTTGGACTTGGTAGATCACTGTCTGGAGGTCATGGCTGATATTTGCTTAGTGTGACGAGAAACGACCTTGCTCGGCATGTGTCAGACACGAAGTCCCCTGCAGCCTTAGTAGCTCGCCTCCCAGTGCTGGTACAGCAGAGCATTCTTTCATCCGTCCTTCAACATCTAAACCTAGGTCCAAGCATGCTCAGGTAAGCCATATCTCTAATCATTCCTAACCCTGTATGAATTAACCGAATATTTGTTACTAGCGCTCCGTCAAACAAGCTCACTCGAGCCTTGGTAGTCCTGGCTCTGCACAACATAGAAGTCCGTCCACAGAGCACTGTTTTGAAGTCAGCTTGTCTCCAGTAGGAGAGAACGGGCATGGTACCCACCATGACCATAATGATACATTTTCCCTTTTTGCAACACTTTTTTCGAACCTCAGACTTAGCGAAAAAGCCAACTGGGTCTCCGACATGGAGCTGATGCACCACTACACTAGCATGACCTATGCTACACTCTCAAATGACCGTGGCGCACAGAAGGTCTTACAGCAAGATTTGCCACGTCTAGGCTTTCAGCACAAATTCCTCTTACATCAACTACTGGCCTTCTCTGGTTATCATCTCGCATACCTGAACCAAGACAAACGCCACGCGTTCTTTTCGCAAGCATCTCAGCATCAGAACTGCGCGATAGAGGGTTTAACGGAAGTCCTGGCAGGCATTCATGGCTCCGAACACTGCCATGCGTTATACGCAGCTTCTATCATACTGATAACTTGCTCATTTGCCACGTGCCTGAGCTACGATAGATTCGATGGCACCTCGGACCCTGTGGACAACATCATTGGTGTCTTTAGCCTCATTAAAGGAATGAACATGATCCGGCTTGAATCGGGTGGTGAAATTAGTACGGGGCCACTTGCAACCTTCCTCGGTCGGATGCAGTGCGGAGGGTCCAGTGACAAAGACTTAGGTCTGAGGATCATCCATGCTCACATCAAGAAGTTGAGTATTATATTGGGACGAAACACACTTCTCAGGAGTGATGCTGTTCACGACCCATTCGGAATTAACCGTGCAATAGTGTCACTTTCCAATTCTATTGAGACAAGCATCTCTAGTTCTTCACCCACGTCAACTGCTTCATTGCGAGCGTCTTTCTCCTGGCCTATCCTCCTTGGAACGGAATACATCGCTTCGCTTCGCCAACGTCACCCGTCAGCCTTGGTTGTCCTGGCCTTCTGCTGCACAGTGTTACAAACGGCTGAAGCAAGTTGTTGGGCGTTGGAAGGTTGGGCAGAGTCTTTGATGAAGTATGTTTGCAATTCTTTGGAGGGTAATCAGTGGGAAACATTGATTGAATGGCCAAAAAGAATGGTGTTGGATCTCAATCAGGATGTGGCTGTGAAAAGCTGATCGAATCACCTTTTTCATATGTAATACCCTGCGCCTTTGGTCTAGATGCGTGTTTTTCATCTAGAACACTTCATAGAATACTCAAGACAGAGCCGGGTGGATCTCAGCTATATCGATAGACCCAGCTCATGACTTAGATGTACCTAACTGTAGTGGAGGGAAGATACGAGCTCCATAGCGGGACCTACATTGGATTCCACTTGTGATCTGTTAAGCCGACCTCTGATTTGTCATAGTGATATGGGCTCCGATGGGGCTGTGTAGAGCCTTATCCTCAATAGCGTTCAACGATTTTTAGCATCCCTGATCTGTCAAATTGAACAAAGTCCGATAACGAGATGCTCCATCCTTGCGGCATATTACTCTTTCCCCTGTCATAGCAGGTCACTGCCCAGGGGAGGTAAGGGACATAAAAAGACAGAAACTTTATTCCATTCCACGAGGTCATTAAGCTTATCTTAAAATTATGTTAGTGCAACAGGGCGACGTCAGTCACGCTGGTTCTCGCTTCACCATAAGATTGGTCAGGCAATATCAAAGCAAAAGATGTCTTTATATAAAAATGGATATCCAAGACTGGAGAACCCAGCATTACTATTCATTACAACTAATCTAGCAATCTATACGCATCAATCTTAGAAAAGCCGAGACGCATTTAAATCACCCAATTCTCAAAATGGCAGAAGGCAATACCCGCTATCATTACGACCCGTCCATGGCGGCGGCTGTCATTTTCATCGTTGCATTCTCCCTCTCAGGTATCTACCATAAATACCAGGTCATACGGCTCAGATCATGGTATTTCATCCCATTCGTTGTCGGTTCTATTGGTACAATTTCACTCCCCCAACGGCCAATCAGCAATCGGCTAATGATTTAATGCCACAGTTGAGATCATTGGATACACAGGCAGAGCCATCAACGCTTCCGAGCCCTCAGGCAAATGGACAGATGGACCATACATCATCCAAGCTCTATTCCTCCTACTCGGTCCTCCTTTCTACGCCCCCTCCATCTACATGGTCCTCGGACGCCTTATTAGACTCCTCAGGGCCGATAGGTTCTCCCTAGTCAGGTTAAACTGGCTGACCAAGATCTTTCTCTTTGGAGATATTGCTTCTATTGCTGCTCAGGGAATGGGTAGGTAACACACTGGAGTTGTGTCGATCATTTGCTAACCAGCCCAGGTGGCGGCATGCTTGCGGGGGCTGACAGCAAGTCGGCAAAGGATAGAGGCCAGATGATAATTATCATTGGCCTCTTTATCCAACTTGTCTTCTTCGGCATGTTCATTATTGTTACAGTCATTTTCCACCACCGAATCCACAAGATGCCAACGGTCGCTAGCCTGAAGATGCAAGCACCCTGGAAGAGGCTTCTCATAGTACTCTATATCTCCAGCGGCCTTATTATGATTCGTTCTATCTTTCGAGTTATTGAATACATCATGGGTGAGGACGGCGAACTTATGGCCAAGGAGGCTTACATCTATATATTTGACGGTACTTTGATGCTGCTTGTTTCCCTACTATTCAATTTCTTTCATCCCTCTGCTACCATCAGCAAAGAGAATATGGAGCAGTATGACAATTTGGATTCGGAAGCCCAGCTTGGGGACTTGAACTGAGCAATGACTTGTAAGCTACACTATAGGGATATTTTTCGTCATTGTTCAAAGGTCGAAATTCATCTTGCAACTTTCACAGAAAAGCTGCCTATACTGAGGAATATCCAGGATCTGCAGAGTTTAGGGGACATGGAGTAACCAGTAGCGATTCTATTTTGCTTCCAGAAGTTATGCAGGTTTCTGTGAATACTCATAAACATCAGAAGCATAGTCAGCAACTGGACAATATTTTAGAATTTTGCAAGCTTTAGACGCTGTTCACCTTTCTGAGTTCTCTTTTTAGCTTATAAATGTTTTCTGTCACTCTGATTCACAAGGTACCTCAGTTACCTCCCTGGCGACTTAGGACACTGGGCAGTGATGATGTTTGCCTCAGGCCTGTATCCTTGATCCCCGCATTTGTGGGACGTATCTGTCCTCCCTCTCTCACTCTGACTCTGATTTCTTTCAATAGTCATCTCTCATATCACAGTATTGCTTTGTCGCATACTGGAGTCGCTTAAAAGTCCTGCTAGCTGTCTATGAACACCCGACCGGTTACAAGCGCATCAATACTACTCCCTTCCCCACCAAACACTGTATGCATCTTTTGAATGACGTACAAAGTTGGTCATGTTAACGAACATAGGTGCAATGGAGGGCGACCTACCAAAAGAAGTACAAGATTATCTTAGCAAACTCGTCAAGCGTCTCACCGACCATCTGAAAGACCAACTCGTCGGCGTGTACCTTTTCGGCTCCGCTAGCTATGACGCCTATCAACCCGGCCTCAGCGACCTCGACGTGCAGGCGATCGTCAAAGGTCCACTGAACACCAATGAAAAGGAACCCATCATATCTCGTTTGACCCAGGCTACTTTGCCGTGTCCCGCCACTAAACTTGAGTTCGTGGTGTATGCCCAAGGCTCAGTGAAACCTGCCAACCGCCACCCCACCTTCGAACTCAATCTCAACACCGGACCTCACCAATCCGACCATATTAGCCTCGACCCCGCAAACGAATCAAGCCACTGGTTCCTGCTCGACATCGCCATGGGTCGCCAACTTGGCCGCTGCTTGTATGGCGCTGATCTCACTGAGGCTTTTGGGGCCATTCCTCGTCGCTGGGTTCTTGAAGGGATGGCAGACTCACTCTCATGGCACCAAGAAAATGAGGCGAGCTCGACAAACAGCGTGCTTAACGCTTGCCGAAGCTGGCGATACATTGCCACGGGAGAGTTTTGTTCAAAGTTGGAGGGGGCTAATTGGGCCTTGAAGCAAGACAATTGTCCCACCATTGTCCGACGCGCTGTTGAGGGTCGTAAAACGGGGGATAAACTTGATGCTGGTCAAGTAATGGAACTCTATGACATAGTCGTCAATGCTAATCTTGACAAGCTTGAGACAGCAGACAATTGAACATAGGATCACGAGTTGGCCGTTTATTTTAAGAGATCATAGCAAAAGACGTCAACTAAATGTACGACTCCAGCTCCTTCTCAGTCCAATCCCATAGCTTCTTTGCCAAGGCTTTGTCATTGGACGACTGACTCCCTTCTCCCGATACACCAACAGGAACATAATACTCCCCGCTCTGAACTCCTTTTGCTGTAGCCGCCCACAATTGAGACTTGGCCCCTTCTTCTACACTGACACCAATGAGTGGAACAACGACCTTCTGGAATACATTGATCATCCAGCTCCCATCATTTGACTTTTGCAAGTCTGTCTTCACGGTGCCAGGATGGATCAACGCTACAGTAAGCTCAGGGTGGTGCTCAGCTAGTTCTCTGATGAAGAGGAGATTCGCGAGTTTACTTTGTCCATAGCGATCATTGGTTGACATTGCGGTGGCAGTAGACTTGAGAGTGTCGAATTGAATGCCGCCTGAGGGGCCGAACTTGTGAGCAACCGAGCTTGCGCTCACGACTCGTACGTCACTTCTGGGAGATGACGAGGCAGTGCGGATCAAGAGTGGCAGAAGTATCTTAGTCAGTAGGGCATGGCCCATGTGGTTTGTGCCAAACTGCACTTCATACCCCTCCGTGGTCTGGCCAGGGGGGCATGCCATGATACCAGCATTAAGCATAAGAATATCGAGGCGTGAGACGGGACTAAGAAAAGCTTCGGCGGCTGTTTTGACGGAGGCAAAGGATGCTAGATCCAGTTCTAGGAACCGAACTTGAACCGCAGGGCTTAGTTGTTTAATCTCGGCAATGGCGGAATCGGCTTTTTTGGCACTGCGAGCAGCTATCCAAAGCTCCGAAGGCTGGTGCTTCGATAGAGCTAATGCGGATTGCTTGCCAAGACCAACATTACCGCCTGTGATGAGGATGACTTTGCCCTCAAGAGAGGGGATGTCTCTATCGGGATCGAAGGCACTGCCATGTCCCATGATGAAGGAGTTAGGTATCAACGTGTGAAGAGGGAGGGATGAGAGCTGTTGCAAGGAAGAAGGAGTAGCGATGTTGAAGAGGAAAGTAGATTTGTTCTGACGTTTCCCCATAGGCATTCCTCGGCTCTTATAGAAATATGAGAGTCACGCCCTTGACACCTGCGTGTAGTGAAATTGCGGAGTCGAGTTCATGACAACCGACAACACCGCCACTAAAGCAAAGCTTTTTAGGTGGTTGACGATGCCTTTTTCAAGGACGTTCAAGCTGTCTACCCAATTGTGTCAATGGATACGCGAATGGACCAATGATGCCAGCTTCCAGTCAGGTCAACATTGCTAACCTGATCCGGTTCGACTGAGCATGTCCCGCCAAGGTGGAGTCAGTACCTCTGCCAATCATACAGAGTAATAGCCGAACTGGCCAACCATTTGTTTCTTCGACACATGCGGGGCGCTCACCGTGCACTACACTCGGTAGTTGTTCGTGGAACGGAGTTTGCGCACTTCCATCTCATCACTATCACTCGACGTCAACGCGTCACCTCATTCATCAGAGTTGCCATTCAACATGGCATCTGATAGGACCAAGGCAGTCATGAAAGGCATGGATTCTAACAGGACTTCTAGGGGAGACAAGAAATCTACAAGGTCGAAGTCGGGCTGTCGGACTTGCAAGTAAGTTGAGCAGACGTGACCCAGTGCCGGCAGCTAATCTCTTCTGCTGGTAGAATTCGACGCATTAAAAGTGACGAGGGGCGTCCTTCATGTCTACGCTGCTCTAGTACAGGCTGCATATGTGACGGATACGGTGTCTGGGGTTCGAGACATCCACTTCCCTCCACAACCAGAAGTCCCTCTTTGGACATGAGTATCTCATGCTCAGTCTCCCGAAACCAAAATACACAGTCATGCTTCGACTGGTTCGTAACCCGGGCAAGAAAAAAGATCCCTGGCACATTTGCGTCTGACTTCTGGGATACGCTCGTTCTCCAGGTCAGCATCCAGGAGCAGGCAGTTCTATACTCGCTAGTCGCATTAGCCTCAGCCCATAAATCCAGAATGCTCTCGCTGACTGGCATACCTGAGAACGAGAACTATACGTTGCAGCACTACAACGCGGCCATTTGTCATCTCCAACACCACCTGGCCAGCGGAAGTAAGGAATCAATCCGAATCGTGGCCATCTCATGCCTCATCTTCATCTGCCTTGAGTTCATGCGTAGTAACATCGAGACAGGCACCATTCACCTCCAGAACGGACTGAACTTACTGCCTCTACTCCAGCCGCAGTCCTGCGAGAACGGCGCACTTGTGCTAAAGGCTCATAACGAGTCGTTAGAAGATGTTGTCACTGAGGCATTCCTCCGCTTGTTCGTATATTCAGCACAGCTCCACCGATTCTCCCGGGATGTGTTCCATTGTAACTCGTGACTACGCAGTCGGCGATCAAAGCCGATCCTTTCCTACAATAGCTGTAGCAAGGCAGCACCTCGATGAACTGTTCAATAGAATACACCGACTTGAAGCAGATGCTCGCCAGCTACAGGCTCTTTCCCGTCCAGTCACGACCGCAATGTTGCAAAAGCAGCAACGCATCCAAACAGACCTCGACTGCTGGCTCAGTCTCTTCAATAACTCTTTTGCTGGTATTGCGAATCGTGATCTAGAGGAGTCGCTACCCCTTACACTTCTCCGGATTCATCATACCATGGCATATATAATGGCTGGGACCAGTCTCGCCCCGAGAAATGAACTCGCCTACGACCAGTTCAAGTCAAGTTTCGACTCCATTATCAGCCTTTCTGATCATATCCTGGAGGCTGCAGCGTCCATCATGGCTGCAGATATCATACATGGGGTCTGCACTGAGCAATTTAGCTTCAGCGCGGATATGGGCATAATATTGCCTCTATATTACACAATCCTGAAATGTCGCTGCCCTATCACTCGGCGACGTGCTCTGAAGCTGCTTCTTCCTGTGTCACACCAGGAGGGAATATGGAACGGGCCCTTGTCTGCAGCAATTGCTCGCGGGGTCATTCAAATCGAGGAGGACGGATACTACAGGTGCTACCCCATTGAAGACCTGGCTCTTCAAAAGTCAGTGATTACCCCTATACCGATCTTACTCGAGTCACATAGAATCAGCGATGTGTTCATAGAACCACTTGAGAGCTCTACAGGAGGCATTATCTGGAGTTATCATAGAACACAGGAGAACGGACAATTGTCAGTATAGGAGGAAAGTGTCAAGGCATTCAAATAAATTATAAATAGTGAGGCGCTTTAATCAGAGAGCCCAAGTAGTCTCTACCTCCTCTACATCGGGTCCGCTATCTCCACTACGTGACCTACTTCACGATAGATTTTTCTGACCTTTCGCCAGCGACTTGACTCAGACCTCACGTGCTTGAGTTGAGGAAATGACCCTCTAACCATAGCCTCGAGTAAACCGTTGAAGCCATATTTAAGGGGTGTTTCTTGAAAATGCGGTAGGGTCCAGTCAATCACCGTAAAGGACGCGATCTGATCAGGCAAGAGATTGACAAGAGAGTCCCGATCTCTTGTCGAATCACCATGAGGCGTGGGATAGATCAGATTTGCGGTGATGAACAGACGTTTCAAATTGATAAACTTCTTCAGAGATCGTATCGTGGACCCGGTAAGACGGGCTTCAACCCCATAGTCAAGGATGAGATGTTGGAGAGTCGTGCAGAAGTTGTCAAGATAGCGGAATGAGGGACGGGGTATATCGACTTTGCTCCTGACGTTGAATGCCTGGAAATGAATAAACCGCAGAGGCTGGGAGTAGGAAGTGAGAATCTTCTCTAGACCACGGGTGTCCAGTCTATAAGGGGGTGCATCTTCAAGTTTGAAATCCTCTGGTGACATGAGATATCCTATCGATGGCAAAATCGGCGTCCTTGAAAGGCAGTCAATAGAGCGTCGGCCCCAGGGTCCAACCATCATATCTTCCAGATCTGGTACCACATCCATGATTACGTGGGGGAGGTGAGTTGCCGCCAGTAGCCTAAGCTTTATCCTGTCGATGCCAAACACTCTCAAACCGGATGGCGGAAGAAACACATTAATGTTTTCACCGTCAGCTATGAGAGTAGTCAGATTAGGTAGTAAAGCAAGGAGCATAATCAGGATCTCTGCGCAGGCAACTCCCGAAAGATGCCAGTTGTAGGAGCGCTGATCATTGGTTTTATCCCCAAATAGGAATGTGTGCAACGCTTTGTGATGTTTCAGCTCAAGAGGATCGTCGCTTCTCCCACGCCAGACGTGATTCAGGTCGACACCCAGAACTTCAAGTCCCTGCTGGTAGCCCTTCCGGGCCCAGGCGAGATCCAGATCGTCTGCGAAGTCTGCATTCCAGGCCATAACTTTGACTACCCTAGCCAAGTCTGGTCGCGACGTAACGGTTTGAAGGAAGGGCTCTAGGCGCCTCTCACGGTGCTCGAATTTAGGGAATTCGTGATACAAGACAGATTGGGCGACATCCCGGAGCCGACGCGACACACGGCTCAGAGCACAAAGGTCTTGGGACAGTTTAGCCGGGACTGAAGTGATATTGAAATCTGAGGCAGTTTCATATGTCCATGGTCTCTTTGGGTGAGCAATAAGAGTGTCGCCCCGACAGTGGCGACAGAACTGGGCACAAATAGATTGTAGAACCTCGGTTGGAAGGCTTTAAAGTGAAGAAGTTTGTTTCATGGTGTTAAGCGTATCGATTGCCATTCTGTCTGAGTGGGTATAAGCTGTTTCGCAAAACAATTTCTGGATATCTAATGTCATGTATTTATACCTTCGCCAAGCCCGGACAAAATGTTATTCCACCATGATCTTCATTTCTCAGGAGTTGTTGCAATCGTACCGCTGATGCAATAACTGGTCATGTTGCTGGTGCCCAAGGCCAAAAGCAATATAGTGATGTAATTAAGTTTCAGGTGATGATCCTTAAACTGTTTGTGTAACACGCGTGGCAATGTTCTAGTACTGAGGTTCTTGCCAGCTCAAAGGCCGACATTGAGGTATGATAACATTTTTATAAAGTAGCTCTTATCTTTGTTATTTCCTATTTAATGATGACATCTATGAGAATAGGGGGACTAGTACTAAAGGAGTACTATTTTGAAATTGCAGTAATTTAAAAAATCAGGGGACAATTTAAGAAGCAATTGTTATTGGACGGCGAACTTGCTAGCTGATGTGACGAATCATATTCACAAGTGCCTACCGTCAGCCTCACTTTCAAATCCCTGGTCTTGCCCCGCCCTTGCCACTGACTCGTTGTTCTCCTTTGTGATAACTTATCTCCCTCTAACTCATTCCTGAACTTGACTGCGATCTCGGCGATGATAATTGCTTTTGCGGTTGACTGAGCTGCGACTATGGCCAGCGCATCAACAGCCACTGTAATGAGCCCAGAGATTGGACTTGCTCAGGCTGTCTCCGAGTTTGTGGCAGATCTGCCAGATGCACAGAAGGTCTTATTCAGGATACAGCAAAAGGAATCCTTACCTCCCAAGGACAAAGACATCATCGCCGCCATCGCTGAGATACATGGGGTTGCACCACCGGATCAGGCAAGCAATGTGCTGCGGTTCGAACCGCACATGACCAATTTCTTGAAAGCTGTACAGCAGTTCGCTTCACTTGAAGATGACACGCCCGACAAATCTCTGCCATCGCAAACTGGCAGTGTCTGGCTGCTTGTCCGCCTGACGTTTATGGTATGCTCCTGCTCCGGAGGTGTACATACAGATCTGATCATGTATGTAGAGACTTGCTCTGACCCCTCGTTGGCTCGAAGCTGTATCGGAATTATTCATGGGGTCCTGTCGCTCGACGCCCTTCGACCTGAAAATAAGTTGCTCTGACTCATATGCAGAGCAACTTCGACGGTGCCTTGATCGATATTACTCCGTCGTCGTCCGGATATGCCACTACCTGTTCAATTTACACCCAAGGCGTGGCTATCAGGACACATTATCCTTCTCTACGGACCCGACACTGGCACGCAATAAGTCGGCCCTTGAGAGATGCACAATTTCAATCAACAAGGAACTGGCGAGCCTCAAACGCCAACATCACCATAGTGACCCCACCAACTCTGCCAAATCTTGGCTGGAGAAGCACGCCGATTATCTTCACCAACTCGAGATGCAGATTAATTATGACTACATGGGCACATGGACAAAAATAAGATGGCTTGGAAGCACTCGTATGTTTGCCCTCGAGCCTAGTTATAAACGTTTCGTTGACTGCAGTGGGTCTTCAACACTGCTCTACTCAGGCGGTGCGGGAGCAGGAAAGTCAGTCATACTCGCCAATATGATTCATAATTTGAGTCAGAGACATCCCACAGAACATACTCAAGTTGTCTTTTTCTTTGTCCCACGGGATGAAGTCAAAGTTAGTTCCCCAAAAGCTCTTGTTATTCTTGGCGCCATATATCACCAAGTACTCAAAAGCCTATTGTTCTCATCACGCGCGTTAGCTGTAGTAAAACGTCTTGGAGGCTTGCCAACTACTCTAAGTAATACTGGCGATGTAGCGTCCTACTTGCGGACTGCTCTGGGAACAGTCGACAAAACATATTTAATCCTTGATGGGCTTGATGAGTGTGAAGAGTCAGATCGGACTGAGGTTATTGAGGTACTGCAAAGTCTTCAAACACAATGTCCTCTATCAATATGTCTCTCTTCGAGGCCAGGAGTGCTGACTGTCATTGGATGGGCCAACCTTCACTCAATCAATATGCCGATTGACAATGAGGATATCTCAATTTATATCGACTCGGAAATATCACGACTCATAAAGAATAGAGATTTGTCGGTCAGAGACCCTGCTCTGGAGCTTCAAATTAGATCTGCGTTGACCACAGCTGCAAAGGGGAATTTTGCCACGGCCAAGAAAAGCATTAAAAGCATGAAGTTGCTATGTGCGCAGGACACGGACTCGGATCTAGTTCGACTACTGGTAGACCTTCAAGAAGACTCCAGTTCTAACGAAACTGAGGCTATGCAAAGCATATCACCAACATTACCTGCTACAATTGCGCCTTCAGCTTTCACGGACTCGGCATACGCATCTGCATCATTAACCGATAGCAATAATAAGAACACGAACGATGCCCCCGCTGTTGATGGGTCGTCACAAGGCGTAGAGCACCCTATAATGGACGACTCAGCCACTGAATACTCTGATGTCTCGAGCACCACGTTCTCTCGAAAGCAGCTGTACATACAGGAGCTGGCTAAAGACCTATACGATAAAGTCAGCGTTCGGGCTGTTGATTTGGGTAAAGATCATCGACTTGATATATCCGCTACACTGCCATGCCTGCTCAAGGCTTTCGCTTTGAAGATTGGATACTGTGCAACTACTCAGATGCATCGGGATGTGATGGCTTTTGTTCATAGGCACAGAAGGTGAGCGAACTGCCACGACAACCCTTTTCCCCACTCTCACGTATCAGAAAAGCTTCTATGGAGGGCTTGGGCTTGATGTATCTGACTCAAGACCCAGCGATCTGGTTAACACTTCTTTACAGTGATATTACCGCAGCATTTCTAGACATCTGCTCTAGCCAGAGAGAAATGGAGCTTCGGGAGATCTTTTGCGCTATCCACGTTGAGGATGAGCCTATGGACGTCATCAACCACGGCCAGGTGGAGTTTGAGCCAGCAGAAATCAAAGACCAGCCTGACTCTATGAGTTTGAATGAGCGCATGGCTCTCTGGGAGCAAAGTGAAGATAGACAGCAACCGTCAATTGAAGAGGGCCTGGACAACCTTAAGTTAGTGGAGACGGAGGAGGAGGAATATGAAGAGGATGATATCTGGGTTACGGCCTACCGAGACTTCGCACCCGGTACCGAAGCTTACTCCTGGTTGATGGCCCAACTCCAGAGGAATATGGATTCTGCTCTGGAAGAGCCAACGGCCATTCGACTCATCCGAGATCAGCTATTGTCTTCAGTTCCATCCCCTCAAAGGATCAGCAGAAGCGTATCTTCTGAGAGTTGCAGTGTGCTATTTGACTTGGACTGGGATATTCTTGAGTTCTTTGACTCGCAGGAGTACTCCAAGCCACCGGAAGAGGTACTTTCAGCAGTGATTACTCTGACTGGATCTGCTTCCGATGCACAAGCTTCAAACTGCGCTCAATTCCTAGAGCAGACCTGGCCTAATACAGGGGACATGATCCTGCAGCTTATGCGCGACTTACTGCGACCAGAAGGGGGACATGCACACGAGTGTAAGATACCGTCTCACCTCCAACATTCCGTTATAAGATAGCTCTATCTAACAGATTTCAAGGCCGCTTGCCAGATCATACGAGATTAGCCGCCAGGATAAATGGGTCAAGGGTCATGGTGCAAGCAAGCGGGTCCGCAGCTTCTATCTCGGAGACCGGAGAGCAGCTTGCCTGGCTTGGAGCTGCTTTGAGAAGTTCACCGCATCCAAACGGGCTCACCTACTGCACTCCTTCTATCAGGTCTATACATCGGGATCCGGACATGCCACAAGCTGTCGTCTGCGCAATTGGGTTTGAGCTAGAGCAGCTCCTGGAACCACCAGATAATGAAAACGGCCATTGCTGGCATGGCATCTTCAGGAATCCGGTGGTTGTTAACGGGTTTCCCATTTTACCGAAATTGGAGAGGAATACTGGCCTTGAAATGCCTCTTAACATCATGGCTGGACTCGCTCGAGCTGACCGTGTTGATCAATTCGACGACAAGGTATACATAAAAGGCTTCTCGACAATGCTCGTGCCTACAAAACAGGTCAAAGAGGTGGTTTATTGGCACTTGATCTATAAAGAAGATGGAAGTCGAATATCCTATCTGGATGATAATTTGGACCGGGACGCTTTTGCAGGGTCTTCAGATCTGACGACTCTTCGCCACGTTCTCGGATGGTGTTCTGAAGCCAGGTTCTATGCTGGTAGGTCATTTCCTTCATGTACTTGTGAATCCAATTACTAAAGGCTGACTTCAATAGGATCGTCACAAGCTCAGTACCATGTTAGACATTCGGAGCTCCCCAGGCCACACCCCGGGTGTTCTATCGCTGGCACCATGATAACTTTAGGACGTCTGATCACAGGAGGGCACAGCTATGAGTTGGGAATCAAAGATACGCCAACACATGTTGCTCGCAATGGCTATATCCCTCGACTCAAATGGATCTCGACTAAATTCTTTCTTCTCTGGGACGAGGCCGACAAACGCGGCTGGCTTACTAACGGCACCAGCGCTTTGTTGCATGTTGTTAGGGCCTCTTTAGCGTACGACAGCACTGACAAATTCCGATCGGCCTTCGTCTTCAAAGAAGAAGACCTACAAGAGTCGCCGAGGCCTTTAACTGCCGATTCTGCAATTGACGTACTCATAAACCCGAGAAACTTGGATCTCAAGCTCTACGCAGAAAAGGACGGTTTTATTCTTTTGAGAGACAGAATCGATCAATACTACAGCCTACTTGAAAAGATGCTCGATCACCAGACAGATTTGAGCAGGCGACACAGAGGGAGCCTAGAGAGAATGCCTCGAAAGCATCTCGAGGGTTGGGATTTTGAAGACCTCAGCGCGAATCGTGATCCACTCCATCCTCGCTTGGCTACCCTTGAGGCTTCTGGGAAAGGATGGGTCGATTTGATAAGGGCTCTTGAGGCTGTAACTCTAACTGGGCGCGGCTTCGGAGAACTTGTCCGGCCCCTTGGTCCCGCTCTATGTGAGTATTGGGCGCTACTACCAACTGGGCGCTACCTCCTCGCTAGTTGCGTGTCAGATATGGAGGACATCATGAGAGACCATCGGAGTTGCGAAGACGGTTTTACTCGACTAGGTGAGGATCTGATATGGTACAATGCGGATAACATATCAGGACAATGCCCATGTGGCTGTCTTGCCGGGCGTCATGGGGAGCCAGTTCAGGCACTTATCCCATCTGCACTATCTCACAAGTTGAGCGCTAGTAGAAGCTGCGTGGCTATCAAATGTGGTGGTGCTGTTGTCTTTGGACATAACAGGGGCTTCTCTTGGATCTGGGGAGACGACGGTCTTCCTACTCAACAAGACCTGGAAGAGCGGGTGGTTGCAGGTCAACTATCAGACGGAAACGATAAGGATAGTGGAGTTGGAGCAAGTCTGGTGGCCTCATCATCTAACGATCATGGGTCTTCAATAACAAGCTCGAGCTTATCGTCTCCGCCATCGCCACTGAGGAAATTATCTCAGACAAGCTCCATACCAGTTACCGAACACAGAACCTTCACTCGGAGCCAATATACGGTCGGTATCCTTTGTGCGTTACCAATCGAGCTGAAGGCGATACGAGCCCTTTTCGACCAAAGGCATCAGAGCCTGACCAGAGTGATTGGTGATAATAACCAGTATGCACTTGGGGAAATGGCTCGACATATGGTAGTAGCAACATCCCTTCCAGCTGGCGAATACGGAACAAACGCCGCTGCATCAGCTATATCTGATATGATGCGCAGCTTCGTGTCGATACAATTTTGTCTCGTTGTTGGTATCGCCGGCGGTGCACCATCAGACGATCATGATATCCGACTTGGCGACGTGGTCGTAAGCTTGCCTACCAGCATTTTCCCTGGTGTCATTCAGTATGATCTTGGTAAGGAGAATGAGGGGAGTGAGTTTGAGGTGACAGGCGTATTACAACGACCGCCTCGAATCTTGACCAATGCCATCAGCAAGCTCCGCTCAGATCCAGACATTGGAATTGATGCCTTGAATCCGCATCTTACCAAGATCATGGACTCACTTCCTACCTATAAGAACCCAGGTCCAGAGCTCGACGTGCTCTCCCACGCTGCTTGTACTCGCAGGACTTGTAAGCCTGACTGTACCCATCTTGAGCAACGCCTCCCACGATTGATGACAGAGCCTGTAATTCACTACGGACTTGTAGCCTCCGGCAATCGCGTCGTCAAGGACGCAACTTTGCGTGATCGGCTGTCGCGCAAGTACGGCGTGCTATGCTTCGAGATGGAGGCTGCTGGGGTGATGAACAGGGCAGATTGTCTTGTGGTACGAGGGATATGCGACTACAGTGATGCCCAAAAGAACAAGGTCTGGCAGAACTACGCTGCCGCTGTGGCCGCAGCATACACTAAGCTTTTGCTCAGTGCCGTGGCGGTCGACAATGACTTTGGCGGTGCAAATGTGAGAACGGATGATGAGCCTATGTTCAAGAGACGGAGGATGAATACTGGTGATGAAGGACATGAGTAGATAGCATCACTCAGATGTTGAGCCGTGATTAGCATCTGCAGACCTCGAGATATTCACTGAAGCCAGAGACTACGCTCAATGCTCATGATGTGTCCTAGACAGTCAACCACTGCCATCTTTTATCGCTGATTCACTATCTGTAGACTGTGGAGTGTACTTGCAGAAGATCCAGGCACCCAGTATGACACCAAAGCCAATGTTGGTCATTTGAAGAGAGTCGCTGAATCACCCAATCCGTTTGACTATAAAAGCCACCATACTCAAGACTTTCTTCTTTCCAATTTCTACAAACACAACTCGATCACAACTCTATAACAACGATTCAACCAGATATACTACAGCTTACTAGAACAACCCTTTACAATCACAATGTCCTACTCACACTATGTTTTGTGCCGCTTCGAACAGAAGTCCGGCGTGACATACGACCGACCATCGTTCAAGCCTGTTGAGGATAAGTTCGGCGATCGCTTCAAGTCCGCATCCATCAGCGGCTCGACTATGGACGTTGAGATCTACATGAAGGACATTTATTTTGACTCGACGCGAGATGAGCTATATGATGCCTTGGAGGCCATGCTCCTGAATGCTTATTTCGACCCCACTGACAACTTTGTGTTCGAGACAAGCGGAGACAAGTTTGCCGAGCATTGGCACAATGGGAGTGGCCGGATGCAGCAGTGTAATAACTGTAGCAAGAGCCGCTACTGCTCTAACCGCAAGTAAGATGGGGAGAATTGAGTGGCCAGCGTTGATTTGGAAGAGAAGATGGACTACGCTAGGATTACGAGTATCATAGTCTAGTATAAGAATAAAACCGCGGTTTATCAACTAAAACTAAAGCAAAATGATGTATTTCCAAGTGATGCTACCACATGACTAACCTTGTTATATTCCGGTTTTATAGAGATGGCTCAACAGCTTACTATACATGACGAAGACAATACCATATGTGACAGCTAGCTTCAAACATGGCAGACATTAGGCTAGGCTCTTTTTAAAAGTAAACATAAATTAAAAAGAACGAAAAGAAGAACGTCTGCCGGTGCATCCACGTGAGCTAAAGCAGACGTATTGATGCCTCCGTCGTGATTGGATCAGATGAGCTGGTTTGCAAGCCAATCGCGCACATGATCGGCGTTCACTTGACTATACAAGACTCAATCAGTGTAAATAACTGGATATATAAATTTGACCAACCTCTGCTGTTTCCCACTTCTTCGTTCACCACAGCCACGACCACTCAGTCAACCGTAAAACTTCATCAACAGCCTGTCTAGAACGACTCCGACATGGAAACGTCGGGTACTACCACACACAAATATTTAACATTTCTGTTTATGCAAAGATCCTTCCCAACAGAATGGTCCTTTCCACTATACTTATATACTCAGAAACTATCAGAGTTCTTCGACAACGGTAAATATGGCGAAAGATTGAAGTTCAGGTTCTGGTGGATCTGCGACGACACGTTTAGAGTCGACTTCCACAAGCTTGCAGATGTAGATATTAGCAAGATAAAGAGAGACCTTTGTGATGTCTTGGAAGGCATGGATTTCTTTGAACGATTCAAACGTTCTAGCGTAGAGTTCAAAGAATGGGAGGCGGAATATGTCAATCATAATGGGGATAAGGGCAGCGACGTGGAGTTCATGAGGGTTCAAGCGGATGTTCGTGAGTTTGAAGAGTCACGGGCTTCATGGTAATGTTGCTCACTTTGAGCCCAGAATAAAGTTACACATCACGGATCAGGTCATGGCCGTTATCTTCATTCCTTCAACCCTGTCGCTCTACGAACCCAATCATTCCTTTGGCACTTGCTTCGCAAGAGCTACTAAATCACCCAGTATTGCACTCGCAGAATCATACCCAAACTTCCAGCATCTATTAATTATTTCTCCAGTAATATTCTCGCCTGCAATGACAGGCGCGAGACCTGCGTCGACGATTTCCCAAGTGTCACCATCGATGCCTGCATATGGGATTTTCCATTCCGTAATCTCATAGATCGCAGATCCAAGAGCGTATAACTCTCGTTGCATCATAGAAAGTTCAACGACTCGTTCTTCTGGTAGAGCTGGGCAGTACGCAGGCTCGTACGTGTGAGGACCGAACTCCGGATAAGTCTGACTGAGAGCAGAACTGGCAAAGTCGCATATCTTGAGGGTATCGTCACTGAAGACGAGCACGTTTCGCGTCGAAATGTCACCCCAGATGACGCCTCGGGAATGGAGATGAGAAATACTCTCGGCAACAGCGGTAGCCATTTCAAGTCGACGATCAATTGAAGGTGGTACCGGAGTTCCTTCGATGAGGTTTCGGAGATTGCCCTTAGTCGCGCGTTCCAGCTTCAATGCGATAGCGTGACCGTCATCGTCATGAACAATGCCAAAGCATTTCGTTATTTGACGATGTGGGGATATAGCTTTGTAAACTTCGTGCTCACGAGTGAGGTCCTTACTGGTTTCTTCAACCATTGAAGGCGGACCGTGGGGTTTGCCGTCTATCCATATTGTTTCCGCTTTCAGAACAATTTCTGGCTCAGATTTGTCAACGTAGAGAACCGAGTGATCAGTCCTCATAAGAACATCAACTCGGCTTCTAATAAATATTGCCGTGGTAGACAACCCCATCTTTTAACACAGAGGGAATGGTTTGGCGTATAGTTTGATTGGTACTGAGTAGAGATGCGGAGAAGTAGTGGTACTACGAAAAGCACGGATTAACTCTCGTTCCGACACTCTCTGTGTTACCCTTGTTGGTTGTGAATCGGCCACAATATGTCACGCGGAGTAATAAGCAGGAGATAGTTCAATACCATGGGCCCGTAGAAAAAGGCACCTCACGTCGCTTGACAATGACAAGGTTTAGAAATGCTTGACGAGTTGACGTTCGATATGGAATTGTCTTGAACGTGATTGACTATGGGACTCTTGAGAGACTTCGAGTAATTTGAAACTGTGAAAACATATCCTCTCGTCATTTCTTCAATTAACCGAATTCATTATTACTGGGCATCCGTATGACTACTCTTGTCAAAGAATAATATGGCTTCATGCGACTACCTTGGAGAAATCTCTGATACTTTCAGTTCTCTGAGAATGCTTTCAGTAACTTTGAAGACGCAAGCTCAACCACAGCTCGGGCTGTAGGAGAAACGCGAATAGGTGCCAACATCGCAAAATCGTGAACCTGGCCATCCGCCTTGAGAACTGCGGCATCAACTCCGAGTTTCTGCAGACGATGGCCAAATGCTTCGCCCTCCCCAATTAGCGGGTCCGCGCCGGAAACGAAGACAGTCGTAGGCGGAAACTTGGCGAGAACCTCATCCGGGGCATACTGGAGAGGCGATGTCAAAGGCAGCTTTCTGTCTTCTTCATTCGGAAGAAATGCGGGGATCATCCAGTCCATGGTCTTTTCAGAGAGATAAGGTCCGTCTTTGTATGTCTTGTAGGTCTCAGACTTGCTGTGAGTGTCTGTGACGGGGTACAGCAAGACGATCTGGCCAATCTTGGAGGGGAGGTTGCGGCTTTGAGCGAGCTGGGTCATTGCAATGGCCATATGTCCTGGGAACAGGTTAGACAATGGTAAAAGGATGGAGGTGGGAGTATTCACCTCCAACACTGTCACCAGCGAGACCGAAGCGATCGGCTTTGATATTATACTTATCGCCATTCTTCACGAAATGATCAAGAACTCCGTAGACCTGCTCAAACTGAACGGGGTACTGAGCTTCGGGAGCTGGGGTGTAGTAGGGAAAGACAACAGCCGCACCAGTTTGGCGAGCGAACTCCTCCATCAAAGCTCCATGCGCCGTGGGACTGCATCTGTCAGCACGTTTTCACGATTCGCCTGTGGTTGACTGACCTTCCGAGAATCCAGCCACCACCGTGCGTGTAAAAGATCATGTTCAGCGTACCCTGAGCATCAGCAGGTCGGAATATGACGGTAGTGACATCTTCGCCATTGACTGGGACTTTGACCTCCTCAGTCTTGATGTCCGACGCGGTCTTGTAGTTTTGGATGCCTTCCAGAATGTCCCGCGCTTCCTGATAAGTCTTAGTGTACAGCGGTGGACCTTCAGCGGCCGCATCCGCAAACTTGCGGTTGATTGGGTCAAGATAAGTGTCCATATCGAATCTGCTTCGCATTCGAAAAGTGTGAAGTATGCTTAATAGCTGATGGGAAATGATTTAAGCCAACTATCTCTGCGCCTTTCGTGTCTCTTTATATCCTCATGGTTGAGGACGTCAAAGGCGCAGTTGACCAGCCCCACAGCTGATGCCATGTCATCATTGAATCACCCACCACTAGTTATCACAAACGATGCGTAAGCAAGTGCTTATCACAAGCATGATTCCTAAGCTCCATCAGTTCTCTCATTGGTTCCACAATGCGGCACGTTGTGCTGATAAACCATAAAATGCTAACTAAAACAGAGACGCTGCTGCAGAAGCAGTTAAACGAGAATTGCGTAAGACTAGTGTTGTATATCAGACAGGGTAATGCATGATAATTTCATCGACTTCATAGATGATGACTTCTACACTAACATGATTTGAGTCCCGAAGGGTGTCGTCTATGCTGCAATTGCCTACCAGCCCTTGCTAAAGTCATTCGTTATCAACCGAGTTCAGGCCCACTGTGAAAAGCCTATGATACGATCTATCTTGAACCCTTACACGAGTCAATGACAAATACTTTATCTTGACATTCCATAAAAGGGTAATGTTACTCGTGTCAAGATTAAGCGACGGCACTGCTCGGAAACAATGCGCGGCTGTCGTAACTTCCGGGATGCATTCTGAACGAAGGATCTAAGCCGTTGACACTCGCTTCAATGACGGCCCACAGACATGTGGAGAGTGGCAGCTATTTCCTGTCTAGGGATTTGGTGACATATGCAAGCTGACTGCAGGTGACCTCGCTTGCATGATCGGCAATCACTGAGGTTAAAGATAAGCCAACAACATAATTCCAATTACCGCTGTGGGGACATTTCTACGATCACAGCAACCTCATAGTGGCTGCGAGAAAGCTTTTCCGAGGTCGTAGGCTGGCTTTTGAAACAATCGGTCTAGTACATAATCTAACTAAGGATCATTCCAAGTGACTTCAGCCCATGCAGCGACTGCACATCGTTCTAAACCATATTGTCACAGCCACTAGAAAGCAGCAGTAGCTAATAATGCAAGGTGAGATCCGTCATGCGTGGCTGCAAAGATCGATCATTGTGCATTATTGTTATAAAAGTATAAGGTATCAAGGTACATATCACCAGGACATGCTCTTAGCTAGCAACAGCAAGTGATGAAGAGACGAGTGCCTAGTGAGGAAGTTCAGTTTCGCAATTGTAGAGTTTGGATCCAGGGTAATGAAGTGGTAAAGTATTTTGGGTACTGTGGAGACTTTGTATCGCATAGCGGCTGTCTAACTTCCAACGTCACCAACCAGTGCTCAAAGCCCCATCAGCGATATCCACGGTGCCACGTAGCTTGACTGGCAAGCGCACCAGTGTAGAGGAAGTTTAAATGTTGTGGAGTCTGTAGTGGCTTATCATCATCATGTTTAGATTGTATAGTCCTGTTTGTTAGACTCTTGACCGATGCCTTACGAAAGAGTTGCCTTGAAAGCTCACTAAGATTATGTTAGCTTTCCAATCACTCCTTAGCGTCTGATTTATGGTTATGAGCTCATTGTATCGAGATTCTTTCCACTTTTGATAATGGCCTCAACACTCGATCAAACGTTCTAGCTATAGACGACTTTCTAGATCCCCATCGCACGACATGATTAAGTGACCGGGTATGACCGTTTGAGGTCAATTATTTGACAAGCTGATCAAACCAGGTTATATTACGCGGCTGAGACTACACGGTAGAGATCCTCATTCCTGAATTGTGAGAAGTGGAAGTTTGCAATTGGGTAAGATCACGAAGACTCGATGTTGCAATATTTGTAAGCGATTCGACAGCACGGGTTAAGCAGACATAGCAACCGATTATATCGTGATATTAACTTTACTTAATATTAAAACCTGTCTCCCGACTAGATGAAACTATTTATCTACCATACTTGTCTTTATGTGAAAGGAAACTGCCCCAGCGACAATCCAATCTACCCCAACCCATGTCAAGGTCTTCCCTCACTCAATTTGAGCCCCATTCACGCGGCGGCCACACCTGGAAGCACTATTGCCTTAAATTTCACGGATAATGATAGCTTGCCAGAGCTCAAGAAGGGTTACCAGTACTGCACGACCTTCTTTGACGGACCATGGAATATCATTACCTGAATCGACACGAAAGATTGGCTTATGAGGAAGATACTTGATGTGAAGATTCTGGTGACTTTCCAAGCAGGGGAATCACAATCGCTGTTGTGACGGATACTGTTGGGGAACCGAAAAGGGACACAGTAGCAGCCCTTGCTATCATTCTCCATCAACCGGCCAAGCTTGGGATAAAAGTCGCGGACATTGTATGAGACGGGCAATGTTTTTTGACTCCCAAGTGGCGATCTCGACTCTGAGGTATGCTTTATCTAGGCGGTAAAGGGGACAAACATTTGGTTATGGAGATGTCTACCCAATAACATAAATTCTAGATCAGGTTGCTCGTACACTTTGCCCTCGCATTTTTCTATTTGTCATCTTGATAACCCAATGGTGATATTTATGCCACATGAGATACAGCGCTAAATAAATACTAGATATAGTAAAGAAATGTGACGGCTATACGACCCTCATCATACAAGGCTTACTTCATCAATAAGAGAAGAACAAATTAATAAATTCAGACTCTCTCCAGGGTAATGAATGACATCACGTCATTCCAGTGACAGCACCACTAAAGTCATTCCGGTATGGCTCGGTTCAGTGTCTGCAAGGATACCCCTGGTAGCTTCGGCTCCCCATCTTCGGATTCGGCTTTGTATGAAGTCCCTAGCCATCGAAATAGTCTCGATAAACAACCAAGAAGAATGCTTCATCCCGCGGCGGCACTATTTTACAAGTAGGAGATACTAATTTAAACATTTCTGAAGCTACAGTACCATTCAAACGTCGGTCAACACAACAATGGCATGTTCCAAAGTGGACCATCTCGTATGGTCCGCCCTAAAATAACCACCACTAGGCACTTCTTGGCCGTTTCACCTATTAATAGTCCCCTACAAGATTAGTCATTAGTGTTTCTCCCTTCAGAAAAAGAGGAGAGGGAGAAAAGCCATCATGCAGAAAAAAGATCCACCTGCAGCCCAATTTGATCTCTCACATCCCGCCATGGCCGAATCGAGATAGCAATGAAGCTGTCAAGAGTCACTCCTTTTACGCTCTTGGCAGCAAGCTGTCAGGCTGCTTATGTGCAGTTTCAAGACTGCGCTGATACGTCGGTTTCCAATAAGTCGCTCATTCCGGAGAGTTTTCGCGCGAGTGTTGGGCTAGGGGGGGATGGGTTTGAGTGGCGGTTTGATGTTATCGCTGGGCAGGCGGAGCGGAATGCCTGTGAGATTGATATCGGGGATGTTGTACCGAGATTTACGGTTATCGACTATGGGAGCGACCCGAAGGAAATCTCAGGAGAGATCGTCAACATGTCCTGCTACACTTCCGAATGGCTCGGCCCAAGAGCTCATTTCACCATCGCGTCTTCGTTCAAGCGATCAGCGTTCCTCGACACTTTTCGAACAACCTTGGAGATGACATCGAAAGACAACGAATCACTCTCCTGTATTCGAGCAGTCCTCACACCCGCTGCCCCGGAGTCCATTCGCCTTCTGAGTCTCTGGCTTCCCATCGCCACTTTCGCCTTGACCTGTATCGCCGCATGTTGGCCGGCCCAACAACCCACCAGCTCCTTAACCTCAAAGAGCGGCCGTATCGCACGCGCCATCAATCTCTTAGCTTATATCCAGTTTATGTTTTTCTCCGGCGCTCTCAGCCTTCGATACCCTGGCTTCTTCCAACCTCTTGTCGGCCTCTATAGCTGGTCTACACTGATGCTGCCGGCTGGACTGGTAGAAACCGACTCTCCTTACCCACGAGCCGGCGTCAAAGACGGCATTTACGAACACAATGGAACGATCACTGGGGCTCCGGGCTTGGAGCTTTTGACGCAAATGACGGGGTCGCCAGTGAAACCTCAAAGCTGGATGAACACCTTTGTCTTGTCGCTCCTTATCTTTTTCTTCCTTTACTTATCATCATATATCAGCTTCCGATTGAGCCATCGCGAACCAATCTCGAACTTTACTCTGGCGACTCTAGGAGCGCAACTCAAAGACCGATACTGGACTGTTGTCAGGATCTTCCTCAGTTGTTTCATGCTGCCGATCAGTGCATGGGCAACCTACCAATTCCTCGACGACCAGATCTTCGGATATCGAAACTCAGCCATGGCAATCATAACCCTGATTGTACTGTTGGCAGGCTTCTGGTGGAGTTGGACAAGGGACTCTGACATGGGATCGCTGGTGATTCAAAGCCCAGGCCGGCTGAACAAAGACCCAGAATCCGGGCGACAATACTACGCTTTGGTGTTGTTCTCTCTGATGTTTCTACGAGGAAGTGTCATTGGTGGATTGCAAACGTACACCTCTGTTCAGCTTGGTGTTCTGTTAGGGTGTGAGATTATTCAACTTCTAGCAATGACCTTCTGGACAAGGTTTGCATGCTTCATTTCCCTTACAGGCATCCTGTCTGTCTCAAGACTGGCCCTGTTCGCACTTCACATTGGCTTTGTTCCTGGCCTCGCTAGTCATTCAGGCAGGATGCTTGTCGCCTATATCATTCTTTGTGGTCATGTTATCGTACTCACTCTTATCTTCCTTCTGCCCGCGGCTATCGACATGGCGCATCTTATCATGTACGGCAGAGCCGTAACGATGTCGGATGCCGAAAGAGGGGCATCTGTCAGAGAAGTCCCTCGGCCTGTTGGGCGCGTCCAGACAGATATTGAATCGCTTCAGAAGTCGGAGCCAACCAAGAATACCAATTCCAATCGTCATACTCAAGCATCCTCACCAGACTTCAATAAGCTTCTGTTAGAGATGATCCTCAAGCGCGAAAAAGACAATTCTAAGATTGGTCCAGCATCCCAGAAGGCACTTACACAGTTTCTGGAAGACTCAAAGGCGAAAGATAAAAGAGCCGAAATCAAGAAATCCCCGAAAGGTTTCAGTGATTCTTCCAGTACGCTGATAATTTCGAAAAGCTCCAAGGACGAAATTACAACAATTTTAGACATCTCAGTAGTCGACCTACTCTCTCATCTATTCTCGGAACAAAATTCAGCTGTCCGCAGCACCCCTCTGCACCATAACCTCGATCGTCCTATCAACGAATACTTCATCTCCTCTTCTCACAACACGTACCTGCGTGGCCGCCAGGTCGCTGCCCGGTCCAAGCTCAAAGGTTATATCTCAACACTCTCACAAGGTTGTCGATCCGTGGAAGTAGACTGCTGGGATGGCCGAGACGGGCAACCCATAGTCAAGCACGGATATAGTTTGACAACTTCTATCAGCTTTCGATCTGTCATCGAGACTATCAATAATTATGCCTTCTTTGCTTCTGACTTGCCTTTGTGGCTATCGCTGGAAGTACACTGCAGCCCAGCACAGAGAGATATCATGGCACGTACCATGCTTGAGATATTCAGATCGAGTTTGGTGGTCGAGCCACTTGATGCTTCTGCCCAGAAACTCCCTTCGCCCAACCAGCTACGGGGAAAGATCTTGCTGAAAGTCAAGGTAGCTCAAACTCCAGAGCCACTTCAGGAATCACTTGCACCTGAATACTTGAACTTGGACGGGGCTATGGAAGATGTTGAGATAGACGACCCCCAGGATCTGCCAGGCGATTTACTACAAAGTCTCGCAGTATATGGAGCGAGCAGACGACTACCGAAAGATGCAGAGTTCGACACACATAGGAACTTCATCTACTCTGTTTCTGAGCGAAACTTCAAGAAACACAACAGAGAAAACTGTTCGCTCGAACTAGCAAGAACACATCATCTTGTTCGCGTATATCCTGATCCAAATAGGGTCGACTCATCCAACTTCGACCCCCTCCAATGTTGGAGACATGGGGTTCAGATGGCAGCTCTGAACTGTCAGACTGATGACTTCTACATGAGTTTGAATCAAGCAATGTTTCATGGAAGCTTAGGATATGTACTGAAAGATCGGCCGCAACCAACGAAGATCAGACTCCAAGTTGATGTTCTCATGGCACAGGGTCTGAAGGTTTCAACAGGTAGTGGTCCCGTTTACGCCAAGATTCAGCTGATTGCGCCTGATACATTGAAACAGAAAGCACGGACGGCGGCTATTTCTGTTCAAGGCTCAGATGTAACCCTTGATGAAAACTTGGAGATGTCGATGGAGACGAACTATCCTTATCTCACATTCCTGCACTGGTCGGTCAAGACCATGTCCAACGGGTGTTCTATGTCGATTGCTTCGGGTACCGCTAAGCTTGACAATGTGAGGGAAGGATATAGGGTCCTCCCGCTGGGTGAAACGTCAAAGACCGAGGGGCGTTTGTTATGTAAAATTAGTATCAAGTCGATGTAAGCGATTGTGACGATATTTCATGATTCTTGAGTTAGAACAATATTAGCGCACAGCGTTTACATGTAAAAATGACTTGCTTCTATTTCCCTCGTCTTATAGCGAATGTAGAACGGTGTGGAGGCTCCAGATCATGTCAGTGAATGATGATTACAGCCATTAGTCTCAAGTTCTCAACAATGGAGACCAGAATCCTGTCGGGTCTACAATGGTTACTCTAGCCGTTCGTGTGATGTGAGATAGCACATATGCTGAAGGGAGCCTCCGCTCAGGCATTGATGAATAGATTCCAAGGGTCACAGAAGATGTCTCTGTTTTCCAATCATGCTAGGCAGACACTTGAGGTCTCGTATTGTCACACAGCGCAAAACGTTGAGGCTGCATCACATACGCCCGGTGCATCCGAACATTCCATTCTGGGCCTTCAGCATTCGCACAATGTCTTGCTTTAGCCCATTTGACTGTTCACTATCCGCGATTAGCAAAATTCGCCGTTTGTGGCTTGTCTTAGAGCAGCTGAGTTCCTTCGGAGGTTAGGCTCGGCCCACTAATTAGTCCTCCGTTTACGCTTTGCAACTGAAACATTGGCGATACCCCGCTCGCAGCCCAATCTAGACTTAACCTTCACGCCGTACTATTGATGCATGATATCAATATCATTGTCGATAGGTCAAGTAACGCCGCCCCTATGACTGCCAAGGGTCTCGGTTATGTGATTACAGGCTTTTAATTCGTCAAAGATTGTGATAACGAAGTGAGCACATCAAGAGAGACTCGCTAGGGGCTCACCGCCTCCGAAGATGCATCATCAATGCAATAGCCTATCTCAAAACATCGGCACGTAACGGCAACCTCTGCAATATTTCCCGGCCTCTCAGCCAGCCTCAATATGTCCAAAATTCGCAATCTGCAACATACGCATGCCGTATCACATTCTCCGGGACATCTTCTCCGTCAGGTGACAACTCAAACATGACCTGATATATGGTTCGCAATGTTGAGTTGGACTTCTGAATTTATCTGGTAGATCGACAGAGCCCTGTTACATAGCCATATCCCAGAATCCCCTATCTCACCTATTACCAAGCAATATAACTGCACTCATGAAAGTTGAAAGGTGCCATGCTCTGGTTCAATACAAATTTGTCGCTGTTACAAATCTGCCTGCGCTTAGAGCTGTTCTAGCCTTGTTCGTTCAGCCAGCCGCAGTTAGGTCTTAGTATAATGTCCAGTCGGGTGGAGACACAGTGCAAATTCCGTCAATGCGAGGATGCTTTACGCATAGCTTTGGAGCTTATGATGAGTCTGACTGTTTACAGCCGCATATGCTTGGTATATCTGATGCGGCCGAGACAGGGTCTGGATGTGACCACAAACCATATCCGAAGATGGTGCTTGACTACTGGCCCTCTCTGTAACACTACTTATCACATTCCAATGAGCGCACTGCCAAGCCTTCGAATAACCACATAGATCAAGGTGAGTAAAACCAGCGGACGGGCATGAAAGCGGGGGTGGCGCTTAGCTGAAAACTGAGCCAAGACAGTCTCTTGAACGGAAGCATGGATGGCTATTGTGTCAATCATACCGGATGCTTAGAACCTGAGTTTAGCTAACGAACTCCCCATGCCTGCTACTTCGCGGGCCGCCTCGGCCACTAGACGTGGGCACGATGCTTTGTGACGACCTTGTTAGGCAGAACGAAGCGAACTACCAGGGTCTAGCTTTCAGCTGGTATTGGCAGACGCCTCCTGGGCTCTAGACCCTTACCTAATGCCTGAAGCAACCGATTGCATATCCTAAGTGGGTCCAAAGATTGACTATAGACGCGGAAAAGATTCCAGGCGACCGATTATGTGTGCTTTAGCCTTTACGATCGGTCGGCGCTGGGAAATCGTAGGAAAGCGGTGCTATACGAATACTAGACCCTCAACCTATCCAAGGCACTCCGTGCGGTCAAGCGACATCTATAAAGGAGTGTTCCGCTTGCTGTTGGTAGTAAAGCCTTTCTTAACAACAACAGCAAATCACCAGCAAGCCCAAGAACCTCATCCCACAGAACCATCGCCACAATGAGCAACCATAACATGGAGCAGCTGGACAAGGCTCATGAGAAGGGTGTTGTACTCGGCCTTGCTGGCTTCGGCACAGGACAGCGCCTTGACATAGATGTAATGCTGACCGAGCAGCCTGATACCTTCAATCTTTACCTTATCGCCTTGATGGAACTCCAAGGAATGAAAGATCTGCCTTGGACGACCCCTGAAGGCTATTCTTTCAAAGATGGGAGCCTTGCGGACTTGAAAATGTCCTGGTTCCAACTTACTGGCTAGTACTCTGCCTAGTCCAGTGCACGACTTATATGGCTGACCAGTTGTAGGCATTCATGGACAGCCCGTGACTAAATGGGATGGCGAGGGACCGCGGGGATACTACTGTACCCATAGTAAGCCGCATTTCGCAACCTGGCACCGTCCGTACTTAGCAATGATGGAGGTAAGGCACGCTGCACGTAAGAATTCAACTTACACTAATTGGCGCAAAAGCAAACACTATTTCGTCAAGTGGCCAATGTCGCCAAGTGATTCTCCGAGTCGGAAATCCCCGACGAACAGAAGAAGAAATATCTCGCTGCTGCTCAACAGTTTCGTCTTCCGTACTGGGACTACTTTCGCCCTCGAGCGTACACCAAGACTACATTTCCAGGGGTCACCAACCCCAAAGATGGCACGACAACTGCTCCCTATGACTGGGGTGCTCCGCAAATCTTCACAATGCCGAAAATCATGGTCAAGCGTCTTCCAGATAATGAACTGATTTCTATGCCAAACCCCTTCTTCCAGTTCGAGTTCAGCCCTCAACAGCTCGAGAAGATCTCAGTTGATAATGATCCGAAGACAACGATTAAGGAACAGTTCGTAAGTATGGCTTTATCCTTGAAAGAATCGTTGGTTACTCATATATCGTTCACAGAAGAAGATACTCATGACAATCCGACATGGAGGATCCAATGCAGATGCCATGGCAGAAATGAATAAGCAGCTGAATAAAGACCGTGAAAGCCGTGTTAGCATGTGTCTGGCCTTGATGGAAGACGAGATTTACAGAAACTTCAGAACGTTTTCCACCAACGCGGTATTTCCGAAGCCCAATGAGAAACCCAAAGCAACGCTCGAAAGACCTTCCGGGTCTATCGAAGATTTCCACGGTGCTTATCATGTCACGATCGGAAGTAAGAACGGACATATGGGTTCCATCGCCTCGGCGGCTTTTGACCCGATCTTCTGGATGCATCATTGGTAAGTCTGGCTAGAAAGATACAGTGGATTGACTGGCTGACAATGGTGCACAGCCAAATTGACAGACTGTTCGCCATCTGGCAAGCTGCCAACGGCGATGAGCACTGGTTCAACGAGCTTCGAGAGAAAGATCAAGGACTAGCTAAAATCGACCTGACGCCGTTCCGCAAATCGGTCTCGGAGAACAATGAGAAGAAGTACTGGACCTCAGACCTGTCCAGGAGGACCACGGACTTCGGCTACACGTATCCGGACTTGGCAAATGGACAGACAGGGGACACGGTTCGTAAGGAATTCAGGGAAAAATATGAGTGGGCTCGACGAACCACCGCTAGGCCCATTCTCGGCACACCACCCGATAGTATGCAGCCTGTACAAGTCGGTGAGGCCCAGGTCTTCAAGTACAAGCGCGGCACCTCGTCTGGAGATCTTTTCAAAAGCCCTGGCGTCCCCATGCATGAGATGCAACAGCAAACTGTCATGGCCGCAATGTCTTCCAACCCCCAGCATGCAGACGATTGGTACATCGACGTCGTGGTCGAGAGGTAAGAGTACACACATTCGCGCCCTTCTTACGTTAGCTGACGCAGCTTTGCAGAATGCTCGCTGATGGAACCTTCACCATCTACTACATCATAGGCGAAGTTCAAGGACAGACCGGCCCGGAGTGGTCGACTCTCCCTGGCTTTGCGGGCCTGTCCCATATCTTGGCGGCGCCCGCTAATGTGTGCGATAACTGCGCCACTCAAGAAGAGCAACGACAGCTTGTGACCAGCACGACTCCCATCACTTCGCTGCTCCTCGACTACGTCAAGGTCGGAAAGCTGAACAGCATGGTTGAGAATGACGTGAAGCAGTTCCTCATTAAAAATTTGAAGTGGCGAGTTGAGACTGTAAGTACATACTCTGGTATTGAGTCGAGACCACGGCTGACAGTCTCCTTTTTTCAACGAACAGATCGCTGGCGAGGTCCTTAATCCCAGAGATATGGACAGGGATCACACTTTCAACCTTAGCATCAGTCGCAAGCGGACTCCAGTGCCACGGAGCGCCGGTGATGTGCAGTATGACACTTACCCTGAGGTCATCGAGGCTATCATCAGAAATTCTTCTTAGCTACGGGATGGCTTCTAGATAGTGCGGTTTGCCGCCTCGGCGAGAGCACTTCTCTATCAATAGTGGAACCTTCACATATAACTCAGTACGTACTCAGTGACATGTTGCATAATTCTTTAGGAAACATTCCAGTATTCCAGGTGACTGTTGGTTGAAAGCCTGGTCAAGGGACAGAGTTGAAGTTGAGATGAATTAATCTATTTATACCTCTGAGAATTATCTCCCATGAAGGAGCCCGCTAAGCATCTATATCCTTCACTGCTTAACTGAGCTCGCGAGTTTGATGCCAAACTGCATAAACTCCTGTGTGCATTTAAGATTCGCCTCAGGAATTGACTTCTCCCTCTCCCATCTCTCCAAGATCACCCTCGCCTTATCCAACTCTTCCCAGACCTGGATAAACTTATTCGACGTCGTAGATACCAAGCTTGCAAAAGCTCTCTTCATGGCATCTGGCTTAGCAACCTGGATTGCACGGTCATCAGGAATAGGATGGATCGCAGCCTTGTTCTGATTCGCCGTTTTCACGGACAGAATACTGGCCTTGACGCAGTAGATTATCATGGCTGCGAGACCGGCTCCCAGGGCGGTAGCAACACTAGAGCCTGTCAAGTTCTTGCCCGTCTTGGAGCCTTCACCAGCGCCTTTTAGTTGGTCTTGGACTACGTCGACGCCTGGCAAGATGTAGGTGATGCCGACTTCGGGGGTCCATTGGAACACAGTCCCGTTGGAATAGGCTGCGCCGATGCGGAAGAAGCTGTGGGGCCATGGACCACTGGGATAGTCAAGCTCAGTGAACTTGCCCTTGTCGTGTGCAGAGCAAAACATCAACAGCTTGTTTTCTACAGCCCTCTTCAGAACGGCATGCACTATGGAACAGAATTAGCAACAGCCTCAACAATTCTAAGAAGCAACTCACATTCTTCCTTCATGTGGTCTTTACCGGTTTCGATCGGCAGGGTCCATGACATGGAGATAATGGTAGCGTTCTTGTCCAACGCTGCTTGAATCGCCTACTAGTCATCAGCTTCCTGGCATATGCAACGGCGAGTCTTGGTATAATTGCACGTGCAGCATACCTTGGATCGATGGTGCTTTTCCCGTCTGCCCCATTATAGGTCTTGAGCCGTATCGGGTAGACTTTGGCCATTGGGCAGACACGTAGAATCATGCTCGCCATAGTAGTACCGTGGCCCCGTGCCGACAAATAGGGCGGGTTAACTCTCTCATCATGAAAGTCGAAGCTTTTTCCTTCGAGGACTTGGTTCGGACGGCCAATCTCAAACTTGTCGACACCATCGTCAATGAGTGCAACGATAACATCACTCTCGATCCTCTCCGTCGTGCCCGAGTTCTGCCTTGTTTCGAGAAAGTTTGTGACTGTATCTTCCCAGTATGGAGCCATGGCACTCGCGAAGCTTTCAATGGATCTTAGCCAACGGTCTTCGTTTACCCCTTGGTCGGGAGTCGAGATTGTTGTTGGGGACACGATGTTAGATGTCACTCCGAGCGTGCTTCCTGTGGCTGGGCCGACTACTTTGACCCTGATGTGACCGGACATGTTGCCGCTGAACGATAGACTATCGCTAAGTCGAAGTTGCGCTTCATGGGGCGATTCCCGATTCTTATTGAGTCTGCGCTCAAACTCCATAATTCGTTGGTTGGTCCACTGTGGGCTATCATAGGTCTTCTCGGCTGTCAGTGCCTGCAAAAAATATGCATTTGTTACACAACATACCATATGAGGAGGGGGTGGGATTATCTCCACTTCTTGAAGATGAGGTAGCAAGGGCAAGGCATCCTGTTCGCTCCATGCTCTAAGAACAGCATTGCTGCCACTCCAGATCAGAGTAAGCTTCCTCAGCTGTCGTTCCGAAGGCGAGCGTACACTCTCTGAGCCATCTGAAGGTGAGCTCTCCTCTACTGCGACCTTACTGCTGATATGAAGGATGGTCTCTGGATCCAAATCGGTCTTTTGCCAGTCCAGATGCTCAATCACAAACTTCTCCAAGGCTGATTGTATCACCTCATCGCTATGCACCTTTTGCCCCGAGTCTCCAGAATCTTCGACGGATAGCTTGATGATATGACGCACTCCTTTCTTGTATAGCCGATCAAGAAAGTATTTCACGTCCTTGCGGCTGTTAGCACCTGGCAGAGTGGCTTTGGCCTGATGGGATAGTTTGTCCTGGCGATGAGCTGAACGACCCTTTACCAAGACTTCAACGCGAGGAAACGTTGCATACTGAAGTACAGGGTCAAACTTGTAGCCGTCCACCGCGTTCTCGCCAAACCTCTTGGTGAATTCTTTCCATGGTATCGGGCATGGCAAACCACGATAGTCGAAACCTATCTGGATGTCATCCATATTCTTGCCGTATAAGAAGAACATGACCATCTCAGCGTTGCGGGTCCTCATGTAATAAAGCTTCAGCTTCTGCAAAATATCATTCGAGTTCTTTTCACGGTTTCTCAGCGCACTCTGAAAATCCGGGTTCTTCTTGGAGGAGGAACTCGGTTTGACCACTCGCTTTTCGCTCTCAGGGTCCCTTTCTGGGCGGGCTGTATTGCTTCTCTTGATACCAGTATTCGACGTTGGCTCAGCATGCCGAGAAGCGTATAGTGCATCAGTCTCAACTACCTCAGGCCCATTTGTTCTCGGAGACCGGAACCGACTTCCATCTCGCTCACTAGCATCTCAATCTCAAACGATCATTCATGATCGGTGCTCCAGCCTGTTCGAGTCTGGCACGTTCCTCTTTTTCTGCTGTCGTATTCGCTCACGGTCATCAGTAGGACCGGATGGGCCGCTACTACGGCCGTATCTTTCGGTATCTCGGTCTCCCGGTCCTTTGGCTGCGGGGTTGACCTTTGACTCTCTGGCGTTGGCAGGCAATCTGGGTTCTCTGGGAGGGGCTCTCTCTGCTTCTTTTTGAGCCTCTTTGGACTCCCTTTTTCTTCGTTGCGCGGCCTGGGCAGTGTGATACTGCTCCATGTACGTCTTCCTGGTATTCGCATGCTCCTGGAAAACCGAGCAGCCGTTCAGATCGGATATGTCGAGGAACGTCTTTGCTGATTTCGGCTTGTTCAGCCTTGCCATGAAGTCTCTTTGGATCATCAAGTCAATCAGTGCCGATCTTGAATCTGTACAGCCCCTGAACTGTACTGCATGGTGTATCGGCGTCTTGCCCGTGTGATCCGTCATGCTCAAAGCCTCGTCGCTAGCGTTTTCGATCAGCATCTTCACAGTCTCGGGTTTCAACTTCTCGCCAAACGCTGCATGAAGACACGGCTTGCCATCGTGCTTGCTACACAAGGCTGTGTTCAGGTTTTGAGCACTCTCCTTTCGTTTCTTGTGACTGACGCAAGCGGAGATCATGTAGTCGAGGAGTTGATCTTGGCGAGTTCTAATGGCCATTAAAATTGGAGTCTGCCCGTCTTTGTTCTTGTACTGGAGCAGATCCGGAGCTTCTTCCACCAGCCTCCGAGCAAGGCGTTCGACTTTCTCCGGCTGGAGACCATTGTGTTTGACAACTTCGACGAGTACGTGAAGCAGATTGCCTGCTGCTTTGGTTGAGCTCTTAGCAGTGATGTCACTGAACGTTTGGAAGAAGTCGTCAGCTTGGGCGTCGCTTGTGAAGTCCTGTTCTTCCCTGATCCACCCACGTGCCTTTTCCAGACGGGTATCGTAAGCTTCTTCTAGATGCTGTTATCTGTAGACACCATCCTCATCATCAAGGGGGTCCTGAATCAAGGCTGACTCGAACTCGTCGAGAGAATTGGCATATTCTTCTTCCATGTCAGAAGCCATCTTATGCACTACGTCGAGCTTCGTGTTTATGTTGAGTAGAATAAGGTGAGATGAGACGAACCGTAGCCTGATTGAACGACACGAGGCTCTGAGCCAGGAAATCTATCCCTGTTAGAGTGTCAGGGGTGAATGATCCACATGAGCTATTTATTAGGGAGTACCCCGCGCATGCTGAGAAAGAAATCGCACCGTGCGACGGTGCGCATGATCCATAGAAGTAACACAGAGTGGGTGGTCAGATCAAAAGACTTGATTTTGTTTCAACTGCAGAGTGATCTTCGAACCAGGACAGCAAAATTCTTCAGCCATGCAAACCTTGAGTTCACCAAGATGTCCGAATCCTATCAAAATGACACTGAAGGTCTTAGCCTTGACATGTACGAGGCTGGGGAGGCCGACTTTCATGTCTTCAATGTTGCCCCAGACCAATACCATCGACAAGAAGCTCTTCAACGCACCGGCGCCGTGGAAATCAACTGCAGCATCGAAAAGGTTGTGCATGGAGCCCTCGCTCCTGATAGCGACTACTATGCAACTCTAATCGTTATGCACTGGTCCTTCCAACCAAAAAATGGGAGGCGGGTTTCTGAGGCTACTATTCAGCTCCTTTTCGAGGCTGAATCGAGTGATACGGAGATCGAGGTCAAGGAAGTTTCCTTTTCCGATACATACAGTCTAATGCCAACAACACAAGATGAGTCGGTCACCAAGGGCGCTGAGACGACTGTCGGCGTGGAGCAGGTCGGCCAACTGAGCTTAACTGGAAAGTGGGAAAAGACGGTCAAAAAAACAACATCAGACGCCATTACACTAAGCGGCGGAAAGCGTATGGTCAAAAACATGCCTCCCAACCGCATTGCAAGATGGGTTATCTCTGAGAACGAGTCGCAACAATCTGGAATTCCAACATCGCTCAAGGTTGCGGTATTTATCACGAGAGATGATGAGGAGCGGTTCAGGTGCAAGCTGGGTCTTGATTGCAAGACGGATTTGAAGACTCAGTTTCAAGGCCTATTCAGAAAGATCCCGAAAGACGACCCTATAATATTCCAGCCAGACCCCGAGGATAAAGGCACGCGATCCAACAAGAATGTCACTTACGGCGATGAGGACTTGGGAAGCGTCAACCTCGATGAGCTATCTGATGTTACGTTCCGCAGGGTCATATCGGATGGGCAAAAGGTCTGGAGATAATTAGATGAGAACATCACTGTCGTTAGCAGACACACATGATGTAGAAATCGATTCACCATTTCATTTGTCCAATGATAACCAGCAAACCAAATCTCACTCAAGCTATCGTTGAAGAGTTTGGATGACGGATATTAAGACAGTGGGCAGCGTATTACTTTACTGTACACCTTTTACCTCGCTTGATCTTGACCCCTATAAGTAAGATGTGATAACGAATCTCACCGCGTAATCACCATTTGCCTCCAATCATAGCATGCCAAGTGTGGGTGCTAAAGAGATTACATATCCACTTCGAATGGCGACGTAGTTTAGGCAACACCAGCCCTACGGCGTACTGTCAGGCACTTGGCCTTTGAACGATGTTCTCACAAATTGCATGATTCATGTCCAAGTCGGTCTTTCAACGATGGACACTTCCGAAGACCTGCGGCATGAGGTACCAGGCTCAACCTCTGAAGCGGGCGAGGGGTCAGAGAAAATATCTTCACCAGGTCTTGTTGTGGACACAACGACACCCAATGACAATACCGAGCAAGACGACAAGGACGATGACGCAGTCAGCATCAAGACAACAACAGACGATCTTTTTGGTGATGGCACCGACACGTCGCCTCGAGAACACAAGCTTGGGCTCGACATAAACTTTCCATGGGGTTGGTCCGGTTCCTCTTATGATGATTATGAGTATGAAAAGAACCCAACAACGAGTACTTCGCCTGCACCTGCTAACGTGGTCAATAGTGTCCTTACTGTGCATGGCATACGTGATGATTATAAAACTGCCTGGATCGACAGTAAAGGGAACTGGTTTTTGAAAGACAGCTTGTTCAAGGACATGTCCGTTAGAGAGATCGATTATTCTTATGAGAATCATGAAGAATCGATCCTCTATAAGCCTGATGGCATTCGAATTCTCGCAGAAAGGCTCATCGACGAATACGCGACAGTTCGAACGAAGCTTGAAGAAGTGAGATAGAAATTACCTTAAGGATCAAGTCATGAGTCTAACAATCCTGACCTAGACAGAAACGGAGCGCCCTGTCATCTGGGTTTGTCATGACTTTGAAGGTACTATCGTCAAAGAGGTATTAAGACATATAGCCCCCGCAGAAAGTCAAGTATTGCATTCACTGACCTGAATAGGCCCTTTCTATAGCAGCCCATGACCCTGGCAAATGTGGAAATATACTCATGTTGACCACTGGACTGGCAAGTAAAGCAGACTGTATCAGAGATGCCTACTAACTTTGGATGAGATCTTCTTGGGCTCGCCTCATCGATTCGAATCGCAAGACGATCTCGAGGATCAGCTACACAAACTCATTCAACTTCCCGGTCCCGAGATCAAAAACAAGACAATACCGAAAATCAAGCATCTTTCAAGACAAATCGAGAGTACCAATCTGAAATTTCTGGCTACTAAGCTTTTCGACAAAGCCACCATTTTCAACATTTTTATCCAAGACCCCAAAGCTAGTCTTGCAGCGAAGCCTGCTGATGATAAGTCCCTTGGGGCTGATGGGATCGACTACGAGGGCGAAGACTTTAGTAAAGCGATAACGCCTTTTTCGAGAAATTCGCACTTCGTCGGGCATTCCTTCGAAGCGGCTGGAAGATGGCGCTGGGATGATTATGGACAAATGGACTTTGTTTGTGAGAACATCAGTTCTTTCTTTAGTGATATTTCCTACGCTTTTGGAGCAACTGGCTTTCGTAAGTTGTCCTACAGACAAAGTTTCCATGATACAATGCTCACAAAACTATAGCCTTTAAAGTCGGCTATTGTCTGATTCCTTTTCAGAAACGACTCCTCTCCCTCGCGCCCCCGACTCGGCAATTCAGCATTCCATTCGACCCAGTTCTACCGCATCCTCCCGTCTGAAGTGGATACATGAGCAAGACTCCTACGTGTCCTTCGAAAAGACGAAATCAGGCTTTAACTACTTGCTTCTTCATGGCGACGGAAACTCAAGCATCGACATTTCCAACGTGTCCCGTCTCTTCTATGCCGCCTTGGACTCCCACGTTGTGTCATTAGATGCAAGAAACGCAGAGAAGTCGGTGATTTACTTCGAATTCGATGAGAACGACTCGCGTTACGCCAACCTTCTATCAATGTTGACATACCTGGTCAATGTCATTCTGATTCACTTCTCGCGCGAGTTCGAAGCTTTTCCCTATGAGGAATTTCACTTTCTCAGCGAGACGTGTTCATGGACTGTTGAGGATCTACACCATATATACTCCCAGTTCAGAAAAGTAGCAACTGGTACTCGCGACCTCACAATATTCATCAGCTGCTTTGATCAATGTCCGGCCGAGGAACAAAAATGGTTTATGGACCGTATTCTGTACGAGCAGAGCAAAAGCAGCGCCACTTATCACCTGATCGTATCAACTTCTACGAGAGAAGGGCTTGATTACGAAGACGCCCCGCGTGGAGAGCACATCAACCTCATGGAATGCCCTTTATACAGCGAGCCGAACTTTAAATTAAAGAAGGAACTGGAGACCAAATTGGACTAATTGGTTACTACACGACCAATCTACGAAGAGTTTCGATCCCAAATCCAAGGACTACTTGAAGATTGCCACACCGTACCGCACCCGGCACACCTGGTCTTATCCTGGCTTGGCTCTTCGTTTCGAGGTGCCCCAGAGCAAGTCATTGCAGCTGCTGTCAGAAGCCTACTTCCGATATCAGCAAAAACCATTCTCGATGTGTTTTTGTCATCACTCGAGCCGAGTATCAAGGCAAAAGCCGAGATTGCTTTGGACTGGATCAAACACGCTGCAGAGCCTTTGTCGCCGGAGGCTCTTATTGAGGCCCTCAAAATTCACATGACTGATGACAAGGATATTATCCTAGAAGACCTTGATAGAGAAACCGAGATGGCAGAATTGGTCAAGGCTTTTAGTGGGATCATCATGGTCGAGAATGGCGACGTGAAGTTCAGTCACCCAACGTTCTACCAAGTGATCCGACTAGACGAAGATACAGAACAGTCTACTACCAGGATCCACAGCTCAATGGCCGCAGTTTGCTTACGTTATTTTCAGCTTGAGAATGCCCAAAAGACGCTGGCCGCGTTCTGTTCCACAAGATTCGAAGGATCCTCGATGGAAACGCCGCTAGATATAGTCATCACTTCCCACCAACGAACCACCTTTGCTGAGTATGCTGTTCGGTTCTGGCCCCATCACTACAAGGCCAGTGGGCAGTTCAAACCGAAAAAGCTTGTTTATGAACTCTTCAATAGCAAGATATCCCGAGCTGCCTGGGAGGTTCCTTTCTGGCTACTCTCCAACCCTTTCACGAGGATTAATCGACATTACACATCGACGCTCCCGGTGTTTGCCATGTTGGGCCTGGAAGACCTGGTCAATGAGAAGATGGATTCTGAAAAGAATCATCCCAAGTTCAATGAAAACTGCTGGCTTTCGATCACAGAAGCTATTCGGTCAGGGGAAAACGCGATTGCAAAGAGACTATTGGATCAGGTCGATGTGGATGAAGATGAGCTTCGAACCTCTTTATTTTGGGCAGCAGCGCGAGATGACGAAGAACTTCTAGAAGCTTTGATTTCTAAGATTCCCGATCTCAAAGCTTTCTCGTGGCCTGCAGCCTTTATGCATCGACTCACCTCAACTGGCCAGGACGCAGTACTAGCTACAGTATTGTCATCTGGTAGCGACATAAACAGCATAGGGCCCTACTGGGGCTGCCCACCAACTCTTATTGCAGCCTGGCGTAATCGTGTCTCGACACTGGATCTCATCCTGAGATCAGAGCCAAAACCTGACTTGACTATTGAGGACAATACCGGCGATAACCTTTTGATCGCTGCTGTGAGGCTCGGAAATCCAGAGGTGGTCAAACTCATTGTTGATGCCGGTGCAGATACCAAGAATGGTAGGAAGGCTCACGGTCTGGTACGGGCAGCGGTGAGAAGCGGTTCACATGCAGTGGTCCGTATACTCGTTGAAGCCGGCGCTAAGCTCGAGATGGATGCGGAGGATGAACAAGCGCCACTTTCGCTCGCTGCGACTAATGGACTTGTTGAGTGCGTGAGGGTGCTTCTTGATCACAAAGCAGACCCAGATGCCAATAGCTCTTATGGAACTGCGCTTTATGCGGCTGTGGAAAAGGAGCATCTGGATGTTGTTCGACTCTTACTAGAGCACGACCCGAAGCCAAGTATGGACATTGCACCTCCGTACAAAGACTCACTCTTCATCCGAGCTATCTGCACTGGAAACATCGAGTTGGTATCGCTTTTGATCAAATACGGTGCTAAGACTGATTACGTTGACCCTATCGAGTCATTCAACAAGTCCCCTCTGTCTAGAGCTGTCCGCGAAGGAAACTTGGACATGGTGAAGCTTCTTGTCGATAATGGGGCTGATATCAATTATTCCGAAGGCGGAACGGACCCCCCGATGTTCGCATCCCTGTACTACAACCAAAACGACATAGCGATGTATCTGATGCAAATTGAAGGGGTTGACTTGACGTGGAAAGGGCCTGAGGGAATGGGTACCCTCCATGGTGCATATAACAGCCCAAAGCTGCTACCAGATCTACTGAAAATGAACCCTCCCATGAATGGCATGAGTATATGGGGTACAGAGCTACACATGGCGGCACGTGATGATGAGCTAGAGTCTGTGGAGATACTCCTCAAGAATGAACCGAAGCCCGACCTGGAGGCGACGATGGGAGATGATGCCGTGAATGCCTTCGAGGTGGGTTATACCCCTTTACAAGTGGCCAGCCATCACCGTGCTTTCCGATCAGTCAAGGCTCTGTTGGAGGCCGGGGCTGACCCTAGCGTGCTTACCAACAACAAAGAAGACGTTATCGATATTGTGCTCGGAGGTGAGGGCAACTTGGACGACGTTGAGAAACTTGTCAAGCTACTCCTTTCAGAGCCATACAATCTGCCCCTCGAAAGAGTCGATTATCAGAGCCGCACCCGGCTCCACAATATCAACGAAACTACATCACTTGCTGTATTTCGGCTTCTCACCGAGTCGAAACCCAATTTGGATGCTCGGGACTGCAATGGATACACACCTCTTGCAGTGGCTATCAGCAAGTCTAATAAGGACATCGCCAAATACCTCATCGACCAAGGGGCTACTGTCAATACCTTGAGTCCAACCTACGGAAGCATACTCCATCTCGCTACCAGTGCGGGATCCCTGGACCTCGTTAAGCTATTGCTGGAGGCGGGTGCAGATCCTGATCTGGTCGATCTGGAGTACGGCGAGTCCCTCCTGTTTACAGCTCTTGGCATCCAAGACGGAGCTAAACTCAAAAAGATGGTTCGGTATCTCGTTGATGAAGCAAAAGTTCCAATTGACAAGTTGGGAGGCAAATTGGGATATCCTATTCTTCGAGCAACACATAGAGCATCATACCGGAATGGCCCTTCGTCAGGGCATCAATTGCTGCGGTTCCTGATCAGACGCAACATCCACCTGGATGTTTCTGACAACCAGGGTCGCCAGGCCGTGCACTTTGCTTGCAAATCACTTCTTGCTGATAATTTCAAGGCCCTTGTTAGTGCCGGGGCAGATATTCATTCCGCCGACAAGTTTGGCCGGAAGCCGATTCACTTCGCGGCATCGAGTCCATACAACCATTGCCTTGATTACCTCCTTAAGGCGCTTGCAAAGACAGATATAGACGTCAAAGACAGCGACCAATGGACTCCTCTGATGTGGGCTGCACGATCTGGGCTTGGTTCTGTGGAGATGCTCGTAGAACGAGGCGCCGACATCTGGGCGCGATGCCGATCTTCCGCACAGCAGTCCGACTGGTCGCCCCTCAAGCTGGCGAGATTTTCAGGCCGTGCAAAGTGGATCACTGATATCCTCGTGCCCAAGGAGCTATCGAGGACCAAAGAAGACGGCTCTCGAGAAGATTGGGACGAATACTTTCACAAGAGCAAGACAGGGCACGAAAAGCTAGAAGAATGCGATAGCTGTCTCGTTGTAAGTGATCACTCACGGCCCTTCTCTCTACTGCGCTAACGTTGGATGATTGCTGAAGGTCATCACTGGCTTGCGATGGGATTGCATTGAGTGCATCGATACCATTTCGTTGTGTTTCAAGTGTGTCCCTCACAAGTCCTACCTCCATAATCCAGAACATAGTTTCCGGGATATTCCACCTCTTTATGAAACGGAGTCGGTGGGAGGCAGTGTGAGAAGCAACAGTCCCCAGGAAATGCCTGCACATGAAGAGGATGCAACCTCAGATGGCAGTTCTGGGATTGATCTCCAGAATCTGGAGTTGGACTTAGAAGACTAGGTATGGTTTAGGGGAGAGTGAAAATAAATAGAAGTAGCTAAATATGAGTCGCTCTGATGGATTGACCTAAGTGCACTTATGAAAGTGAATCCAGGAGTGGCTGTAAACAATGCTATGGGCACTATTGGTCATAAGACCTGATAACTGTTGCTTAGTCTGATATCATATAGTCAAAAGGGTTGACCCTTCGATACATCCGCAATTCTTCAATTTGACGAAACAAGCGCGCAACCCCATCCCTATCATACCGAATACTCTCCGTCAACTCCCCGTGACTATGATCGAAAACTATAATCCCGCAGAGTTCAAAGAACTGAAAAATGCGGACCCGCTCCAAGACCGACATTAGTTCCGGCAGTGTTGCACGAACAGCTATACAGTCACGTATCGTAATATAGATCTCAGATCCCCTCCAGACGATGGGTAAGAGGGTATCGCCATAAAAGTCTCGGATGGGGGCGAATACGCGATCTCGGCGAGCAAGACGTCGTTGCGCGGAGTTCATGGGGCGTCGCGCATGGAACCAGAAGATGATGGCAAAGTCATTGTCGTAAGCGTGGTGGCCCATAAGGTTCATTTTGTCTGTTATATATTCGGGTGCTGTTGAGTCAGAGTGTTCTTTTAGTTGAGACAGGGTGGAAGACCTGGGTGAGTATGGCCTTTTTATATGTCTCCTCGGATGCGACTCTGATGGACACGATCCATATCTATAGATACTCGTGATGAAGAATCTCAGCAGGTCGCGATTCATTAATCACTTCGGGGACTGGTCGAAGCCTGTGGAGTTTGACAGCATCATTTGCTCAAGTGGTCATTGATTGTATGAAAATGGGTATCTCTCATCACTGCCAAGGAAGAAATTGTTCAAGAAAGACCGTTAATTGAGTGACTTGTTAAATGATATTGAGGGGGCGAGGGAGCTTTGGTAGAGCAGTTGCCCGTAACCCATACTGCCATAGCCTGTATTGAGGGACTAAAGAACCATGTGATGCGAGAGGGCATTATTTATAATGCTAGCGACAATCCGCTCATAGCATTCGTGTCTTACTCGTCAAAGCCGACCCTTCACAGAAGCATCCTCCCTTTGTATCTGCGAAACAACTCAAGAGTGTCGCTGCTGTGCTTTGATATGATCTTCAGGCCCTGCGAAGTCTCCTCGAAGACAACCCACTCGAAAAGTTGAGGTTCTTTGAAAAGCCCGTCTTGATGAAAAAGCCCAGTTTTTTCCAAGACATCCAGTAGTTCTTGGTACAATTGTTCACCATCCGCATGCAAACACTGCGTTATCGCAAGGAAGAACCTCCACTGGTCCGCCTGACATTCCTCAAGGCGGTCACCGTACTTCTGTAAGATGAGGCTGAAGAGATTGTTGCCGGCGGCTGTTTGGTTGTCTTGGACAGTGTCGGTCTCGTAGAACATGAAGGCGATTGTGTACTTTTGCGGGTTGGTGATGGACGTCATTTTGATTGTTTGCTGCCAGTGGTTGGTTGCGTTGTTGGTTGGTGTTTGTGAGAGAAGCTTCTTGGTCGACAAGAGTCACAGGAGCGCGCTTGGTCAGTATATATGCCTGGGTGAGCGCATGTTTGACAGTGATGAGGCCTACTCTTGCACATAAGTTCAAGAGTGATTAAGCTCCGCGGCCAGCGATTGTTGCTGGATGACTGCTGGTCAATTGAGCTCATCACGCTGCCTACTCCCTTTGATTCAGCGCAGAAAACCCCCCTGTGTCACGTACAGGTAGGGACTCCATTCTGAGGCAGCTTGAGACACGAAATGATTGAGACCAAGAAAAGAGAAACATGCAGTTCTGATAGACCGTTAGTGTGTGGATCCTACGTTCATTCACTTAGCCAGAGTTATCAGCTTTGATCGCGACGGTAGTGGCATGGGATAATATTGATCTGTGGCTTTATCAAGACAGAAGGTATTGTCATGTCTGTTCGTCTCTGTGACTCCTCCTTTGAGAATTTTTGTAAATTTGATAGGAAACGTGTTCATCGGGAAGGTCTATTTCTTAGGGTTATAGGTGTAGCCTCATCCATCCTCATTCCATCCCCACCGACCCGGAAAGCTTCGTCTCTGGTCAACTTCAATCACAAATTGTCCATGATTTCCACCATGCTGGTGCCAAAGGCGAGCGTTCAGCAGTTGGAAGCAGGTGGCTCAGGGGGCGTGAAATAATCACATTGACCATTGTCTTTTATTCTGACGCCAAACACCTGGTCCGCCTCCCACTCCTCGAAAACCTCCATTTTGTTCAGGACTTTCCATAGCTTCCTTATCGCTTTTCCAGGATCGGTAAACTCAACGAATAGTGTGTAAGTGAGTAATCGCCTCTCGAGATTGACCTGTTGTATGCCGTTGGAGCCGTATCTGTACACAAGGGGGTCGTCTTTTGGTTCTCGTTTTAGCTCAACCCCATCCTTTCCTTTAAACTGCGCAGTCATCTGGCGATACTTTGGTTGGCCCATGCTGGGAGAGAATGATGACAATAGGGAATTATTGATGAAGAAAGTTCTTTTCTAGGAGAGTGTAGCGATGTGATGTTCGTTTGTGTCTGGCTGATTCCACTGTGAGTTTGCAGAGATTCCACCAGAGGATGGCTCTTTCATAAAGAGAGATGAGTCCTAGTGCTCTTTCCATGATTGCCAATTCACACCACAATCAGCGCAGTGATCAGGGTAAGAACAAGCAATCTACAGCATGTTCCGCGACACATGATCATTGAATCTGGTGGATTAGTCAATGTTCGCGAAACTCGGATTTTTAGTTGGGCAGCCAAGTTTTCGAGATCAATGAAAAGGGAGCATTCTTCTATTGATTACTGATAAGCTCCAAGCCCACTGTTTCGCCCTTCAACCCCTGTGTATCGCGCCTCCTCCCCCGTCTCCATTTCCCGCATCTCCCCCCATTCGTCCTTTTCGCTAAGCTCCCTTTTGTCGAGGACCAAAACTGCTCTCCTTACTTGCCAGGATAGGGATCCCCCATGAGATACACACAAGAACTGTCCGCAAGCCAGACCATGATTCTTTCCGGCTCCCAAGTCTTGAAGATCTCAGTCTCCTCGAGTACTGACCAGAGTTCTTCCTTCATGCGATCCGCCGTGTCGCACACCTTTCTGACTTGAATGCTGAAGTGTTTCTTCTTGGAGTCCACAAACGAGACGTTGCCTTCTCCGTAGTGTTCCTTGAGCTTCTCCAGATCCACAGTCTTTGGGTATTTCTTGCCCTCCTTCAGCTTGAAGTGGACATCGATCGACTTGGTCGCGATAGCGGTCTCGATAGCGGCGGGCATGCTGGCAGTAGAAACGGTTTGTGATAAGTGTTTGTGTGATGAAGTTGATGATCTTTTTGTATGTTCTCGATTGTTGTTGAGTTGATAAGAAATACGTCCGGCGATCGTGTGTTCAAGGAGCTGGACGAGTTGACAATGTTTGTGATGAGTGGCGGAAGAGGGCGAAAGAATGCGCGCTGGGAGCAGTGATTTGGTCACCAAGGAAGGACTGCGATGGGCGGGATGCAAGAGCTGCCAGTGGCACTGCCCGCATCATGGTGGTTCACAAACTCGGGAGGTGACCTCCATTCGCAGCTTCCTGGAACAGAGATTCATTGAGCCCTAACCACATCAACAGGAGTCAAGGACCAGTTCTGATCCACACGCTTGGTCGGCCCAGGCCGCGAGCTGCCTCAGTCCCGCCACAACTTGATACGTTTCCACAACTGAAGAAGTACTGCCAAACTGGTATTCCTTCCACAGTATTGTCTTTTGTCCTTGGCGTGTTGAGAGAAGGAAAAGCCATCTATGTCCCTGCACAACAACCGCAGGGATAAACCGCAGCCGTGACAAGGCTTGGTCGACTCGTTCAGTGTGTTGCACTGTTGAGCATGCACCATCCTGCGACCGTAATATCGACGATTCGACGGATGCCCATTGAGCGGCGTGCCAGATTCCCATGTGTAGCTCAGCTCATCGGATTCGCTTCCTGCTTCTGTCTCGATGCTCAACACTGTCAAATGCGCCTGCAAGCGTTCAGAGTCGGTGTGGTAGAAGGATGGGATTTTGCGATAAAATTCCTCGTGGAACTTGGCTCTCTCGGTGTTTTGTTGCGTTGAGTCAGCGTAGACGCGAAAGTCGGCCATCTTCGAGCCGGTTGGCCTTGGCGGCCGGTGCTTGTGTGGACGAGGCGCATAGCTGTAGAAGCGAATGAGTAAAGGATCCAGTCAAAACCGGCAGACGGGCGAATGTATGAGCTGCTTGCCTGGGAGTTATGTTGAAGAGTCCTCCTATTTCCTCTCCTGCGTCCCTGAATATTGCTTGTAGCAAACGAGAGTGGACCTCATCGCTCCAGCCAGCCTCCTCATGATCAGAATTAATGCAATTTGTAGTCCAGCTGTAGACCAACTCGATCTCTCCAGCCGATGGGATACGACCGGGAAGGTGGACAAAAGCATCCGACTCTTTGAAGGCAAAGTCCCAGTCGTCTAGGTCACCTTGTTTGATCCCGTGACCTAGTAGAATTTGTTCTCGCATATCTTGAGGAAGAATCTCTTTGCAATTACCGATCCGTCGCATGGTGCGCAAAAGAGAAGCCGCCTCTGGATTCGGAAGTGCTTCGAGAGCATTAGCGGTGAGCGCTTTGGTCTCCAGACCTTTCTCATCAAGGCGGAGTTCGATAAATTGCCTTTTTAACGGCGATGGAGAGCGAGCCCGACTAGAAGCGTTGGTGCTGGAGCGCGATAGCGGTGCGTTGGGATGCTTATTTGAGGTTTCGTATTGAGGCCAAGTGGTTTGCTCCAGATCTGCACGTGCGATCAGCTGCTGCATCTTCCTACTGAGTGCTTCGGAGCCGTCGGTGTCTATACTCAGTGTTGGTGATGATGGTGGCCGGTTTCGCTCCTGTGCTTGTACTGGGTTGTTGCGCTTGTGTTTGCCGGCTGCTGATGCTGGCGCATCAATGTCTTGCAACAGTTTGCGGGGACAGATCTGGGGTAGATTTTCCATCCACGCGATTACTCTATCTTGCGTCGTCATGTCTCGCTTCGCTCTTGATTTTGATACTCATTGTCGGTGCTTGTTTTCGACTTAGTTTGGTGCAGTTAATGTTGACATTGCATTGTTGTGCTACCATTGGGAGTCATGCCTGAGGCAACAAGCTTTTTCCATCCCCTTCGCGTCACAACTCGATTCAATTGGCTTCAAAGTATCCCACGTTGTGGCAGTGCGTGATATGATCACCAACTATACTCGAAAAAAAAGCAGATTCAGAAGCAAATGGCATATCGTAACACCTCCATTGTATTGTCTACTAATGTACTGTGATGAGATACGCTCGCTCAACATCGAGTCAATGGACTTGTCCCCAGCAATCCAAGGCGATTCCCAAAATTCTACCATGGGTTCCACCAGTATTTCAAGCCTCTGGCTTCTGTCCATAAAATACAGTCCTACATCAAGACCTAGGTCAGTATGTGTCTTAGATCCCGAAACTCAAGCTCGACTTACACATCAAGATACGCATGTAGAGCTGGGTTCGTCAACTCTTTGCGCATATCTGCCAAGAACAGCTGAGCATCCTCGTATTTCCACTAGATCCATTAGCAAATTTCGTGACCATCCGACATCTGCTCCAACTTACGCCCAGCATCTCGGTTAAGCCACGAATTGAGAAACCCTCGAGACCTTGAAGAAGGAAATGACGGTTCCAAGCACCCCACTGCTTGAGAGTCTTGTCCTTCGGCCAAGTTCCAATAGGAACCTTGATCCTTCGACCCGAAACATTGATAAATCCAGCATCAGAAATAGACTCCTGCATCTTGTCATCCCAGAAGAAGGATTTGCCTGTCAGAGATTCAATCTTCTTGAAGACCTCTACCCACTTGTGGAGCGGCGACTCAGGCTTCAGGGTATCGTCATCACACTTTGAGTTGCCCCAGAGCTCAACGCTTTCTACCCAGCCACCAGGCTTCGTGTGCCTAAAGAAGTCAGCAGCAGTTCATTAGTTTTGAACAGGGAACGGACTTGAATGCTTTGCGGTAAAAGTCCGTCCAGTCGGGAAGACAGCCTATCATAGAGCGGGAGTGAATGAAGTCGAAGGTGTCGTCGGGATATGTCCATTCATTTGTGATATCGTCAACCTCGAATCTACAGTTGGGGGGAACAAAGTTTGGCTGGATGGGAGAGAGATCGACGCCAAGAACATCAGCAGAAGGATGTTCATCAGCAAATTCGCTAGCTTCGTCAGTCGTTGTATCAGAGATGAGCTTTGTCTATGTGAGCTCACATTGCCCAGATGCCAGTTCCACATCCTATGTCAAGGACTTTCTGCCTTTCAATTAGAGGAGTTCAACATATCATGGCGTGTAGATTACCTGAGGGTTGTCGCCGATCGGTGCCTCGTACAGTGAATTGCCAAGGATGATTCTGTATACCTCGTGCCTGTTCAAATTTGTTAGAAGGTTCTCAGTGCTTGTCTTGCAGGTTGTTCTTACATGAGGTCTTCAGCTTCTTGTTGGCGATCATCATTTGGAGCCCTAAATTGTATAAGCCGACTGGGACATCAAAGCACTGAATAAGAGCTCACCAATAGGACCCATCTTGGTAAGCGTGGTATCGACGTCCATTCTCCCATTTGAACGCCATAATCGACGATCGAAGGGACTCGGTATCCGTAATCCCGGTACTGCGATCATGTAAATATCTCCAAAAGACCCTGGCCTGGTATTAACTCACGATTTGGAGTAGGAAGAATCGGAATCATCGTCCTGTTACCCAACTTCTCGTCAGTGTCCAAACCCGTCGAAAATACCGTGGCCTGATCATACAACTTCAATTGCCGCCTGTTCTTCAGCGACCTGGCCCATCGCTGCAGGGGACTGCGGTCCCGAAGGTGACTTGGTAGGAGACCTAGACTTTTGTGACTTCGGGGACGACATTTTTCGTACAATATTCGCACGGGATATACTAAAAGTGCCGGATTGAGATTAAGATTGGCGCCGTCGAAAACTAAAAGAGGGATTAAAAATCAAGAAACGACCGCTCGTGTGTCGGACTGTCGGTTAATGAGGGGGTTTCCACGGTATCCCTGTCGAGGGCATTACGAACCAGCGCATGCATGTGGTCTTGGGTTACATTCCGTGGCGGAAGTGTCAATCAACCGTTGGGTGCTAATCATGGGCATGGGGCTGCGGAGCATGTCCATCGTTCAGCAAAGGAATCTCAATTGTCAGATCATATGCATGATGGGAACAATGTCTCAACTAGACATGTATTGCAGATGGTTTCGGGTTTAGTTTCGAGAGATATGTATACAGAAGACAGTGGGATTATGTGAGCTGCACGCCCTTGCATTGTGATTGTGATAGTGACAGGGTTCGCATACGAGAAAATTCGTTCACCCTGATGCATAAACGAACCAACCAACCAATAACATGGCACCTTCGGCTTCGATACCCCAGGGTGGAAAAAATATCCCGCTTCAAGTGAGAATACAACCATTTATCGGCCCGTATATGGGTTGAACTGCCAAGCCCACCATTGCTCACACTGTCGATCTCACATGCGATCTGTGAAAACCCAGATTTGATGGCCGAAGCGCAATGGTTGGGAGCTAGACTGCCTTATCCAAATACGGTTATTTGTTGATTGGCTATGCTACAGATGTCTACCATGTTGGTGGGATAAAAGACCGCCTCTGACCCGCCAAAGCTCCCAGCTTGAACGCCAACAGCCTACCGGCCGACTGCTCCCTTGAGTGACCCGGATCGATAGACATCCTCTTCGATGCATTCCTGTTACTCGACACAGACCTATTCCTTCTCAGATCCATCGCGCTCGAAGCCGAAATGAAGCTCTGTCGGGACGAAATAGACTCCCCACGCGACCGTCTGTTCAAACCCTCAAGCTTGAGCTTCAGGGCCATGCTGGTCTCATATGGTCGAGGTCGCGGCGTTGGGACGAAGGATTCCGCGATAGAGCCTGTGACTGAGCTACCACTGAAAGAGCTGCGGCGTGATTGGGCAGTTGTGCACGATGCTGAAGATGGGACGCTCTCATCGTCTGGGATGGACTTTAAGCGTTCCATGAGTGGTTGAGGGTTGGCGACGACTAATTCGTCGGCTTCTTCGAAAGAGATGGAGCTGATCGAGGTGCATTTGGCCGGCTCGCTCAATCGAGAAGCTGAGCAAGGCATCATCTCGTAACCAGCCATGATTCTCATGCGCGCAGTGAGCATCTGGTCCTTGCAGGCCACCAACGCATTCGGATCTAGCTCGAGCGCTGTCTTCAGTTCTAGTGGTTTAAAGCGACTGATGCTCGTGTCCAAAGCGGTCGCAGCCTCGACTTTCTGACGGGCCGGCTTGTCATTCATCGGGATTGCGTTTTGAAGGTCCTCCAGCTGCAGTTGGCTTGGCATACTACTCAACCGGCGAAAAGCTTTTTCGTTCTTCTTCATGAAGCTTCCCATGCTTTCAACCGCCCCAACGTTCACTCTCAATGCAGATGAAGCGACCGTACCGTCCTTGGTGATGGTGCTGACTCTCTTGTGGTGAACATCATTCACGGTGGCTGGCTGGACGGTTGTCGTTGGTGGTTCCACAGTCGAGGAGGTAATCACATGCTTGATCTGTGAGAGGATATTGTCAAAGGTCGTCTTCTCCAACGACTTCGCGTTGATGTAGTACGACTCAGGTTGACCGTTCATCGGGATCTCACTGCCCCGGGATCGGGTCATGACAAAGAAGGTTCCGTCACGAATGCATCGCCTGATGAAAGCCCATCGTGTTCGCGCTGGGTTATGCTCAAGCTCAGGCTGATACACCGAGAGGCGTGCCAACTGGGTGTAGAACATGGCCAATCGATGTGTCATCCTCTCGAGTGTCTGCAAGAGGAACGACGACAAAGCAGCTACAGGTGTAGAGTCGGAATTGGATCCATCGAAAGAATCGAGGACAGTTGCGATGCTCTCAAATGCGTCCATGCCGTTGCACGCCTCTTGTCGGAGATCTTCCAAGAGCTCAATGTCGAGCTGCACGCATTTGGCGGTAAAGTCAAGGACTCCCCGCTCTTGGAAGCGCAGCTCGGAAGATGGGTCACAGACAAATTCTCCAAGTGCACTAATCTCTTTCGCGCTGCGAACTGCGTCACTACCAGACTTGGCCCGAGCGATGGTACCTAAAATGTCTGGTAGCTTGGAGGCTGCGCCAGGTCCGCCGGAGTTGGCGAAGTTGAATGACAGGCGCAGGACCAGTTCCTCCAACTTGGAGCCGAAAAGTGCTGCGAAACCACCTTGCAGCAAACGATTCTGGTAATCGTAGAAAGTCCGAATGGCGATCGTGTTTGGGAGGCCTTCGCGAAGCCAGATGTTGCTGATGCCGTTGGGATCATACGCAGAGGGAGAGTCAATTGACTCGCCCATGATATCGTTCATCTCAAACTGATGGGCTACAAGCGTTTCAACGGTGACCCTCAAGTACGAAGCCCAAAGGTCATGAAGCGTTGAAACGTCGTTATCGCGATAGTCGGGCTTGGGAGCCAAGTGACCAATGAAGTACCTCGTCAGAAGACTCGACACCTCGGGGTTGTTGGTATGTGCAAGGTTGTCAAAGGACTTGGTGCAGTCGACGCCTGCGTTGGACTTGATGATGAGGGTTCCGCCAGGATGCATGGGACAGAAGTCGGTGACGTCGTAAACACTGCCGTGAACGGCGATCCACATTCGAGATTCTTGGCGATGGCCGGTATGCAGAGCGAGGCTGGAGAGAGAGATGGTGGGGAGGTTGCAGGGGAGGGCCTTGGGAGACATGAAGACATCTAGCATGAAGCGACGCTCGGCAAAAGCCTTGTTGATGATCAAGTCAACGGTCTCCATGGTTGCTGTGCGGTAGTTGTACATGGCCTTTCGGATACCGCTCATGACAGAGTCAAACACAGACACCGAGCCGCAGACGTACAAGTGACCACCAAGGCCACCCTGCTTCTTTGACATGACCATGTCGCAAATCGTGTTACCCTGCTCGATGATGAGGCTGTCGATGTATCGAGGAGGAGTCGGCTTCTCCACAAGATCCCTGGCGACACTGTCATATGCCAAACCATGACGATCTCTAGAGAACGCAAGATGCACCTCCATGAACCCCATGTTGACGAGTTCTCGCAGCTCAGCCTCATAGCAGAACTTCTCACGAGACTGGACTCCCAGGTAGAGCAGATTGCGTCCACCAGAGAGACCCGATGTCGCTAGCCGATGCTGCCAGAAGCTGCGGAAGGGAGCGATACCACTTCCTCCGGCGAAGAAAGCGCAGGGAACCATTTTGTCGATGGGAAGTTGGAAAGCCACTGGTCGGGAAACGCCAATGAGGACTTCGTACAAGAGGCTGTTCTCGGGGGACAATGGACGAGGGTTGAAGAAGCCACTTGCGACACCGGCTCTTGTGACTGTCTGTCCTTGGGAGAAGATGGAGGAGAGCTCGTATTCGGCGCGGGAGATGGTCAGGTCGACGGTGCTGGGGAGTAGCTCATTGCTGTGACTCGAAATCGAGTATGTTCGCGGGACTTCAAGCTGAACGAGCTCCGACAACCAGCTCAGGTCTTCGAGGTTGAAAGCACGGTTCCAAATGTGGCTTGGGGTATCGAGAACGGCCTTTTGCAGAAGGTCGCCTAAAGATCCTCGGACCGGCCATTCTTCGGTTGCCAGTACTTGGAGGACCGTGTTGGATGAAGCGTGGAGGAGCTCGTGGATTTTGACGGTGAGCTCCTTGGTGATTGGTGCGAGGTGGCCTCGACGGAGGATGTCGATGACTGTAAGTTGTCTGTGCGCGGTTCTCGTGACTGTAGAGAGGTGATGTTCGAAGCGCGACCAAGTTCCTGTAGTGTCAACTGCTTCCCTCACATGTTGATCCAAGCCAAGAGCAGCAACCATCTTCGCGCACTCCTCCCAACTGTTGAGAGGCATTACAGCTACACGATCTCCAGGTGCAAAAGTAATGCCCGTGTCCCGAATATCCAGTGTAACCATGGCAGTTGACCGACTCGCATCCTGATCAATCGAAGAGCAACTCGCAATCTTTGCCAGATACCGACACTCCTCAAAAGTCCCCCTCATCGCATGCGGCTCCGTAGCAAGCTTGCCCCGAAAAGGCTCAAGCCGCTCCTTCATAGCATCCGAGAACTGACGATGTGTCTCCTCCCAAGGCCTTGTCGCATCAGCAGCGCCGGAAAGACCGTTTGTGGCTGTTCGTCCTGTCTTGGCTGCTACTTCGAGGATACCGAAGACTTTGTACCGGTGCACGCCCATGAAGCCGCGTTCTCCGGCGTAGGCTTCTACGATGCCCTCGAGAACACCCATTAGACGTGGGTCGCCGGATCGTTGGACGAATTCGGGGATGGAGTAGTGGTATTGGATCGCGGCGATGAAGGCGCGGTGGTTGGAGGGGAGCCATGCTCGAAGATGGAGGGCTTCGACGCCGAGGAAGGATGCGTGTCTGTGTCATGTTAGTTTTGATCCAGAGGAATTTGAAGTTCGTCCTACGTCTTGCGACCCAAGAAGGCATCCATCACCAGGTACGGGGGGAACTGCAAGCCTGAAGCGGCTGGGACTCGCTTGGATAACGGCGATGAGAAGAGACCCCATCGAACCCATTTGTCGGCCGATACGTAGTTGTCGCCTGCGTTGGGGTTGGGCGAAATGCTGTGAAAAGCGTTGGGCATTCGTTCGAGGATCTCCTTTAGGCGAATCATCTCGTGGAGGAGACCTTCGATGTTGCCGGTCATGACGTGCTCTTGACAGGCGGCGATGGCATCAGGGCCATGTTGGAATGAGGCTGTTGGGAGTGTTAGTTAACGACTTGTAGTGGAGGGGAAAGACTTACCAGAAGTATCAGCACATCCTTTCAGAAATGCGACCTCAGCCCTCTCGCCGAACATGGGCCATCGAAGATCAGTATTGTCGAAGCGTGCAAGATATGGGGTGTTTGACTTGACGTCTCTGATCTTGAGGTTGTAGGAAGCTTGGTCGGGAAATGATAGGTGGGGTAGGGTTCTTCCCATTCTTCGCGAGACCTGATAGTACGGCAGAGCAATGCACAGTGGGATACCCTCAAGCTCTTCGCAAAGATCATCACCCATCGGACATTGCGGCTTCGTTGTCGATCCGTCCGTGATAGCAAGTCCATGCTTTCCATCATGCTTATCCTCAAATCGGTAAATAGAACAAAGCATTCCGAGCGCCACTACAGCGCCCCAAAGAGCTTGATCAGGAATATTCTCCTCCGTCCCTTCAACGAGCGGCAGTGCAGCGACTGCTTCTCGAACTCTTCCTCGTGCACAGCATCCCGGCATGCGCTCGCAGAGATCAGACCAAATACGACCCGGTGATCTTGCAAGCGCAGCGATGGGCTCTTCGTAATCTGGTGGGCAGAACCCATGCTCGACGCTGAGATATCCATCGCGCCATCCTGTCTGGGGACCGATTTCTTGAGCGCGTTGGAGTACTTGTCGAGCTGGTGCGCCGAGGGCGATGGCGAGGAGATCGTGGTCGCTTGCGTTCATGGCATCAAGTTCTTGTTGGCTCTTGACGGAATCGACTTCTTCGCGGGAGGGGTAGTCGGCGTATAGCAGTTCGTTGATCGTCTTTCGTTCTCTGTTCAATCGCATGTCAGCCTTGTTGTGAGCTGCCCTGTTCATCGAACATCCTACCTTGCGCGGAGCCATTCTTCTGTGTCGATCCCCCGTGGAATCTACATATTCAGTCAGTACCTCTTCTGAATATCTGTTCGCTTTCACTCACATCAAATGCAGCATGAAGATCCCCAGGTTGCGCTGCCGCCGAAAACGCACAGCCTCGTCGCGTCTGCCCCGATCGCGAAGAACCACCACCGACCGGACACTCTCCCCCCACGGACCCCGACACCGGACAAGACGAAATCGACATGACGAAATTAAAGCGACCGACCAATTAATAAAAGCACAAATAAGGCCACCAGGGCAAAGAAGGGAAATACATAAAACAACCGCAAAAAAAAAAGCCGCCAGGGCTGAACAAACAAAAAAACGTACGACAATCGAACGATGAAAAAGCGAAGGATTGGGAAAGATCTCAGAGCGGAAATAAAGATTATCAAGATCGTGGTATCATATACGTATGAGATGTCTGGGGCAAAGTGGGCGAGAGAGTCGAGACGTGTTTCAGGATGGTTGCACTAAGACTAGACGGAAACATGCCAAGCCTCCGCGGCGCAGTGTTGCAACTAATATTAAGCTTAAATTGAGGGATGAGACGGTAATTGCAACATGACAAGACGCTGGTGCACCCGGGACCACGAGATTCCGTCTGGAACCAAGATCTTGGAATTGTTGATTGCCCACTTTACGGTGATATTGGTGTCGTAACACGCATTCTTTGCTTTTCGAAGTTTCACGATAATAAGTTTGAGGAGCGATCGATCGATTAGCTAGAGTAGGAGAATTTATAACTCTAGATCTGTGTTTGTCACCCTTGTAAAGTCTCAGTGTTGTAACCAGTGCGGGTGTGGCTTAACCAAGCACCAGCGGATCTTGGCCCCGGAGCCAGCAGCAGGAGCTTGAGAGAGTAGAAGTCAGACAGGGTGAACACTGTTCAGTCAAGGGGTCTTCTAAGTTACCCTAAATTATCCTAAACCTATCTAAATACTCCAATCCTTTAGGATCATCCAAATTGGCTACTCGGTGGGCTTTCTTGCTCAGAATGGCCGTTGGCAGAAACCTAGTGAGAAGGGAACTGCAGAGCCTGTGCAGCCTGTGCAACCGGGACAAAACATCAAATCTAAGACTGAGGGATTGCTCTTGCTCTTCAATTTTATTTTAAAAACTTTGGTATTATGCTCCGACGTCAATTGATTTAGGGATCAAAAGGCAACAATTGAAGTTAGCTATTCTGGCCTTACCCTACATCATCCACTGCTTCGCCGGGCTAGTGATATGGACCAACGTTATTCCGCCCACCTCTTAGCGCGCTGACAAGGGGATGTCTCAAGACCACTCCACAGTGAGTGAGTGATCGGCCAGGACATGAACCATGTCCAGTCGAAATGTCCAATCAGCCGAGCCAGACGTCAACAACGAACAACCCTTCTCGCCGCCAAGCACTCAACGTCAGTCTCACCATTGCACGAACGATAGCTCATGACTGATTTGTTAGGCTTGCGAAGCTTGTCGGAAAAGAAAGACGAAATGTGACGAGAAGAAACCGACTTGTGCACGATGCACGCGCTTGGGTCTTGAGTGCATGTACATCGAGACTGTTGCTGCAAAGTGTGTGCTTGGACGAAATCAATGAGAACGATAGCTGATATCTTGCAGGAAGAATTTGTCGATAGAAGAGCTGACGGGTACTCTGAAGCGAATGGACGAGAAGCTCGATGTCCTCACAGCTTTCGCTCAACATCAAGGGCCTACGACCGGCCTGGCATCAACCCCGGGAGACAGTCAATTCGCTGCTTTCAGTCCCTTGAATCTCGGTAGTACAGGCGTCGCTCAAAATGCTTCAACACCATTTCTCGATACCGGCCGCGTGCTTGAAGAACTCTCCCTATCCCAGCGCCACTCCACCGCGCCCCAGCATCTCCTCACCTGGCCTTGTTCGACTCTTTCGATGAGCGAACCAGATCTCCAGTACCCGATGGAGTTGGAAATAAACCGACCTAGCTTATCTCGCTCGACAGCACCACCCCGTTGCCTTGACGCTTCGCCTTCAGAGTCTTGGCTATCACGGCTGTCTTTGTCTCAAGTTAGCTTACTAACGCAGTCGTATTTCCAGCACTTCCATCCTTCATGCCTCATCCTGAATGAGTCCTTGTTCTACTCACAGATTCTAAGCAACGCCGTTCAGACCAACTTTGCGCCGAATTACAGCTCGTGCACGGTTCTGCTTGTCTGCAGTTTAGGGTCCATAGTTGCTCATTACTCCGGACATGAAGAGTGGTCTTCAGGTAATGATCAAGATATTGGCCTCGGTTTTTTCAATTTGGCAAACAATATGTTCCGCGAACTGGAGAGGTGTGACTGGGAGAGCGTCCAGTGCCTGCTTCTGATGGGGTAAGCTGTCCTCCTTGTCTGAAGCTTCACTGCCTGCTGACAAAGATAGTCTATTCTACTCTGCCAAACTCAGGGTATATGATGCCTGGCAAGCCAACCATAGAGCTTGCTGCACTGTCTCAATACTCGTACCACTGTATGCCAGCACTTCTTCGTCTTGGTATCCTGTGGCTCACTCCGTTCCAGACAACGCACATTAGAGGCCCAGCATTGCCAGCTATTCTGGATTGCATATCTACAAGAGAGGTAAGACTTGCTACAGTACAACGTATTCCAAGCCGATGATGGTCTTTCAGTCAAATTCTCGCAGAGTTCGACTTCCCAGCCAGCGGGCTTGGGAAGCTCGCGAGCAGCATGCCTCTACCCGTCGTCCCTGGAGCAGGCGCCGACCCAAGCCACGCTCAGTACCAGTTCTTCTTCTTAGCTCTCATTTCCATGAGAAAACTGCTAAACCGCATTTTGTTCCACCTTTATAGCCGAGGTACGCCACCGGGCCTATGGATGAATTCGCAAAGAAACTAACAGGAACCAGACCATACTGAAAACGCCACGAGCGGAGAACCGGCAAATATCGATAAACCCGCCGCGTTTTTAATGGTATCGCCATCCGTGATGCTCGAGCTAGACCGTCAACTTGAAGAGTGGAGAAGCTGTCTGCCCCAAGGACTCGAGTTTCCAGCCTACTCAGAGGCTCAACTTGCAGAAGTCCCTGCATTTGATCAGACTCATCGCTCGACAGATGAAAGACTGCGTGGTCATCTGATGGCTCGTTACTTCGCAGCAAAGTCCATTATTCACCGCCCATACATCTACAAAACACTTCATCTTGGCGCTACGAGCTCTCTTAGTGATGCCGACGCCGCAGGTGCACGTACAGCAGTTGGCAGCGCGTTGATGTCTGTGGTAGCAAGCGGAATCTTGCACGAACCGTTGGTATTGCTCCTTCATCCCATTAATTCTTGTCGGAGGTATGTTGCCATCCCTGCACCGCGCTCTTCCACTGATCTGTCTTTAGTTTGTTTGCTTGTGAGCTTCAACTCGCCTTTGTACACCGCAGCGAATCTTGCCAATTTCTATTGCCCCGGAATTGGAAAATCGCAGGAGAGGCTAGGAAAGCTGTTTCGGGGTTGGTAGTGGACATGTCACCGACGGCGTTTCGAGACGGCGAAATATTAAAACTTCTGTCTAGCTAGAATGAACTTATTGAACATACGTATTTCTGCAATTGCTTGAGAAACAGCACAGTCTTCTAGTTGACCCAGTGATATTCCTTGGGCGACCTGAAAGCTACCGCCAACCCCTCATCCCTCGAGTCCTTGGCAGCTGTCACGCGATACTCGGAGTCCTTCTCAATCACCCACTTGTTGACACTATCATCCCAGTATGATAGACTGACCTTGTCAATCTTCATACGTGCAGTGACAGTCTGTCCAGCAGGAACGAACACCTTGTCCCAGCCTTTCAGCTCCCTCTCTGGTCGATGAAGTCTCGGATCAATCTGCCCAACATAGAATTGGACGATCTCCTTTCCATCCCGCGATCCAGTGTTGGTGACATCCACTTCAACTTCAATACCCACTTCTTCATGGAACTCATTGCTGCTGATGCGCATGTTACTGTACTCAAATGTGGTGTACGACAAACCGGCACCAAAGGGAAAAAGAGGCTCGATCTTACGATGGTCGTAGAATCGATAGCCTGCGTAGATACCCTCCCCGTAGTAAACCACATCATTCTCACCAGGGTAACTTTCGTACGGTGGAGTGTCTTCGATGCGCTTGGGGAAGGTAATGGGTAGCTTTCCACTGGGGTTCACTGCTCCCAAAAGCACGTCTGCAAGACAGTTACCCTGCTCCTGTCCCTGATACCAAGCCTGGACGATGGCTGATACCTCACCCTTCCAGGGCATGGTGATAGGACTGCCTGTCTGGTTGACCACGATAGTGTTGGAGTTGACTGCAGCTACAGCGCTTATGAACTCGTTTGTTCGTCCAGGTAAGTCCATCGAAACCATATCACTGGTTTCTGTCTCCCACTCGTGATCTTTACCTACCACAACAATGGCAATATCGCTATCACGAGCTATATCAACAGCCTCCCGGAAGAACGTGTCGAGATCACCGGGGTTCTCCATGAAGCCAATACGACCACCATCTTGGACCTCCTCGCGCTCAAGCTCAGCCATGTAATCGAGATCATAGGGCTTCGGCTCTCTGCTTATAGACTCAAGAAGTAGTTCGTACTCTCGCCCAGCTTCCATGTACACCTTGACTCTCTCCTCGGGCGAACCGTAACTCATGAACAGAGAAGACTTGGGAGACCACCAGTGGCGCTCGATATCGATGATGACCTCTCCATCAAGCATCAGCTTTCCCGGACCACACGAAGAAAGTGAGAACTCATGAAGACCATTGGTCTTTGGCTTGAGGATAGTCCGTCCCTTGTACGAGTATCTCTCACCAGTCGTCAACTCCGGAGGAAGTCCATCGTAGCAGACCAAGTTGGAACTAGGTCTATGCTCGACCATGAAAGGCTCACCACAGTGGTTCATATTCCGAAACAGGGACAGTTGAAAGCCAGGCTTTCCGGTCTCTGGGTTCGTCATGACGGCTGGGTCGACGAGCGGGATATACCGATGAGTGAGGATACCAGCGTGGGCTTGAATCTTCGCTGTAGGAAACTTGGCGGCTATTTCACGCTTGATAGATTGGTACGGCGTCGTGCGATAGTGAGGCGCAAGGTTGGAGCTACCTCCACCTGTAGCGACGGATCGAAGCGCATTGGGACCGAGAATCGCGATCCTCTTCCCGTCCAAATTAGATAGAGGAAGAAGATTGGCAGAATTCTTTAGTAAAACAATGCCTAGAGCTCGGAATTAGAATGTTGCTTCCCAATCTAAAGCTTCAACATACCTTCAGCGCCAGCTCGACGAAAGATCGCCCGGTGTTCAGGAAGATCATCTGCCTTCTCTTTGCCTTCCTTCCAATCCGGAATGCTACTCTTTCCAACCTTCTGTACAAGCTCGAGCACTCTTGAAGCCGAGGCATTGATGAAGGATAGATCGACGAGGCCTTTCTCGTACGCATCGATAAGATGCTTGCCTCTGCGCCGCACAGGGCCCGGCATCTCAAGATCAAGCCTGCTCAGTGTCAGTTATCGATAAGACACCATAAGACCGTGATTGCATACCCTGCCTTGACGGATGGAACAACACTATTCGTGCCAAACCAATCGCTCATCACAAGGCCATCCCAACCCCATTCCTTACGAAGAACATCCTGAATCAAAAACTCGTGAGCTGAGCAAAACGTGCCGTTGATCTTATTATAAGCCGTCATCACCGTCCAAGGGTTACTGTCCCGAATGGCGATCTGAAACGGCTGCAGCGCGATTTCTCGCAGCGCTCGGTCCGGAATCTTCTCATCAATAAAGAAGCGTCGCGTTTCTTGGTCATTCGCGGCAAGATGCTTGATACAAGCACCGATACCGGCATCTTGGAGACGATTAATGAATTCACCGGCGATTTTGCCCGTCAGGTAGGGATCTTCGCTGTAGGCTTCGAAGTTGCGGCCGCCGAGTGGTGTTCGGGGAATACAAACTGTAAAAAAGTAAGACGTCGGGTGATATTCAGCGGGCGGAGGATTATTACCCGTTGGTCCGAGCAGAACATCAACTTCCTTGCTCTTAGCCTCGTGGATCAAAACGCTGCAAACATCTCTAATGACATTCAAGTCCCAAGTCGCCGCTAGGGAAACCCTGTGGTAGAACCCTTGTTAGCTCTGGCAGCGCCGCGTGGACAGAAGAAAAATAGTACCCGGTAGGTGCTGAAGCAGCGCTGACGCCGTCTGTGAAAATGCCCCCGCGGACACCTACAGGTCCATCTGAAGTCTTGATTCTGGAAACACCAAGTCGAGGAATTGCGTTGGTCCTCCATAGGTCTTCGCCTGTGAGCAAGAGGACTTTTTCTTCGAGGGTCATTTGCGAAAGCTTGTTTTGCGCCCATGCTTTGGCCTCGTTTTTGACATGCCCGTTATTAAGGGGAGGTTGAGCTTTTACAAGGGTCATCGCTGGAAGATTGGTTCGTATAAGGGGAATAAAGAAAGTGGTGATGCTATTCGAATGACTCGACTTTGGATACGTGAAGTGCAATACTGAGGGATCGTTCCATGTTTTATAAAAGAAAAGCAATAGAAACATGATAGGTATACTTGGAAATAATGCCATAAGTCTCCCTCTCCTCCACTTCTTTGGTCGTGTGAGGCAGCATCTTCTTGGCCCCGGCGGAGTTGGTCCGTCTACCCCCGCCAACTTTAACGCTATGATCAACACGCTCGGATCTCGTTTCCAATTTCCCATCTACCCGATGTTACGTAGGGGAGGAAAGAAAACTTGGGACCGTGACCCTAAGTGATGAAAATATTAGGTAAATTTAGCCTAAGCTTAGGGTACTCTTTACTAAGTTTATTTTGACACCTTATATCAAGGTTCCGTGTTTTCTTGCCCCCTAAGGGTTATGTCCCAAACTGCCGGAAGCGCCTCAGCGTGCCAACGACAGAGTTCAATAGCCTCATTAATTGCCCGGTCAGGGCCGACGGTAAACTTTATTCGTGGCTGATATAAATTTTAAACAACAGTATGAACAGCAGTATGGAGGCAGACCTTTTCAGTATATTCAGCCCTCGTGTTAACTATCATGACTCGAGAGCATCTTCAGATTCAAGAGTGTCTTCAGGTTGACGAAAAGGTCCTAGGCCTTTCTCCCGAAACTCTTTCTCAAAATTCTTCCTCAACTGAGACTCTAAGCGAGATTCGAGTGCCCCTTGGCCTCGAGGCTCTCGAACCTTCATTCTCTCTTTCTCATCATCTTCGCTCTATCGGAGTTGACGCTTTAAAAACAGGAGATGAGGTGGACAAATTCCTGTCACCATTCAATTGGTCAGGTCGGAAGAAGACCATCACTCTACTGGGACCCTTCATGGCATCGACCCTCGCGGCATACGCAGCTGGAGCCTACGCACTGGCTTCAGAGCCACTTCGCGGAAAATGGGACATCAGCGACACCCTCTTCAATATTGGAATTTCTCTTTTCGTTGTCGGCTTTGCCTTTACTCCCATGATTCTCGCCCCCACCAGCGAAACGCACGGCCGATACTGGACCTTTGTTGGCTCTGGCGTCGTCTTCTTCTTGGGAACTTTGGGGTGCGCCGTGACGGAAAGCTACGCCGGCATGATTATCTCTCGTCTTATCACGGGTAACGGAGCCGCAGTTTTTGCTACTCTCACCGGTGGTGTTGTGAGTGATCTCTATCGCAAGGAGGACCGCAACACGCCAATGGCATTATACTCCATGACGATCATGGTCGGTGCTGGTCTCGGACCATTGGTCAGCGGCAGTGTTGTGGAGCTTCTCGGCTGGCGATGGATATTCTTCATTCAAGTCATCGCCATTGGCATAACAACGACAACGTTATTCCTCTTGTTTGAAGAAACAAGAAGCAACGTCCTTTTGCGCCGAAAGTGCTTCGTCCTGAATGCGATCCCTATAAAGACATCAGCAGGAAAGCTAATCAGCTTTGCGCCTGCAATGGAAGAACGTCTCAATATTGAGGTCAGCATTATCTGGCGAAGCTTTGCTTTCCCACTGCGGCTTCTTTCAAAGGAGCCTATTGTGTCTTGTATGTCTCTATGGGTCTCTTTTGCTTGGGCGATCATGTACATGCAATTCAGCAGTATTGGACTGGTGTTCCGCCGCGTGTATGGCTTTGACAACGCCGAGGTCGGTGCGGTCTATACTTCTACTATTGTGGGCTCAATCGTTGGCATCGGCATCTCCTTATTGCAGGAACCGATCATAAAACTAGTGATGCCTCACAAGAAGCCGTTGTCTACACCGGAACAACGTCTTCTATCGCCTTGCATACAGTCGATCCTCTTACCGATTGGCCTTGTTTGGTTCTTCATGACAGCCAGACCAGGTATTTCGTGGATATCTCCATGCATTGCTCTTGGAGCGTGTTCAATGGGTATCTTCAGCATCTATCTTGCCGTCTTTAACTATCTCGCTGACACGTATCATGGGTATGCCTCGTCGGCACTGGCAGCCCAGAGTCTGTGTCGAAATATCTTGGGCGGAGTATTTCCACTTGTCACGGCTAGTATGACGGACAGTTTGACGCTACAAGGTACAGGTGGCTTGCTTGGTGGAGTTGGATTGTTGTTGACTGGTATTCCATGGCTGTTGTACTCTTATGGTCACAGAATTAGAGCTCGCAGTCCTTTCGCAAAGGGCATGGAGTGATCTCTGAGACTGGAAGGTTATTAGCGTCAAGATATGTAGCTACAAGAATCACCTGACTGATATCACCATTTCCTGCCCGTCATTCAACAGGATTCGTTTGATGTTTATGCAATGCTACATCACTTTATTTCCCACTTTCTAAGCTGAAGGCAGTCCATATGAATTGGTGTAGTAGCCTAGAGTGATCTTTTCCTTTGGACAACAGGCCATGTCCTGATACTAGACAGTTACCCTTGCAGCAGATCGAAGCTCTAGTTTCCTTAGTTTAGTATTGATGGCGCCCAGAGCTACCAGCCTTGACACCGGTAAGACGGCGTTGTCGCCGAACAATCTGGCACGGCATAGTTGAGCGCCGATGAGAACATACCATTCACTCCTTGGAAGCAATCATAATTCTGTACTCAAGCTACTGTAGGTCGCATTATTGAAGCGGGGAGACAAGGACTCCAACTCCGCGAGAATAACTTGCCCCATTTTTCAATACTTCGAGCGGAGTAGGTCCGTCTCTCCGCGCCCTCGTCTGATTTACCTCACGCACTAAGCCGTTTTCAGAATCTGGGGGTCACATCGACTAAGTTTTCCGGGGAACGGTCTTCCCTGGTCAATCTGGGGATGAGCACGAGGTCACGTAGACCTGGGACCAGACTCTTTGGAGCATGTTAATGTCAGTTCATGGTATTGGTGGCTTGCTCTACGATTCCAACAAGAGCCTGTCTACTCAAGACCCAATGAGGAGGCGATTTCAAGTATAAAGTTGCTGCGTATCGCCAGTGCTACCGAGATTCTGGGACCATTGATCGACATCGACTGACAGAGTCTCTTCTTCTGCAAGGCTACCACTTGCGTCGCAATGACTACCAATACTCCCTCCACTCGCCCAGTCCACACTGTGGCAGAGATCCTCGCCCAAGACAAGAGCTCTATCTTCGCGCTCACCCCGTCGCTCATCCATCTCTACGCAATCCTTGCTCCAGCGTGCCTCGTCGTCTGTGCTACCAACGGTTACGATGGAAGTGTTCTTACATCTCTTCAAGGTGTAACAGCATGGAAAGAACAATTCGGTTCTCCTAAGGACGCTCTTCTCGGTATCACCAGCGCTTCCTATCCTCTCGGCGCCATTATCTCGACTCCCTTTTCGGCTTACATCTCGGATCGATTCGGTCGTCGACTTTCAATCATCATTGGGAGCTTTATAATGATAATTGGGGTCATTGTTCAATGTGCCAGCACAAATATCGAAACGTTCATCGGAGGACGTATCATCGTTGGCTTCGGTATCACCCTCGCTCTCGCCGCTGCCCCAGTTCTCATCTCTGAGCTCGCTCATCCTCGACATCGAGTTCTCTTCGGTTCGCTATACAATACAAGCTTCTATCTTGGTGCTCTTCTGGCCGGATGGGTAGCGTTTGGGAGTTATCGCATTCCTAGCGCGTGGGCATGGCGTCTTCCAACTCTTCTTCAAGCTGGGCCTGCCTGTATCCAAGTCTGTTTTGTATTCTTCTTGGATGAGTCTCCGCGATGGCTGGCATATAAAGATCGCGGGGACGAGGCGTACAAGGTGTTGGTGAAGAATCATGGCGACGGTGACTGGGATAGTCCTCTTGTACAGGCTGAGTTCTGGGAGATGAACGAAACTCTAAAAGCTGAGCGTGAGATCGAAGGACAGGGCCTTGGGCTTTTCCTTGCTACACCCGCCAACCGAAAGCGACTCGCTATCCTCATCACACTCGCAGTCTTTGGCCAATGGTCTGGCAACGGCCTCGTATCATACTACCTTACCAAGATCTTGTCCAGTATCGGCATCACAACCCAGCGCGAACAGACAATGCTGAACGGAACCATAAGCACTGTCAACTATGCAACCGCTCTCTTCGCCGCTATCTTATCCACCAAAGTTGGCCGTCGATCTATGTTTGTTGGAGGTGGCATCGCGATGTTTCTCACCTTCTCAGCACTCACTGCGAGTATCGCGATATACAACGAGACCGGCTCAAAGGCAGCAAGTAAATCCGCCCTGGCATTCATCTTCATCTACTACACTTCGTTCAACGTCTGCCTCAACCCGCTTCTGTTCTTGTATCCCACCGAGATTCTGCCCTTCAGGCTTCGAGCCATGGGACTGAGTATTCTGGTCTTCTCTACCAAAGCAGCTTCGTTCTTCAATCAATTCGTCAATCCTGTTGGTATGGATTCTCTGGGTTGGAAATACTATCTTGTTTACGTTGGCTGGCTGTTAGTCGAGATTGCTGTCTTCTGGTGGCTTTACCCAGAGACGAGGGGCTACACGATTGAAAGGATTCAGGAAGCGTTTGGGGAAGACGTCAAGTTGGATGGGCCGGAAGAGAAGGGCAAGACAATGGAGGTGATTGATGAGGATAGCACCCACGTCGAGAAGGTGGCTAAATCTATGGTTAATGTTGCATGATGAGGGACAGGAAACGAGAGCCCGGGTTGAAAACGAACAAGTGATACAATGCACTTGCGTAACACACTTCTACCAGACTCTGTGCCGCCTGGCTGTTTATATGTAGCTTGATGCCTATATATGTTGATGATCCTTCCAAGTTAGAATGATGTCCGATCGCGTGAGCGAACCTCGATGGTGACACGACGATAGAGTTAAATAATGTGTATGAAAAGCTTCCCGGAAGGGGCAAAATCTAGAAACTATTGTCGGGGCCCAAGAAAGCATAATGTTGTGCTTTTGCTTCAAGCTCCTTCGGTACTGAAGACATGTCAGCACAAGTGTTTAGTGGCATATCGTACACCCTCCGCGCTATGCAACCTAGTCCCTCATCTCGCATAAATAATATCATAAGAACCTCAATAGAGTCTTTTAAAGAAACGTAATAATAGATATTATAAGTTTTATAACAAATATTTTCTTATTAATAGCCTAAGCCGCTATACTTATTCTAGTATTATGAACTTATAATAGCCGAAGGAGATGTAATGCCAATTGCCTTCAACCTCACTCTAGTACGATGGTACTTCACTTACCGTGCCTCTTTGCAATGCCTTGTTCTGAACCGGTAATCCTCACCCTCATATTGGTTGGCGTAACTCCTTGGTTGTAATTCGCGCAACGTTTGCCTGTGCAGTTCCTGATCTAGTAGGATCTGCAGAGGGCGGGTCTATAGCCTGATAATAGAAGCGGCAAGTGCTTCGGCTTGTTGCGTGATAACGGATTTCGAGGGATATTTCTGCCGCGGGACCGTGCAGAGTCAAAATGCTCCTTACCAATGACTGAGTCGGCAACTCAATTGACCTAAGACCTGACCTGAAATCCCTAGATGTTACTAATACTTACCATCTCTCTACCTATAAACAGCAAGGCTGAATGGCAATTTATTTATCTCAAGCTTATTACTTTAATACTTTTAAGTTTAAGCTAAGCAATCCTTTTTGCGTTTAGTATTACTTGTGGCAAATAAGACTATATATCAGTACATAGACAGAACTTAAAAAGTTTAAGCTTAAATATTAGATAACAGAGTATACAAATACTAAGATATTTAATCTTAAATTAGTTACAGAGCTAAACAAATATACTATAAGTAATTACTTGTCTCTAAATCCTTAGTTTAAATATGTATATATAAGTTTATTGTATTTCCTGTACTTGATGATATATAACAGCCGGATGGATAATTTCGCAGACACGACAATCATCGCGTAGAGAGAAGAGATAACTAAAAAGGGAAGAGGTATAACAAATGTCGTATTTGTCTGAAATAGAGAGGTCGGCGAAAGTATTGCCGAATTGCCGTACTCCACGATACAGGGTGTCCTGTAGTGAGATGAAGTGGTCTGTGTGTGACATTGTGACCATTTTCGAAGAGATTGATGTTGATCCATGTCTCCACACATCGCCCCCCGCCTTTTTCGTTTCGAGTTCGCCAATGAAGGGGTGGAGGAACCGGATTTCGGATTTCAGATGTTAAAAGTGCATGATTCTCGGACGTTGAGAGGGCCGAGCTTGCAGCGTGTACTGCATCGCCTTGGACAAGACGACAACGCAAGTCCATGCACGATTCATCGGATTTGGTACACACTCCGTGGCCGCTGAAGGGTACAGTAAATTGACTATAAGCCCCCAGGTGTATAAGTACAGCTATCTGCAAGTGTAACAGTATCAGGGAAAAAACCACCCAAAAAAGATTGAAGAAAATGATTTCAACTCCTGTTATCACCATTTTTCTCCCGGCATACGCGCTGGCGGCAGTACGTCGTTTTGATCATATGACTTGCAGCCTGAGACATAACAAAACAACAGGTTTTAATCGGATTGGTGGTAAAAAGTATCTACAACGTCTTTTTCCACCCGCTTCGCTCATATCCCGGGCCCTTTTTGGCCCGCGTAACGCGTCTATACCATATCTACTGGGACCTTCGGGGTGTGCTACACATCAAGACCAAGGAATGGCACGATCAGTACGGCGGGATCGTCCGTGTTGCACCGGACGAGCTCTCGTACAACACAGCCCAGGCATGGAGAGATATTTGCGGTAGGGTATATGGTACCATCTTGTTGGAGCCATACGCTAACCTTGGTCCCTGTCTAGGCCACCGCACCAAAGGTCGAGTTGGCAGTTTTGAGAAAGACCGATCCTTCTTCAACAAAACAGTCAATGGCGCCGATCACATTCAGATAGCAGCCGATAATGACCACCGTCGAATGCGACGTCTTCAGTCGCATGCATTCTCGGAGAAGGCTCTCCGCAGCCAGGAGGATCTGCTACAAAAGTACGTCGACCTTCTAATGCGGCAGCTTCGCGAGCGGGGAGCCAACCCAGCCACGGCCGTCGTGGACATGGTGAGATGGTTCAACTTCACCACCTTTGACATGATCGGAGACCTAGCATTCGGTGAGTCTTTTGGATGTCTGGAGGAAGGTGTCTTGCACAGGTGGATCACTGCCATCTTCTCCTTTGTTCGCTGTGGGAATTGGATCCGAGCGGCTCGGCGGTTCCCTCCGCCACTGAGCCAACTCGCCAAGATGTTTATTCCTCGTCACCTCATCGAGGAGCGCAAGTATCAATTCGCTTTCAGCCGAGACAAAGTCAATCGGCGAGTCGAGCAATACACTGAGCGGAGTGATTTCAGTAAGTCCCCAAGAGTGTTTTACTTGCTTTTGAGACAAAGCTAATATGTAAGTGTCATATATCCTACAAGCAAATGACGAAAAGGGTATGAGTATCGACGAGCTTTACGTAGGAGCCTCATTCCTGATTATCGCTGGAAGTGAGACCACCGCCACACTACTCTCTGGAGCAACCTATCTGCTATTGACAAATCCGCCAATTCTCGAGACACTTAAACAGGAGATCCGTTCAGCTTTTATCGACGAGACAGACATCAACATTCAGAACACAGCCTCGCTGACGTATCTCAACGCCGTGCTAGAGGAATCACTACGCATGTATCCGCCTGTGCCCAACACCTTCCCACGCCAAACTCCGTCACCTGGAGAAGTAATCTGCGGTCAGTTCGTCAAGGGCGGAACATCGGTAGGGATTCCTCAATGGGCTACCTTTCGGTCGGCGCAGAACTTTCACGACCCCGATATGTTTCACCCTGAGCGCTGGCTGGGCGATCCTCGATTTGCTACGGATCAGAAGGACGCGTTTCAGCCTTTCTCTCACGGTCCGCGTAATTGCCTTGGAAAAAAGTAAGTCCTTACCATTCTTTTCAAACTTAAAAGAAGCAAAAAGGTTCTAACTTGAAATAGTTTGGCGTATGCAGAGATGCGTCTCATCCTCTCCCGACTGCTGTGGAGCTTTGATCTCGAGCTGCAGCCAAAATGCAAGAATTGGATTGCAGATCAAAAGACTTATGCGCTGTGGGAAAAGGTTGACTTGGATGTGAAGCTCATGCCTGTCAAGAGATAGGGATGCTTGAAGCCCTGTGAAATTTACAACAACTTGCATATTCATAGGCAAAATTCTAAGCCCATAGTAGCATCAAAAGAAAATTGGATCAATAAGACTTCTTACTCCCTGTGTGGCCTAGGGAATCGAAATTAGATTTAGAAACTTCCAATCTCGAGGCATATCTATCAAAGCATTTCTTTCATTACTCAGACCAATAAGCAATGTTCTCATGTCCTGCATCGCATATCTCTTCATTAGCTCCTCTACCCACTCAAACATTGAATCACCTTGGATTATGACACTGTCACGGGCGTTATACACACTGAAAGAGTCTGGATTGCTGCTCAATACATTCAACCACGGAGTTGATAGTGCCTGAAGACCCCTTTTAGGAGCACCCAATGTCAATGGCCAGTGAGCCAGCGAGACGTAAAAGAAGATGGACAAGAAACTCACATATTCGCATGGGCTCAATTTCATATCTGCTCAAACCTACTACAAGCCTTTGATCAATCGGTTGCCACCCAGGATTCATCACTGTCGAGATGGTGGGAACGATCTATGCCATGATGGAAGCCCATTTCAAGCCCAAGACGATTCTGGCGGAGCCGCCAAAAGAAGACATCTTCAAGAAGCATAAATATGCACGCCAATCAGCTCCAAAATACGATGAAACCACCGAGCTACTCAAGTTCCAAATTTACGACAACTTCGACAACGCACGGAAGCTGAAGGACGAATTGTGGGATCTGCTGAGAAAGGAGAAGGTCTTGGAGGGCTGGGAGGTTCAGGAGTTGTTTCTCATGACCAACAATGGAGAGGTTTTCGATGCTTTGGATGACGAACGACTGCTCAAGGTTTACAAAATGCCTACTTTGGAGGAATTTCTCGATTGTCTGTTTCCACCGACCGTGGGTATTTCATCCACATAAACAGCTATTAGGTAAAACTTCAGCTCCTTCAATCGAAGCGTCTCCGTCTGATGGGAAGAAGCAATATAGTATATCTTGGCAACGGAGTGAGGCAAGTTGAACTCGAGAGATTATACTGGATTTGGACCCTCGAGAACCATTTACTCGGTAGTAAATTGAGATTCCACTAGCATTCAAAGGAGAGACGTATCCCATCCGAGGAAGCACTCAAGGAGTCAATTCTTGAGGTTAATTCACATAAGGAATTAGAGACTTTCGCGATTCTCTGATAACGTCTCAGCGACAGTTGGAGGGACAGTGAAGTGCTTCAATCAAAGACTGTGATGCTCATCTCTATAGCCATGAATCAGTGTCTTCAATTCCTTTGTGCGAAGCTGGTTTCCCCTTGAACAGACTGTCGATCCTTTGAATCATAGTGGCCTTGAACGCTCCACAGCCAAGTTGGCCTTGGGTGCTTCACTCTCCGTCTCTCACAAGTTTGATCACTGTTCTTGCGCCAATAACATCCGTCAAATGAACAAATACTTCTGATAGCGCCTATATGAGTACGATACATTCCACGCTTGTTGAGGGGTTGGGAAAATATTTGGTAGTAACTAATTCGAGCCCGCACGAACACAGCCTCCCGCAGAAACACTTGTTCATCCTCGCACAAAGAAACACATTGTTCACAATGCTACCCCCAGCGCCGCGCCTGATTCAACTAGAGGCCCACTTCATGCCCTACCGATCAGATTCGAAAGTGCCGATAAACGGTGCTTTTGTTACAGCTTGTGGGCCACTCTCCAAGCAAGTATATGACGCTAACACCGGGTTGCTCACATTCACGCTTTACTTCACTGTCAATGTACCTATGGTATCCCCGCGAGCGACAAAGGAGAAACTTTGGGAAGTGCTCAAGAAGATGGGCGTTTTTGACGGCTGGTATTACTATCGAATCTTTGTCGTTGATGCATGTGGCGTGGTACATGAGCAGTTTCTGTTGTGAGGTCATAGTAGCGATTTGACCCAAAGCAAAGACTTCAAAATGGGTATTTATTATGGCTACGATAATGGAAGGGCATGAGAGCCCTTCACAGGCACTTGGTGTTAACGGAAGTAATATCTCTTCAGTTTCGCAGGGATGAGACTGCATCAGCATCAGGACTGTCTGGCTCACAGACCCATTCAACCATTGTGCAGCTCATATTAACATACACTGAGGGCTTCACTATCACTCCCACCAGTTCAATTCCTTGTCTTGGAGTGACAGTGAAGCAATGCAGTGACACCAGTTCCACGAAAAACATCGCCATCACAGGTATATGAGTACCTTTTGTCGCCCAGGTGCCGAGGAAAGGTTGACACAGACCCCACACAAACTCACTCAACCGCACATCAACACAACCGACCACCCAAACCACTTTATTACCTATCACCAAGCAACGGATACTTGAAATGTCTGAAATAACACCAAACTTGATTCTAATGGACTTCTGGTTTACCCGCAAAGTACTAGTCCCCATGATACCCGATCTGCTTCTTCTTCAGAGAGCTTGTGAAGGACAGAGTTGTGCCATGATGAGCCCCGGCGACGGGATACCTATAATGAGGGTCGAATTCGATGACTCTTGTCGTGTAGACTCTCCCAAAGCGGAGAAAAATGTCGGTTTGGCATTTCTTGAGGACGCTAACTTCTTTGAAAGCTGGGAGTTCAGTTGTCTGTACATCCTGGTTGGGGATGGGACACTTCATCGGCAATTCTTCATATAACACAAGACCCTTCTGTATGGAGAGACTGACTTCGGCATCTTTGTTACTATAGTGATGGTAGAACAAGTTGCTATCAGCGAATAGAGATCGCGGAGCAAACCGCTATCAATAATGGGTTGGGGTCCTGAGTCATAAAATTGAAGAAGAAGTTGAAGAATGAAGCTCTTCTATACCTTGGTCCATTTGATTGCTGCTACAATGTGAATAACGTTACACTAATCCCGTGAACCTGTCTTAAAACTAGATGTTCCTGCCCAGGATACGCGAAGCCAAGAAGCAATCAGAAACATGAAAGGACCTGGACACATACTGTTGCGTATCACAATAGTGCATACAGTTTAGGAGTAAATTTATGGTTCAGTACAAAATGTTGTAAGGCACGAGCCTCTAAGCGTCTTACGAGACATAAGACGCTTACAAACCCTTCACTCCAACTTTAAGTAGCCAAGGGTCCGAGTCAATCTGCTTCCTGAGATCTCCAGATGCTAGGTCATTCACGTCCCATGTAGACCAGACGAAACGACCATGGAGGAAGTCCGCCTCTGGGGAAGAAGCCCAGACAGCGAAGCCGCCAGGGATATTCTCTTAGAAATATCAGCTACTGGTACTAAGTGTAAAGATGACGGCTCAACATACCATCTGTCCAAGGTAGAGTGTCCTCGGTATATCCCGCCTTCTTTGCTGCTTCTGTAAACACAATCGATGGGTGGAAGGAAATGATGCGCATAGCGGACTCTGGCGTATCACGAGCAATCTGCTGCATCACGGTGGCGAAGGAATTCTTGGTCAGCTGATATCCAGGCATTTGAGGTGCGCTGTCCCAACGATGGATATCCTGGGTTGACACCGAAACGACGAACTAGAAGTTAAGGTCAGTCAGATCATTAGGAGTGAGTTTTGGTGGTTCAACCTTTTGCTTGGTATGTCCGGGTTGCTTATAGAATCTCTCAACGAGGTATAAAGGAGCATGGACGTTGTTCTCAAAGTCCTGCCAAAGTCTGTCTGCACCTTGCTCTAGGATTGGCTTAAGCTCGGGCTGACCGACGGCATTGACGATGAGAACGTCGATTGGAGTCTTTTCCTTCTCCAACTCATCCCAGAGTTGTTTGGCCTGGTCTCTAATGAACAGATCACAAATACGCCAGGTGACCTTGGTGCCGGGGTAAGCCTTGTCCAGCTTGAAAGCAGCCTCTTCGGTAACATCGCTACGGCGACCTAAGATGATGACGGCTGATGCACCTGCGATACAATAATTTCGTGCAATTGCATGGCCAATGCCTGTAGAGCCGCCGCAGACGAGGACAGTTCGACCGGCCTGGGACAGCTCAGGTCGTTGAGGTGAGATTGCTTCGTAGGGTTTGGCATGGTTTCGCTGCTATAAGTCAGTCAAAAAGTAGAGCATAAAGATAGGAGATATATCATACGATGGTGAAACCATTGATAGTTGCGGTGGGCGAGTTCATTGTGTATAAGCATATGCTCAACTATTTCCGATGAGACATGAACCTCGCGAGATTGGAGGAGTACCAAAGTGTTAGTGGTGTTTCTATGCCTATATATACTTCTGTTCTCATGTGGAGTCTAGGATTGGTTGCCACGGTGTATGAACCCTGAAAGGGTAATGTCAGCGCGTGGGATTTGATACCTCGTCGCTTTCCCTACTAGCGCTGACTCCAGAAGGAACACGTTAGTCTATTGCGCCTCAGGGAGGAGGAAAATATCAGCCCTCGATATAGGGAGTCAAAATAAACTTAGTAGAGGGTATCCTCAATCTATACTAAACTTATACAGTTAGTTTACCTAAGCCTTTTTGTCACGTCCTGAGTTGTCTTTCCTCCACAAGATTGCTTACAAAATGTAGACTCCATTCTCTTATTCCTTCCGAATAGATCCGGGAACTCATCGGTAAGCAGAGTAGCCTGGTAAGTAGCTGCAGTACAATATCGAATCGGCGACAGAGTTTGAAGGACGCGGAGTGGAGTCATCAACGTTGACACGGAATTCCGATTCAACCAAAAACGGCCTCGAAATCCGCCCAGTGAGATCTAACAACTAACATCCGTAACACGCCGGATGTATACCTCGTCACCAGTAATTGACTCAAAACCATCGAGCTATAGACGCTAGAGTACCTAGAAGTAGTAGTGAGACACTGTTTTGTACCCATGCCAGAAATACTGTCAACGTCAGTGAATATTTGTCAATTATTCAGGGATCAACCATGAACGAGTCTTTTGATAGCCTTCTGTCGCAAAAACGGCTTGCATGTTGTCGTTAAATCACAAGAGAGAATGAGTACGAGACTGATACACTGATTTATGGACTCCCTTTGCTGTCACTTGACGGATGGCATTGTGAGTAATTCGAGCGGTGTCTAAGAAGTTGAACCATGACTCTGAATGAAATAACGGCAGCGCTGAATCACGAAGCATCAAGGGATATAAAAGCCTCAGTCTTACCACGACTCGTAATTTCAACTTAAACTTATACAAGAATCCAAAGAAAGTATCAACCATAGGCATATCACTTTATCTGCAAGCCACGATGACCAAAGTTACTTATACCAAGATGGTTGTTGTTTTTAAGCAAAAGGTCGATTCAGAATTCTGGACAAATCCGACTCCCGAGGCTTTGATCAAACAATGTATTGACCCTTACATGAGACCTTGTACCGACCACGCTACAAAGACCATCAGGTTTACTTATGAGAAAGAACATGATAGCGCATTGATGATGAAGACCGATATGTGGCCAACGTTCGGTAGGCTGCAGATGTTTAATGATTGGGAGGTTTCTGAAATAACTGCTTTTCGCAAGGATGGCAAGACAGAGACCCTCAGCGTGTGAGGGTAAGGTGCTGTTCCTCTGGCATTACGCCAAAGGCCGACTTGGCTGACGGCTAGAGGTAGGCCCGTATGGCCAAATAACAGTGTAAAGGTAGAGGAGTCAGTTCAAATAAACTCAATATTTCAACTAGGGAACAGTAGGAAACAACTTCATGATATCGTGAACAGATTCTTGAATATGGAGAACACCAGTGAATGCCGTTCAGGATCCGTTGTTTTACGAGCCTCACAGTGCAATGTTCATGGAACATTTAAGAATGGCAATTGGAATAACGGGATGTCCCGTAGAACAAGCAAGGATTTACCTTGTAGCCTGAATCATATTTAATACACACTATTTACCACAATGAAACTTCTTTTTCGTCTCCAGTGCTACACTATCTCATTTGCTAAGAGCGTTTACAACTTGCTTCCTCGGCGCCTGACTATTACTAATCAGTTCACACTTCTAGGTTCATTTCAGGATGTCCAATATGATTCTGCAGGCTACTTTTGCGCAAAAGCCGCGCCACTTACCTGATCTCCTGGGTGATGCTGATCGGCTCCAATCCGCCTGCGGTAAGGAGTGTCAGGTTGACATCATCGCTAACAATCTTCAAGTGACGGTAAGTACAGATTGTAAGGATAAAGATGTTGTTATGACGGGGCTGACGATCAAGATGCAGCAGGAGAATCTCTTCAAGGACTGGGAGCTTGTGCCTGGATGGACTTGGAAGCCTGAGGAGAAGGAGCATTGCTGCAATATTCTCTAAGACCTTCACATTACTATGGTAAGGATCGACATCTAAATAGGTAAGGTAGGTAAGAAGAGTTGAGAGAAGAAATAGACGAAAATGAGAAAGTACAATAAGTGAAATACTAGTGTCCCAATTCCTTTACTATTCAGCGGCGACATTCATTCGTAGAACGATTTACCTAGGGTCGACTTTTCTTTACACTTGGCGGTTTATCATGCTGATTATCAAACCTACCGCGCTTAACTGCAAAAAGCTCTAGTAATAAAGACCTTTAGATCGTCAAGTAATATCGGGGCGAATTTGTATACATTGCCGTAGACTTGTGGTTGATAGCTTATTCTAGCTGAGAGAACCTAGACCAGAGGGCTAGAATGTCTGGGTTATATAGCTTCTATGATACTACTTTATACATACTCTGAGCACAGTGTGTACTCTAGCTGGAGAATGACTGACACAAGTGCCTTTATACAGGGACCAGAAATAAAGACCACTATGCAGAGCAACGATGAAAGGCGAGGCACCTTAGGTTATCGGTGGTGCGAGTGCTATGGAGCAATAAGCGGAGATCCAAGCGGGAGAGAATCTCCGAGTCGTGTGGAGGAAGAGAGTTTATTGGAGGAGTGGGAGCCATGTTTTAACTCAATCTTCAAGCCGGTTTCTATTGAGACTAGGTTCTCTCAGCCATGTCTATTGAGACACCAAGCGGGTCTGGAGTACCAGCCACATCAAGGCGATCTACTTGCGGATGAATACAAATTGGCTGAATGGCTATATCTGAGGAATGACTTCCTCTGCCTCACCAATTGACCACATATCTGTCGTGGCCTTTTGTCCGTTCCAAGCCCACCATGATGTCAATCCCCAGCATTAGTCCAAACCTTCTCAATGCCAAGTTCCAAGCCTTGAATTCCATGAATTTAGAATTCCTCCTCAAGCCTGCTTTTTCCCCCTCTCACCAGCCGTCTTAGCCGGAAACTATGCATATAAACAATACGCCATCTTGATCTCGATAATCTGAAACGGTGACGATGGAAATGACGTGGGTGTAGTTAGAGCTAGCTCAGTAGCTCGTGGACCAAGACGTTGGTGGATGAGGTCTAGGCCAGAAATAGGCTGGTGGCTGAGACAGCCCTGATGTCACGACGCGGAGAAATCATCATGAGCGCATCAGCCATGACGCACTAGAGTTCAGCCCCGGATTTCTTGTAAGGAGCTGAAGAGATAAAGGGCGGTGCTGGCTCGATGGGTGGCTTGTGTTCCTTTGATCTTGTCGTTTATCACTGAATCAATTGAAACGAATCTTATTATAATTTTAGTAATCGGATAACCGATTGTCAATATGAGTGGACTTCGAGACAATTTCCAGCCAGTTCTGGCCGATGATCCGCCAAAGTCGCAGAGCAATGTCGAACGTCGAGACTCCGGGCCATTGAAGGATATTATTGGTAAGATGATACCAATTTGGCAGAAATCTGATTATTCTGACTCTTATGCCACAGCTCAACAGGACAGTCTTTACAAGTACATCAGCGTATGTCTCTCTTCAACCGTTGCTGTGGCTGGTGGCTGACACTGTCTAGTGGGAGGATCCCGCGCGAACTATCGGATCTTACTTTGCCGCACTCGGCTTCATGCTCGCAGTCCATCATATGCATCTTACCCAGCTGACCCTCAAAACCATGGCAATTGGCCTTGGAGGTACAGTCCATTCTCGCTCCTCAGTACCCATGATACTAATAATTGATTCCAGTCATGTCCATGGCCGAGTTCGCTGGTCGTTCCTTCGGCCCCAATAACTTCGTCTCTCGCATGCGACCCAGACAGTACAAGACAGTTCCTGAATCCACTCTCAACGCTACTCTCAAGGATATACACGACTTCATTCAGTATGCTGTCGTCCAGGCTCAGAAGATCATCTTTGCCGAAGACCTTGAGAAGACATTTGGTGCTTTCGCTTTCACTGGTTCTCTGTACTTCCTGATCCAGTTCATGACACCTTTCGGCATTGCTATCCTTGGCCTGACAACCATCTATATCATCCCTCTCGTCACGTCCCCACGTGGACGAGGTATCGCCCGTGATGGCATGGCTCGTGCTCAAGAAATCAGCAACGCAGCCGTTGACCAAGCCAGCTCTATTGCCCAAGACACCAAGGGCACGATGGCCAACATTTCTTCCATGGCTCAAGACACCGCTGGCAACTTGAGACAGCGCGCTGTCAACATGGTTCCTGGCTCAAAGAACACTGAGAACCGATCTGATGTTACCTCAACTGTGCCTCACGGCTCTCCTGGACCCACTCAGGCCAGAGACATTTCTTCCAAGTTCCCTCAGGACGATTCCAAATCTTCTGAGCAGTCGAAGCATCTTGCTTCCATGGGTTCTCGCGGTACCTCAGGTAGCTTCAACCAATCACCAATCAAGACTGTTCATGTCGACCCTAGCCAGTCCAACGATTTCTCCCAGAGCGGCTTTGACAGCTCTTCTTCCCAATCCAAGGACACTCCTTCTACCTTCTCTCATGGCACCAATGATGATTTCCCCTCCAACACCCAACCCGCTCTCGGCAAGTCCAAGGATAATACTCCCAGTTTCTCTCACGGTGCTACCGGTAGCCTTCCTTCTTACGGCCAAGCTACCTTCAGCAAGCCTCAGGATATTACCCCCAGCTACATGTCCAGCACGGCAAAGGAAGCAACCTCCAGCTATTCCTCTAGCCGCCCAGATGACAAGTCTTCCAGCTTCGGCTCCAGCATGAACAAGGATATGTCTTCAGGTTTTTCCCATGGCACTACCGGCGACTTCTCACCTCCAAGCAATACCAGCTCCAACTTCCCTCCTAGCAAGGATCAGGACATGCCCGACTACGCTCAACACCGAAAGTCACTCAACTACTCCAAGTTCCCTCACGTCAGCAACGATGACTCCAGGATGCAGTCCGGTTCAAACAAGCAGTCTGGCTCTACTACCCTATTTGGCAACCAGGCTCCTGCTGGAAAGAAGCCTTCCATTGACGAGACCAACTACTCTCTCCAGAACAGAACAGACATGAATTCTGACTATCAGCACTTTGTTCCTCGCGAGGCTCCCAACCGTGGAATGCTTGGTTCTCAAGCCGATACCTCCATGGGTAAGATGCCTCTTGGTGAGCTTATCGACGAGAAGGAGCAGGCTGGAGATAAGGCTCCGCCGATCTCCGCTGGTGGTCTTAACGCCATGAAGTAGAGCCATTCCCTTTGGGACAAATCCCCGATCTCATAACCTTTCCTTGTGTTGTTCAGTTTGTGGTCACCTTACCAGGCCCCTGAACGAGAGAGATCGGGGAGATACAGCTTCCTCTAGGCACTGTCTATATATCTCGTTCAGAGCCTGGGCAAGGTGATCGCATACTGAACATGATTTGGAGTTTGGGCAGCTCTGGCGCATTAGTAAAACACGGAAACCAACTCACTATCATTGGCACGCTTTATGAATGTAAGACTGTCACCATGTAACATCATATATGATATTAGTTTATGATATTAACGATTTTATTGATTTCAAGTCTTCAAGCATCCCTTTCCGTGAATTCTGTAGAGGCCTCTTAGGTTAAGGTTTAGACTCTGTGAGAGGCCGTCTGTTAGCCTTGGTTGATGAACGACGACTGGTATACATCCGGGACCCTACAAAAGACCTTAATACTGCCGAGCATAAAGAGTTCCTAAGGACAATGAGAGATCATCAGAGTAGCTACTTACAAGTAAGTCAAAACGAACGTCGCCGTTGCACAGTCTGCGTGGCCAATATTTGAAGTAAGCTATATCATCAGTAGCTGTCCAGATCTCGCCGGCAGATGCTCACTTTAAGGGTCCTCCCTTCGAATTCCATGCTGGCATGGCGAGGTTCGTTATAATAATGGTGGTTATAAGCGTCCTGGTTGATACCCTGGTCGAAGGAAGCAAACGAGACGCACGCCCAGTTATCGCGAACGCTCAGGTACGGGTTACTTGCAAGAAGTCGGATATAAACAGTGGCGCCATTCTTGCTGGTGAGTGAATATCCGACTATTCCTGCTGAGCCAACGAACGGTGATTGTGAAGACATTACATGGCCGCCGTCTCCTTTCTGGAAAGGTTTGACCTGGAAAACTGTTAGCACGAATGTACGGAGTTATTTGGTGGGAAGCTTACTGTTGTAGGGCCTGCGGCAAAGTCGCCCCAGTCGCTGAATGTTGTTGGGTTTGGGACGAGAGTAAATGGTGTTTGGTTATCGACCGAGAACAGGATCTGGTTTTTGGTCATTTTTGCATCTGCTATGAAGGGACAGCTCAATTTGAGAAGGGTTTCGGGTTGCGAGGAATGAAGCTATCGCGAGTCGCGAACTAACAGCAAGATATTATATAGCGCATGCCATTATTCTTTCTATTATCGAAGACAGCGTCAAATCATTGAGCCCAACTAGCGGCCAGACCCCTGTTGCCAAAACGCCAGTGCAGGAACGCCTTATGAGGCTATTGACGACGCTAGACTCCGCCATCCAATCACTTTAGCCTCCTCCCCCATCACTTTGCAGCACGACTGACTACTCAGACACGGTATTTCAAGCCACTGTGCTTAGAGTCCAATAGCGATACCCCAGTAGTCGCCTGCTGGCATCTTGATGGATTCAGCTGCTTGCGTGCTATCGCCGAATGTTACCCTCCGTTGGTCAAATTGAGAATAGCGAACACCTACTATTGATTAGAGTAGGCAGATTTCTGTGGCAGGACACGGCTATCACGGCACTTTTTTAAGCTTGATGACGTTAGCGATGTTGGACAATCGGAGAATGGATGAAGGTTATTTTCGACTTTAATTATGTTTGGCAACAAATGTGATTGTATGTTGTGCGCTGACAAGTGAGTGTCCAGGCATCGGTTAGTTGAACTTCTCAGTGAGCCGATTGCATCTGACATCACCATCAACATACAGCGTCTGGGTGATTACGACAGTCACAGGCTTATATCAATGAGTTAATCTGGCAGCATGTTTCCAAAATCACTCAATAATTGCGGATACTGTTCATATCACTTCTTCGTCATTATTGCCTTTGATCGGATATCCGGAAGTCTGATATACGTCATGAATATGGATAATATGGATCAATCGGTTTATAAGTGGATACAGCCTCATTACCCAGGAGCTTTATCTCTGAACATTCAACCCATAAGACAATTCTTGCCAAAGATTCACGAAGCCTCACAATGTCTGATCCCAGGTCACCGCATCTCAAGAAGCGTGATACCCCTCCATGGGGCTTATACCAACGCGAGAACTTTTGGAAACTCAATGACGGAGAGACTCCACCATTTAACACGCGTATTATGATCTGATCCCAACTTGATCTTATTGATGCTGATACTCTCAGACCCCAATAAGCTTGAGGAGCTCGCCAAGAAGAAGCTCACTGAAAATGGCTGGCTCTACGCTTCATCCAACGCAGGCCTTTCAGATACACATCTCGCGAACCGCCAAGCTTTCTTTCGACACAAGATCGTACCTCGTCAGCTTGTAGACACTAATGAACGATCTACTAGAACCACCATCTTCGGCCATGAGGTCTCTGCACCGTTTGGAATTGCACCTATTGGAATCAACAAGATCTATCATCCTCAAGGCGAGCTTCCTGTTGCTAAGGTCGCTGGTGAGCTTGGCATTCCTTACAGCCTCTCAACCGCGGGCTCCTGTCCGATCGAAGACGTTGCAGAAGCAAATAACGCTGGTCGGAAGATTGCACAGAACAGCGAAGAGAGTCATCGCATACCTGAGGGCCCACGCTTCTTCCAGCTCTATATGCCTCATGATGACGAACTCACCTTGTCACTACTGAAGCGAGCTCATGAATCCGGGTTCTCCGCTTGTATCTTAACTACAGATACCTGGCAACTTGGATGGCGACATGACGACGTTGCGACGTCCAACTACGCTTTCTACCGAGGCATCGGCGCCGACTTGGGTCTCTCGGATCCAGTCTTCCAGAAGCGCTTAGCTGAACATGGCATCGACCCGAAGAAGCAGCCCGCCGAGGCAGGCGCACTCTGGATCGATAATGTTTGGCACGGCCGTGCATGGTCTTGGGAGAAAGCTGTCTGGGCACGGGAGAAGTGGCAGGAGATAAGCGGCGGAAAGCCGTTTTTGATCAAGGGCATTCAGCGCGTGGATGATGCCGAAAAGGCAGCTGATCTTGGGTTTGGAGGTATTGTCGTCAGCAACCATGCTGGTCGACAGGTTGATGGGGCGATTGGGAGTCTGGATGCTTTGGAGAAGATCGCGGATAAGGTTGGTGATCGTATTGTTGTGACTTTTGATAGCGGGGTCAGAGGAGCAGCTGATATCGTCAAGGCTCTTGCTCTGGGTGCCAAGTTTGTCTTTATAGGTAGACTCTGGATCTGGGGACTTAGTATCATGGGAGAACATGGAGTAAGGCACGTGTTGAAGGGGCTGTTGGCTGATCTGGATATTCTTATGAACGTCGCGGGGTTGAACAAGGTCGAGGATATTGATAAGACTCTTATACAGTCCCAGCCTGTAAGCTTCAAGAGCAAGCTATAAGTTGCAGGTACGAATACCGGTTAAGAAATACAAGGATTTGTTCCACTGTCAATAGCGAACACAGACGTGCTCCATCGAACATGGCGGTTAAGCTCCAGGAAGCTTGCAGTGCCAACTATCGGCCTTGGTTGTGTTTGCAGATCCACCCCATTTGCTCTCGTACGGGTACGGACAATACTCTGAAAACTGTTAGCTCATCGTATCAAAGATGCCTCTTGTGAAACTTACTTCGCTGGGCTGTAGCTTTGTCTGGAGCCTCACCGTTGCCGAACTTGGCGCCAACTACAGTCTCAGGTTCTTGATCCTCCTCAACCCACTTCACCAAAGCCAGCAGAACATTCTCTTTGGCCGTTAGTCTATCCTTTTTCATCGGATATACCTGACCAATATCGAATGCACCAGGACCTCCCGAACAGTGATACATCCCTGGAACAAAGAACAGTCTGTAGAATGAGTGCATGTCCTCTAGCCTGGCGTTGAGGTTGGCTTGTACCTTAGCGTAGTACTCAGCGGGCAATTTGGGTGTAATAGTCTGATCCGCTTGACCATGGTAGGATATTATCTTGCCTCCTTTGGCATAGAACTTTTGAAGATCACCTTCCGCAGCGTTGACGCCTCCTGGGTTGAGTTTGATGGCAAAGTCCATGTCTTTAACGGTGAAGTTATGAGGTGTCCAACTGGAGTCGTTGTAAACTGCGCCACGCCAGAAGTCCTAGAAAACCTTATTAGCTCTTAGTTCACATCCACCGTTTCTATGCGCACCTGTAAGACTTTATAGTTCAACTCAGCGGTACCGTTGATCTGGTTGGCGGAGAAGACGCTTGTATCAGCACCCAATGCAAATCCAGGGTATACAATATTGCCCTCGGAGTCTGCCAAAGGTTCATATGCAGCTCTAACTGACGCTACTTGCTGGGGCTTTAAACAGAGTGACCTGTGGAGTAGCCCAGTGCCACAGGCCATGATCACTGGGTCAAAGGTATGTGCAGCAGGGTTGTCGATGATGCCGTCCTCAACACCATCCAGAGGATCAAACAGCTCAATCTGTTTTGCCACAATCGCCTTCCACTGTTCTGGTCGAACATATGCATCAGAGTTCAGATCAGGCCATCCAATACGTCGAGCCAGTATACCCTTGGACGCAACAATGTGAAGCCAGTCGACGCCTGGAGCTCCAGCGAGAATTCCGTCAAAGTCACCTGGGTAGAGCTGGGCATTCTGCAGACCCTGGCGGCCGCCTGTGCTGCACCCTTGGTAATAGCTCTTTGAAGCCTTCCTCCCATAGTATTGCTGCACTATTTCTTTTGCAACTTCAGCTTCGATGTGAATCCCTCGATGGCCGAAGTCGTTGATGACCTCTGGTTGGTTTAAGAAGAAGTCAAAGCCTTGCTCGCCGTCGTGGCCCGTGTTTGTACCAAAGCTTGCAAAGCCAAGTTGAGCTCCGTTTTGTACAGTTGGGAAATCGATACAACCTCCGATGCCGCCTGTTCCTGTGGCTAGTAGACGTTTGTTCCAGTCATCTGGAAGCCATGCCTCGATGCGGACTGAGCTGGATTCGCTTGTTGAAACGTTGACAACAATCCTGCAGAGATCTGCTGTGATGTTGGCTTTGAAGTTTGGACCTCCGCAGGATGCTACTGTATTGGGAAGGAGGATGACGTCCCCGACAGAATGATGCTGGGCTGAGGCGATGGTTCCGTTAGGGATCAGAAAGCTCTCGACTGAGCATTTTGACTGCGACTTGCAAAGAACTGGAGACACAGCCAATGCTGTTAGATAAAAGAATATCGTGCCCATTGAAGAGAACATCTTGCCAAGGGGTCTAAGGATATGCGACAAATTATCCCTGCCTCGGATGCAGGATGGCATCGGCGACTATCACAACATACTTATACATCTTGTCGGCAAATCGCAAGAGGGGTTTCGGTAAACAGTAATACTAAGAACAAGACAACGACGGTCTAGTCAATCCCTCATTCTGGTAGATGTTCGCGAAGATCCGCTGGGGAATGTAACCTCCGCATTTCGGTCTCGGCGTCCGTGGCCGAGGATCCAAGCCATCGCCAGCTTTGCCGTTACCTTTCGTCAAATGAGTAATTCTTCAGATCTGAACTGAAAAACATTCCGACAGCCTGAATATAGTGGTGTTGACTGCTTCATTGAGGCGTCAATTCGTGATTCCCCATGCGAAGACACTGTGGTTCAGTCCCCGCACTATCCAGAACACGAGGCTTACAACAACTCAGGACATTCATTTTCCTTACAGCCTCGCGAATGACAATCGAAAATGCTTTGCTGTTGGCTGCATTTATAAAAGCCGTCACACTTTCCCAGTACCGCATTAATTTGTTTTGTCACGTATGATTTGCGTCAGTGATGGATGGATACTGAACTGATGACGTAACCAGCTCTGTGATATCATGCGTTGGTGAAAAGCAACGGCTGCTGCTTCTACTTCTCGCACCTCACCACGCCCTCACTTCAGAATCTACCAAGATCAGCAACATGGTTCGCGTATTCATCACAGGCTCAACTGACGGCATCGGCCAAGCCGCCGCAAAGCTCCTCGCCGAGCAAGGCCACCAGGTCGTTCTCCACGCCAGAAACGCCGATCGCGCCGCTTCAGCCAAAGCCGCCATTCCTAACGCCGCAGCCGTTCTCGTTGGCAACTTATCGTCAATTGAAGAGACGAAGAAGCTCGCCAAGGATGCAAACAATGCTGGGCCATTTGATGTCGTCGTGCACAACGCAGGCATCGGCTATGGCTCCACAGCATCGAGAGAAATCACTTCGGACAAGATCTCAGCTGTTTTCGCCGTCAACACCCTCGCGCCATACATCCTCACATGTCTCATGGATAAGCCAAAGAGCAGACTTCTGTTCATGAGTTCGGACAGTCACTACAGTGGGGATGAGACTCTTAAGAACGCCACTCAATCGCACTCTTATGGCAACACGAAACTTCATGACACAATGCTCGCGAAAGCATTCGCCCGACGCTGGACCGACATCCAAGTCCTCAGCATGCATCCGGGCTGGGTAAAGACCAAAATGGGGGGAAACTCAGCACCAGTTCAATTAAGTGAACCAGCAAAGGCATTGGCAAGCTGGGTCGCGGGCGAAGGATCTCTGACGAAGGTCACATCTGGTGCATTCGTCACAACAAGCGGAGAGAGCAGGCCTCATCCAGGAGCGGACAATGTAAGCAAGCAGGAAGAGTTGCTTCAGATTTGCAAGTCAATTTCTGGCGTCGAGGTGCCTGAGGAGTAAGATATACGTGCAAAAAAAAGAAATGCCTCGCTATTGCTCGCAATCGTTTATAGGAACAGCCCGATGCGGGGGTCGAACCCGCAACCTTGAGATCGCGTACTCGTAAGAGTCTCACGCTCTACCGATTGAGCTAACCGGGCGTGGCTCTGATTGGTTGAGGAGGCGAAGGCCAACTGGGTCACAGTTGATTACGGGGAGAGACCGTTACTGTGTGTCCTTGTGTAGATAGAGCCAGAATCAGAAGAATTAAAGCAGGGCAGTCCCTCTGGAGGGATTACGGATCTATCAATTGAATGTTGTATCTGCTTGACTATCGTCCTAATCATGACGGTGCTCATGCTTCTGCAAAGATTCCTAGCCGTTAGTTGAAAATGCTGGTGAGCGAGCATTGTGACAGACATGCCAAGTCATTTGGCGTGCACAACATCTGGTTATAAGACAAGAGAATGCATAAGTGTTGATACAAAGAGTCGCAAGAGCTTTAAGAGAGCGCTTTTCATTTTCAGGAAACTACAGCGTGGGAACGATATTCATCCCCAACTTATTGCCATGTTCAGGGTAGTGCTCGCGATAAGATTGCTTATCTTATCTACCACCATCCAACCAACCAGGTGCAAGACCACTAAAGTTTGCAACATCCTTTCATCCCATCGTTCAACCACAGCCAGGAGCAAAAAGGATAACCCCCAAGACATGACAGAGGTCTCAGGAGCAAAAGAAAGGGTCTGGCCGGGGATTGAACCCGGGACCTCTCGCAAGCTGAGCTGTAGGGTTTACCCTAAGCGAGAATCATACCACTAGACCACCAGACCGGATCAGGCATTGCAGCACGTGATGATTGTTGTTGGAGTTCCGGCCTGGGAACGGGAACTAAGAAGATGCAGTTTGCCGAAGCTTGGTAGTTGGAGCGTGTGGAGTTCGGATCAGATCCCGCTAGAGAGGTCGCTTTGTGAGAACTTCATTCTGCAAACATATCAACGACCCCCCTTTGTTTATGACCCTTTGACAATGGAATCAGTCATTGCAAACCCTAAGAACTATGCTGTCTCCCAATTGCCACCGTCTGGTGCTGAGAGAGAAGCTTGTATATCCATTGATCCCGAAGGTTTCTTCCTGCGCCCTCCACCGACACCTCACCATCTATCATCCTTCATCACACCAGATGACCAGCTATTCCAAACCATACATATGGGCGCTGCGGTAGTCGATGAAGCAAAGTGGCTGCTGGTAGTCAACGGCCTTGTTCGGAAACCATTCGCCCTCTCCTTGGCGCAGCTCAAGGCGTTGCCTCAGACATCCGTTACGTGCTTTCACGAATGCTATGGAAGTCCGCTGAAACCACCAACGAGTAATCCTTGGCGTATTGGTAATGTGGTATGGACGGGCGTTCGATTGTCGACTATCCTCGCTCTTGCAGAGCCTCTTCCTGAAGCACAGTTTGTCTGGTCAGAAGGTCTTGATCGTGGAAAGTTCTTTGAGTACGAGGCAGACCGTTATCAGAAGGACTTACCGGTGACAAAGGCACAACGGCCTGAGGTACTTCTCGCATGGAAGATCAACGGCGAGCCACTCAGTAAAGAACGAGGCGGACCGGTGAGACTCGTTGTACCGGGTTGGTTTGGTACCAATTCGACAAAGTGGCTTTGCAGGCTTTCGTTGCAGGAGACTCGTGCCCCTGGTCCTTTTGCTGCTGTTCTTTACAACGAGAAGGACCCAGCAGATCCCGAGGGAGTGAGAATGCGGCCGGTATGGGAGGTCGAAGTGAACTCGATGATAACGAAGCCTGCGGACTCAGAAGTCATCTATGCAGGGTTGGTAACGGTGGAAGGTTGGTCTTGGAGTCATGAAGGAGTAGCACTGGTAGAGGTTAGTAAAGATGAAGGACTTAATTGGAATCGAGGAAAGGTAGATGACAAAGAAGATCAGGCTTGGCAAAAGTTCACTGCCGAGGTTGAACTCGAGCCTGGTGTTTGGAAGCTGATTGCCAGGGCAACTTCTGAAAGTGGGATGAAGCAGCCTTTAACTGGAAGACGGAATCATGTCCATAGCGTTACGGTAAATGTCAAGTAACCATATTCCGCAATTGCCATTCATGCTCAGTCGTTTGAGGACAAGAACGGCACCGCGAACTGGAATAGGTCTATGTCGGGCCTGGCGACTTCATGGAAGCATCCTAAAGACATCTGTGAAGATACTTAGAAGTCGATTGTAGGCATAAAACTTAAAAGGGAAGGCTGCAGCTTCCAGGACACCAGGCGACAAGGTAAGAGGGCAGAGTGCAAGAACCCCGTAGAGTAGCTCTTTAGTTGGGAAAAGGTAGTTGAGCGATGCTATCTTCAGAGCACGGTGAGTGAGAGATAATAATCGCCATGTTAAGACGATGGAGTAAACGACTTCATCAGGCTGGTGTGCATCCATTGCAGCAGAATCCATTGCAGCGATGGCGAGTTCGTGCACAAAGAGTACGTGAGCTACAATAGCACTCACAAAGGAAACCCAAGCATAATAAAGAGCCCCAGCGTCTGTTCTTATTCTGGCTGCGTCGAGCAGTGCTGCCTCTTTGTTTGAACGAATGGTCAGAGCTCCCTACCAACCCTCGTGACTTCGATTTTCCACTGTGAATCACAAAGGGACGCCATGAAAAGAGACGCGTTGTAAAAAAGTAATAAATTAAATTCCTGGGGAGAAAAACAGGTCTTCTCTTGTCACCCAGGGATACCGACATAAGTTCGAGTGTCATCTCCTCCTCAACCCACAGTGTTCTTGAACCACTGCATCGAGCGCGTTGCCCATCATGGCGCCCTTTGAACCCAAATACACCAATGAGGTTCAGCAGGTACGTGGTGTTTTTATTTTATCATCGTCCCCTCTCTAACTGTAACAGATGATGTTCGTCGCTGGTGAGACGCAGGATATCGCCAACGAAACCGCCGCTCTCGTCGAGCAGATCGTTCGCGAGCAGATCATCCATATCGTAAGCATCCAACTACTTTCCTGTCCGAGACATCAAAGCTAACATACACACAGCTGACCAAGGCCAAAGAGCTCTCCGCCCGACGCGGTGAGAAGTTCATCGCAATCAAGGACATCCTCTTCCAAGTCCGCCACGACACCGCCCGAATGACTCGTCTCCAGAACGTCATCCGCTGGAAGAAACTCCGCGGCGAAGCCAGAAAGACAACAAACGAAAAGGACAAGCCCGAGAACGACGCCGAAGATAGTTTCTCCGACACCGACAACGCCGCTGAAGACACCACCAAGAAGACCACCGAGCCCTCCGCTGCCCTCATGCCCTGGGACGAAGAACTCATGTTCCCCGTGCGCCCTGCCGGCGGTGACGCTGATGCTGTTCAGATCAGTTCTCAATCCCGCGAGCGCCTCATCTGGGCCGACGAAGTCACTGCCAAGATGTCAGGCGAAGAGTACACCAAATGGTGCTCCTACCGCAAGGCCTCCTTCCACCGCGCCAAGGAGGGCAGATTCCGCGAGTGGGCTTGCATCGGCGTGGTCGCTGACCTGCGAAAGAAAGACGACGCCATTGAGATTCTGGGCTCTATCGCCGTGGAAATGGTTAAGCGCCTTACCGACATGGCGTTGTCGATCCAGGCGCAGGAGATCACTACTCAGGGCGGGAAGGAGAATGAGGCAGCGGCTGCAGCCCTTCAGGCTAGAAGACAGGGGCTGTTCCTGATGTCTAACCCGCAGCGACCGGCTATTGATGCTGGGGATATTCGGAAGGCGTTTGAGATGACGCAGGCGCAGCCGAAGCGACGGGGATATCAGCTCAACCGGATGGTTGGGGCGAAGTCTCTGCAGTTGATCTGAGAGGATGGGAGAAGGGACGATAAAGGATGATGGAAGATGAAGACTGGTCTACCTGTTTCTGTAGGATGGTATACATAAAACTTCATAGATCTAGACCATAGATACCACACAGAGTCTCAAGACTCGACGACCTCCTTTAGCGCCATAAGGTGCGCATTCGTCCACTCCTTCACCTTGCCTTGCCATTTGCCGCCTGTACCTCCACCCTTGATATCCGGGATGACTATCTTTACCTTTTGCGCCATCACATCGACAGCAATCTGATCACCAATGATGACAACCGGTCCACTACCCTTTGGCTCCCCAATGGCAATAACAACTACAAATCCTGTTCCTTGGAGAACATCCCTCGTCTCACCAACAATCTTATTAATAAAGTCCGTATTCCCATCGTACCTGTGAATATACGCATTCATCCTGTTCTGCACAACGATGCGGATAGCCTGCTCACTCTCAAACTTTGCAACTTCAAGTAAGAGCTTCCGCTCAGAGCGTTTTAGGTCGGTGACTGTGTCGGAAAGCGCTGTAGTTCGCGAGACGACTTCACTGGGGACGTTGCTGGATGAGAGGAGCTTCGCGATGGAGCTGATGGCGCTGACGGATGACGTTGCGAGCTTGATGGCGCGGTCGCCAGTTATGAAGGATAGACGGCAGTTTTTGCCGTGGACGGATTGTGTCGAGCCGAGGATTATGAGGGAGATGTGTGATGTTTGGGAGAGGTGAGTTCCGCAACATCTGCAGCAGTTAGTCATCAGAATCAGCGGAAGTGTTGTAGACTCACGTGTTTGTATCAAGATCTCCAATGTGGATAACGCGTACAACTCCGTCAGACTTGTCATAATCACCAGGAAGCTTATCATGCTTCGCATCATCCGGCGTCTCAACCCGAATCGGCAGATTCTCCCGAATCAACTCTGCACACTCAGTCTGGATAGCCTGCATCTCCTCCTCTGTCGGTTTCCGCTGCAAGTCAACGTAGTTCATGCTCTCGCCAGCGCCCATGCCCCAACCAAGGGTCTTGAGATCATGATGGTTTTGCATCACAGCGGAGAGGAGATGTTGACCGGTGTGCTGCTGCATATGATCCCATCTTCGCTTCCAGTCTACTTCTTGTCGGATTTTGTCACCTCGTGATAAGGGCTTGGGGGAGTAGATTATGCAGCGGAGACCTTGGCGTTGAACGTTCTTGATGGGGATGGGGGTTTGATCTGAGCCTGAGAGGGGGGCGATTGTGCCGTGATCTGAAGGTTGACCTCCGCCTGAACGCAGTCTCAGTAAAGTGTTATTCAACTTAAAAAAGAGGGAGTGTAATACCTTCTGGGAACAGCACCGAATCAGCACACTCGATTAACCACTCATCATGCGAATGAGAATGCCCGTTGCTCTTCTTTGACTTGTGCGCTTGCTTCGGCGCCTTTTCACACGAGATTACTTCTGTTCCGAGTGTCTTGAGGTATGAATCTGATTGACATAATAAATCGCCGACAACGCGGGCTTTGCTGGTTTGCTCTGATGTCGCCATTTTGAGGATGGAGATGCCAAGGGATAAAGGACCCGTTCAGTTGAGAAGTTTCAATGACGTAGTGGGGTATGCTGACAAAGACAACATGTCACTTGATCAGCTGAGATTTAGCGGCTCTTTCAGATTGAGATGAATTGTATTTGAGGACCTTGAAGCAGCTCTTTTTCATATTGCTACATACTTGGCTTGGGGGTTTAGAAGATGATTTAGAGTTGGGTTTAACTTTGTGTAGCGTTGAGTTACCCCGTTTTAGAGCAACGGCCAGCGGACACTGTGAACAGTTACCAATGATTCCAACTTCATTTCGCAGCAACGACATCTTCAGTGGAGGGTTGGAATAATATTTAGTTCTTGTGATAAACAGAGTATCATCATTGAAATGCGCAGCGCCTAGAGCTGCATGCTTAAAGCAGCCTCTTTTCAGCACTCATTGCTCATCTCCCTTTCCCAACTGCCAATCATGCGATTACAGGCCAGTCTCCAAGAATTGAATCAAATCCTCCTTGTGCTCGCTCTGCAGATCATTGATCTTCTCCCCATTCTTGTACATGTGGAATGTCGCAGGTTGCGAAACACCAAGTTCCTCCGTGAGACCTTTCAGCTCATCAATGTCGACCTTGACGAAGCGGAAGTCCTTGAACTTGTCCAACTCATAGGCGCTATAATTGTCAGTAGAGCACTTTCCCTGGAGTAAGTTAGGTAGACTTACTGAGCGAATGTGGCAGCAATATGCTTCGACTCTGCGCTGTGCGTGGAGTAGAAGTCCACAACCACGATGGGATACTTCTTCAGAGCATCTTGGAACTCGTCCTTGCTATTAGATATTAGTATATCTGACAATTGGACGCGCAGAGTTGGGGGAGCAACTGACGTTCGGATGTTGTGCACCATCTTTTCTGAATTGGGGGGTGATTGACGAGTCTGATCGCGGCGAGTCAGTGCAAAGTTGGTGTGCAGAATGACCTGGTCTGGGCGCGAGTCAAGTACGTACAGTAGTAAATGGTGATATCTGAGACGTGCGACTGTGAAGTGAACTCTGAAATGATGTGTTTTGATGTTTTGATGTCGAAGCTTTGATGGTGACGTTGTTGATTACCTATTGTGAGACCTTTTTAGCTGACATCATCATGCCGTCATTACGAAGTATCACGACGTTCTCCTCCGCACTTGCTCAACACCGAGTACCGATGTTCGGAAGACCGCAATGGCGAGATTCCGATACTTCGCCGCTGATGCCAAGGAGGCTTTTATATAGACTGAGTGCCGAGATGAGCTGCATTTGAAGATTTATCAGTAAAATTCTTGGGATTACGATCATAAATACCGACTAGAAGTTAGTCTATAAACTCCCATATTCTTAACCTATTTGGCCATAGGAGCTCCTACAAGTCTCAAGGACAAAACACTTGAAGAGAAGACATGACTTCGCTAAAGACGTTACTGGGGAAGGGCAGTTTTGCAGTAGAGCTTACAGAGATACTGTTGGACATTCAATAAAATGGAAGTACTTTTCAAAAAAAAAAAAAAAAAGGTGCTAGCCTTTACTCAGGCCCTTGCCGGCGTTTGCGTTTGTCAAGCAACCACTCTCCCCAGATTATTACCTCCAGTGCGGCATCCATCCATTGCCTTTGCAATAATTATATTAAGTTGATGGTAATTTTGGTCATACGATAATTATTTCAAAGTATAAGCTGACTTTCAGCTGCATCCAGGGGTCCAATAGTCTTCGTTCAGCTGCATTTATGCTTGTTTTTACAGGGATTGTACCACCAACAGTCTCCAAATTTGTAATGATCTGACTGCCAAGCACGTTAGTTTGACAAACTATTGATTCTGTCTGATGTGTTGGTTGAGGCGACAGTTTGCGGTGTCCTGTTCCGAGTTTGTTCCCGGCCTCAAAAGTCTGTCTTCCTCTTCTCTGTATCATCCCTTTCCCAATGTCTGTTCCTGGTCACTGACAAAATGGTTGCTTTGAAATCTGTCTTACTTCTCTTGGCCCTAGGCACCGAGAGTCTGGTGGCCTCTCAGAGCGTCATCTGTCAGAGTAAACTCGGCACCAAGAGTATCCCTGCCAGCAAGATTCCCCGGGCAGCAACAACCATCCATAACAAATTAACAGTCCTGAAGAAGGTCATCCGCAAAGTCAACGTCGTCGTGGTTCCCAGACCCACTACTACTACGTCCACTGAGGTCAAGACGATTACCGAGACAACACAGGCTGATCCTGATATCGAAACCGCGATTGAGACAAAGACAGGTACGAACTTTGCTCTCAACTGCTGAACATACGATACTAATATGAGGGGTGTAGATACGACGACTACTATCGAGGTTCGACTTCATACCGCGGCCTCTATATCAACGTCCTTTACGACAACGACAAGATATTCCACCACGAGAATTATCCCAACCCCTGCTGGCTTCGTCCCTGCCAAGGGGCCTGACTGGCGGCCCAAGATCAAGGCGAGAGATGCCCTCAAAGGCAGAGCTGCACCCGCTGTTCTCCCAGCTGAACTGCAGTCGGACCCCGAGTATGTTCAGCGCATCGACTGTACAAAGAAAGTCTCAACTACGTTCATCAAAGCCACAACCATCACTGTGAAGGGGACCCGCGTAACCGCCAATCCCGAGACCAAAACGAAATTCGTCACATCAACTACGACTACAATCGAGACTCAGTATCCTCCAAAGGTGACCGAGACTTCATTCGAAACTACTATTTCTACAGTCACCGGATATGAAGACCGCACCGAGACCGCTACTGCCACTGAATTAGGCATGTCCACACTTATATCCAAATAATACTCTACTAACAGGTAACACTAGTGACCGTGGAGAGCGTTATACCAGTTGACTACTACGATGCCTGCGGGGACACCAATATGCTGAGTACTGCCAACGGAGGCAAAATCATCAGTAGCCTCAGCATCAAGATCAGCAGTAGAGCCAGTATAATCAACGGCCTTAAAAGCCCTTATGAGTACTGTGTTCGCTGCCAGCAGGCAGCCGAATGCTTGTTCTCCAATTGGAGCTCGAACTCAGTGTGCTTGTTACACTTCCGTAGTACGGCTGGTCTCTGCAACAATGGTCAGATAGTAGCTGCTAGCTATTACACCAACCCGACCACCATCAGCGATCATCTTTTGAGTAACGGTCAATGTGGCAAGTTAACTAACGCAACTCCGTGATCTTGAGTTATTTATGAGCGGGCGGTGATCTTTTTGAGTTTGTGATGGGACACAAGGGTACATAGTGAGACGAGGGACAAGAAAACATGCAGCTTCTAGAGTTCAGTATTTAGTATCAATTGGGCTCTAACCTCCGAGTATCTGGTGTTAGCTGAATTGATGCCAATATTCTCGTTCTGTAACAATCTGATGTGCCTACGACATAGCCCCCAAGCAAACATCCTTATGCATGATCCTTTGCAGCCGTCATTTACCAAATCTCATCGCACTTGGTCTTGTCCTTACCGCAGATGTACTGTAACAAAAGTTAGCCGACAATGCTTATGCAAATCGTGGTGATATGCCTACCGTGTAGGGACTATCGGGGCAGTCATAGAGGTGACAAGGCCGTCCCATGCACTCCTTGGGACACGGAACAACTCGAAGAACAGAAGCCCCCTCGCAAAGGGTACTGTCACAGGCATTGACTGCGGTGGCAGCGAGGGCGAAGAGGGTAGTGTAGAAGAGCTTCATGATTGATAGAATGAATATGCGTTGGCTTGTCTGTTGAGATGGTAGTCTGGTGGAAATTGAGAGTGCAGAGTGTGTTGAAATCAGGTTATTCTGCTGAGAGAAGTATGCCTCTTTTATAGACATGGCAGTATCGAGGGACTTGGACTCGACAGCTGAGTATCTCGTCATAATGGATCAAAGCTCTCAGAATTGATACGGAAGGGCCGATTTCGATTCATGGCTGATGAGCTTCTTGCTTCATCATGGGGTCGAACAATAGAAAGTTAGGAGCCGCTTGGATAACTTCGTTGGATTTAATTAAGCTTACTTCCCATGACCTGTGGCATGTAGATCCTCCTTAAATCGCCTGCTGAGTCCTTCCAATCAAGTGATCCTTTTACTAAGATGCTGACTGCCAGATCATGCAGATCTTCGACCGAGACTTGGCAAAGCGCCATGAATCTCTGTAAAAGGAAGTTCAAATAATCGTATAATGTCTCACCGTCAGCTTACATGAAACATAATACGAATACTGTCTCACGAGGATGGTAGACTTTTCTTTCTTACACTGCGATGGGATGACGCGTAAGCAGAGAACTCAAACTGACGACGAATAGCAGCCAAATATCCAATTTTCATACGGTCTTGGCAGCTGAATCGGGAACTGCTCGGTGATCTGTGAACTTCATGGTTCGCAAGTAGACCAAAGCCAACTAATCCTTCCCGTAAGGGCCTCAAAGCCATGACGTGAAGTGTCAGCCTGTCAGAGATTGGGGTCCGATTATGGCGTGACCTGTATTCTGGAGCTTCTGAGATAGGTTATAAACAGTACAGTCATTAGCAAAGTCACACAATTCTAGACATATGTATCGTGTTTGTGGCGATGCGAAATACTGTGTTGTATGTGTTCTCAGTCTCTATAATCAACCCATTAGGTCTCGAAGCTAAACTTCAGACCAGGCAGAATCTCAATGCTTTCAGGGCTACCATTGTCACCAACGAGAGTAAGATGAATGTACCTCTCCTGATTCTCGCTGCTTCCCAGGGTAATCTCTTGCTTTCCCTTCGTAGAGCCGGAATGAACAACGAAAGGCCATTTGCCCTCTCCAGTAGTGGATCCATGAATTCCGTCGTAAACCCCAGCAATGGCATCACGTTCCTCCTTGGGCACTGAGACCGAAACTCCCGAGACCCCAATCGCACCTGAAGGATGCTTCGTGTAGGAAGGGTCTGATCCATCATCTTCCTTGTAAGGCACTCGTAAGTGTCTGGGGGTGCGGTCGAGACACCAGAATGGTGCTTTGCCTGGATGCACAGCCTTGCCGGAAGTAGTGTAGGCAGAAGCAACGGACCACTTCAGCTCAACTCCATCAGGTCTTATACGGCCGCCGGCGACTGGAGGTTGATAAAAAATCTTGGAGTTCGCTTCTGTGACCCGCCGTTGGATCACTCCAAAGTCCTTTTCATCGGGGAGCGTGTAAGCCCAGTCGACAAGAGTGTTCTCTTCTAGCTCTCCCCATCTGTGCGTCTTTCGACTTTCTGGATCCAAGCCATCTTGGAAGGCGATGAGCTCGATATAGACTCCATCAGAAAATTCGATCAGTTTGTTGACCGTCCGGCCATCTGCGTGGGCCCCGCCATCAATTACGGTGAGGACACTCTCCAGTCGCTTTGGGAGTTCTTGTAGCGTCTGGTAGGAGACCAAGATCACAATATGATCTAAAATTGGTCGCAGACTGTTGCTTTCGGTCATTTTCAAGGAGTCGCGGTGTTGAAAGGTTGAAGTTGATGATGAGGGGCATAGCTTCTGTTGCGGGCATTTTACAGTAGCCAATTGCGTGATCAGAACCAGTATTACGTCAACACATCAAAATTCATGATAGTTGAGCCTGGGCTGATTTTCTTGACAGAAACCTTTGTTGGGTAGAACCCGATCTCTGTTCAAGTATACGTCTATAGGCTTTCCTTTGCCGGCCTCTCTGGATCTGTAGCAATCTCGTCTAGTTGATCCATAGCATCCCATAAGTCAAACTCTCGCCATTCGGGCAAGTCAGGTTCCTTTTCCATCGGCTTTGGCCCATAAACTTCCCAAACCACCCCGACTGACTCGGCATCCCCCAGTTGCTCATTTGTAAGCTTTTGAGAATTAAGCTCTTCCCTAACCGTCTGCATTCTTGGGGCCCATTTCATGCGCATCCATTCGAAGAATTCCTCCAGGCTTATATCGTGGTAACGGCTATCTTCGAACTCTACAAGAAGGATTTCGAACAGTTCAAGGAGAGAATAATCTTCCTCTTCGATTTCCTGGAACTCATCTCCAGGCACCGGACCTGAAGCTTTCCCAATGATGGAGCAGCAACCGTGACGCAGACCCAGCTCAGCAAACGTATAGTATCGTACGATGGCCGCATAGATCCATTGGTATTGGTCAATATTGGTTGTATGTGTGGAAAAGAGACCAGCTATCAGGTTTTCCGTTACTCCGATAAGCCGATCAATGAAGTCGCCTTCAGGGGTGGACTTCTCGAACCAATGTATTCCGCCAAAAAGCTTCGCCAGAGGAGTGCATCCCCTTGGAGAACACCAGCAGCGGCAGCGGTCGACGAGAATTTCAGAAAAGACTATTCTGAAAGCTTCTAGTGACATTGGGCAGTCCATTGTAAATCCTCGATCGCCTCTGGCCATCATTCCATGACGGGCCATGAAATAGTGAGCGATGGTCAGTTCTGTCTCAATTATTGGTAATCGCTTGCTTTGAATCCTTGATGAGACGTTGATACCCTGGTCAATCATCCAGCAGAAATATGAGCACGAAAATGGAGTGTAGATATATGCACGACAGTCTGCAGTGCCCATACAAGTAGCTAAAGTGGAGATATAGTCCGCCAACTCGATGCTGGAGTAGTGGAAACCTAATTGGCGGGCATATTCAGCGACCTCACCGCTACATATATATGAGTAGATAGACAATTGGAAATCCGTCGAGTCTGCGTTTGTTTCGTACACTTTGAGGTAGGTTGGTATCTCGTAACCCTGTGCTTCCAATTGGCGCTGTACCCGTGCAGCATTTTTGTCTAGGATCTGTGATTGATGAATTTTCAAGTCTTGTCTTTCAGATGGAGAAAGCCTTTGGTATGCGACCGATTTTAATCCTTCTCGCCTTTGTGCTAGACCCTTGATGAGGATCTTGTGACCTTGTGTACAGTTACCACCGTGGTTTCTTGATGGCATGAAACCGAGCTGTAACGAAGAGGGGAAAATTGCCGTTTCCAATTCGAGGAGGATTTCAAGCACTTTGAAGCCGCCGCAGTTTTCTTGAACCCTCCCGGTATGGTTTCCAATTGATGTTGCCGCAAGAGCAATAGGATAGCGGCCCATGTTGTCCATGACGTTGAGGGCCTCAGTGTTCGCATATTGAAGGATGATACCTATAATATCCATGTTTTGCGTCTCAATAGCGAGATGAATGGGTGACTGGCCGCAGTAATTGATCTCATTGATATATGATGGGTATTTTTGTAAGAACTGTTGGACTCCGTTTCGATCTTGTTTCAGAATAGCTTGACTCAGTGGACCAAACTCTAAGCCTGTTTGTGTATTATTAATTGTGAACTTCTTATTGAATCTGTAACGACCTACTTTCGACTACCCGTGGAAAGCTCTGAAAGAGTGTATATGAGCCACTGGCAAAGCCGTTACCTCGCCACCACGATATAGCCCAGTCCCGGTGACAATGGCCTACCGACTCGTGATAATTCGATAAAAGGGCTGTTGCAACTTGCTGAGGCCTTGTACATTTGAAGAACCAGTTGCTTCTGGCCAATAAAGCAGGAACAGGTGCGCTGCCTCAAATTATGTGAGTGGGAATTCCACAATTTTACCAAGGTTGACTTTCGGTGAACTTACGCTGTGACCCTGCGGGGATATGTTGCAGGTTTCGTGACAACAGAAAGCATCTCAAACAACTCTGCCATTTTATCAGCATTCGAAGTTGTCATACTGCCGCTGAGCTATAACGCATATGGTCAGTGAGGAATTTACAAGGCATATAACATTGGATTACCTGATAGTGCTCTAATGCCCACTCGATAATCGAATCACCATGTTTGTTTACGTCCGTTACATACGCATGATAATTGGCATAACACCAGACAAGTCGCCTCAAACATGAGGCCAAAAGTATACGCATGTCTTTGAGTTGAAGGTGTTCATAGAATCCGATTGTTCGCACCATTCGGAATGCCGGGGATGAATCCGCATCCACTGTCGCGACCCAGGTTAGCTTTTGACCTAAGCCTAGTATACCTGCACCTGTTGTGAATGACAGCGAGACTTTACTGGCACGTCTCCATAACTTTTGACTTGTCGGAATCGAGAGACTCAAGACTCGCTTAGTTCGACGGGTTGATGCAGGAAGTTTTGACATGGGACATTCAGGTGCATGATGTTCCCTTGATCTTATTTCAGCCTCTACAACGAAAGGCCCCCAACGATGTTGACTAAATCGTGTTTGTTGTGTTTTGCAAGAGCAGAAGGCATCAAATGTCATGCTATCACCACTCTGATAACTGGTCGTTTGTATACTGGGGTTGAATGATTCAGATGCTGAGTTTTGCAGCAAATTGGCGTTAAAAGAATAGCGAGAGGTGAGATCAGACACCTGCTGGGCCATTCCTCTCAGCAAGAGCTTTGGGTCCTCTGACGCTCGTGTAAGGATCAGAAGAGCTCTAACGTCTTTTTGGATAGTACTGAGTTTGTCATCATGAAGCTGCGATGTCTTATACATTTCATCCAAAGCTGCTTTGTTCTTTTCCGATATTGCATTGCGGTTGGTAACGGCCTGGTACATGTTATTAATAGCAGATGTCGTCGCATGGCCAGTGTTGCTTCGCAAATATGAATATTAATTCATGATATAAGATATGGAGGCACGAAAAGATCAACATACAGCTGATAGACTTGCAATATTGTCTGCAGGACACTGTTCGTACGCGAAAGAATATCCTCGAGCTTTTCTATGTTCTGCTTCTTGAAAGGGTACTTCAATTTGGTACAAAGCTCTTTGGCCTTGGCGGTGTTGCTGTTCAGTGTAGATATTGTTGAGCCTCTGAGCTCTTTGACAACTGCCAACAAATTGCTGACCGTGGAGACCCATGAAGCTTTGCATGAATCAATTGCATTTTTGGTCGCTGGATCGCCAGTAGGCGCGTTAGATATCGCAGTATTAAGCGCGTTGAGTGAGAGCTGAATGTTGGTCGCGTAATCGCGTGCTTCCTTTAGATCTTCTTCGCGGCCGTCAATATCATCGAGATATAGCGAAATCTCTTTGAAGAGTTGCAGGCCCAAGGAGACAGTGCCGAACACGCTGCCAGCTATACCAAATGCTTCCGCCATGGCGACGAGTCGGATGCGTGCGTATCAGCAATGAGAAAACAGCAGAAAATGAGGGGCAAGAATAAAAAAGGCATCAACTCAAAGTCTGGTCAAGATGTAGGGATCACGTGGCACTCATCTTCTCTAACTAGATAAGACTTCGGTGCCCCAGCCGCATTGACAGCCATTCGAGGTTGACAGTGAGGCTTTCAGCTACTTGTAAAACATCGTGAACGGAGTTCAGTTGAGCCTGGATAAGCCCCTTTGACTACGCTCAGGCATCATTGAGGCCCAACACAGCCGCTCACGAAAGTGAAGACAATCATCCTAATTGGTCTTCAATGTGCATAGCTGCTTACTGTGGTTGCACAGCGCTCACATAGCCCATTGGTGGAAGCAGGCTGTGGTTTTATTTACATACGAAAACTCTCAATTCTCCAAATATTCTTATAAAACGAAAATGCTTTTCTTCTTTGAATCAAACAGACGAGTTGCCCGATTGAGAAGAGCATGATATAAAGTGCTGTTTTGGGCACCGAAAAAACAAGGCGAGTTGTAACATTGGCAAGTAGCTGAGAGGATTGGCTTTGGGGCTGTCTCTCCGGGTTTATGCTTAGCCAATGGCTAATTAGGCAAAAATGCAAATGTGTCTTCCACTGAAACATGGTGTTTCATCTTGGGTGAGATCTTCACCCACGGTCGGCGCATCTCGGGCAGCTGTGTCACATGGCCATTGCCCGCCACTTGATCCTCGTCTTCCGGAACTGAAGCCAACATAGGAGATGATGAATTTCTTCTAAAAATGCTTTTTCTCAACATTTGTTCTCACGAAAGGCTGGAGCCATGTATGCAGCAAAGTGATAAAGAATTTGGATCAATCTATGTAAAACACTAAACAAGGACTGTGATATGCTCACGTACTGACCTGCAGTGAGTATCCTGTTTGACTACTCCCTGTACTGCAGGTATATCTGGAACGAATCTATACCACCTAGTTCATAACGCCAGTTCCCATAACAAACGAGTGTCGTAAATGCCAATAACTCCGAAATGTCCCAGTTGACGACCAGAGTCTAGGCGGCAGGCATGACCCGAGTTGAAGTCCACGCACCAACGCCGGTCAAATACTGGTCCATAGACTCCTTTCTGCGAGGACTTATGACAGGCTTTGGTCGATCTGAAACCTGTGTGCTGTGAGTCAGCGTGACTGAGCTGACTGAAGGTTCAACATGCATTGAACCTGACCGTTTGGGCTGTTGCGTAGTGATAATTCCCATATTGCCTGATATGTTTAAAAAGTAAGTGAAGAGCCAAGCCAGTAGTGCGCCCTCGATCACTGACCGTTGTATTCTATAAGTGTAGTATAAGGGCGCTTATCAGAAGAAGTCATCGTAGATATAATGCGAGTATGGCGCGCGATGCAAATTTCAGCTATCAGATAATTCAAGAGAATTGAAATCAGTGTTTTGAGGCGCGAAGAATCCGGCGATGGTCATTTTTGCTGCTGGATTATTGCCGTGGCAGTCAGTGGAAAAGGAAGCCATTTTATAAGCAAATGGCTGTCCTGCACAATGATACCCTGATACTCTCTTTCCTCATTCCACGATACTCTCAATCCTCTAACCCCTCATCAAGGGGCTTTGCTTGGGGCACATGACATGTACACGTGAGATAATAAGTGCGAAAACTACCAGTGGTTGTTAGCGATCGTCGGCTTCTCGAAAGTAATTAGAGTTCAACGGGACCGAAGGGGCGAAAACCAACATCAAAAGTGCGATCGTCGTTGCTTGATATGAGTGAGATATCGGTCCGCGCTCGGGGACAACTCATCGACTCCGGCGCTAACAATAACAGCCCGTGCCAGCAAGAACTGTGCCAGCACAGAGTTTAGGGCTGAAAACGTCCGCCTTGTTTTTAAGCTTAGATTGATTGGAGGGAGATATCCTGGTCTAAAATGCAGTGAAGGTTTGACCATCGAAAAGAGGAAATCTTGTGCAATCTAGGGACCTTAGATTTGCTGTCTTGCTAAATACGAAAATGCGAAGAGACAACTCAGAGGCCCAAAGGAGAAGGTAACACGCAACGACACATTTACCCATGTTTTTCTACTTCGAAAGCGGTTTCGAGGCTGTCGGCAGTGAGATTAAATCACTGGTCTTGAGCATCTGCACTTTAAACATCCCTCGTCCTGATTTGGAAGCTGACCAACAAAGCTAATGGGCGATTCTCGGAGGGTGCTAAAAGATGACGAAACAAACATGCAGGATGACTACGCCTTTTGGCATGTAATCGAGCGGGGTCAAATTGCACTTTATTCCTTTGGCCCGAAGTCACTTCTGTGAATGATGCCAACGCATCACACACCGCGGCTATTTTCTTGCCTCGGGTTGTTGTGATGTATCTAGTGCAGATCGGAAGATTGACGAGGTCGAGAACACCACGCGCCCTGACCCAACGATCTGTCACCGATGACGATGTTCCATCAAACGTTGGGAACCGTTAGGTACCACGTGCACAGAGCGACGATCAAATTACAGAAATAGGTCGCGTGATCAGATGAAAGTTGATTGAGAGAAGTGGCGAGGAGGAAACAACGAACCGTGCCAATCATAGGCTGTTGAGTTATTACCATGACGCTCGGTTCCGGGCGTGGCATGTGACACGGGCAAGTCGTGGCAGTAAGTCTGATAATCTCTGAAAGATATATTCAAAATGTTGTGTTGATGTTGAATCATAAAGTCGAGAAGCTAATCCTCTCTTGACTTGACTACCTCGACGGAACTTCTCCAGTCGACTTTGATCATATAGATGACCTCGATAATAGCAATGACTGCAGAGCCACCTATCATTCCAGACCAAACACCATTCAAGCCCAGATCCAAAGGCCCAAGCTCCAGCCAGACTGCGATGGGAACAGCGGCAAAGTAGTTGACGAAGAACACAACCCACGCCGACACAGATTGCTTGGCCAAACCACGAAGTACCCCATTGCATCCGCAGACAATGGAGTCGACCACTTGGAAGCTAGTAACCGCAAGCATAGTATTCGTAACAAGTCTTCGAACCTCCTCATCGCTGGCATAGAAAGGCCCAATATAATTCCTTAACAAGAACAAAACCGCACCATCAAAGAATCCCAAACAAACAAACATGATCCCATAAAGAATCGTAATGCGTCTCGCAGCCTTCACATGTCCACCGCCAATCAAATGCCCAACCCTCGTACTAACAGCAACACCAAGCGAAAACGGAATATGCCACATTACAATCGACGTAGTAGTCAAGATCGTCTGCGCAGCGAGATGAATCGTGCTCACATACGACGTGCTAACCGTAATGATCTCAAATGCAGCCCACTCCGCCAACGTGACAGCCGATCCGGCGGCAGATAACCGAACCATGGGTCCCCAGCCCTGCAGGGCACGCCGCGTAAAACCAGGCCAGCATTCGTGCGTTGACTTTTTGAAGAAGGTGCAGATTAGGAGGAGGGTTGGACGGAGGGTGTTGGCTACTGCTGCGCCGAGAGCGGCGCCTTCGAGGCCGAGGTTGAGCTTGAAGGCGAAGAGCCAGCTGAGGAGGGCGTTGATAGGCGCGCATATGACCAGCACTGCCATGCCGGTGTTGAAGTCGCCTTGGGCTTGGAGGAAGCGCTTTAGAGCTTCGAAGGAGGCGTAGCCGGGGATACCCAGGATGCTGACTCGGAGGAATGAACCTGCTTTGACGGCGAGGTGTTCTTGCTTCAGGATGAGAGTCAGGAATGCGGGAGAACATATCCAAACTGCAGCTACGGGAATGGTAACAGCTGTCATGAGAAGAAGCATACGCTGAACATGCAAGCCAACGCCCGTTTTGTTGCCGGCCCCATATGCTTGTGCACAGAGGGTGTCGAGAGCTGTTGCCATTCCTTCGTAGAGAGCGAGACCAGCGATGTTCATGGTCGTGACACCAATTGCTGCGGCTGCCAAGTCATCGGGACTGAGATGGCCTGCTGCTGTTGTCGTGATGACGCTGAATGAGTATTGAAGTAGATATGTTGCTACCAGAGGGACTGTATAGCGTGTTATGAGCGATAGCTCAACCCACCAGTCGTCGGTAGGCCGTTCTGAGACAGATCTTTCTTCATTGTTTGGCAGCAATGGTGCCGCTTCATTGCGGGCCTCTTCCTCGTGAGAAGTCATGATCAATTGATTCTAAATATTTGTAGAAATTCTGCTCAAGACGCCAGATGTCATGAGGTTTACATAGCTTGCAATTGCTGACTCACAGATCCAGATATGGCAGGTTGTTAACCAACCTTGACCGATCCCGGGCGGGGAAGAAGGATGACTCTAACAATATTGAGTCAGCAAGTCATGCAAATGGTTGGTTGTTGGCAGCGTTCATAAAATGTGCACAGTGAACACAACCAACAATGCATTCAGGGCCATGAGCCTAACATTTTAATCACTCCACAGGCATTCATCTTCAAGAAATCTTCTCATCCATTCGCATGTCTTGCCACGAAAAGCATAGCGAAGAGGAGCCACGAGCAAGGAACAAGGATACAGTTCCATCATCAAGAGATTCCTCGTTACGTACTAATTCATGCTCCGACAAGCCCCAGCTGACCATTTGAACAGTGGATCATAAGTGGCTTCAGTGGATAACCCTCTATAACCCCCACTCACGGCACCTGAAGGTATCGCGCAAAGTGGACGATCAATACGAGCACCGAAAATGGCGCTCGGCAGTTTTAATTTGACTGAACTCTATCAACACGTTGTAACCACGTTTTCCCAACGATGTCACACAACCAATTTCTGAAAAATCTTGACCGCCAGATAAAAGAGAAAAGAGAATTGTCAGCAGTGGCTAAGACATTGATCCTTAGCCCGAGCCACGAGTACCAGGGACCGGCCCGCGAGTCTGTTCTGTTCCTTTTCAATCTGTGACCACGCCAAGTGGACCGGAGATAACCTTGGCAGTAACTCCCAGCCAGCGAGTCGCAAGCCACAATGGACATGTCCCCTTGGATCCAGTTT